TAGTTCCCTTTGTGCATGGAGCTTTTGTTTTGTTCATTATAAAAATATGGGAAATATTACATATATAGTAGAGGTATCTGTTCAACAAGTTTTTTAAGTACATTTTTTCACAATCAATAAATAAACTTGAATATAACAATACTTGGATATATGTGTAGCCACTTGGTGGTTGCTTAAAAGTGGCTTCTGATTTATCCCCACACACACATACACACACACACACACGCTAGTACGAATCTAATTTACGTGTTTCAGATGCGCATTCAACATTCCGAATAGCGACAAAGGCAGCCAGCCAGAGGGAATATGGAAGCAGTGTATCCTGAGCGACATCCCGCAGCCTGAAGGCGAATTGTGCTTTTAATTACCACACATGGACGAGAACATGTGCGAAAGTACGTCTGTGTATTTGTGTCTGTTTTTGTGTGTGTGTGTGTGTGTGTGAGTGTGTTATTACACAGCACAGCTAGTAAATAAATTTGCGGTGATTTGTCGACTTGTGATGGCAGAAAGCATTATGTTCTAACAACCCATATTCTTCAATGCCCCCCAACCGCCCACGCTTAATGTTTATATGTGGCATTTAACTACTGTTACACACACACACACACACACACACACACACACACGCAAAATATGTATATCAAGAGCAATCGCATAGTTGAGCATTATAACAAGAGAAAGGACAAAAGGACACACGCATCGGATGCTGTCTGTGGCAACACGCAATGCCTGCTTGTATATCGGTATGCGTTTGTGTGTGTGTGTGTGTGTGTGTGTGTGTGTGTGTGTGTGTGTGTGTGTGTGTGTGTTTGTGTGTTTGTGTGTTTTATGTCGTCAGTGTACGCCTCCATCATTGTCCTTGTCGTGCTCATAAGGTAAAACTCTCAGACTCGCCTGCCGCCCGCCGCCCGCCGCCCGCCTTCAGAATTACGAGCGCCAGCCCAGCGCCATAAAAAAAACTTCATTTGTCCGCAAAGAAATAAATCTTTTAATGCACATCGGAGAGTCGTTATTTGGGCATTGTTTTCTCATTTGCCGTAACACCTACAAACACACCCACACACTCCCACGCACACATAATTATTGTGAATATTGTCGTGGCATGCCAACGTCGAGTCCACTCTCCACTCCACTCCACTCCACTCCCTCTTCAAGGATATTTGCGATGGAACGCGGACGGGAATCGTCGCCATCGTCGCAACAAATGAACGCTGAATGGCCATTTCAATGATTCTAATTATGGAGAGACGCCTTCACGTCCTCTCTGTGTCCGTCCACCTTCACATCCATCCCACCATTTCCCACTCACCACTCACCATTCACCATTCACCAGTCGCACAAAACTTTGTTAAGTATCGCGTGCATCATTGTTATTGTTTTTCTTCTGGCGCAACGAAATTACTTTGTTCTATGTATGTCTCTCATAGGCACACACACACATGCATATGTATATATATGTGTGTGTGTGTGTGTGTGTGTATGTATGTGCTCGTATTTATGTTGCTGTTCATTTGAGTTACAGTTAGAGTCGCCAGGTCTTGGGCATTGGTAGCTCGGTCATTAGGTTGTCCGTCGCCTCCGTCCTCGTCCTCGTCTCGTCCTCGTCCTTAAATGCAAAATGTCCCAGAAGGCTGAACACGCCGACCCACGACGGGCCTTCGCACAATTGTCACGGCAGCAATCCACCCATGCACTCTACACTTAGACGAAAATATGTCCGCTTATCAAGTTTCATTTGAAACGTTCGAGTCTGTTCCGATTTCCACAATTTTTACAAAAAAAAGAAAACACTGCCCGAACTGCGTCTGGACTTGAATAAGCGATGACAATCAGGATCGAACTTATACTTTATGATCGATCTCGATCGACAGTTAAGCGCTCAATGAAGGTGAAAAACAGGAGAGCCAGTCCGACAGTAAAATACCCTGTACTCTCCAAAAAGAAAATAAAAATAATTTCAAAAAATGTATTCATTAATTAAAGGAAATAAAAAATATTCAATACATACAAAAGTGAAGACATGTTTATGTACAGTTTCATGCATATACATCATCGTGTCTATGCGTGTTTATATGCATGCACAAACTCGTCCTTTCTCAGACTTAGGAGAATCTGGATACCAAGTTTGGTTATTCTAGCTCTTATACTTTCTGAGATCCTTGCGTTCATACAGACGGACAGACGGACAGACAGACAGACAGACAGACAGACGGACGGACAGACGGACGGACAGACACACAGACAGACGGACATGGCTACATCAACTCGGCTTGTCATCCAGATCAGAAATGTATGTCTCTTTCTGTGTATTACGTAAATTCGCACAAAACTAGTATACGCTTTTACCTTTTGGGCACAGGGTATAACAATATAGTTTAGGCTAGAATTTTCAATTACATATAATTTAGGGTGGACTTTTATTTGCACATTTAAAAAAAAAAATTTCAATGAAAAAGTTCCGTTTCTAAAGCACCAACAGTGACAATCGTGGGTGGAATGAGAAAGAAAGCCTATTATTACAATTCATTACGTCGATGGATTAACCATCCATTTGTCGACATACTTCTAAAATAACAAACATATAGTGTGTCTGTTTTGCTTGTTTAATAAATATTTCTGAATAGTTTTAACAATACCTAAACAACTTTTGAATTTCAATATATTGTTTTTGGACTTACAAAGATTCGATTTGAAGCTTAATTTATTATCGGAGGTATGCTTGTATAAACTGCTCAGACGTGACTAACATTTGACACACCTTTTGAACATGATATAATGGATTAAAGATGGTTATAGAAATACACATACCATATGTACTATATATGATGATGATCGGCCATATCTTTTGTTAGATCACACCTTGAAATTTTCAAGCTACATCATATATAGTACTTACATCTAATCGTGCATAAGATAGCGCAGATATTGAATCCAAATCTAACAAGTATGTTCAGAATAATTATTATATAATTATAATTATTAATAATTATAATACCTAAAGAACTAGCAACATTATCTTTATACACGATTAATAACACCCATACAGCTTTCTACACATACCCAGTTTCCTTCCTCCTTTATACATAAGTATATACAATAAGTGCAAACCCGAAGAATTAATTTATATGAAGTTCTTACAAGTAATATTTTAGCGTAATATCCACTTATTTCTTCGAGTGTATGTCTGTAATGAATGTGAGTGGCTGTGACCGGTGAAAATGTCCGTGTCAAGTTGTAAGTAATATTGCCAAAATGCCGAACAAGAAAATGAGTCGGCCGGCGGAAATTTAGTGTCGTTAATAGCAAAATTGGGCCTCCAGCTGATCGACTGGCAAATACCCTACCAGAAGCTAATACGCGAAGAATTTGACTAAAAAAACTACAAGTGGAACAAAGATGTGCTTGAGACTGGAACGAAAAGAAAAGATAAGAGCTTTCAATCATATTCCATCTGAAGAATTACTTGTATAAATAAATCTGCATTTACATACACTATAAAATAGCAATCATATGGTAGAAAGCGTTTTCAATTTAACTCAACAGAAAGGCAATCAGAGATTGGTAGATTTTTGTGATGTGCCAAACGTCATCGCATTATTGATGAGATCTGTCGCTGCCTGGCATTAGAGCCACGATACAGACAAATGGAGCGGCAAGAAAAACACATTAATTAGCCAAACGTGTCCATGCATGGTAAAAGTGTTTTGTTGTTATTGTTACTGGCGTTGTTGAGTTTGTCAAGGAACTTTAATAGCTTCCTAGCCCGCATCGCAATAAACAACCAACCCAACATTTGCAAAGAGATGTGCACACACAAATCTACGAAGCGCTGATACTTACACTATATACTCGTATATCTACATTAAATACGTGCTTACAAGAAGAAAGAAATGCCGAGCCTGTTTCGTCTTGGATTGAATGTACTTTCGGAAGACTTCCGCATCGATGCCAACATTTAAAGTTTCGAGCCAAATTGCTAAATGTTTAGAGGGTGTGGATATGCGCACAGTATAGTTCAAAGAAAATAATTGCAGTTGTCTGCAAAGTGGCGGCGAAAGGAGCGGGGAAAGCAGCGGGGAAAGTATATATATTGTGAGAGAAGTGAGCAGCACGAAATCAAAAGAGCCCATAAAGTCAAAACAGAGTGCTTGTCGAGGTCCAAGAACGAACTGTGCTGTTGAAAAAGTCCAAAACCAACATACAAATCATTTCGAAATAAAAAAGCTTTTTTGAAGGCAAAAAATATGAAAAATATAAAAAAACACAAAAGGAGAAATAGAAATGTCCAATTGTCCAATTGGCGCGGAGATGGAGAGAAATACGAAATACGAAGAGCCAGTTAAAACAACTCAGGATAACTCGGATAACCGTTCGTTATCAAATGATTGCTATCTATTAATTAAAATATGTATATTTATGCATTTATATTTGTTTAGTTTTGTGAAGTTTAAGTTAATCTTTTATACTTTTATAATTACCATGGTAAGTCACGAAGCCGATTTTCCCAAAATGTAGCAACTTCTTTCAAAATAAGTGTAATTCTCACAATGATTTTTATAGGCAGCTAGAGCAGCTTTAGCTTTCAAAATCTTTTTAATCAAAAAAATATTTTAAAAAATTGCAAAAAAAAATTCACTTAACTTTAGAATGAATGAACAACTAATAATGTCTCGGTCGAACATTCAAATAATTTGCCTATAAATTCGTCCAATTATTTAAGTTGCCATGAACTGACAAAAACGAAAGAATTTAAATGCAAACTATTTGCTTGTGTGACCATAATAGATATAGAATAATAATGCTTCATCTGTGAACGTACAGAAATGAATTTGTCAGATTATATCGTACTCGCATTACCTGTCTGCTATACTATATAGCAAAATATGATATGAGGTGCACGGAAAAAGATCAATAATAATAATAATTACCATCTATTTAGTGTGATAGAACCTTATATAAGCTGGCAAAGCATTTATGTCAAGCATTGAGTATTGGATCTAGAGCTTATAATTTGTAGAATTTGTGTCCAATGGCCTGGATAAATTCATTAATTTCTTGTTTAATTTATATGTTAAGGGTGACATGACGCCACCGGTTGCCTTTCGGTCATCGTACGAGGTACGCACTATTTCCGGCAGATGAGCATAATAGATCACTCGTTGATTTCTCGGTGGTGCATCGGATGGTGGCAGCTTGGAGTTGGAGCCGCGATATTTTGTGCCGTACGGCTCGGCAACTGCATCGAGGTAGCCCCGACGATATTTACCATACTCCCTGGGATGCGGTGTGTCTAGATATCGGTCAGGATACATGTTATAGGGCTCGGGAAATTGCGGTACCCTGGGACTGTAACTATCGTGTGGATCGAAGCGTTGACGATTCACATACATATCCTCAAAGTATTGGGGATAGGCGCGGTGATACTGCTCGTCGTACCTGTATAAATACGTAAGTCATTTAAAAAAAAAAAATACATTTCGTTGAGTTTTTAAGGCGCACCTGTCATATCGCCGGATATAGGGATCATATGATCTCGATGGGTACATTAAACCACTATTTGTCGAAATGGGTTTGCCAAAAAACCTGCCATACCAAGCAAATGATTTGTAGGGTAGTGCGTCCAATAGTTTATTCGATGATTCCAGACTGGGCTGTGCATCGTAATCGTAATGCACATGCTTGGGTCTGTCATCTGAAATTCCTAACTTTGATGTGGACGCGGACTGGGAACTGAGTTCATTAAAGGCTCCGTAGCTATCCTGCCAGGGCATACGTCTGGCATTCCAATAATAATCATAGTCCGCATAAATTGGCGCATTCTTTACCAGCTGATTCGATTTAGCTGCTTCCAAGGACATGCTGGGATCCACATTGCTATCCAATTGATCCAAATCAACATTCCGATTGGAGCCATCGAAGTCGTTCACAGCTCGATCGCCTTGTTGTTGGCCACAAACCCAGGCAGGGAGCAGGCAGTGCAATATAAATATCAAAGCGGGCAAATGGAACAGCATGTTGGCTCCGCTGATCCTCGACCGAACTACTTCTAACTAGATACTTGATGCTTCCAACCACTGCCAACCGTATTCGTTGTACGTCCAATCCAAACTGATGCAATCACTTCGAAAACGCCATCGATGTGCTGACCAACCAACAGAGGTGGGGCACCTAATGCCCTAAGAGACAATGATGCGGCGACATGGTAAGTTGGACTTCAATGGCGATTGTTTGTTAGACTGTTTGATCGACTGTTTGCTGCCCCGTTCCGTTGCACCAAGTCAGTCAACCGCAAGAATGCGTTTTCGAGTTCCAGTTCATCCAGCCAACCAACCAACCGGATAGAGTCTATCTAATACACCTGCACTAGCATGCATATATTCTTTCCGCCCGAATGCCCTTCCCTTTTAAGGCCTCTATTCACTCCATGGACTCATCCACAACTACAGTGCATTTACCTCTGCGAAATAAAATTCTCCTGAATAGGCTATTAACTTATTATTTGTATGTAAAAAAGTAGCTTTACAGGTTTTCGAATACATTTAAGGTCTAATCTGGTCAACTTTTTCCCATGTACACTTCATGTGCAGGAATTCCCATAATCATTCAAAGGTAGAAGAGAAAATGGAGATGAAAATTTTAAAAAGGTTTTTTATTTTTCATTTAAATTTGTTAATACTTAAAGTAGCAGTTATATAAATTAGTTTCCATAACAAATTAATCTTAAACTCTATACTGCAACGCCAGCCAATCAGCCCAACCAATTTATTCAGTATGCCAAACCCTGGAAACGTATTATTGTTTTAAAATAATGTGGGAACATGGTGCGATAGAGAATCGCAACGACAACTATATTTTCACCGCTTACGTTTTAAAAATATATTCGTGTCTGACTAAAATAGTTCGATTTTGTGTTCACAATGCCATTAGCTATTGTACGATTTTTAGTAATGTGTGGGAGCTCTGGGTCTTTTGTTTTCAATTAGGTCGACAATTGTATTTTGTTACAAGGTTTTAAAGAGTTGTTATAAAGAGAAGAGAGGCTCCACAACGCTTCAATGAAATTGTAATGTTTTGTTCTTTATCACACCACACACGTTCACATTTGAACTTTATCGGTATTTTGTTTCTAGTGCTCTGCACAGTAAAAATAAAAATTTGGTTGGACTTATAGCTATATACGACAGTGAAGTATACGTATATTAATGCTGGATAATGTACACAAAATTATGGTTTTAAACAATAATTATGTTCTGCAGTTGTGTCAGCGTGGAACCAAAGTGAGTGCTTTCGGGTAGGTTTTTAATTTGTAGTAGCCATCGTTGACACTGCATGCATTTTCTCTGACGATCCTCACGCGTTACGTCAACCCCAAGACCGTTCGAGCCCCAGGAGTCTAGATTCTCTTGGATGATGGGCAAGAAATTTGATAAAATTATGCGCAGTGTATCGCACGCACGTGTATAGTGACTGTAAATGTGGATCATGAGTTACTCGATTAACATCAGCTCTAACTAAATACTTACAATTTATGCTGGCTTTGCAAAAGTTCATAAATCTCGGGCAGCACACATGTGCACAAATCTAAATTCCAGGAAGATCTGCAAACATTTTCACATTATCAACAATAAATTAAAAATGATTATATAGAACTAAAAACGTTATACTTACGGTTTCTCAATAATAGCACCCAACAGGTCTACAAAAATCGATCTTCCGCAACTCTTCGCTTGTTTGAGTGCCCCAATTACATCCTGCGACCTATAAATTCAAATAGATAATATTACTTAAGCTGAGCAAGAACTTGCGCGATCTATGAAGTGCTTACCGCGTTGAACTACGAATAATGTCAAGATTGGCCTGTCTATTGCTTAATTCTTGAAGGACTGCTTCATGTGATCGTGTAAGGACATCAAATTCATAATGATCGTCCGCTATGCCACGATTAGGGGCCCTTCCTGAGGTAGGTATTAGGTCGGGACGATAATTCATTGGTACCTATGTAGGAGTAGGAAAGTATTATAGATGAGCATTATTATTATACTGATCAGATACTCACATGGATCTGCTTATCCTGAGACTTAGTTTGCTGCGTTTGGCGCATATCCAGAGCTGTGCGAGATCTCATCGGGGGCTTGGTAATGATTTCAACATTGATATTTTTATGATGAGTATTTTCTTTATACAAATGGCTCTGGGCTCCTAAAGTACGCTTGTTTTTGTTAACCACGTTTGAGGACGAGGATTTCTTGAGAACCATATTGTCGTCCAACTTGTGCAATTCCATAGAACTTACTGACGATACTTGACCCAATTTGCTGTTACCAAATAATGCCGTCGAGTTCTGTTTGCTATTGGCAATGGTTGTAGTTCTTTTATGAGCATTTGCTGATACTTTCTTGATCGTCTTTGACGACGCATTAATAGCCGATGTGGGAACTGAGCTGTAATTACTGGCTGCAAAATTCAAGTTCTGATTGACCGGAAAATCCTCAGCCATCTCATAATTGTCATAATTTATTAGGATAGGAGGATTACTATCGTTTGCATTAAACTCAACATCGCGGGCATACGGAATTTCATCCTTTTCAACTGAGTATATGTTGTAGTCCTCCGGCATATTCAGTGAACTTGGCCCATTGAATTGTAGCAAACGATTAGAACCTTCATCCATGCCATACGAAATGGAAGGATCCACGTTGTAACCGTTAAAATTTGGCGTACGGGAAAATTTATTGAGCTTCGATACTTCTATGCTTGCATTATAGGATATAGAAGGACCGATTGATGAACTCCCCGATTGTTGCATATGCAAAGATGACATTGGCGATGATTCATTCGGTTCCAAAATCGCTTCATTTACAACTTCTAAGCTTAAATTTGGCGATGATAATTCATCAAAATTTTGACTTTTACCGTCCTCATTCTCTTCCAAAACTTGGGCGGGCTTTGAGCCACCAAGGGATAGCCGAAACTTTTGGTTGCCGCGTGAAAAACTTTTGCGGTTCGTTGAGTTATGCTTAAACTGTGGTTGAGTATTGGAAGGATGGTAAAACGGAACGACGCGATCGATGTTCACTGTATTAATAGAAACAGTGTCGACCTCATGGCAAGCACATATCTATATAATGAATACAAATAACTGCAGAACTCAATTTGTAATGTGCAACTGTATGGGTGAACTTACCAATTTATTTTTTACAACTTTCATGTCACCAAGTGAAGTCCATGTGCCTTTTATATTGTCAAACTCACGATCCGGCTCCCAGCCAATGACAGATATTCCCAATGCAGTACCAACAAATAAACACTCCCCATTTTCACTAAAATGAAAATATAACCGGTTTGAAATATTTCCAAGTTTGTCTCAGGATATTTTCAGTTTGCATACCAGCTTTCAAGTATTTTGTTAACTCACCTAAACGTTATGCATTTAATTGGCTGACCATAGAATTGACTTGAATTATCCGTCTTTGAAATGAGCTTTTGATGCTCCAAATCGTATATGCAGACAGTTCCATTAACGCGACCTGCTACCAGCAAAAATTCAAAGGGATGGAATTGAATGCACGTTATTGCGGCAACTGGTGGCTCCTCCACAAACTCCATTATTTGTTTGCTTTTTCGAATATCCCAAATTATAATTGATCCCTCAAAGCCAGCAGAGGCAATCCAAAGACCATCCGGAGAAAATTTCACAGAATTAACATGTGATATATGTCCTCTGCACACCTTAATGCACTTATTATCATTCTGTACGTCCCACAGTCTAAATAACATAAAATAAATAATTGTTACTCTTCTTTTTTCAACAACACTTTCTTGTTCTTAAAGCTTCATACGCTAATTATAATTTCACATACACAGACGGTTCTAAAACCAAAGATGTTACAGGTTATGCAATCTCATCAGAAACAGAATTAATCCACTATGGGATCTACCCCATTACTCCTCCGTATTTTAAGCCGAAATCATAGCAATCCAAAAAGCAATCGCAATCTGTTTATTAAAACCCGGGAAACATGCAATATGTTCAGACTCACTTTCTTCCCTTACTGCCATAGCCAACTTCGACAACCACCATTACTATCCTACCACAATCAGATCAATATTACAACACAAATTGCCTAAAATAAAACTTATTTGGGTACCTAGCCACAAGAATGTTACTGGAAACGAAACAGCAGATTCTTTTGCAAAACTGGCCACAGTTCTTCCTCTTATTTACACCCCCAACTACAATTCCTCCGACATAACCCTAGTTCTAAAAAATTATTTTACTCTAAAACAAACGTCTCGATTCAACCAAACATCCTATTGGTACCAGCAAAGTAACGCCGACAATTTATCTCTCCTTCACCTGTACAATAACAATCCGCAAAACCTCCTGTCAAGAACAGAACAAATAAAACTTATAAGAATTCGCCTTGGACATACCGCATTAACACACACACATTTCATGGACCAAACTCTATCTAAACACTGCCCTTTCTGCAATAACGCGCTAATAAACATTGCACATATCCTCACCTCATGCCCCACACTTCTATCATATAAATTATCTATTTTCCCAAACATTAACCCCATCACTCCAAACTCATATTTAAATATTTAAAAGCCACAAACATTTACCATAAAAACCTAAACCCAATCCCCATACATATGTATTCCTAATTTTTTCTTTAACACTGTAAAATGTACATAATAAGTTAGCTGAAGGCCCTAGTAGGCATTGCTAACATAATTCTCTTCTGTTAGTTTTAAGATTTTAATCTTAAGCTAGCATTATATAAATAAATAAAATACTCTTCTTTACTTTTCAGGAAAAAAAAAAACAAAAATACAGAACTCGAAGTAAATTCAGGTATAATTTGTTGTTTCCAATTCCAATTTTTAAATTCCAATACTTTTAATATAAATCTTCTATTGTTACAGAATACTAGAAATGAAACTTTTCAAAGCCCATTTGAGTTCAGGCGGACTTTTGTGTAAGTACGGCAAGCTTATTTGAGAGAAAACAAGTTGCCAGAATAAATAACAGCTGGAGGTGCCACCGCGTATTCAATAAAATCTGCTTTCAGCGGGTATGGCAACGTCAGACGGTTGCCAAGTTATAATTTACTTTTCATTGTTTTTCTGTTGAGCTTATCAACAATACGCATGCACTTTGTACCGGCGATACAAAAGAAACGGCGTTTAACTAAAGAAGCGGCAGTTTGTGACGGAAAAAATAACAAAATGTGAGTTTTGGCATAATATGTATAGGCATATCTTTGAGATAGTGTGAAAGTTTGTTTTCCAAATTAAAGAAGAGGTGTGTGCGTGTGTATGTTTGCTTGTGTACCGACATATGTATGTATAAAATAGCCATTCCAGTAATCCAAGCCATTATCTGTTGGACTTGGAGCGCACCCATACCTAAGTTATATTAATGTATGTACATATATATGTGTAGATTTTACATACATACTTCAGACTCCACACAAGTGTAAATTTGTATGTATTTACAAAGTGGCTAATTAAGCATTAATCAGTCAATGATACACTTTAGATTGTTAAACATTTGAAATACTTCTATACACACACACACAAGCAAGTTAACAAAGTACAAATGCCTATTTTGCAGAATGTGTGATTTAAGCAAACATTTTCATCTGTTCACAGTTCAGTTGGCCAAGCCAAGAGTACGCAATCGGACAAAGGAAAAACTTGTTTCTTATTTAATCTTATTTAAGTGGAACCTACACACATTTTCTCTAAAGCATGTCCTCGCCAAATGGAGAGTTGCGGTTTGATGGACGAGTTGCTGTGGTGACCGGAGCGGGCGCGGGTCTTGGACGTGAATACGCATTGCTATTAGCGGCGCGTGGGGCAAAGGTCGTTGTAAACGACTTGGGAGGCACCCATGTGGGCGAGGGTGCCTCACAGCGTGCCGCAGACATTGTGGTCGATGAGATTCGCAAGAATGGAGGCGAAGCTGTTGCCGATTACAATTCAGTCATTGACGGTGCAAAGGTCATTGATTCAGCCATCAAAGCCTTTGGACGTGTAGATATACTCATCAATAATGCCGGCATTTTGCGTGATCGCAGCATTGTGAAGACAACGGATCAGGATTGGGATTTGGTGCATGATGTTCATCTAAAGGGCAGCTTTAAATGCACGCAGGCCGCCTTTCCCCACATGAAGGCACAAAATTTTGGCAGAATCATAATGACATCGTCAAATTCTGGTGTCTATGGTAATTTTGGACAGGCGAATTATTCCGCAGCCAAGCTGGGATTAATTGGCTTGGCGAACACGGTTGCCATCGAAGGACGAAAGAATAATATATTCTGTAATGCAATTATTCCTACGGCAGCCAGTCGCATGACTGAAGGCATTCTTCCTGACATACTCTTTAATGAACTGAAGCCCAAGCTGATTGCTCCGGTCGTGGTTTACTTGTGCCACGAGTCATGCGAGGACAATGGTACGTATCTCTTTATCAAAGCCTAACAAACACTAAACCCAACCAATTTCACCGACTTCCTTTTCCTATTGTGTATATTATTCCTACTACAGGTAATTACATTGAGAGTGCTGCTGGATGGGCCACAAAAGTGCACACAGTTCGAGGCAAGGGATCAGTACTCCGTGCTTCTTTGGATGAAACAGTGACGCCTGAATTTGTGAAAAATGTTTGGTCTAAGGTGACAGACATGTCGCAGGCTAAACATGTTGATAATATGGCTCAAGCAACGGGCGCTTTGTTGGAGGTGCTGGAGAATTTGAAGAGCGGCGAAAAGGATGTGATTGAAGACACCTTCGCATTTACTAACAAGGACCTCATCTTGTATGCTTTGGGCATTGGAGCTTCAGTAAAAAATTCGAACGACTTGCGATTTTTGTATGAGAACGATAGTGATTTCTCAGCAATTCCATCGTTCTTCGTACTACCTGGCCTTCTACTGACAATGTCATCGCCATTGGTGGGCAATGCATTGCCCCAAAGCGGCGCTGATCTGTCCAATATTTTGCATGGCGAGCAATATTTGGAAATATGCGATGATCTACCACTCGATGGTCAACTGGTGACCAAAGGAAAAGTGTTTGATGTTATGGATAAGGGATCCGGAGCCGTTGTTGTTACTAATTGCGAGACATTTGACGAGAACGGACGTCTGCTGGCGAAAAATCAGAGCTCCATATTTGTTGTTGGTGCCGGAAAGTTTGGCGGCAAGAAGGAACCCATAACTGGTGTGGTACCTTTAGGCGTTACTCCCAAGCGTTCGCCGGACTCATCGATCCAATACACAACAAGCCTGGATCAGGCTGCTCTGTACAGGCTTTCTGGAGACTTGAATCCCTTGCACATTGATCCGAACTTTGCCAGAGTGGCTGGCTTCAAGACACCAATTTTGCATGGACTCTGCTCCCTTGGATTTTCAGTTAGAGCCGTCTTAGCGAAATATGCCGACAATAACTCATCGCTATTCAAGGCAATCAAAGTGCGTTTCGTGGCACCCGTAATTCCGGGACAAACCTTGAAGGTTGACATGTGGAAAGAAAATACACGCATTCATTTCCGCACATCGATCGTGGAGACTGGTAAAGATGTCATTACAGGCGCCTATGTCGACTTGAAGAGCTCTAAAGCAAAACTTTAAGCAATCTGAAATGTTTGTTAGAACCCCGGGACGTCTATTTTGTATTCGACACTATATGTTATGTAATAACACTATAGGAGAAATTGGTTTGGGATTGTTAAATAAGCGTATTAATATATAACCACAAGATAATATGAAATAATATTACGCACTTTTTTCACAAAAAAAAAAAATCACTTATTTTTGTAAAGAGGAAGATGGAGATTGGAGAAATTGTTAAAGCAATGTTTGCTAAAATAAAAAACCTTTAAGGTAACTTGTATTGTTTAGAAAGTGCAATGAATTCCCCAGCAGTAAAAAAGATATTTTCGACTCGCCGCAGCTTAATGCTTTCTTCGAATTCTTAGAGAAACTTCACTTGTAGATCTATGTAGTTTAAAATAGGGCACATTCAAAAATACATACCTATGTATGTACGCATATGGTAGCATTGAGATTTGAATGTTTGAAAACAAATATATAAATATGTATGTATATATTTGTTTGACGTGAACATTTTGATAATAGTAGCTTGTGTACATTTTGGATGGTATCTATGAGTATAAAGACACAATTCCTTTTACTAACACATATTAATTTTGAATATACAGTTCAGTTCTTTGGACTCGATCTATTTGTATATTTACATTAATCACTGAGCATAGACGAATATTATCGTAAAGCAGAAAACCTGTCTTTATATCTCCCTTATCGGGATAGCTGATTAACATTAGCTAAGATGTTATCATGGTATACACAAATGAGTCATTTTTAAAGTAAATTCCCCTTTAATTACCTAAATATAGTAATGGCATATACTTACCGGACTGTTGTGTCGTTGCTGCCCGAGACAACATATTCCCCTGATGGATTAAAGTCAAGCGTGCGTACGCTCTTCATGTGGCCATTCAATGTTGAAAATATCTGCTGAGAGTTTAGGTCCCAGCGCCGGATTATTCCGATATTGTCCGCAGAATATACAAAATTATCATTGTTGGCAAATCGTACGCACTCAATTGGGCGATTGTGGCCCGTCAAAGACTAAAAAGAGCAATTATAACAATGATTATTAAAACGGATAACTTCATTTAAAACACTATGGAGCCTACCATAAAACACTCGTCTTGACCAATAGCCCATAGATTTACATTGCGGTCCTCCCCTCCAGTGACCAAAACACGTCCCGTCTCACCCAAATCAAGACTCGTGACCTTTCCATCGTGTGCTTTTATTTCATCTGCAGGAAGATACAACATAATTGATAATTTAATAATTTAATTTAATTTCTTCCATATTATCGAACAGACCGAGTCTTCAACTCAACGCCAATAAACAAAACTACCAACGAATATAATGCAACAAATATATATGTACATATGTATGCATCCCTTTCGACAAGTGCATTTAAGCTCTCGATAGTATTTTCAACTTCTGTATCACAGCCGCATATTGAAATTCAATCTGTGCATAGAAGATATTAATTGAAATGCACATACAAACATAAGTATATACAAAACCACTGCTATTAAAAATATACATATGTATGTATGTATGCATATGTGCATACGTTTGAGCATGCAGTCGTATTTTCAAAGACGTTACTTACAAATCAACGCTGTTAAATTTCTCGCCAACGCCATTATCAGAAGGATTTAGGCAAAATGATTAGTTTGATGATGATAAAACTTAGTCCAAGATGCCGTATTTTATTAATTTTATTTTAATTCGTAGCAGGTGTGATGGTTTTGATCAGCTGTCTCTTTTTGCTGGCAGTCCCAGTCCGACTTTCGTCCACAGAATAATGTATATAGAGGCCGTCAGAACATTTTCCAGGAACACCATAAAACACTAACACAGTTGATAACAAGCACTTCATAGAATATAACTCATTAGACAAAACAAATGCACATTAGAATAAAAACAGCGGACATAAACACGGGTAACTCTTTGTTTGGAACCCATTGATCTAGATTGTTCACGAACTAACTCATCGGTTCCGATTACTGCAGGAAGCAACTAACACTGGATCTTTTTACACAAACGATAAGCAAAACAGCGCCACTTATCGACCATCCCTATTGAAACTTGTCAAATACGGCAACGTTTGCAAAAGAGCATCATCATTGCCTTTTTTTGGGGTTTGTAGTTTGACTGCGGCAACAAAGTAGTTATTTACGTGCATTGAGTTTAGAACAGTTTGATCGAAAAATAAGCTAAAAATGTCATCACGTTATGATCGTGCTGTTACCATTTTTTCGCCAGACGGTCATCTGCTTCAGGTTGAATATGCCCAAGAAGCCGTCCGCAAAGGCTCAACAGCGGTAAGCAACAATCTTTAGTATCCGGTATTAAACTAAAAGTGACTATTTTAAAGGTTGGCGTTTGTGGCGGCAACTGCGTGGTATTGGGCGTTGAGAAAAAATCGGTGGCCAAACTTCAAGAGGATCGCACAGTACGTAAAATATGCATGCTGGACCGTCACGTTGTCATGGCCTTTGCCGGCTTGACAGCCGATGCGCGCATTCTTATAAACCGTGCCCAAGTCGAGTGCCAGAGTCACCGGCTAAATGTTGAAGATCCGGTTACATTGGAGTACATAACCAGGTATTAAATCATAATCTCCCTATACATATGCAACTAAATCACACCAATATTTTTATTTGACAGATATATTGCACAATTAAAACAAAAATACACTCAGAGCAATGGACGCCGTCCTTTCGGAATTTCGTGCCTTATCGGCGGCTTCAATGGCGATGGCACCCCCCATTTGTTCCAGACTGAACCTTCGGGTATTTTCTATGAGTGGAAAGCCAATGCCACTGGCCGTTCGGCAAAAACAGTTCGTGAATTCTTCGAAAAAAATTACCGCGAGGAAGAAGTTAAAGATGAAAATGGAGCTGTAAAGCTAGCGATTAGAGCTCTCCTCGAAGTGGCGCAGTCGGGTCAAAATAACTTGGAGGTAGCTATAATGGAAAATAACCAGCCGCTGAAAATGTTGGATCGTAAGACCATAGACAACTATGTCAATATAATTGAGAAAGAGAGGGAGGAGGAGCTTGAAAAGAAAAAACAAAAGAAGTAACGCACTGTAGGCTCTTAAGTTCTCAAGCCTGCCCACACAACACACATTTTTCAAAAAATTATCCAGATATTCTAAAAAACAAGTCGCATCCATCCATTTATGTGATGGCTTGTGCATTCATATTCATTCAATATTCCACACAATAGCCCTCAAATTAAACGGTGTATGTAAGATTCGGCAAGCCGAAGTAATAATGGTTTTTCTATATAATATGTTGCTTCGCATAGCAAGTTGTGAAATGGTATAAAATACATGGTCGTTATGACATGAAATTCTAAATTGGTTTTCAATTGAAATGCAGTGATAGAGTTGGAAGAGCTCTACCAAAAATAAAAAATTGCGGCAACAAGCAACAAAATTGGTATTCGTTCTCACTCGCACATCCATGACCAATCGACGACAGAAGGGAGTGGGTTCAAATGAAAAAGTCTTGCAAATTTCTTCATGTCATGCTCAATCGAAAGCTATCGATAATAAACAGCTGGTACAAGAGCGCGCCCATTGATACAAATTATTTGTGTTATATTTATTTTAAAACCATTTGAAATTAGCTGTTAAGATTTACTTTAGCATCTAAAATTGTGTAAATCAAATAAAATTGATTTTTGCATATAAATGCACATGTCCCAGGGCTGCATCCCGATTTCGATACGACTACATATGACAATAAGTTGTACGAATTGTGGGCAGTGGCGCAGCGGCAATATTTGCTGATTTAGTTTATTGTTTGTGTTTGACGGAGTTGTGTGTCGGTGCCAAGTGGTTTTCTATGTAGAAAAAAAGAACGAGAACTAGAACGCAAATATTAACATTTCGCTTTAAAAATATAAATTTGTCTATAGCGTGCCGCTAGCGTTTTTTTGTTATTCAAAAGGCAAAACACGTTCGGATCAAAATCAATAATCTGGTAGTGTGATTTTCGCGGCTTTTTTGTGTTTTCATTTATAAAAAAAAGAAAAAACAATCAATACCCGAAGGTAACGTGTGTAGAAAAATAACAATTTACCTCAGTGTGCGTTCGTTGACGCTTGACATATTGGTACACATTTTATTACATACTTTTGTTATATTGTATACCTTGTTTTTTGTTACTGTTTTGATGCATGCAAAGCTTATATAGCTATGAATAAAAAGCATCAAAAACAAAACTTCTATCTTGGGTTATACGTACACTCATTTTTGCTCACACGCACTAACCCATAAATGTAGGAATGTATGTACATGAATACATTGTACATACTATATGTACCCACATGCATATGTGTAAATGTTTAAACATTTGTTTTCACGATGGGAGTAATCAGAAAATGGCAAAAACATGCTAACAACAAATTAAATACAGGTTCTCGTACTAACATGCTTAAGTGTTGCTACATTATATATTTATCTTTACGTACATTTGTATGTATGAAATTTGCCTGAAAGCTTATACATATGTACACATTTTTTGTATGTATGTATTTGCAATTTAATATTTAATGTTCCAGTTCCTGATCTTATCATACCAAATAATTGCGTGATTTGCCACACGGAAGGCCATGCCTTTCCTATCTCTTTATTACGTTGCCAACATTTAAATCGAGTTTAATACGCTTCATACATGCTTACAAACATGCCCTGCCCTACCCTACCCTCTCCTTAAGTTTCGAGTTTATGCGAATCAGTAAGCTTTGTACATACATACATTGTATATACACGTCAGTGTTAACGTATCTATATACTTTTGTATGTACGTTTGTTTGTTAAACTTTTAAGATCAGCTGATTAATGATAACGTAATGGAGATAAAAAAAATTCCATTACGCCCATAAAAGTAAGCCAACATTTTTTGCAATAAAAAATTCATGGTAAAAAAAATTTCATTGTCATTCAGTTTTCAGTTGTAATTAGATTCAATGTCAGTATTGAATTTATTTCCAGTAACTACATATTTATGTACAAAACGTTGTATTCCAATTTGCCGGCTTGTGACTTGACTTGAATATATTAGTCGTCGTTAATCGTTACTCAGTTACTGTTCTGTTGCTCAGTATTTCGCATAGTTATGTGTTGTTGTTAGTCCCCGCCTTTGTTTTTTGTTTTGTAAATGCTGCATTCTTTTTTAATTCACACAATATTCATAAACAATATACTTACATATGTATGTATCCGTGTGTATGTCCCAACCTGTATTTTTTATCTCTACATACATACATATGTATGTATTATGTTGTATGTAGATAGCGCATAAGCCTCAGCATGCCGCATTTCTTATTATGTCTTATGTGTGTGTTCTTATGTGTTGACCCGACCTGACGTTTTCGTATCTCACATATATAATATAATAGAATGGGCACAGAAACCAAGAGCAACAGTTACACAGGACAGATTTCAACAACCGGCGGCAACCCTAAAGTGATGAAAGATTCTTTATCCTTAGTTCGTCAAACGGACAAACAACAGTCGAACCAAATAAATTTGACCTCGAATTCGAATTATTCAACCGTACAGAACACGGGTGATTCTCGACCAAATCAAGAGGACCAATCTACCAAAGAGGCGATTGTTCCCTTTGTACCCATATTTGTTGAAGAAGCTGATGTTATTCAAGGTGCTAAGGACATATTGAAAGTTATACGACCGACTTGGGACCTCACCCACGTTGAATTTAAGGTAAAGTAAAGCCAAACCCATAATACCAAATCAGAAAATCGTTATCTTTGGCGCGCCAAAGAAAATACATTTGCATACACTTTGTAAACTTTTTTTAGGGGATATTTTTAATCAAGAGATTTGGTTCACATTCAAATACATATACTGACAATTCCCATACATGTGTAGTGGTCCGACCTACCTATCTATGTATTTAAAAAAATAAAAAGGCTCTTTAGGAGGAAGCCCCCTAATCAAATCCGTTCCCTATGTTAGTTTCAAATTTTGTTATTTATTCGTATGTGCTTTGGCAAACTACTCTATAGTATAATATATAGTATAGTACATAGTGCTGATTGCGTGCCTTAAACTAATCGATTGATTTATAAAGGTAAGGGTACTTCATATTTGATTGCGTGTGATGCGATAGTCAATGTATGTATGTATGTTTGTACACATGTAATGCATAGCATAGCGATTGAAATCACGATTTCATTCAAATAGGCCAATTCCCTGCCTTATCATATGTACTACTATTCTACGACTCAACCAAATGCACTCTATATATAATACATATGTACAAAAATACGTATGTATGTTTGTTTTTTTTTCAACGGGGTTTAACACTCGAGACACCACATACATATATATAAATATATATATATATATATATATATATAGTCGACAAATATTTATATATATTTAGCTAATGTCAAAAAGTTTATCACACTTAATTACATTCATACGAGCACATTTGTATATATAGTATGTATGTATGTACGCATGTGCCGGTGATTAAAGAAAAAAAGGTCTTAAATGACTTTAGCAATTAACTGCGAAATTAGTTCTCAACTTGAACCTAGCTACCAGCTGCTATACCCAAGAGTCCGATTATATTTAGATGAGAGATAATAAAATTATATTTGCAAAGGACGAGACTCTGAATTGGTTCTACCGTTTCGTTTAATTCCAGAAATTTACCGATGGCATAACAAATAAACTTGTCGGCTGCTTTCATAATAGTTCTAAATCCAGTAATGAGTCTGAGGAATCATATTTACCAGTTAACGTTCAGAGACTTTTGCACGTTCGATCTGAGGACCCAGTTATCATTGAAGACGAATTGGAGAGTAATGCGGAAACGGGTCGCTTCCCTGTACAGTACTCCGATAACGTAGTCCTCGTACGTGTTTATGGAAATAAAACGGACCTTCTAATAGATCGGAAAGCTGAAACGCAAAATTTTCAATTATTGCATACATATGGCCTGGCGCCATCACTCTATGCAACATTTAAAAACGGCCTCGTCTACCAATACGTACCTGGTATCACCTTGAATACAGAAAGTGTGCTATGTCCAGATATTTGGCCACTGGTTGCTCGTCGCATGGCTGAAATGCATCGCGTGGTGAGGAAGAATGGAGAAGCTAAACCATTGCCAATGCTTTGGAAGAAAACTCAAAGCTTTCTTGATTTAGTACCTGAACGATTTAGTGATGCTGAGAAACACAAAAGGTAAAAACTATCCATAACTTTACCATATCATATCACACCAAACACCCAATCCAATCCGTACTTGCAGAGTGAAAGGAACCTTTTTACCTATTTCTCGCCTGCGTGAAGAGTTCAATAGCCTATTCAAGTACTTGGAAGCATTAGAGAGTCCCATCGTATTTTCTCACAACGACCTCCTATTGGCCAACGTAGTCTACACAAAGAGCATGAACACCGTGAACTTTATCGACTATGAATACGCCGACTACAATTTTCAAGCCTTTGATATTGGCAACCATTTTGCAGAAATGTGCGGAATTGATGAGGTCGACTATACTCGCTATCCAAAACGGGAATTTCAACTAAAATGGCTCCGCGTATACCTTGAGAGTTACCTACAACGCAGTAATATAGAAAGCGATGAAGTTGAAAAGCTCTATATACAGGTCAATCAGTTCGCCCTAGCAGCACATATTTTCTGGACAGTGTGGTCTCTGTTACAAGCCGAGCATTCCACTATTGATTTCGATTATGTTGAGTATGTATAATTGTTGTTTTTATATTTAGTATAAAAGTTCACCACATATTTATGTACATATACATATAAAGTATTTTTAATCAGCATTCCAATCGCACAATTCAATCATTGTCTGTTTCCAAGCAAACTATTCCCGCTATCTAATAAACGCCTAATTATACATACAACTATGTAAACACATTCATATATGACACACATGTACTTATTAACTTTGAAAAACTATTAACTTGCGATTAATTTATTTGCAGTTACGCATTTCTTCGCTATAATGAGTACTTGGCTCGCAAAGAAGAGTTTTTGTCATTGACTGCATCAAAGGACAAAAAGTGATTTCTCTCCCAATGATTTAAAAATTCTGAGAATGAAAATGATGTGCCCCAGTGATATATGTATATACATATATGATTAACTTGTATATGTACTTAAATTTTTAAATTGATATTTAGAACACTAATAAAACGAAGTACATTAAACCTGAATACATAATTTTTTCAATATCGGAATTTTGAATACATAAATTGATGTTAATTTTGAGTGGTCCACTTAAAAGAGATGAAGATGCTTGTACAACTTCGTTTACTCAATAATTATGAGACATCGACTTTTTACAAAAATATTGTATTTTATTTGTGTCCTTAATCTATGTTAAACTGTTGTCCGATTTCCATCTCCGCCAAGTTTTTGAACAATCTGTAGACGATATACAAACGGAATACCATTTTTTAGTTAATTCTGCATTTGGTTTTCATAATTTAAAAAAATATAAATCCAAAGTACAAATATATTTTGAACGAAAATATAAAGTTTTAGCTTAAAAACTTCTTCAGATACCATACATGGCGCACTTTGCCATAACGAAAATAAATCGTTTGCGCAGAGTTGTATTCTGTAGACGAGAAGACCTCTAACGAATACGATATACTACCGATGACAAAACAGGTGTATGGTGAGGTTTTTTTTAGCAAATTTGTCATCTCTAAGACAACTGTCAGAACTAATCACTGGAATACAACGGCAGCAAGGCCAGTAATTTTGCTCGTTATTCTTTAACAAATAATTAGACATGGCGAGCTATATTGCAAGGAAAGGTCCTTTGGTGTTCTGTAAGTACTAATAAAGCTTAATCATTTCTCGAAAGGTGCTTATTTTATGCGTGGCCCAAAAATGCGTTTCGCATCGATTACGTAAATGTGCTAACAAAAATTTGCCATTGCAGCGAACCTGGGTAAATGGGCCTACAATCTATCTGGATTTAATCAATATGGTAAGTACACAGACTAATGTTGTGATAGATGCAGATGTCTAATAAAATGATGTATTCATGGCGACCAGGCTTGCATCGCGATGACTGTCTCTATGAGAACGAAGATGTCAAGGAAGCTGTGCGCCGCCTCCCAAGAAAGTTGTACGATGAGCGCAATTATCGCATAATGCGTGCCCTGCACTTGTCTATGACCAAAACTATCCTTCCCAAAGAACAGTGGACAAAATACGAGGAGGATGTCAAATACTTGGAACCCTATCTAAACGAAGTCGTGAAAGAGCGCGAGGAACGTGAGGACTGGAATAAGAACCATTAACTGCTACCATCCTATACACATTTATGTTGAAATTCAAATACATAGTCTAGATTAAAAGAAAACTTGCTATGTAAAGCTGTTTGACGTGTCGTAAAAGTTTGCAGCAATACTGTTATTTGTATAATTAAGTGAATGATCCAGGGAATTTGTTTACCGCTCATTGCAATGGTAAACTTAATACTGAGGCGCCATCAGTGTTTGACTGATTTAGCTTACCTTCTGCATAAATGGCAAATTGAAAAGCGACCCCAGAACAGGTACTCGGCCAAGAAAATTAATGGCTACAGGGAAGAAACCACTGTAAAAAAATACATATTGGAAGTTATTAATTCAGGATGCGAAAGTTAATGCAGGTGAAGCACATTACCTGAATAACGCAAAGAATCCATAGGATTCGATTATCATGCCGATTATGGGGAAACCAAGCAACACAATAACGATCCCACCGAAAAACGCTGTAGTTCCTTTTACTTTATGGCGTTGAAAGAAAAATCGTAATGTTCGTTCAACGCCGATTACGCAGCCAAGTCCAGATATAAATAGAATCTAAAAGAAGATAATTCTTATTTAGTCCACATACTTTTAATTAGTTGGTTAAACGTACATTTCCAATTGCAAGCAAACCCTTATCAAAGAGAAGCAGCATGCCCAAAAATAAAAACGATATACCAAAACCGGCCAGACCGATGCCAATTTCTGTAAGTGTACAAATTAGTTAATGATTTAACTTGGAAGCTAGTACTTACTTTGCAAATCTGTTATTTCTATCATTCTGACGTGCAGGTATTTATGTTTTCAAACAAGTATTGTATATAATGTTCCACGTAAACCAATTTAAACCAAAAACAGCTGATCGACTTCTAATGTATGTGGCTACAAAAGTTCATATTATATATCCAATGTATGGAAAATAACACGTTTCACTTGCACACTCCTAAGATCGCCACAATGTGTAACTCATTTGATTACTACCTCTTTCAGTTTGTAATATTTGTTTGATTTTGAGTAACACCAAATCCAACAAATTGCGTGAATAGTGTTGCAAAGCGAACATATACACACTTGATATATCGATAAGCCAGCGCTCCAGCTCTTATCGAACTCCTTCATGCTTGCACATCGATGCCAATAATTCGTACAACCGTGCCAATCTCACACGCCATTTTACAATAAAAATTTACTGACGCTACTCCGGAACAAGGAATATAACTTTGTGTATTCCGTAGTTTATTTTATTGGAAAAAGAAGACAAATTTTATATTTTGATGGATCGTAAGTGACTAATATTTTTACATTTGGAAATCTCCTTAATCAATATGAACTATCTGAATTGTTAGGTGGTGTATACGGTGGCGGCGGTGGTGCTGGACAGGGGTACAATAATTTTGCAGTCCCGCCACCAAATTACCAACAAATGCCCAACAAGCCTGGCAACTACAACGAGCCTCCCCCGAACTACAACAAATCAGGTGGAAGTAAGTACAAATTTGAATGCAACAACAATTTTTTTACAAATATACTAATAAAAAAATTTATTTAAGGTTATGATTCCGGTCATGGCCATCGTGGTGGTGGTGGAAGCGGTGGCGGCGGAGGTGCCGGCTCCTGGAACGACAGAGGCAATTCTTATGGGTACGTTATAATTTGAAGTATTTTTAAAAATTCAGAGAATGTGGGATTGTTGAACGAGGTAAACGAGTTTTAAATTAAGGAAAGAATATTTGTTGTACACATTCTTTACATAAATTCATGCAGTTGACAACCGAAAAAATAGAACTTGTCCGGCAAGCCGGTGCATGCATAAAATTGCAAGGGCTCAGAAAAATCCACGTTGTACTTGTAACACAATAACAAACAAAAAATGAAAAAGTAAGGTTTTAAGGCAAAATTTAGTGTTACTGATATATGCTGGGCCATTAATATTTTTACACCATCTTGCTAATGGTAAAAATAATAAGAGATTACAATATATGTATATACGAGTGTGTGTTATCGCCATTAAAAGGGTATCCATATTTGTGTGGCGCAATACAATATGGAACATATATTTATGAAAAACAAAAAAAATCAATAATAAATTTGTGATATGCGTGTCCATATGTAAACCTATCTTCAATATCATGCACCGAATACAAACGTTCCAATAATTTGTATAACGCGCATACCTGAATTTCGATGCTTGACATATTGCGTGTAAAGATTTTTGTGTCCAGATGCGAAGCGTGTGTTGGATAATGGTCATCGGTCTGATAAAATCGCATATGTGGGTATGGCTTCGATGTGTAATATGTAATATTTAAATTACCCTCACATACATATACCATAAGCTTTATAAATTGGTATGATTATTATCAAATGTGATTTATATTATTTCCTGCTCGAAATGGTTCGGAAGCCGCTAAAATTGTTCATACAATTGGAAATACGTGTATATATTAAATGGTTAACCAATTAATTTTAAGGATAAAACCTCGAATTCGACTTGATCGCTTTTATGGATAGAGTATGATGCTTAAAGATCTAAGTCTTCAAAGTATTGAAAAGGTTACAGTTTTAAGCAAATGATAGTATTAAAAAAAACAACGAACATATATTAGTCGATAAGGGTGAGAATCAACAACTATTTGCATGTGTACAGTGCCATTTGCTAAGAGGTCTGCAATAACTTAATTCCTATATAACAAACAAAACCATTTAAATGTTCACTTTAATTTATAAAACCGGTGAATCACGACTTAAGAGTCAAGCTGTGTTGTGTGTTGTCTCTTTCCTTTTCGTGTATGGGGGCTGCAGGTACGTGAAATCGAACAACTTTCTGGGCATGTTCCTAATTTGGTATTCAGTTTAGATTCAACAAAGTTACAGCTGAGTTTCTGCCAGGCAGCTTTACAAAACATAATTTTAGTTACTTGTGTTAAAAAGTGCGATTACATTGTCATTTTGTTTGATCAGAAGTGGAAACGAAATTTGGAGCATGCCGATCAGTTAAACTTGTTTGTGTACTTTTAGCATTCTATTTAAAAAACAAAAACAAACTTAAAAACCGAAACGTAGATTTGTATAAACAAAATAAATTAAAAAATTAAATAGAAATATACATATTTCACTTTTGGAGAAACATGTATATACATAAAACCATGAGTACGCGATAGGAGTTACCCTCACCATAATGAATTTCAACCAAACATTAAATGAGTTATTCAATATCCTCTTTTAGAAATGGAGGCGCCAACAAGGACAGCTACAACAAAGGTAAAATAAAGCAAATGAATTGCAAACAAATCGAGTAACGTATAAACATTAATTTACTACATATTGTACTTACGAAATTTTCTCTTTGCGGCATTGTTCGATACGATAGCAAACGTGTAATTCGAATCGATGTCTAAATTATCGTTATGTATAAGTATAAAACCAAAATAGTGCATTCCGCATACTGACTGCACACCCAACCCAACCCTCTGATAGCATATAGTAAAGGGTATTATTTGAGTTACTACAAAAATCTTAAGCAAATGTGTGGGATACATATTTCGAGCTTAAATACGAATAAGTCCCCAGGTGTCACTACGCATGATGGTTCGGTTTCATATCTAATAATGAGTATACATTACGAGTAAATTACAACAAGAACAACAATAATCGTAATGATATGAAGAATTGAATTTAGGGTTATTGGTTTGTTACATTATACACGTTATATCGTTTACACGTTATATCGTACTGTCCAACGACTCGCTTGTGTTGTGTTGTGTTTAATACTGAGCTTGGCGCTCAATGTAGAAAAATCTATAAATACTACATACTACATATATCTTACAACAACATTCAACCCGATGAGTTCAATCGAAGTATTGAATTCTAATGAATCTAGAAAAACAACCGTAGATATTATTACTAATTTTAGTTGTGAGCATATACCCGTACGTCCAAATTATACATACATAGATAATGATAATTGACAGAGTTTGTGTGTACTTTAAGAGCACTCTGGTCTCCTTCCAATATGTATGCGAGTGTTTGTAGTAAGTGTACTAAACTGTACCATGGCTACGATATTCTAATTTGTCAAACGACAATTTCCACACTTATCAAAGAACCAACAGTTCAATTTATACAAAATAAATCACTCTCCTATCAATTGTGTCAAGCTCCAGTTTAATATATTCGTCGTTTTTGTAGGCCCCGGAGGCTATGCCGGCGGTGGAGGAGGTGGCGGCGGCAGCAGCGGCGGCAATGGTGGTGATATGATCACACAAGAAGATACAATTTTCGTTTCTGGCATGGATCCATCCACTACAGAGATGGATATTGAAACACACTTTGGAGCAATTGGCATAATCAAGGTGAGTTTTTTTTGTAATTATTTAAATCTTATAAATAGGTACCTCGTATTGATTGGTTTGCAATTTCACTTAAAGAGCATAATTATTTGAAAAAAAAAAAGCCATGGTACGGCTATTGTAACTGATGAAGAAAAGATACATATTCGATTATTAGAAGGGACGAACCCGATCAAAACTACTACAACCCCTAGCTCTTGGACAAAACAGGACGATTGATTTCAGTTTCTGTGCAACTCAATTTGTTCTCGGAGATTTTGCTATGCTTTTGAAAGTATTAGGACTGCACATTAATTTGGGTTTATTTTCATCAAATTGCAGAAAGATAAACGTACAATGAAACCAAAGATTTGGTTGTATAAAAATAAAGAAACTGGTGCTTCAAAGGGCGAAGCAACCGTCACATACGATGATGTTAATGCCGCCCAGTCAGCCATTGATTGGTTCGATGGAAATGATTTTAATGGTTCCGTAATCAAAGTGTCTCTAGCCCAGCGCCAAAACAATTGGAACAAAGGCGGTCGTGGTGGATTCGGTGGTCGCAGTCGCGGCGGTGGAGGAGGTGGCGGCGGCGGCGGTGGTGGTGGTGGCGGCGGTGGCGGAGGAAACCGCTTCGATCGTGGTGGAGGTGATTACGATGGTGGACGTGGTGGCGGTAACGGAGGAGGTCGCGGTGGCGGTGGTGGTGGCGGTCGCTTCGGTGGCGGTGGAGGCGGCGGCGGTGGTGGCTCTGGAGGAGGTAATGTTCAGCCTCGTGATGGCGACTGGAAATGCAATAGCTGCAACAACACCAATTTCGCTTGGCGCAACGAATGCAATCGGTAATTAATTATTTACAACCTTAATTATATGTGGGTATATGTGCAATAAACATTATATACATTTTCTTTCCATAACAGCTGCAAGACTCCTAAAGGTGACGAAGGTTCCAGTAGCGGTGGCTTTGGTGGAGGAGGAGGCGGCGGTGGCGGCTATGGCAGCGATCGTGGTAGTAATGATCGCGGCAGTGGCGGTTACCAAAATAGAGACCGCGGCAACAATAGCGGAGGCGGTGGTGGTGGCGGTGGCGGGTATTCACGCTACGGTAACGATAATAGTGGAGGCGGTGGTGGACGCGGTCGTGGAGGCGGTTCCGGTGGCCGTCGCGATGGTGGCGGACCAATGCGCAACGATGGCGGCATGCGTTCCAGACCCTATTGAGAGAGCACACAAAATGGTGCCAGCAACAATTTTTTCTTACCTATGTATTACAAAATAATAGCAAGTACTCTTCTTGAAATTGTACTTTAGTCACCAGTCAAAGCCTACAGCAACCCGCATCATTAAATATAATGCATTTCCATCGACTTTTTTTGACGTCTAAATTCAAAAATAGCACGGTATCGCTCGTTTTCGACTTAGAATATATGTATAATCTAATTTAACAGACATTATTGTAATAGAAATATGCAAATACATACATATATTAGACTGGTTAAAATTATGTTTGACTATTCATTTATGTAGATATTATGTTATGTACATTGATTAGATAAGGACTGGCAATGGAATTACCCACTACAGAGAGTAGGAGCAACAACTGATAATAACAACTGGCATTGACCTATATACTAACGTCCATTGAATTGAGTTTTATGTTGCGTAGGTCTATGGATTATGGAAAGCTCGAGAAATTAAATTTTGATGCGCAAATTTTTTCTTGCATTTACATTCATTTAGAGCTCAAATCGCGTTTTAGTTTTAGAAAAAATTTTAATAATTTTTTTGTTTTTAGAATTGAATATACATGTTTTAAGTTACAGCTCATCTTTTTCTAGCAAGGTGTAGCGATGCTTCGATGGACCAAGCTCCTTGAATTTTGACTCCGGAGGTGATGTGCCCTTAGCATTTTTAACCTCAGATTGTATTTCATTATTTGTGGGATCCGGCCCATAATGAAATTCCCTAGAATACAAGATATTTAAATGTTAAATGAAAGTAGCTTTAAAACAGCTTCATTCATTTTACCTATGAAGCTTGCCGCTGTAGAGATCTTGCAAGAACTGTTTTAGCTTCCCTGGCGTATACATGTCATTGAAATGCGGGAAGAGATACATATGCTTGAATGAATCAATAGCAATCAGGGGTAGGTCGTCCTCAGATTTTCCTAGATGATGAAGCGGATGCGCAAATCTCTTGCCATCTGCGGTTAGGAAATTAACATTCTCTAAAGGAAAAGAGTACGCACATGGTATTAAACATATTCCAAAAAAGATATTCTTCTAACGGTACTTACGTTTTTCATCTAATAATTGACTATCAATTATTGATTTATAATCTTTAATTGCATTGAGGTCGTCTGGCCGATGGAACAGTATAAGGAAAGGCAATCCCTCCTCCGTCAGCTCTTCAGCATTTTCAAACGTTATCTCTCGCACCAGTGGCACACACTTCTCCTGAATCCAAACTTTCAGTTCGTCAAAGTTTTTCAAGCTCCCCTTGAAGGTTTCATCGTTTTCGTCAGACACGGCTACATCTGGTCTAAATACAATAATTGGGGAGCCTAAAGCGAAAATTTTATATATTGTTAGGGACATTTTAGTAAGATTTATTTGTTGGTTTTTCGTACCTGGTGGATGCATAGCCTGTGAGGCATCACCAAAACCAACGTGAAACTGGCAATCTTCTTTCAAATTGGTGGCCACCTTTCGGAATGTATCATACTCTGGTTGGTCTCTACGATCAAAATATCCAATTATGATACGCTTTTTGGAATCCAAATTCTCCAAATCCTTGAGGGATTTGAACTCCAGAATGGGATCCTCCAGCTGTTTTTTCACAAACTCCAAAAACGCTTCAGCCGAGCGTTGTCCTCTATATTCACGCTTACTCAATTGCCCGTTTCTGACAATTTTTAAAGTTGGATATTTGTTTATATGAAAGCGAGATGCAATCGCAGTTTCCCGATCACAATCCACCTTCCCTAATACTACTTTGCCAGCTTCTGGAAACTCTGCTTTTATCTGCAAAAAAAGAACGAATCCAATAAATATTTAAATGGCATTGAATTTTTGCTGTATTTTAAGTTTCGGCTTTTATGTATATAAGTTCCATAAATAGCTTCGCACTTACTTGCTGTTGTCAAAACAATGAAAAAGGGCGGGAAGTACTAAATACTGACAATATTTGTTTTTTGTTGTTGTTTTTTTCCCCTTTAACCATTGTTAAAGAAACGTGCTTACAATTTGTGTACTGCAACAACTGGATATACATATGAACACATATGCCAACTGCGGCACATATGTTTTTTATTTATTTATATTAAGCTTACCTTGTCCGCTGCTTCATTGAAAATGGGCGCTAAAATATTACTGAAGCGACACCATTCCGCATAAAAATTAAGGAAAACCAATTCATTTGACGCTGAAAAAAAAAAGCACGAGTTAACCATAAAGTTTACTGTCATAAAATATATACAATGTATATATTAAAAATGTATTTTAAAAACAAGATGAACTTGGTTTATTCGTAGTGCGACAAACTGTTTGTCTTCTGCTATCTCTTAATTACCAAAAATGTCTATAACACTTGTATGTATTTATCAACGATAAAATACCTTTTTATACTTACTATTTATTGTGAAGTATACTACCTTCTAGTAGGTAATGCAAACAGACGCTTCATTTTTAAAATTACGTCTTTTTATAGTCTTTTCATATGAGATAAGATATTATCACAGCAATTGCACATGATTGATTTTCATTTGGACGAAGGGGAAAGGGCTATAAGAGGAAGTGTATCTTAAAACGCCCCTTTGTCTTAAAAGAAGGATGAAAATAACTCAGATATTTAGTACTAGGTACTACAAACTAATAAAAATAACTAGATCTGTTGCTATGAAAACTCGCCAAAATAATAATAAAAAAAGCATTTTAGTGTGTGATTTGATCTGTTCAGATTCATGTGAAAATGGGTTTTCGTAGTAACTAATGCAACCACGTTGACAAATTCGCGGAACTGATGCTCATAGTAACCACTGAGTTTACGCGTCGATTGCGCTAATTTTGATATACGCAACGAATCGTGACACGTCAAGAGAACCATTAATGATTGATATTTTGGTTGCGACCCGTTTTGATTTGCACTTGGATGTGTCAACTTTTCAAATATAGAAACCTTTTTAAAAAAAAAAAAAAATATTCCATTCCTTACCCAATGTCATATCAATATTATCACTGGTCATAGGTATAGCATCTCCATTTACTGGTTGGTAGAAAACGTACAGAGCCTGTTATAAATACAAAGGGGTTAAAATTATTATATTTGAAGTTCTAAACAGGAATTGCTTGCGCGGCAGGTGGAAGTCTATGAGTGATAAGTATGGGAAGCAATCATTGCCTCATACTCATTACCTCAATTGACTTCCTGGACCGGCTTGGTCATAGACCTGGCTCTCTTGCAGACAACAGCAGCAACCCGTACTACACACGGCAAACAGAACACGTCAACTTACCGCAACAATAGCAATGTATGAGTACGGCTTAGGTCTCCTTGTCTTAATCATCTTATGATTGTGGTTGGCAAGCTGGGCCAATTTTACGATTCCACTTAAAGCAAATGTATAAAATATATTTCACTTTTGCATAGGGTGGAATAGGAATGCTTGTTATCGCGCTGTAAACGTAATATAAGTATTAAGTTTTGTCTAGAGCTGTCAGTACCATGCGATATTCCCGATAGTTACAGCTAGCGTCATCGATACCATTTCGATAGGCAGTATCCGTGCAGTTGCAGCTCTAATGTCTACATATGTTCAATATTGTTGTCGCAACGACTTAACTTTGTTTACGAGATTAATGATATTTTCGGTGCTTAAGAGTTCAAAAACGAATACGCGCTTATCACTTGGGCCATAGATCGTTTGTGCAAAGAGTTAAACTTTGATCGCAATCGCATAGCTCTTCAACAAATGCCCGAATTGCTTTCGTTTCGCACTGAAATGGCATGTGAAAAAATCAAGGATACCAACTTATTTATTGAACTTGTTTAAGCAACTGTATATATATCTGCATCATTTAATTACAAGGAAATATCTAAATGTAAGCAATCCGAGTTGGGTGCTATGTTTATTTCGCATTATTTGCTCGAGTTTTTTCCCATAAACTGCATCGTATGTATGTACAACTGTATATACATATGTGTGCATTATAATGGCAATATAATTTTTTCTTTGTGTACATTAAAAACATTTAAAAGCTTAGCATTTCAAACACCACATATAAATATTTTCTTCCAATGCCAGCAAACAAAACAATATATATTAATACACGCATATACATACGTATGTAGATATTTAATGATTTTGCGTAGAGCTTTTTTTCGTTAAAAATAAGTGCGGCACTTTTTTTCGCTTGGTTGGACACCTGGCCGAGATTTCCAGTTATGAAATCCGAATTCGCTACAAACGATTTTGCCCTCAGTCCACCAGAGCTGAAGCTGGACAATGCAGGATAATCCAATGTTTTGTTCATATCAAATGTCTAGGCATTAGGAAATTATGGAATATGATCGCCGTGTTTTAAAAAGATAGCCTGAATCCTTGTTTAAACATTTTATATTTTATACACAAGTTGACCCCGAGTCTAATTAGGTATTGGCATTTTGCAAAATTGAATAGCTGATTTGTTATCTTTATAATAATAAAGGTTGTTCACTTTTAGCCAAATACATCATGTCAGATGGATCCCCGCCCCCTTCAATTTGTTTTATACGCGCTGCTGAATCATACCCAAAATCACAAATGGAGAAAGAAGACTCACAGCTTTTTGTTCCATTTCAAGAACGTATGTATCATCTATAAATATTCAAGGATATGCAATTAACATTTTTTTGAACCCAAACAGTTGCTGGCGAGTCAATTAAATATCTAGGACGAACAGATGATGGCGTCCTTGCTTTATCAAACTATCGCATATATCTATCCAAAAAATCGACCGCTTCTGAAACTTATGTACCATTAGGACTGATTGAATCGGTGCAAATGCGCGATCTATTCCATATGATGGTTAATTGCAAAGATGCTAGCACTGTAAGGTGCTCTTTTCAATCTGCCGAGCAATGCTCAGAATGGCAGCGCCGCATTCAACTTTCAATTGGTGTACCTGAAACTTTGGAAACGCTGTTCGCCTTTCCCTTTTACTCCTGGACTTGTGACATACGAGGCAACAAGGAACGCGCTCCGTCAACCAATGGCATTGGCACAAAACCGCCCACAGCGTCGGAGGGTATGGCATTGTTAGCGTATGCCCCTAGTGATCAATTGCAGCGAGCGGTTCAATATAATAGTGATTTCAAGAATGAAGTTGCACGACTAGGCTTCGATTTGAAGGGATCCTGGCGCATATCCACTGCTAACAGCGACTTTAAACTCTGTCCGTCTTACCCGCAAAAATTACTCGTTCCATGCTGCATTACAGATGATATGTTACATAATATAGCCAACTTTCGAGGATCGCGACGTTTACCAGCTGTGGTGTGGCGTCACCAGAAATCAGGCGCAGTTCTAGCCCGCTGCAGTCAGCCAGAAGTCGGCTGGCTGGGGTGGCGAAATTCTAAGGACGAGCGTCTTCTTAAGGCTCTAGCTGAAGCATGCGCTTTTGATAGGGGCGAAAACGCAAGACGTTCTGCTCAAAATGCTAAAGACCCGAGTGTGCAGACGAATTCCTCTGGCAAAAGTTCTCCATCACTTGAGAATTCCTCTCATGAAGAATTGGCTTTGGATGAAATCAGAGTATGTATATTTGTATACACTTTAAATTAATACTTTAATGTTTAATCAATTTAGAAGTGAGGTTAAAGTGTTTTCTGTGACTTAGTTGATTATCTAATTTATATTCGTTTTTTAGAAAATTCTCATTGTTGACGCACGCAGTTATACATCGGCTGTGACAAATAGGGCACGTGGTGGGGGCTGTGAGTGCATCGAATATTACCCCTGTGCAGAAATAGAGTTCATGAACTTGGGAAATATACATGCTATACGAAAAAGTTTTCATGCTGTGCGCCAACTGTGCGCTTCATCACCCGACGATCCAAGGTAAGTACATACATATATAAGTATAGTCTTTAATCTATAGAAACGACTAGATTAAACTGATTTTTAGAATTTTAGCAAATTACGCAATTGTGCGACTGTCCAAAATTTCGCGATGTTATTAAACATGTTTTGTAATATATATTTTAAGCTGGCTTAGTCAATTGGAAAAAACAATGTGGATGCAGCATCTATCTGGCTTATTAGGAGCCTCAATGACAGTAGTGCATGCCATAGAAAGTAAAGGCCGTCCTGTATTGGTACATTGTTCAGATGGTTGGGACCGGACACCACAAATTGTAGCAACTGCTCAACTTTGTCTAGATCCATACTACAGAACCGTAGAGGTACGTTAAAGCTATTTTCTTACTCTGTTCATATGTAAATGAAGTTTTTCTTGAAGGGTTTTCGAGTGTTGGTAGAACGCGAGTGGCTTAGTTTCGGTCACAAGTTTGCAGATCGAACTGGCAATGGCCCCAACTCGGATGAGTTGAACGAACGTTGTCCAGTATTTCTGCAATGGCTAGACTTAGTACATCAAATCCATCGTCAATTCGAATGCAGTTTTGAGTTCAGTACTGGCTACTTGGTAAGATACATCTTAATTGTATTATGAATGAAACGTATATGAAATATATCTTTATTCAGATAAAACTAGCACAACATTCGATGTCATGCCTATTTGGTACGTTCCTATGTAACTCACTGAGAGAACGGATTGAGAATTCCGTTTTTGATCGCACATTCTCAGTATGGCCGTTTTTATCTGAATCTATGTACAGAAATCCACTCTATAAGCATGAAAATGAAAAGGTAAGAATAATTAAAAACCCATTTCAGTTACCAGACAATACAAATTACTGTTTTTGAAGGTTCTGTGGCCGGCGCATAATGTGAGATCTTTACATTTCTGGTCGGAAGTATACCTTGGAAGCTTGGGCAACAAAAATGGAACGGATCTTCCGCCTTTGAATAATGAACGTCAAAATGACCACACAGGTATGCTAAAACCAATTGAAAATTGATGATGTTGATGAAATACAATGTTCTATTTGGTTCATTTGATATTCTTTAGTTTCTATGACAAAGACGAGATCCTCTGGAGACCTCACATCAAGTGAGTTGGGACAGAGCACCTTATCGAGAAGGTCTAGCGATCCCAACTTGACTGTAGAATTAAAGTAAGAAATCCATTTGCATTTCATTACCGTTTAATTTAAATATTGACAATATTGTTTATATGTTAAATATTTTATTAGTGTAACAGATTATTTAAACCTAAACAGTAGCTCAATGTTTGATATACGATCTGACGGAAATGAGTGTGATACTCAAGTAGTTGCCAATAGCCATAATAGCTCTGAAGACTCAACAATGGATACATGTAAAAATGATTTTTCTGAACAGCCAGAGTTTTTGGTATCAAAAGATTCTATACATATCGCATCTAAGTCAGACGCGGATAAAAACTCTGTCGCTAATATAAAACACGAAATATCGGAGGCAGCTGAAACATCACTGGAGTTGGAGTTACCCGCAAGGACCGATTCCGACAGTTCTCAGTATTTAAATTTAAAAATGGATAACAAGACAAATAATGATTTTAAAGACAATGATGCTCTTTGTGATTCTCGAAACGGTAAAAGTAATATTTTATAATTATTTTACATCTTTGCTTACCCTTATTGTTTACATTTAAATTAGATCAAACCCCTGAAAAATTCAACAGTCAGAACCTAGTTTGGAATGGTCCAATTGACACAAGTACTGACACATTGATTGCTTTGGATTCAAGTCAAAATCATAACGAAAGGAAGCCTCCTGTGGCGGAAATAAAGAATGGCATACATTTGGACCGAACTTCAGGAATATCATCGGAATCAATTTGTCCTCATACAAATAAAATTAGCCTAAGTTACAGCAATTTGCCCAAAGTGCATGTCAAGCCCAATACTCTGCGATATTTACAACTAGCTAACAAAGGTTGCTCAGACCAATGGGATATCTTTCCACATCACCTAGATCTCCATGTTCCGCGAGATAAGAATGGCACAACAATTAGCTGCAAGGAAGACCATTTATCCAAGGAGTTAAATGGTACTTTGCCACTGGCAGCTGAAATTAACAACATAGATGCTGGAGCTGGTATTTGTTTATCGCCGGAGCATCATCATAGAATGGACTTTCAAACAAATGCATTTTCAACATTCGAGATAGCCACAGCAGCAAACCAAATGCAAAGAAACAACACTCTGTCGTCAAATTCCAGTCGTGATAACAATGCGCACTCAAAGTGTGCTGATAACGGCAGGTTAGTTTTTTCTGATTTTTCGCTAACGAAGCGTCTTTTTAAATTTAAAATTATTTCTTCTACATTTACAGCGCACCTCATTCGTCTGTCCTAAACTCATTACCTCCAACACCACAGGGAACACAAGATAGAACGCAATTGATAATATCGTGTCCAGACGGCTTGGCCCACGCTTTAAGTGAACAAAACGTAAGACTTCATCAGCTCGTTCAGGAACACAAGGTAAGCAAACATTCAATATCTTAAATGAATAATACCCATAAAACATATACTTTTCTATTTATTTCAGTTACGCGAAGACATCCTTTTGCGAGAGATCCATAGCATGCGGCTTGCATTATTGCACAAGACCTGTCCATGTTGCAATAGTGTGATATCAACTAATGTCGAGCATGTAATTATTTTCTTAACCACTGGTTTCCTAAATTATGTGGCACTGTATGAACCCCCCACTAGTGCTCACTCATTCTATCAATACCGATATTATTTTTACTTAGGTCGATCATTGAAGTATCCCATCTTCTTATTATACTCAATTAATTGAACATTTTTTACTTAAAAGAAGTTTCAAGAAACTATCTTTTTTTGTGTCGGCCCGTTTTTCAAGAACGGTCCTTCACGTTTTCTTGAACAGGTCGGGCCGCCTTTCTAATAATATGATTACACTACATTATCAAGAGATTAACAGAGAGAATACATACAAAAAATGCTTTGATTTAAATTTCTTTAGGAAAATGGATTGGATATCGTGGAAAACGATTCGACCTGTTCTTGGGAAGCCGTTGAAGAACGTAGTGGTCCATCATCTTATACTACCTCTTCCTTACAAGAGAAAAAACCTACAAGTGTTCTTTGGGTTCCCGATCATGCAGTTTCCCGTTGCTCTAACTGTCAAATAGAATTCTGGCTTGGACGAAGGAAACATCATTGTCGGTGCGCATTCCAACCTAATAACATTCTGATCAAAAAATATTAGAACAAACAAGTAGCCATTATAACTCTTTCTACATTCATAATCAATAAATGTATTCGGAGGACCGAATATTACGCACTCTATTTGATCGGGTCCATGATAAAATGAATTTTGATTTAAATAGTTGTGTCTTTCCCTACAATCAAAATATTTATAGTTTTCAGTGGTTCGATTCCATTATATCCGACGAGTTTTTATTTATATTTTTATTTTAAATATATTAATTTATCTTCCTTGCAGATCATGTGGAGAAATTTTTTGTGCTGACTGCTCGGAGTTTTGGGCACCATTGCCTTACGAGAAACTGTTCAATCCAGTCAGACTTTGCGGTTCTTGCTATACAGCAGTAACAACACATATACAAGAATGTACCTTTCCCTCTGGCTGTATGCAGACACCTGAAGCGGCCAAAACCACTTCAAACTCTCCAGAATAATTATTGAGGATTTTCCGGGCTGGTGCAATTTCTAAAAGATCGAGTATATAAAAATGAATTGTATATTTGTTAACACGATAACTACAAATATGTAGACACAGATGAAATTATACAATTTTGTTAAAAATATATTTGGATGTATACACTATTAAAAAGCTGTAAATTAAAAGCAAAGTTAAACAAATTGCCAGGACAGTCGTCCATCTGCATTTTGCTTTTCGATATTTTTCGTATTGAATAAAGGATAGCGCTTTACTGAGTCTAAGGCGCTGGTTTAATCGCGTTTAATTGATTCTGGATCTAGATTTAAGTTTGTCACCCTGAATTTGAGTATCAAACGCATTAGTCCAAAAAAACGCCGTCATCTACCTTCACTTAGCGATTGGGGTATATCACACAATTTCTGTACTATCGGGCATTATTATATAGCACAGAAGTTGGCCGGGAATAACGTTCGGCACACACGGTTAAAATGTGCTGAGCTTAAAGTTCATTTTGATTTTTAAGTAGGCGAGCACTTTCGTTTACAAGTTTCTTATTATAGATCAGTAATTCTCACTAGTAATTTTGAATTTTCCAATAGCTCATTTTCTTATAGGACTTCTCTAACTAGAAATACAAGTAAGTATCTGTTAACTGGTCTATTTGGAGGAGTGGTCTTGTCTTGATGTTGGGCAGTTATGCAACGTGGACTTTGAAGACTCTAGCTTAATACTTCATACACTGTATAGGTATGTATATAGGATAAGTATAAAGCAATATTTAAAATATGTATATTTTATAAAAATCAGTTGTTCATGTTTGCCAGACAAAAAAAAATTATATTCAGATCTAAAAAATTATTGACCCCTGTTTCTCATCTTCGGGGAAAGAAACATGGACTGTTAACATAAATAAATGTACTTATGTAAATTAAATAAAAACTAAAAAGTAACAAAACAATTTGCTAATGTGATTTGCTGTTGATCAACGCTAGCTACTCATTATTATTTAAAATTTTTTTCAAAATCAGCTGTTTTGCAGTACTTTTTGCTTCCGAGACAGGCTCATTTTCAAATGTTTCATCTGCTGAATTTTTTTAAAATTAGAATTCATGTTGGGCAAGGCTTCGGTAAAAACTACTATAAAATAGTGCTTCGCTATATAAATATATACATATGTATAATTAGTAAATAGGTCCCACTGATAAGATTATTATCGACCTAATGATGTGAAACACATTTTAAAATAGTTTAGATAAATCGAAGTACTGCATAAGTACACATCGTACTTGTAGATTAGACATCAAATAGAAATTTTAACATATAAGAATTTTAAAATTTTTGGTATAACCTTTTCTTGAAGAGGTGGCATCACCTTGAATGTACACTTCTGAAAGTTTATTTTAAAAAGTAGAAAATAAATTTGAAATATTATAGTAGTCCACCAAAAAGCAAATCAGAAAAAAAAAATATATATATATATATACATAAATATAAGTTATTTATTTTAATGTTAAGTAGGTCATTCAAATACTAAGTACGTAATCATTTATATAACTGTGGTGCGCAGACAAACTCGTCGTTTACTGTGCCCAAATTGACCCCATCAGCAGTGGAAATGGAACGATTGAATAGTCGTCCACACGCGTGCAGACACGATGGTCTTTTTCCGTGCAACCCTGTTACTCAACTTTCGGCATTCTGCTACATTTCTTGCCGAGTCCGCCATTATACCTAAAAAATCTATAACCCTAGCTTCATCATTAAGAAGTGGGAGTGACAACGGTCAGTTGCAATTTGGAATTTTTGTTCGCGAATATTCGAAAAAATCAAAGATGAGTACTTTGCCGCGCGTTTTTTTCGATATGAAAGCTGATGACGAGCCCCTCGGCCGCATTATAATGGAAGTAAGTTTTATAAAATTTAACCTCATCACTAAATTGGCAAACTTGCCCGGCTTGCATATATATACATACCTTTTTTTTTTTTTGAATTCTCAAATTTTCTCACCTGCATAGTTTTGAAGTTTTAACTGAAACTTTAAGAAATGGACTTATTTATTTATGAAAGTATGAATACATGTGCACAAACACGTGATTAGCGGTTTACAAACTTTCCGGCTTTTTGCACTTTCATTTACCGTACACCACATGTACATACATACGCATATAAATGTGTGCGTGCGGTCTCAAAAGTTTTACAAATTTCAATTTCGATAATGCTATGTACATATGACTACATACATTGCACATTAATGTTATTTTTTCTGCAGTACTGCAAAGGAATTTAAATTGACTTACATATTCTCAAATACTTGTGTATGTATGTACATATGTCCGTATGTGTTACATTTTACGACCACTTTCGGGTAAATAACTTTCTGTATAAGTAAATACATACGTGTATATACACATGTATGTAGATATGTACATGTGTATGAACATATTTGTAGGTAAGTATGTATATTGAAACTAACGTCATACATGTGAAAATTCATACATTCGTAACTATGTACATATGCATGTATGTAAGAACGTGAGATTGATATGTAAGTATGTATATACATATATACATACGTACAGTATATAGTTGCGGCACATTTTTAGTTACTGATTAAAATGCATGGTATACATACACATACAGACATGTATGTGTGTATGTATATATGTATATGCTTGTGTACACATGGTTGCGCGCCCGAGTTTAATTTAGATTATAAAAAATGCATGTACATACATACGTTGGTATGTACCTTAATTCCTTAATTGTATATTCTTGTCCTCTCTATACAATGTATTTTATATAGACATACACACATACATATATAGTGAACGTTCGTATTATTCCAAGTGAATTTACCAAACATTATTATGTACAAACATCAATAAGTATGTACATACATATGTCATATGTACGTAGATACATGTTAATGACCAGAAACATTCTTCACACTTTCTTTGAATACAATTTCCAAATTAATTAGCCATGTATGTACATACATATGTATTAGTTTCTATGGCTGCATGCACATATCTGTGCGTGTGTATGTGCGTAGAAAGCCATGAATTAAACCTGTTTTCCAAACTTAATTTTGATTAATTCGGACGGTGATGTAATAGGACATTTATTCTTATTTGCATGTATGTATGTATGTGCATGTTAAAAAGTCATTTTGACCTTAGCAGATTAAAAAGAAATTATGGCATATATTAATATACTGATAATATCATTTTGCGTTGACGTGTGAAAAATTAATGTATCGATGTGTGTATTAACCAGACAATGTTTGCATTCTCTCATCTCATCAACAGCTGCGTTCTGATGTGGTTCCCAAGACCGCCGAGAACTTCCGTGCTCTCTGCACCGGCGAGAAAGGATTCGGCTACAAGGGATCCATTTTCCACCGCGTCATTCCCAACTTCATGTGCCAGGGAGGTGACTTCACCAACCACAACGGCACTGGTGGCAAGTCCATCTACGGCAACAAGTTCCCCGATGAGAACTTCGAGCTGAAGCACACCGGATCCGGCATTCTATCTATGGCCAATGCTGGCGCCAACACCAACGGATCCCAGTTCTTTATTTGCACCGTTAAGACAGCTTGGTTAGACAATAAGCACGTCGTCTTCGGTGAAGTTGTTGATGGATTAGACGTTGTCAAGAAGATCGAGTCTTATGGCTCTCAATCTGGCAAAACGTCGAAGAAGATTGTTGTGGCCAACAGCGGTGCTTTATAAAGAGGCAGCAGCAGCGGCAGCAAATTAAGACGAAAAACCCCGTTCGCATTTTCTCCAACATTTTTTACCAATAATTGTAAAAGTTTTTATGAAATACAATACATATTTTCAATAGACAAGTTGCACAGTTCACAATGGGTATCTGGTATAATTGATTTTGAATCAAATTTTAAACGAAAATAGGATCAGATATATAACAACATACATTACACTAAAATGTAAAGTCGTGGAATCAATACAAAAAGTATATTAAAATAGTTTCTAAATTCGTACATAACATAAATATTATATCAAGTTATAAGTATATAGCAAAAACTGAAGCCAATAATTGCGTTTGTCAGATTAGCATTTCAAAGAGCTGAATATTATGTATTCTAAATACGATTGGATACTTTTTGCTGGATCTAAACTTGAATTTATGTTGACAAATTTACTAAGTGAAGTGATGTCACACATTGATAAAAAGATAGACTCGCCTCAAAATATTGATTAAAAACGGGGTCTGTCACCGAATAAAAATATAATGCGGGAGCAAAATAACCAGCTAAAATATATATATTATACCTATGGATATGGGGACCGCATTAGAAATGATCTGATTTACTTGCTTAACATTGCATTTTGGTTAACTGTATTTACATTTTTCTAATATAAGAAGCTGCAATATCGATTTCATGGTATAATATTTCCAACGTTAGATGCTAAAAATACTAATATGTTCATCCAATGTATAATGAAAATTTATCTGAATAAACCATGTATCCTATTTTCGTCTTAATGGTAACGTCAAAAACGATACAAATTTAAAGTTCATTTATTTGATAAATATTTTCATCCTCAACTGAATTAATGGCTTTCAGTACTTAGAAATGAAGTCAACTTTGGTTCTCAAAAATAATTTAACAATTTATTGAAAAAAAATTTCAGCACTACTCAGTGAAGCATACAAATGATTATATTCACTCTCATATGCCTTAATATGCCTTTCAGTTATCGCAACTGTCTGCATCAGCTTTTCGTCTTCATTATCCTTCGCATGTACTGACGCATTTGTGGCGTCCGCCGTATTGTGAGCAGCAGTAAAGATTTCCCTCACTTTTTGCCGCTCTGAGTTCAGTTGCTGGGTAACAGTATAGTGCCAGGCTAGTTCATGGAATTCCCCAACCTGATTCAGCATAAACAATATATAAACCAGTCCAACGGCAAATCCATCCTCAAAGAGCGAACAGTTTGGCTGATCTTTTTTGTAAATATTTAGCTTTTCCTTCACACGATGATCAATGTAGTTCATTATTAGAGATGGCGTGATGAGAAAAAAGTTCTTCAAATGATAATTATTTTTATTGGAAAAGAATGGCTGAAACGCCTGCATTAACAGCTGCAAAGAAAAAAGTACTTTTGCATTCACTATAATAACTTAGCCCCAGTTCACACCAACCTTAAAGTAATTTGTGGATTCCGAATGACATTCCTTCATATGCCCGACACTTTTTTCAAATTGTTTAATTGATTCCTCAGTTGTTTTGTGGAGAGGTTGTGTACTGTGGTTCGTGAAATTGTTGGCGTATCTGGACATGTAGGCACGACTTCTATAGTTTGCGTTTTTGCTGCCCGATTGTAGTAACCGCACATATCCGACGGCATTTCCTGAAAAAATAAGACATTACAGAACAAAAATTTTAAACTGTATTTCAGTTCATGTAAATGTATATAATATTAAAAACCATTCCCAACTATATAACGATATAAGTGTATAAAATAACAAACGGCCTTAACAGCATGGACAATACAGACATAATAATAATAACCCAATTTATTTATATTATTCTTACCAACATGGGTGATGACTTTTCTAAATAGATCCATATAGGAGTCGCCATTGTTGGACACCCCAAGCTTACGAATTTTCTTAATAAAACTTTCGGCTCTGTCGTAGGGATAAGACTGATGCTGTTTTATATTTTTTTGTTCGTTGTAAAACCGAAATTCCTTCAAAAGACGTGATTTTATATGTTCGTCATGCAAGAACGTTGAAAATGTGTAAAACTTTTGGCGTAAAAATTGATAAATAAAATTGACAGTGGTATTTATTATACCAGTGCCATGGGTTTGCACAGAATTTGCGACATGGCGGGTTCCAATTATATCCAAATACTTATTTTTGTCGTTGTTCTCGACAAACAACTGCAGGTTCATGTTGTACGAATACGTCGAGGCGAATGTGTGAATATTTCGCATTATTTGCAGCACATCTATGCCCTAGAATGTAGAACAATGTTAATAGGTCCAATGGGAGTTAAAAGATCCAACTTTACTTGATCAATTATTTGATTGGGTAAATAATCGTCGACAGGTTGCAGTTGAAAGAGTTTGAAGGCAAAGTGGCGCATCTTTTCGTAGGACTTCCAATCGTGAGGCGCTATTGTTGTCAAGTTGTAGAATGTTGCAGAAAAATAGTTTTCTAGGCTATCTGAAAACAACATTAAAATGAATTATTTTATGGAAAACGAAAGAACAACTTTTTGAGTTACCTTTTAAAATGCTGTACTCCCCATGCATTTCAGTTGGAGAGACGCTGATGCAGTTTCGATAGTCAATCGTTGTCTGATTGAATGGAAGCTCTTGGCTTAAAAATAAATGTGATAAAGCTTCTACACGCAGGAATAATTCCAGATTAGTACATAAGCTCTCCATCACCATATCGTATACAGTTGATTTTGAGCTATTTTTATCACAGACTTCAAATATATTTGTAGTTTTATCCAGCTGATTTGTTGCTGCAAATATATTCTGTATAATTGAATGTATTGAAATTAAAATAAAATGACTGAAGCGATCTAATATAGTAACATACTTGTAAGGCATAGGCATTTCTTTGTTTTTCCACAACGTCACTTTTACGCGATATTGCGAGAGACCAATATATGTAGAGTAGTCTAGTATTATCGAACTGTGCCGTAATATTTCTTTGAAAATTGCTTAAATAGTTAACCCGTGCTACAATGGTTTTAAAGCTCTTTTGCGTATCTGTTGATATAGCACGTTCCTTCTCAATAAATTCATTGAAAATTAAATTGATCATCATCAAATTTTTATTTATGTGCTGGCTTCTTAAAAGTTTTTCAGCTAGCTTTAACATTGATAATATGTTCATTTTTCGTTGCAGTAATTTTGCATCAACTAGTCTTTTCTTGGCATCTGACAATAGTTGCAAGATCTTATGTCTTTGCCATTGTATAATTGCACTTAAAAATCGTATAAAACAGAATTGATTAGACGCAAATGTGTGCTGTATTATTTTTAAAAGCTGCACGAGCTTACAAACAATAGATGTTGTTGCTTGTGTTATTGGAATCATTAAGGCAACGTGTCGGTTTATTAATCCGCCGATTAGGCAGTTCACTTCATCTGCATATTTTTGTCCAGCTACAATTAATTTTGAGAAATGTTTCAGTTGATCGAAGACGCCCGCGTTAATTACTCCCTGCACATTTATTGTCCACAATGCGATCTGTGTACACAACTGACGACAACTTCTCTGATCACAACTGTTTAATTTTTCAACAATAGTATGATATTGTTTTGAGTTGTCCGGAAATTTATCAGGCAATTTGGCGAACGTTTTTGAGTGCTTAGATAGGAAGATACTAGGAGACCAGATAACATTCATATATAACGCCAAGCGTTGGTATTTGGATAACAATTCAGTAATGTTTTTACTTAATTTTCCATCGATTTGTATTCCTAGTTCATAAAGCACTGAAACTAATGCAGTTAGACGAACAACATGCTTCGGCTCTTCATAGTTTCTATACTCATTGGATTGATTAGTTTCAATATCAAGCATTTTTTGGCGAATGTAAGTGTTGGAATGTTGCGTGATGCTATTAAAATCTTTTAAATTCAATCGTTTTTTCAGCTCCAGCAGTTTGTTTAATAGCATCTGTAAGCATAAAGGAGTAAATTATAACTTTATAACTCATTAAAAATTGGGATAAAGCAATTACCGGATACACATTCCCGGAGATAACTACTTCAATATCATCAATAGCCTGCTGTAGACCCTTGAGTTCCAATTCGGTGCAATTTGTAGAAGATACGTTTGGATCTTTTGCCAACTTTTGAAGCCATTTTTTATAAAGAAGCCAATTTGTGGCGAAGCTCGATTGCTCTGTAATCTCGTTAAATATAACGAGATGTTCCAAAAGCTCAATCATGGAATCAAAAACACTCTGAAGCGGCAAAACAAAAATACAAATGATGTTTGAGTTCCAACCTCAAGAATCACATTTTCAATAAGAACAACGCAACTTTTTGAAGAATAACGGTAGAGAGGAAGTATCAGCAACGAAACATATTCCCAACAATATTGTTTTTTGATAGCCTTACGAAAAAGAAGCGTTATTCTTGTTTTGTTAAGACCATACCCAGAACCTGTACTTACAAATACATGGGAACTTGAACCCTCCGATATTGCCATAGATGCTGTGATTTGGTGTAACATATGCTCTAGCAAGTTAACAATGTGTTTTAATAATATATAGACTTGACAAAAAAAGTCGATTGCACAACTCATTTTAAAAAGGGTAAATTCATTTGCTATATTGACACTACACCCTGTCATCACATCCTTAATATGTGCATCTGTTAGGAGAAATTTTAACTGGAACTGGCATGCATATTTAGCCAAATCTTTACATTGATTGCACAGGTGTGCTAAAGTCGCTTGCAATTTATTTGAAAATAGCTCCGCTTCCATATGCACATGCATTCCGGGTGCCAAGGCCAGATAATCCTCTGTGTTAGTAGTAATTTCAACCACTGGGGCTAGTGATGTCGGCACTGTTGAACTGTCGCTAACAGGCATTTGTTTCCTTAGGGAATTTAATTTTCCATCATGCTCTTTTAAGAACGTGCCAAAGTTTTTAAGGGTATCCTCGGCAAACATAGCTATAAATATCATTAGAATACAGCTAGAATTGCAAGTCGAAAACTTGAAGTATATACATATACATACACAGAGAACTTTGCTTCATTTTATTATTTATTCATTTAATCTTTTCTTTGTTATTGTTAAATGGTTTAATAGGGATGGGCAAAGTTTCCAATCTGTAGCGAACTATGGCATCGATGAAATAGTAGTAAATGAAAGCCATAATTTTACATCGATTACATTTTTTTGAATCTAATGAACATTAAGTATTGTATATCTGAGTAGGCTCTGTTACATTCAGTTAAAATCTGTAAGCTTGTGCATGTGTAAGTAAAATAATGTTTTTAAAAAGGCTTATGCGGGTCATTGTTCTTCCATGTGTGAGGGATTTATTGCCGATAACAACAACGAGTGCACAACGTGTGGATTTTCCTTAAGTCTTGCCATCACTACTGATGTTCCATATTCGCTTTGTTCCGGTTGTGGGCTCGCGTTGCTTTAATTTAGTATAAATAAAATGAGATAAATTTAGTTGACAAAGTAACTTGCATAGTCATATCATAGTACTGTGTATATTACGAAATATTCTAATGCGTACGTTATAATTTCAAAAAACATATTTCTTTTCAAGAGTTGTCAAGCATTCTCCGGCAAAAATATGGAGGCACAGACGCCCGAAATTGGTATTTATAAAATGGTTTTATTTGTGTGTCGTTTATTTAATGTTTCCCTCCAATAGCTTTGCAAACTAATATAAAACATAATTTGTGTACGTTTTTTTATAGAACCAGATCTATCCGCACTCGATAATAGTATTAATATGCCGCTATCCACAAAATGCAATGCGGATAGTACTGTTGATTTAGATGAGGCATCCATTGCCAAGGAAACAGCGCGGTCTCACTCAAAATCACCCACACCTGCTGAAGACAGTTATGCTGTAGATAATGAACCACACTCAACTAGCCAATCTCCAACTTCTAAGGAATTGAGACGTTCCCGTAGTCGATCACAGCATTCTGAAAATCCTACTCGTTCCCGTGAAAATTCCAAGGGATCAGAAGATGGTTCTCAGCATTCTCGCAGTGGTTCGAAACACTCACAAAGGTCACGCAGTGGATCGCGCCGCTCGCGAAGTGGATCGCGTCAGTCGCGTAGTGGATCACGCCGCTCCCGTAGTGGATCACGCCGTTCCCGTAGTGGATCACGCCGCTCCCGTAGTGGCTCAAACCGATCCCGCAGTGGGTCAGGCTCACGCCGGTCTCATAGCGGATCCAGACGTTCCCGTAGCGGTTCGGGTTCACGTCGCTCACGCAGTGGTTCAGGCTCACGCCGTTCTCGCAGTGATTCAGGGTCACGACGTTCCCGCAGTGGCTCAGGGTCGCACCGTTCCCGTAGTGGTTCTGGCTCACGCCGCTCCCGTAGTGGGTCCGGCTCACGCCGATCCCGAAGTGGATCAATCCGTTCCCGCAGTGGTTCAGGCTCACGCCGTTCCCGAAGTGGATCCCGTCGGTCTCGTAGTGGATCAAACCGTTCCCGTAGCGGATCAAACCGTTCCCGCAGTGGCTCAGGATCGCGCCGGTCTCGTAGCGGCTCAGGTTCACGCCGCTCTCGCAGTGGATCCGGCTCACGGCGTTCCCGTAGTCGCTCTGGCTCACGCCGCTCCCGCAGCGGCTCCGGCTCACACCGCTCCCGTAGCAGGTCACGACGCTCTCGTAGCGGATCACGTCGATCCCGTAGTGGATCACGCCGTTCCCGTAGTGGATCACGCCGTTCTCGTAGTGGTTCACATCGCTCGCGTAGTCGCTCTGTGAGCATTGGCAACAGGGATAATCGTAGTCGCAGCCGCAGCAAATCCAAAAACATTGCAGACCAGCAGAAACGCGGCAGCCGTTCTCGTTCGAGAAGTGCAGCAGATTCGGATACAGGCCGTGACAATTCAACTCGTAAGAGGGTTATAAGTGATTCTGAAGGTTTGTTTTTATGCTTATATAAATACATATAACAAAAGCTTACGTTTATTTGTGTAATGCCATGCCATTTAGATGACGACACTCCTACGGTCGTTAAGAAACGTGCTAAGATTACAGACACTGATAATGAGGATGAACCTAATGAAGAAGCCAATGGCACAGAAAAAGCAAAGGATAACATAGCTGAGAGCTCTGAAGATGAAAACACGCCCATTTTAAACGAACCAGGGTAAGTTAATTTCAGAGTTCTACTATTACTTTACAAATCAAAAGTCCCTTAATTTTATAGCCGCCTAGCTATGTACTTTATATATTTCTCTAAATATCTTGTGCTTATGTCTTTTAGAAATGACAATTTTGTTTCCGACTTTGATGCGATGTTACTGCGCAAGAAAGAGGAGAAACGCGTTCGTCGTCGCAAGAATGATATCGATATAATTAACGATAATGATGATCTAATCGACCAGTTAATCATAAATATGAAAAATGCATCTGACGAGGATCGACAGCTGAACATGACCGGGAAACCAGCCACAAAGAAAATATCGATGCTCAAGCAAGTGATGTCGCAGCTCATCAAAAAGGACCTCCAACTTGCATTTTTAGAACACAACATACTCAACGTACTTACTGATTGGCTAGCCCCTCTGCCAAATAAAAGTCTCCCCTGTCTTCAAATACGTGAAAGTATATTGAAGCTTCTTGCTGATGTAAGTAACCATCTGGAGATACATTATATGTCTTTAAAACATCATATGCTGTAACTATAGCTTCTTGTTAATTATAATAGGGGCTATTTTATGTATAAGTCCATTTAAAATTACTCATTCGTCCTTACACCAAATATTGTTGAGTGTGATTTCTGTGAACAAAACTAATTATAAATATTACCGGGTAGAAGGAGACGTCGAAGTATTTGACTCAGATTCTTTGTGTTATACGTTACAAGAATGTCTTGTATACCATTTTGTTTAGGAGATAAAATTTCTATTAAATATACTATTAATTTAAAAATTTGTTTATTCACAGTTTCCAACCATCGATAAGAGCTATTTAAAACAGTCTGGTATTGGAAAAGCTGTTATGTACTTGTACAAACACCCACAAGAAACAAAGCAGAATCGTGATCGTGCTGGCCGTTTAATATCGGAATGGGCCCGTCCCATATTTAACCTGAGCTGTGATTTTTCAGCAATGAGCAAGGAAGAACGCCAAGAACGTGATCTGGCGCAAATGTCCCGGCACCGCCAGAAAAGTCCAGAGCCTCAACCAACTTCCTCATCTAAATCACGCACACTGAATCATACATTTTCAAGTGAGGATAAGCTACTTCGCCCTGGAGATCCGGGCTGGGTAGCCCGGGCCCGTGTCCCAATGCCTTCTAATAAGGACTATGTTATTCGTCCCAAATCAACCGTTGAAGGCGAAATCTCTGCAGTACGTATCCGTTTAGTGAATTAACATTTTAAAACAAAAATTGAAATGGCTTTTCTTTTCTTTCAGTCAACAAAACGCAAGCCTAATCGTTATGAGAAACACATGAAGCGATTTTTGGACTCGAAGCGTTTGAAGGAAAGTCGTCGTGCCGTAGAAATTTCAATAGAGGGTCGCAAAATGGCTCTTTAAGGAATTTTTGCATGAATGCTTGTCATTACTATTGAAAACACATCAAAAAAAAAAGAAAAGAAAACCTTAGAACAAAATGAGTAACATAATATTTTGTAATATAAAAGCAAATAATGTGTCAGCAATTAAGGATTCGTGAGCAGAGAACAAGTCTTCAATGGAGATTAACAGACAATCCGCGCAAACTTAAGCAAGCTGTCCCAAGAACTGTTAAATAAAATGATAATGAGAATCCTAAGCACATGAATAATGAGTTTTTATCATATATGTATGTATATATACTTATAATTGAAAATTTCCTTTTGTTTGGGAGGATTTTGGGTTTGATGGAGTCTGGTGAATATTGGAAATTTTGTAATCAAAACGACACATTTTGAATTACATTAGCTCCTTTTCTTATGGCTATTATTTTCTATATTGCTCGAGGTAATGGGTATTTTCTATACACGTATATAAAGATAAGAACACGTTTACATTTCGAAACTGCATATATGTACATAACTACACGTTCAAAAATCTATGGATAAGCTACATAAACACATCCCAAAATGCTGACAACCAAAGGTTGTGGAATTTTACAGATATATACATACATGTTTGTATTCTTCATTATACCCTTCCTCTTAACTGATGGTGCATATTGTGTGTGATAAGAACGTTTCATACAAAGTGCTTGGAAAAAGTGTATAGACCTCATGTTATAGACTGGATTAGATATAAATAATTTGTTTCAACCGCTACAACTCTGAAGTAGACAATCAGTCGGAATCGGCGAGAGAGACAACTATATTTGAAATCGGCCATCATCCGCTCATCATATAAAGGGTACAAGTATGGATGGATGGAGTATAATGAAATCGTTCAGTTCTTATAGCAACCAAAGCAGACCTCACAAACATGCTCAATAAGAATGAAAAGACATCTCCGCTTATGTATTTGTATGAAGGAAAAGATTTCCGAAACTATAAGAGTCACCAAACTGCATATGCACTTCTTTCTAGGAAGGGGACAGTTAATGCTTGTTTTAAATCAGGTGTTTTCCAAACCAGGTACAGGTTTAATAAATGTCTTGCGACTCGTTTTTTTTTTTTAGTTATGCTATATTGAAGGGTATATAGCTTCGATGCAGCCGAACAAAATATCTATCACAATTTAGAACACGCATATTTGTCTAAAACTCGACAACGAGAAGCTACTCTAAAGTGTTTTCATTGCATGTTCACCACAAATCACAAAGATATCTCTAAATACAAACAAATAAACATACAAATACATACTCGTGCATATACATATATGTACATAGGTGCTTGTCAGTGTAGATTGTAAATGTTATAAAAAAAAAAGAATTTTTAATAAATGTCAAATTAAGGGCATCCACCTGTTTGCATCAACCCGTTTGGAAATTCGTTAGCAACAGCCAACAAATGTTCCAAATATTTAAAATAGTCAAGTGCAGGCTGAATACATAAAGTTTGCAATGTTGCAAGTACATTTTACAAAATTCTTCAACATTTTTGTGATGCACAACAATTAATTTTGTTCGTTCCATTAATAGGCAATTACATTTTTCTCCACAGGGGTGTAAGAGTTAGTCTCATTTTGATGTGTGTGCTTTTTTTTGTTGTGTTTTTCCGTTAGCCCAACTACAACAATAACTATAACAAGTGTTGAATGTACAAATGCAGGCCATTCATTATCTGCTCTAAAAATCACCAACACTGACACCGACACCAGCCGTCAAATCAACACCACCACTTTATACGTATGGTACGTACACACACACATACATACATACAATGTACAATTAGATGTACACATAAATGGTCACCTTTGCTGTTATCGCATAATATTAAACCGGTTGCGATTCCACACTGCCGTTCAAACACATCCATCCAGTCTAGCGCGATAGACGGTTTGGTCTCCAGCGCAACAATTTGGGAAAAGTAGAGCAACGCAGACGGTGATTGCAAGCGAAATGTCGGGTCTACAGAAAAAAAATGCCAAAATCGGAATTGTCGGCAGGTAATTCGATGAAGTGACCAAAGTATATGTACATATGAATTCATTCTTTTTATTTTATGTATATTTTTAGTGGCCTCATTGGACGTTCCTGGTCGATGCTGTTTGCCTCAGTGGGCTATCAAGTTGTCCTGTACGACATACTGCCCGAGCAGGTGGACGCCGCTCTCAAGCTAACTGAAACCGAACTTGTAGAATTAGAGAAAAAGGGTCTCCTACGCGGCAAACTAAGTGCCGCCCAGCAAGCCAGTTGCATTTCGGGAACAAACGATTTAAGGGAACTGGCCAAAGGTGCCATTTTCATACAGGAGTGCATCCCTGAGCGTTTGGACTTGAAGAAATCGCTGTACAAAAAGCTCGACGATGTCGTCGACGCCAACACAATCTTGTCCAGTTCGACGAGTACTTTCCTGCCATCTCTGTTCAGCGGGGATTTGAAGCACAAATCAAATGTGAGTTTTCATATAAAATAACCCTTAATATTCACTCATCAGTACTTCATAAAAAAAATTCTATAAAAATATAATATTTAAATTTAGAGGGCAGTTATAGGTCTTTAGATAATACGATATTTCAGCGAGCAGGAAAGACCTACTCTCAAGATAACAATAATTTGATATTGAATCTTTTACCTTCACACATATGTATAATCTATAAAGACCGATTAGATGAAAGCCTAAAAAAATGCACTGATTTTATACGTTAAAACGAATATTATTCGATCCAATAGGCGCCAAGAAATGATCAAACGTGAACAAATTTAACATTTTTTATAGTGGAAGTTTAGATATTTCAAGTACTTCAAAGTACGTTTTTAATCAATTTTATAAGGTCCTGTATCAGAAGATTTGAGAGATACTTATAGTAGAAAGTTTTGATGCGAAATGCAGTATTCCAATTAATAGGTACGTAATTAGCAACTGGTCTTATCCAAACACCGAGCAAGCTTATATAAATTATAAAAATGCTACTTAGTAGAATAAGTTTTGTGTTCATTACGATATTGTAATCGTATTTATTATTTTTATTGCCCAGCCTGACCATAATATAAAATTAGATCTGTCATAGGACTGATCAAGGGCGTACGCGTAGAACAAATTTTGGCCATATAAAGCCGACCACACGTTCATTATTATGAGGGACTATTTCGCCTTAAAATGGAACTGAGTTGGATTTGTTGAAGTTTTTTCATTGATCATATGCATAAATTATTTTTTAAATGCATCGTTCATTATTTAATCAATTTTTTGGCGCCCTTGGGACTGATCCATGCAAAACTTACCATTTTGTAGTGAATTATTAGTGAATATTTAAGTGCCAAAGGAACGATTGGTGTCACATTTTTTTTTAGTTGAAAGGCTGTAAAGGAAAAGAGTGCGGATACCGCGCGTATATTCGTATATATTGCAAAAATCGAAATCTTTCAATATCATATTACTTGATGTTCTCCTTTTCGCCGCACAGGTCTTGGTATCCCATCCCGTAAATCCACCCTACTATGTGCCACTTGTTGAAATTGTGCCTGCCCCATGGACGAGGCCCGAATTTGTTAAAACAACGCGTGCCCTGATGGACGAGATCGGACAGAAGCCAGTGACATTATCCCGAGAGATTGAGGGATTTGCATTAAATCGAATTCAGTATGCGATTTTGAATGAAACATGGCGTTTGGTTCAAGATGGTATTTTGGATGTGAAGGACATTGACAGCGTTATGTCCGATGGCTTGGGCATGCGTTATGCATTCCTGGGACCGCTGGAAACGGCGCACCTAAATGCTGAGGGCATGGCGAACTACTTTGAACGTTATTCGAAAACGATTTACGCGGTTAGTGAGACAATGGGTGCGACCCCCAAAATGGAGGGACCCACTGCCGTCGCCATCGCCGAACAATTAAATGCGATGGTGCCGCTTGATAAATTGCCGGAGCGACGGACTTATCGCGATACCTGCTTAACTCATTTGAGCCTCTTGAAAAATAAACTTAATTCAAAGTAAATGGCAAATGTGAAGAATGTGAAATTTTGAAATTCAAAATAAAATAAAAAATATATAAATGCGTATTTAGCTTAAGCTCATCTTAATGTATATTTTTTTTATATTCAAATTCGACTCAATATTTCTTTTAAATTATTTACATTGATTGATATGCGCTGGGAACAAAAATTATATTCAAATGTATACTATTCTACTTATATAATGCTCTTGTTACATTAAAATTTGATTCAATCATGTCTTTTCAATATAAATCGCAATGTCAATTTAATTAATTCGTACTAGTAATATCAATTCTTAATCAGAATATTAAGTTTAAGGCCTATGGTTCACCATCCTTGGGTTACACCCGGTTCACATTTTAAATTTACCAGCCTGCCTATTGGCCAGGCCAAATTTCGACGGAGATTTAGTTTTAGTTATGGGCCTGTTGATGCTCGAGCCATCCAATTTGTTGCATAGACTGGTGCGTCTTACAATGGGAGTGACACAGAGCTGGGTATGATCACCAGATGGTTTAGAAAGAATGCGTTGTTGACAGCGCATTTGGGACATTGGTGTGCTTGTGTGGAACTTCCTGCTGGTCTGTGTGGGGTCCTGCAGTGTTAGATCATGACTGCCGCCAGCTCTAGAGGTTGTAATGGTGTGTGTTGACAAGGTGGGGGCACTAGAGGGCTTCATCATGGGAATGACGCGTTTTATTGGAATAGTCGGCTTCATCGGTCCGGTACTTTTTATAATAGATTCTGAGTTTTTCGAACGGGCTCCCAAGATCACCTTGCCCTGTTCATAATGTTTTTGTTGCTGGTTATTTATCTGCATTAGGCCAGATGCGGATCCTTTATTTGTGGTCAATCCAACTGAGAATGAGTTTCGGCGTTGTCTGAACATCGCAGTCTTATCGCTGCCTGCTGTATTGATCATCAAATTGCAATCCTTTGTCGCATTGCTGCGATTGTTCCCGTCGGTGCGTTTCAATCCATTTTTTGCTTGTATATGGGAGAGTTGAGACTTATCATGTATGGACAAAGATGATGAGCGTCGTCGAGTTGCGCTAATTTGATGCTTTGTGGCATCGACTTGTTTGTTTGATTTCATTGGCGAAAATTGGGGCACACACTGTGGAGTCAACTGAGAAGGTCCTGCAGAATTAACAACCAATATAACCGTCTGTTTTTGTTCTACAGTGCTGATACATTGCTCATTATTGTTTGTAATGTTCTGCCGTTCCAAGAGCTTATTTATTTGCTCAACAAAATTATGGTCAAGGACTTGCGTCATAAATGTTTCCTTATTCGGTTGTGCTTCTCCAGATATCTGTAGCACTGGTGGACTTGTTTCCTTTTCATCGGTGTGGGACTCACCGTCATAGGTGGCTGACGATGCAATCATGGCATCGGGGAACGGATCCTGCATTTGTTGATCGGGAACCTTGAAGTGTTCATTCATGTCTACAGTTTCTGCATTCTTTTCCTAATTTTTAATAAATGAAAATATGTTGTTAATAAAAAGAAATCGTTGCTGAGAGCTAATTTTATTTACCTGAAGCTCAATATCGAAAGTTCCTTGTCGTTTGTAAATATGTGAAATAGATGCTAGTTTTTGTTCGGCACTCTCCTCAGTTGCTGCCGAGCTCTGACACTCAATGGTAGTACGTAAGGACTCAATAATGGCATTGAACTGCTCCTGGAAATCTTCGTTCACATGTTTCTGCACCAGAACTTTGAGGTCTTGCAGGAGCCTGGCCACATCTTTAACATCATCCGACTTAGTTTTGGAAGGACCAGCTGCATTTGTCAGCTTAATTTTTAATTTAGAAATATCGTCTGCCTTCCTCCCATTGACCATATGCGATGAGGTTTTCGGCGGAGAATCCACCATGTTAATTCGCATCATCTTTAGATCAGCCTCGAAATTTGATTCGGAATTGCTCTTAGACTCTTTTGGCGGTAATTTTATGGACGGAATATCATCTCTTATCAGCTTAAGTGGGGACTCCTCGGCCAGCATTTCCATATTATCGCCAAAATAATGTTTTTCAATGTGCAAACCCACATTTCTTGTCGATCTACAATGGCTCTGAGTTGGAGTGTTTAAGGCTGCTTCGGGAACGCTGAGCTTAAGCAGTTGTTTGTGGAATGTGTTGCTTTTGCATGGCTGTGCCTTGTTGCTATCGCCCATGCCAACAGGAGGACTTTCGCTACTGAGGTCTGGATAGTCCGAGGACACATTTTCGCAGGCGGCATTGTCTGTTGATTCAACTGGGAGAGTGTTCTTTAATTCAGCCTTTACATTCAATCCCTACAGTTATAAAGTACCCCAAATTTAAATAAATTTATTAATTAATTATTCAAGATTGACAGAACACATACCTTTAAACAAACTTCCTTTTCGACAGAGTCAAAAGGATCATATGGACGCACAAAAATGTTGCCGTTACCGTCTGATACTCCAAATAAATCAACTGGCGATGGCTGTTCAAAACGTGCTTCATTTTGCTGAGGCTCATCAAAACTTAACAAATCAATAAGGTTAGCAACAGTCGCCATTGTTTTCACAACTTCAACTAAAATTTGGCGCGATTTGAATGAAAAAAATAATTTCCCGCGTCTAGAGATGGGAAATTGTGAGACAAGTATTTGTGCCCCGATCTATTGGTTCACAACTCAAAGTGAATCAATTTGACTTTATGTTCCATTTCGGCTGTTCCAAATCAAACTTAGATCTTACCTTGCCTTACAAAGTCAAAAGAAAAACAAAACGAAAGTATAATTGAAAGCGCTCAGTCGGTCACAAGGAATACATAATTCCTTAATTTTTGTGGCCATTTTCGATAAACTACTGAGGTGTACCGTGCTTCCTATTATACATATTGCAAAGCAGTCAAACAACTTTTCAAATGCGCAGTTGAAAGTATATACTTATGCCTGTTAAGAGCATAACAAATACTTTATACAAATTTATCTTGCCGATAATGTACACTGTTCCTGCCACTGGGATGGTATATACAAAATAATAGACGCTTAGCTTTATATACATATATACATCTTAGTAAAATCTATATTGAAAGGAAGTCGTATTATTTACCAATACATAACATTTTGTGATTAATCAGCAAGATGACCTTTTATACTTCGTTTTGGACGACATTTTTAATTAGCCTTTTCATTGTGCTAAATATATACTCAATTGAAATTGGAGTTCACGGCCAATTGAATCTGGATAATATAAAGAAACTAGATTTGAATCGTCAACTTCCGGAAGAATACGCTAAATCCAACTTCAGCTTGAATGAATTTAAAGAGTTGGTCCGCAACAAATGTATAAATGTGTCTGGGGAGAAGCTTGGTGGGGAAGCGTACACGGAAATTGAAGCTGGCCTCGTGACGCTCGGCGAATGCATCACTACTTTAGTCAATTTCACAACTGTGCAGCAGGAGATTGAGAAAGCAAGCCCCCTTGGACAGCTGGATGAGGTTTTTAATAAATATTGCAAGAAACGAACGAATGCCTTGGAGTGCTTCGATGTTTTCAATTCTAAACTAATACCATGCCTAAGCACAGAAGAGCAGGACAGCCAGAACGTACTGATCAGGATTATTCGGAGTCTATTGAACTTTGTTTGCCATAAGGATGGAGACCAAATAGCTTTATTTATTGCTGAAAAAGGGCCCGAGTGCCTGGAATCGCAAAAGGATAATATTCAACAGTGCCTTAATAGCACATTTTCAACGTATATGAACATTTCAGACATACAAGATACCAAAATTAAATCATTGCCCTTATTGGTTATGGGAGATAAACAGTGTGATGACTTGAAAAACCTGGAAACCTGTATAGTACATCATTTGGAGAAATGCTCCGAAATAACTCCGGCAAACCTTGTAGAATCTATGTTTAATTTTATTAAAAACGAGACCATGTGCAGCAACTCTAAGAAAAGTAATGCATCTAAGCAATCAGCTGAAAATGCTAGTAATATTCCCTCAGTTAATCTATTTTTAGTCAATATAATACTCCTTTTTATGTTCGCTTGGAAATCTGAATTATCTAATGAGCTTTAATCAACGATTATTTTATATTATTATGTTGCAGTTGAATGCTGTGTGGAAAAGGAATCTCTTATAAAATGTATTAAATATTATATGTATATGTTAACGATGATGGTATAAAAGGTATAGGCTATCAAGTATTGTTTTGCTATAATTTTAAAGGGGCAAAAGTGTATTTTAGATTGCTAGATATTTATGTACATATACATACATATATAAATAAAGAAATACATATTTATACACACTTGTGTGTCTTACTTAAATCTTGAAATTACATCAAGCGCTGAATATACAACAATGTATTTATACGAATTCAACAATTGACCAAAAATAAGACAAATAAAATTTGTACTTAATTGCATACAATTCTATTGTTTACATTTTTGATATATGTACATAGTACTACATACATAAATTTGTGAATACATACATAAGTGTGTACATATGTACACATTTGTGCAGTTGATGTTATCGATCAAAAGTCAACTGCAGCTCACAGAACAGCTTGCACATCACCAGGCACCTGTGTGCATATGTATATAACATATGATCGCGAGTTGCTTGTGTTTAGTTTTGTTGGTTGTCCCAACATCAAAACACATCCAAGAAATCGTCTGGAAAGAGTATTTCGTCCCGGTTAACAGAGATCAATCAAGATGAATTAGGAGTGGAGAGTGGATCATGAGCAGCCCAAAGTGGCGAAACAACGTTGTACTTAAGCAACGGCCTTTCATTACAAATAAATCCTTGTAATTACCTACTAGTACATATGAATATGAACAAATATGGATGATCGTCACCAACAGACTGTGGAAGAGGAGGCTGAGGCATCGATTTCTCGGTTCAGTATCACCGCCAGGAATATATTCTCCATTGCACTTGCCGTTGTTATGCGCCCGGTTTCAATTATCATATATTGTTATTCAGTCTATGATTATATGAAATCATGTTTGTACTCTTATGCCGCTTGGACAGTTCTATCAATACTACTCTCCATGGGTATAACATCACTGTTATATCTCAACATGTAAGAATATAGTGTACCATCGGATCAAGCAGGCAGCAATGATTCATCACCCTTGTCTTGTCGACATGTGTTTTATGAAATCATAACTCTTATATTTTTAGTTTGACAGCTGAGAATGTGGTCAGCAAGCCTGCTCTGGAAATGGATACATTCTTAGAACTTTTATTTTCATATTTCTTTCGGGACGGGAAAACATTATTCTGGGCTGTAAAGTGCAATAAGGCGATAGAGCGAAGAAAACAGGACGACGTAATTGAGTGAGTGCCGATAAAGAATCACACGCTTCATATATGTATATATTGCAACGATCGCTTTAGATACTACAGCAAATACGTGAAGGAAGAGTGTAACGTCGGCCTTATACGTCTACTGGATTGCTTTTTAGAGTCTGCTCCCCAAAAAATATTACAGCTCGCGATTGTATTCAGAGATTTCGCAAGTTTAACTTGTAAGTTGTTAAAGGCGGTTTTATTTATTATATTTATTTATGTGCAAATGTTATATTTGTAACATTTTTTTAGATTATCATAGCTTTACATTTTGCATATATTTTGGTACCATTGCTTGGAGCTTAATGTCATATAATCGCTTGAATAGATCAGCGCAATTGGACAAACATGACATCAAAAGTAGAGGGCTTGTCGCGCAATTTGTCTTCCTTCTCTGCTTCACAGGTAATTAAATTTGCTTGTGGAAACCATATGCTTAATCAGCATTTTTTTTTTTTTTTTTTTGAATAGTATCACGCATGCTGTGTATTGCATTCATGGCCAGGACAAATCCCACACACACTTTATACTTCTGTATATTCCACTCCTTGGTTTGTGGCACAATAGTCTCAATAGTCGATGCGCCGAGATTCTCCGGTTCATTAACTATAAATTATATATTTTGCGTAGCATTTGGAGTTGTATATCTCTATATATTCACATCCCTCAAAGAGGGACCAACTAGAAACAAATATATTTTCTATTTAATATTATGTGTTCTAGAAAACATCGCAATTTGTGCATTATACGTGCCATTGTATTACGGAATTTTCATTGTTTTTCTATATGCAATTGGCATCATTATAAATATATTATATTACGTTTATTGGCATCCGAGAATCACTGCCTAAGTATTTGTTATTAAAAATTTTAAAAAATATTTATATAGAAAATAATGTTATTAATATAGACTGTAAACCGAAAGTACATTTTTACCTGATAACGGATGCTGAACTAATTAAGTTATAATAACCAATGCCATCAAATAGTATTCAATAAATGTTATTTATATAAACTATAAAAATTACATGTTTAGTTTTATTTGTTATTCTTTAACTTGCTATTGGTCAGGAACAGTTATTTATAATGTAAATTTGATTGAAAACAATGATTTTAAACAAAAATCATAGTCTAGTTCCATTATGAGAAGTGCTTGAAAATAACTAACGAGAAACTGAATCTAATTTAAATAAGATAAAGTAACATTGATTAAAATAACATACTCAGAACTTTCTATAAAAAATGCAGAGGGGCTAATCTTTTTATTATATGGAAAATAAAATATAACTTTATTTTAATCAACATACATATGTGTGAATAACATTCAATACTTAACAAATTTATTTACATACCCGATTTGATAAAACAGTATTAATTCAGTATTTTGAATTAGTATTTCCAAAGCTCAAGATCAGCATTTTTTATTTAAAAAGCTGGTCACACCAAGCTAGGCTAAGCTAGGCTTAAACATATATTTTTTTTAAACTTTCACTTCAAAAAGGTGGCAAGAGTTTTCAAAATAAATAATAAAGTGCTTGCGATTTATTTAAAGTGATGTAAACATTGCAAATTAAATAAATATGGCATCCAAATATGAGCGCATTATAAACGACTGCCGATCGAGAAACGTACTTTTCGAAGACACCGCTTTCCCTGCCGTTCAAACTTCCGTGTTTTACTACCAAACACCCCCCTTTACGTTCCAGTGGAAGCGAATCGCTGAATTAAACGACGCACAAGCATCTTTCCTCAATGAAAATGCCGAATTCGACGTTATACCTGGGAAAATGGGCGATCGGTGGCTGGTTTCTTGTCTAGGCGTCTTGTACTCATTGCGAAATTTATTTTATCGCGTAGTGCCAGCTGATCAGAGCTTGGCCAAATCATTGGGAGTGTATCGCTTTCGCCTGTGGTGGTGCGGGGAATGGGTGGAGGTGCTCGTGGACGATCGCCTGCCCACCATTAACGGTCGTCTGGCATTTATGCAGCCCCAATCCTCGCATTGCTACTGGGCCCCGCTCTTGGAGAAGGCAATAGCGAAATTGCACGGATCCTACGAGGCTCTTAAATACGGCACACGATCGGATGGACTAAGCGATCTTTTGGGCGGCATTGTGAAGTGTTCGCCGATAATTCCAGATTCCATGAGACCACAAACCCTGAAGGACTATTTAAACACCACCTGCATCGTCACCTGTATAGCGGCTAAAAATGCGACGGTGCAAAAGAAAAACTCTTCAGAACGATTGGCAAACTCGATTCTGGCGAATGTAAATTACAGGTCTGTATAAAATTGGTTACAAATTAAGAATCTATGTATACATATATGATCATTCTGGCTAATGTAAATTTCTAAATCTGCATATCGGGCTTCAAACTATTTGATTTATCCATTGCTTTTTGTAGACTTTCTTCTCTGGATAAGGTGGAAACCATCATTGGCGACTCGGTACAATTGATACGATTGAAGGACACATTTTCATCACAACCCTTTGGGGAGAAAACCAACTTCACTGGCGACTGGTCTCCGACGTCAAAAACCTGGGAACGTGTCTCGACTGCAGAACGATCCAGACTTTTAAATCAACTGGAGTTGGGTGAATTCTGGATCTCGCTTTTAGAGTTTGTACAAACGTTTACGGCATTGGAGTGTGTTTTTCTGGACACAGATACGGCGAATGGCGAACCACTTCTGAAGGAGCGGGCACTGCACTGGAAAATGAAAATGTATCAGGCTCAATGGAAAAGGGGCGTCACTGCGGGCGGTTGTAGGAATCATGAATCATTCCACATAAATCCCCAACTGCTTGTGTCCATACAGGATAAACAGGACATTGTTATTGCATTAAATCAACACACTGCTGTGGAACCAAAAGTAATTGGCTTTACAATGTATATGTGGAATCGGGAATTGAGTTTGAATGAATGTCTGCAAAAGGATTTCTTCAAGAACCATGTCAGCTTTCTAAACTCGGACTACGGCAATACCCGGCATGTGAGTTATCACACCCAACTTGATATTGGCCATTATGTTCTGATTCCGACTACATACGAGCCAGCTGAAGAGGCACATTTCACAGTTAGGATTCTGGGAACAGCTGCGTTCAGGCTGTCCAGCCTGGAAACTCAAACAATGATTCTATTGGATCCGTTTCCCTCCCTAAAGAACGAGGACGATATTCTGAAGATCAAGAGTGTGTGCCAATACGAGCCTGTTTACATGCAACTAGCCGATGAAAATAAGACGATTAATTGCTTTGAGCTGCACGAGCTGTTGGAAGCGTGCCTGCCAAATGACTACATTAAAGGGTGTGCGAACATAGATATTTGCCGACAGGTGATTGCGCTGCAGGATAAAACTGGAAACGGACGTATTACTTTCCAGCAGTTCAAAACATTTATGGTTAATCTCAAATCATGGCAAGGCGTCTTTAAGATGTACACGAAAGAGAAGGCTGGAATTTTGCGGGCCGAAAGATTGCGTGATGCTTTGTATGATATTGGATTTCAGTTGAGCACGGATATTATGAATTGTTTGATACAGCGATATATTCGCAAAGATGGAACCCTCCGTCTCAGTGACTTCGTCTCAGCTGTAATGCATCTAACGACTGCCTTCAACCAGTTTCACCTTAAGAACTATAATCAGGTCAATATTATAGAGGTCCATTTGCATGATTGGATCAAAAGCATCCTTAGTTGCTGAACATTATAAAATAATGTTTTAGGATCGTCTCTTGTTTTTTGTATGTATTGAAAATATTAGCTATTAAATAAAGTTTGTATTTATTACAAAACCAGCATTTATCTTTGGTTTCACAATTAACTATTGCGGTAATAAGCAATCAATCTGTAGCCAGTATTCGGATTATAAAAAAAAAAAAAGAAAATATATATTCTTGATCTAGTTTAGTGGAAAAATGCAATCATTTATACACATATTGTATATCATTTGTTGCTTTTCAATGGAACTCAAATTACATAGGCTATTAGTATAGCACTTCCCTAGTTGGGTAGTTTTGATATTGCATTAGTAAGGACAGATATTAAGCGGTCCGTATATAGGTGTATGGGTATACGTGTATGTATATTTATCATATGTATTGAAAGTATTCTAAAGAGCCGTTCACTCATAGAAGACAATTAGTATGTAAACACAGTGTTATTGCATTAATTTTGTGGACGATGAGCCCGTCAAGCCTCAGTATTGCTCTTGTGTTTCCTTCATATACATAAGTGGTAGTGGTTCTATTCGTGATTTACATAACGTTATTTTCGACGTATAAGCAGGCTATTTAAGTACATAAAACTAATGGACATTACATGGATGTTCCGTTATGGGAAGATGCGTCACTTATGCGTCTAGAAAGTGTCGTCTTGCGGCTCATCGATAGTGAGGATGTTGTTTGATTTGAGCTTAGGCTGGGGCCACCATTCATCTTGGGAAGATCACTCCCTGATGGTGATGATACGAGTGTACGAAGTGGTGAGCGTTTCAAGGAGCCAATAACTTCATGGGGCTCCTGATATCCAGAGTCCATATCGTCATGATAGGAGTCCATCAGAGGCGTGGGGTCTTCGTAATCATAGTCCACAAAACCATTGTTATCAAAAGACTGCAAACAAACCAATTGAAGATAAAATAATCCTCATAAGCCTCAAAAATAAATGAGGACTACATTACCTTCACAAACGGCTGCGACTGTTTAGCGTAGCCTCGAAAAACTTGATTATGGGCCTTACCACGATAATCAACGGCTTCATAGTGTCCATCCGAGTTCTCAATTATGAAGTGTCGCGTACCATGTGGCGTCAGAGTGGCCCACAACAAGCGGCTGTCGTTCACCAGTTGGCTCTGCAACAAATCTCGACTGTTCGCCGTAGCACAAGGATAAAGGATGCCGCCTGAGGTGAATGCATTTGACTTCGTTGCCTCTCCCAAAGCATTTATTGCGGTTTGTTTGATATTCGCATCGTGATACGAAAAGAAGGTACTGAGCCGCCAAGAGACATAAATGTAATTCCCACATTAATTGCAAATCGTGTTGAAATTTTTAAAATACTTACTCTCTGCACCGTATAAGTATCAGTGCTAGGAAGCAACCGAGCACAAAGATTCCAATACACGATGAAACGAAAAACCAAATGTTCTCCAAACTCTTCGTATCGCTCCTTACAAGCTCCATCAGCTCGTTCCCACTGTCGTTATGCTGATGGTTTTGGCCGCACATAAAGGCTGCAAAACATGGCTGGGACTCGTTAGACTGTAGAACGCTATTTATATTCTTGGGCTTTGTTATCAAAAATGATGGCAACGGGGGTGGAGGCATCGAAAGAATAAAATCCGGCGGCGGCCCAGCGAGCTGGTCACAACTTCCAACGCAGTTTCCCAATAATATGTTCATGATGAAGCTACACATATTGAAAATATTCATAGATTATTATGTATACACGTATATGAAAAAAGGGTGTACAAATTAAATGGAATTCATCTTTGAGAAACTTTCATCTTTTGCTTCGATATCTATTTTTTTTTTCAGTTATACGGATATTTATTATCAGCTTCGTTTAATAAATCAATTACCCTTTTTAAGTCCCGATTTGTTGCCATGGTACTTATTATAAAAGAACCACAATAAATATGCATAGCTCTCCAATATTTTTATCGTTTGCATTTACAGACAAACTTGAGGGCGCATGCATAAATATTTAAAAAGCGAATATTTAGCCGTGCATATGAAATTTAAATAAATGAATATCCGTCTAGCAATAGTATTTCCATTTTTATTTACATATAAGTACATGTATGTGCAGGTATAATATATACAAATGTGTGTACCTTACATACATATGTACATACATGTATAGATATGTCTATGCACTTTCTTTTTTAATTGGAATCAAAAGCTATGTTTCGGCTATAACTTTATATTTAATATTAATGTTTAATAATGTTAGATTTTGGGATAAACAGACATATTGTGCTACAATTTACAGCGAAAGTGAAAATTCCGACAATTTATTTCAGCGCCGATGATAAATGATAGAATAAATGCAAACCTTAATGTGTAAACGTCCTTCGCGAATGAAAACTTCGTCCAAACTGCCCAACTTGGAAATCTCAATCTGAATAGGCCTCAGAGTTATAGAAAGGAGTGCGCGCGCATGTACGCAGTGGCTTAAATAACCCCTCCGTATTTGGCCACACCCAGTTATAGTGTATAGATATTTAGCCACCCTTCGGATGCGTAGCTTTGCTGCTATTTTACAAGCCAATTACACAGATGATTAGCCATTCTAAGGCGCGAAGGCAGACTTGCTCCAAAAATTTAATTAAATCCATTTAGAACATTCAAAGGAAAACATTTATAAAACAAAATGGTGGAAAAGCCTAATAATACTTATTAATGTATTTAATTACAAATTTTTGTTCGAATACTGTGCACAAAGGTACATACTATATATATGTATATTAGCACATACATCCACTTGTATAAAATTCGTGCCGGAATTCAGTCATGGATCTGTGCGTTCATGTTTGTACATGCATAAATACACCCAAACACATACATATGTATTTGTATACAGTTACTTAATTTTACATCAGAGAAATCCTATTTTAAATAGTATATGCATATTGACTTAATATTTACATTAATAATATTGATTTCGAAGGCTAAAGCTAGTCTATGATTTTCATTTTGCGTCCGTAAAACAAGCCTTATGCACGCCTATTTATATACATATGTACATACATACAAACATATGCACAAAAACAAATACATATGTATAGTTGAAGAAAAAACATTTAATATAGCCTATGTGAGTGAAGGCATTACGATTTCAGATTCCAACGAATTGTATTTATTTTTTATCGCCGTAAGTCATTACGACGCCTACGATTAAGGCCAGGACAGTGAATCCTTGAGCGGCAATTCTGGTGCGCATCATCAGCTGTGACATCTGGCGATTGCCAGTGCGGAAATTGTAGAGGCCAACTGTTAATGCAGCAGTGGTCGCCAAGCAACCTGCGTTGAATAAAAAGATGCGAATGTTTTTATTATTGTTTATATAATTGACTTGTGAAATTGCACCGCTGCCTACCTAGAGGCACCAATGGATTCTCTTTTATTTTACGCTGCATTTTTTCCTTGGTCGTTTCAACTTCTACTACAGGCCCTAGATCCTGACGCAGTTGGATCCAGTCCAATTCCTCCTCGGGAAGCGACACTTGTATCTTGTTTGACATCTTTACGGCTATGTTTAAACAAATAGCTTCGACACTATTATTAAACCATCATACATAGAGAGTAAAGTAAGCAGCGCCTTTTATTGGAACGTTTCGGAATAGAACAGTTTATATCCCGAGCAACGCTGAGTACCACATTAAAATATCGATAAATCAAGCAACAGCCGAAAAAAACTTTAATATTTATAAACATTTGTATATGTATATATAGTATATTTTTCCATGTTTTCTAAGCTGTGCTCTGTAGTTTAATTTCTTTTTAACAACAGTTCAATAACATACAATATTTAACGATATACTTTTAAGTCCAATTTTAGATCATACTAATATTTTCAGTTAAATGTTTAAGTAGAAGTGTGAAATCACCACAAAAAGAATGGATTTGATTGATCCAGACAACTCCAAGCCCTGATATACGAGGAGTGTTCAAAAAGTAAGGTAGATTTATATTTTTTTTATCGTCAAATATTTATTTATTGATCAACATTTATATTGTTTCCTTCAAAGTAATCTCCCTCAGATACAATGAACTTGTGCTAACGCCAATCTTCAAAGCACTTCTCGTAAGCACGTTTTGGTATAGCCATGAGCTCCTCTTGCGATACAGTTTTTATTTCATTAATCGTTGTAAATCTCCGTCCTTTTATAAGTCTTTTAAGTTTTGGGAACAGGAAAAAGTCGTATTATTAACTATGGCAAGTTAACATTTCAAGTGCATTAGAGCACTTTATTCCATTTTTTAACGCAAAATTTAATACATATTCTTTGATCCATTGAACGATCTTTCGTTTCGCCAGGATAACGCGCCATGCCACACAGCCTATGCCACAATCGATTTTTGGTCATCGTGTTATCAGCCTGTGATGTCAATTAGAAGGTGCGATTTTAAGTCGTTAGACTTTTTAATGTGAGGTGCCGTAAGGGTTCCATGCGAAGCTAGCCGCGACATGAATGAAATCGTCGTTCCTAAATAATGGAAATGTTTGCTCTTTCGAATAAACGATTATTCGTACATTTCAATTCGTTTTTATTATATTTTTTTTTACATTTTTATAAAAAGAAAACCATATGAATCACCCGGTATTTCGGGAATAATAAATAAATAAATACTTTATGTATGTATGTACGCAAATAATGCTTTTTATTCAGAAAATTACTTCAAATAAAATTTAGAATCAAAATATCTAAATCACTGGACGTTGAATTAAATAAACATTTCTTTAGCATACGAGAAATAGCAGCTATTTTATTTTAAATTAATATCTTACTATTGTAATGGCTATATGTACATACTTACGTGTATGTAAGGATGTACATAAGGTTTTACATGCATACATATGGCTACATATGTATTTGTGCGAAAACACCCTCGTGATGATCAAATAAAACCTAAAAAATTTGTCTGTTGGGTATTTGTGACCTCACTCACACGCTTACACACAGCTGCATATTCCCACATTGTTTCTTCTCTTTCTCTCGCCATTTAAAACGAGAGCGCTATGAAGTACAGTCTGACGGGGAACGCAAAATAAAACATGTGTGTGTGTGTATGTAGTGTGTAGGCAAGCGTATTGATATGGGTATGTACATATACATACATGCATACATATGTATGTATGTTTAATTGCGCGTTTTGCGCTGAAATTTATTGCCTCTTTTCACTTAAATGTACATTTTAGTTGTGTGAAAACTGATTCGTAATTTATAAATTACTTAATAGATACATATATAAATATGTATGTGTTCATTTTATATTGTTTTGTATGTACATGCATACACTATATATACATGTATGTATGTAAATAGCTCTCTCAAAATATTCTTCATACATACAAACATCTTCATACATACAAACAGACATACATTTGTATGTATGTATGTACATATACACTATATGCATACGTTTATATATGGATACATGCATACATACATATATTCATAAATTTGTGTGTGTTTATGTGCATGCATTTAATTTCTAAACTATTAATATTTGCCATGCTCTCGTGAACAGCGAACGTTCACACGTATGTACATACATACATACATACGTATGTACGTTAATAGAAGCATTCGTTCTTTTGTAAAATGTGTTAAAAGTAACAAGGGACAAGTTTTCAATATGCATATACGTACATACATACATTTGTATGTATGTACATATGCTTGTATGTATTTATAAAGTCTGTTTCTGTTTCCCTCCACCACGTGTATGTACCCAACACTCTCAATTCATTCGACCAGAGACGCAAAGAGAAAGTTTTTTTGCTCAGTAAACTGTACTCTGAGTATGCCGACGCTCTCGCGCTCTCACACAGATAGGTACTGTCGCTCACCGATGCACACATACATGCAAACTCTAGGCATTCAACGCATACAGAAGTTTAGCTGTAGCTGTGGCGCAGTCAGGCTGGGTTATGAAGCACAGTAAGGCGGCAGAGACGGCAATTCAATTCAATAGCCTTTCGTTGTTGGTACTCTCTGTGTGTGTTTTTCAATAAAGCGAGCGGCGTGCGAACCTCATCTTTTCTTTCCGCATTGATATTTTGATACAACAATAATACACAGTGTACTACAATAAAGGCTGCGTTTGTTTATTTTTTATTAGTAACTAAAAACAAACGGTAAAAACAAAAACAAAAAAAATTAAAGAAACGACGCAAACTCGCGTTGCAAATACTTTACGGTACTCTTTACGTTGCCTCGACGGCAGCGTTTAGAATCTTCATCGGTAAATTTCAAATTAGCGTATTCTGGTGTTTCTCTGTCGTAGTCCGTGGTCGTCGTCGTCCCGTTCGCCGTAGTCGTCATCATATAATCAATACAACGTAAAACAAACGGCGTACGCCGTACGGGTGACGAGAACAGAGCGAAAGCTGCTACTGGCGTGGAACTCCACCGCCATTGACAAAGTGGTCACAAAAAAGTGTGCCGTGCAAGAAGACAAACAAAAAAGCATAAAACAGAAATAAGAAAAGTGGCAGTAGGAACGGCAATAACATAGCAATATATACGTTAAACATTTGCGTATTCAAGTTAGTCGTTATAAACATAAATTTAAATACAAATTAGAATCGCACTCAGGCTCGGATTCTGGCACAATTATGGAGCATTTTCAGCATCAAATTCAGGTAAGCTTGCTGTACAGGTACGCAAATTAATGCGTTATGGTTGCCGCGTTTTTTGACCAGGTTTCAAGTTTTCCCGCCAATAACAAAATTAAATTGTCATGCCAAACACAATATTATACATTACAAATGTGCATATTAATATAAGTGTGTGTGTTATATGTCTAGGCAACAATAAAAGTGAATTAAAATGCCGCATTGTATTTTGGGAACGCGTACTACCATGGAAATTTTTACAATGGCCGGGGCTTTTAAATGTATGTACATACCTACGAGCATACAAACCTACATATATGCGTACATACATGTATATAGTGCTTTCTGCTGAGCTCTGGTAACTACATAACTATCTATGTGCGTATTTATGTACATGCAGACGTATATGCAATAATATACATACATACGTATATACACGAACATACATATATACATACGTGACGCTGCTGCACGAGCAAATTTTATTTTGCGTGCGCATCTAGAGCCGCCATTTTTATTTTACTTGTTTGCATGTACATATTTACATCCAATCGAATATATGTGCAGGCTTTATTTATGTTTAATGCAAAATCCGCGAAAAAATGAAACAGAATAGCTTTAAGCAATAAAACAGCATATGACGCCGTTCTTCAACATTTTTTAAAATGCAAAATGTGTACTGGTGTATGTGTGAGCGAGCATGCATACATATGTACAATATACACATGCATGCATACATGTGTAAACATATATGTATACGTACATACGCATGTATGTATGTACAATGTGTCTGTGGGAAAAACTTGAATATGCACAGCAAACTAAAACGAAGCTTGCGTAATCTGAAAGGTATATATATGTACATATACATATGTGAATGAATACATGCCTATATTTATGTACATATGTATGTATATACATTTCAGTGTGTTGTATGCTTAAATTTTGTCTTGGCCTCATAGTTTTTGGATTTCTTGTCACTGCCATGAAATTACAATATGTACACATGTATGCAGGTTATACATGTTTGTATATACATATGTATGTATGTAAGAAACGCCGAAATGCTTTGTCAGCCAGCTCTCTTGCAACCATTTTCTTTTTCGTTCTAAATGTGAGCCTTTTTATGTATCTACATACATACATAAGTATGTATGCATACATGCACAATGTAGGTGTGTATTTTATGCCGAAATGTACGTTTGTATAAACTGTATGTATATGTACATACATATGTGCACGTACGCACGTGTGGTAGGGTCTCAAAATTAGTGAAACGAATTGTGCATTTCAGTAAGCTTGTTTCTTCTTTCTATTCGAAAAACTGGCTTTAGGTCTCTGAAACACATACATACATACATTTGTATGTACATGCATTTGAGTTCTCTCTTTCTCTCTCTCTCTCACACACATGCATTTTCACATATCTGAACGTATGGAATTGAGAACCCCTTTGAGCTGCAGAATGCAAAAAATAAATGTTTTAAAATTACATATAAACAATTTGATATTGTTTATTTTGTTTGGTAATATGATGGTGGTATTTCAATTTTCGTTAAACAAGGAATCATATGTCAGTCTACGTATACATATGTATGTATATGTGTATGTTAATGGATAAGTCAATACCGAATGGCTAAAATCATTCGATAAACCGGCTCATAAAGCGAACCAGAGAGCAAGAGTGAGCGAGAGAGAGTTCACAATTTTTTGAACTTGTTGGTTGGGCATCGCTTCGTCAGAGACGTGACCTTTTCAGCATTGTGGTGGCCAAACGGACATACAAAACAAGGAATACATACATATATAATAAACAAACATACATACATATGTAAAGTTTCAAAAGTAACTGATTTTGATGTTTTTAACTTAGCAAAAAGAGAGAGAGCAAGAAACAACATCGCAATTCAATTTAACAAGTACGCGTCGGTTTTGGCGCTAAACGCGCAACCTTGCAATAACAACAACAACATTGGGCAAACAACTGAGTGTTTTGTTTAGTAAAACTCGCGAGCGTTCTTTCTTCATACAAGCATACCTATACGCATATGCATGCCAACAATGCAAAAGCACCGCTGATTTGTTTGTTTGTTTGGTTGTTTGGGAAGATTGCCCAGCGAGAGGAGCAAAGCCAAGTTGCGTTTTCTCTCAGCCGCATTATATATAGCCCATTTCACTGTATAATTGGGGCATAAAAAGGGCATGTGTACCGCCTATTCATGGATTTCTGCAAGGATTATTATACGGTTTGTTTTTTATTTTGAATTGTGAACCGCATTTACACATTTTAACTAATTGTTGGCAGTCAATTTTATTTTGATTTATATTAAAGTAGCACGCTTGAAACCTGACGTAAGTTAAACTGTAACAAGCAGCTGTATTACAAACATACACGAACACAAGTGCATATATATTGATATGGAAATGTTTTCCATTCCATATTTGTAAATATGCGCAACTGTTAATTAACGTTTTTTAGTGGTTATTGCGATTGCCTTGCAATAGCGCTCTGGTACAACAACAATGTTTGGAGTTGTTGCAAAGCGCTGTAGCAATAGGGCATATGAGCATATAATCACATAAAAACATAAACAAAAACCAAAACTACCAATTATTGATCAGCAAACACTTCAACAATATCAGCAGCAATTAGCTGCGCAGCAACAACAACAGGCTGCAGTACAACAACAACAGTTGCAACAACATCAAGTTGTTGTACAACAAAACCAGCAACAAGCGCATCAAAATAGCTCCAACACCACAGCCGGCGTTGGAACCCAACAGCTCTTCACATACAAAATGGCCAGCAGTTTTCCGAATCCAGCCACAACAATGGCCCAAGTGGTGGCCACATCTAACGCCGCTGGCACCACAGGCTACGACTACCGCCTAAACATGGCACAGGCAGCCGCAGCTGCCGCCGTCCCCGGCTCCCAATGGTGGTATTCGGCCGCCAATCAGGGACAAGTCGATGCTAACGCAGCCGCGCAACTCCAACAGCAGCAGCAACAACAACAACAGCAGCAGCAACAACAACAGCAGCAGCACCAGCAACAGATGCAACAACAGCAACAGCAACAGAATGTCATCAATTCGGCTGTAAGTACACATTTTTGTTCATATGTATATATACCATAATATCTTATATGATATATCTGAACTACAAGTTGATCAATTGGGGAAATGTTAATAAAAATTGCCAATTTAAAAACTATAGAAAAAAGTCTCCGAAGTTCTTTTGTCTTTTTTTAATCCTAGAAATTTAGAAATTAAATTTCGATTAATTTTTGAAAATCAGAAACCTTTTTACGAACACCATTCACAGCTTAAAGTTAAAATTACTAAACTGTAATTGGAAATTAAACATTTTAATCTGTTGACCAACCCAAATTTAAACAAATTAGAAAGAAATTCGCAATTAGTTAAAAAAAGGGATCTAAACTTAGTCTTAGGATATCCACAGTTATTGCTTGTTACTATACGCACCAATCTTATTATTATTTCTCAATTTCCGATATAGAGTCCAATGATCAGAGGAAAAGCTGATGCAAAGCCCAGAGGTCGAATGACAGCATACGCATACTTTGTACAAACTTGCAGAGAGGAGCACAAAAAGAAGCATCCTGATGAAACCGTGATATTTGCTGAGTTTTCACGAAAATGCGCTGAGCGATGGAAGGTAATTGTTATTGTTGTTACCAAATGTATGTGCAATGCAAGTAATTAATAAATGATGTATTTCTTTATTAATAGACTATGGTTGATAAGGAGAAGAAACGCTTTCATGAAATGGCCGAGAAGGATAAGCAACGGTACGAGACGGAAATGCAGAACTATGTACCTCCCAAGGGTGCTGTCGTGGGACGTGGAAAGAAGAGGAAACAAATTAAGGATCCGAATGCACCGAAACGTTCATTGTGAGTTCGTAGCAAACTTTTAAAACTGAAATTTTAGTAGCATGTCCAAGCTGTTCAACATTTTAAGATCTGTCAACTAATATTGGATGTATTTAATCTTAATCTTCAATAAATAGGTCTGCATTCTTCTGGTTCTGCAATGATGAAAGAAATAAAGTGAAGGCTCTAAACCCGGAGTTCGGTGTTGGTGATATTGCCAAAGAGCTGGGGCGGAAATGGTCTGACGTTGATCCCGAAGTAAAACAGAAGTACGAATCGATGGCAGAACGAGACAAAGCTCGATATGAACGGGTATGTAGGGACAACTTGAAATTTTTAAATGCAGTTTTCTGAAATCCTGCCCATATTATCTACAGGAAATGACCGAATACAAGACAAGTGGGAAAATACCTATGTCAGCCCCGTCGATGCAGGCCCAGGCACAAGCCGTACAGAAAGCTGCGTTACTAGCTGCTGCCGCTCAACAACAGCATCAGCAACTCGAGGAGCAACATGACGACGACGATGGAGATGGCGATGATGACGAAAACCAATAGGTCTAGCAGTAAATACTCTTCACTATTTATAACACTATCGGTGGTCATCACGAACAAGGAAACATGATATATCGTTAGTTAATCTAATATGCGGTTAACTAATGTGTATTAAATATATATACATACATATATATATATATATATTTACGAGTATATGTATAATTTTTTTTTGTTTTAAAAATAAGTAATCAAATTTCCGTGAAAAACTGAATGAGAAAATCACAAAGAAACATTTTTAAGTTCTATTTTAAGAGTAACATAATTAAGTATGATTAGATTAAAAATGACATTAACCTGTCTGCAAACCCTTATTTGTGCTTATCAGTGCTAAGTTTCTCCCACAAAAACAAATGATGAAAATACTATGAACGGAATAAGTTTATAACTTGAGGAAATTAGCTTCATGTCATTTTTCACGAACATGAACATTAACAACTTACAAACCACACAACCATATACATAAATATTGGTAATTCCCATTTATTAATGTTAGATTCACCATAATGGAACTAAACGAAAACAAAAAATATTAATAATAATAATAATGCGTTTACTCGTTAGAGTTACAGGAAAACTCAATGAAACGTGATAATGTGAAATACTTAACTCAGTGGCGGGTGAAGTCTCTCTAATATATATATATATATATTACACGCATATGTATATACACATAGATACATATATAACATACACACACATTACTTTCAGAATGCTTCAGAAGGCAGTGCATTGATTTTTCTGTCGATTTTCATCAAGGCTTCCACTAAATAGAGTCGGCAACTGTGGAACGCGTGGGTATTATAATACATATATGTATGTATGTGCATATGTACAAATGAAGATTAGTGGCCGCCGTTAAGATCGTTCAATAAAAGTGGCTTTGATATATATATACATATATAAATATTATATGCGAATTGCGTTCAGTTTTTTTAAATAAGAATTTTTTTTTTCAAATTCATATATACGCATATGTATATATATATAGTTTTCAAATCGAAAGTAAATATTGCCGTGTGTTTCAGCGTTGAGCGTTACGACGACATTGGATAAATGAAATACAAATGCAATCTGCATATATTAATGTTATGTTAAGGTTGTTAAACTTTTACATAAACACATCTACATCGTTTAAACACACAACGGACAGAACTATTGTCTGGATAATGTACATATAGAAGTATTATTTAAAGTAAATCTTAATGCTAGGAAGTTAAGGTGATGCGCATAAATGGCTAAGAATCATTTAAAAAGAGAACCCTACGAAATGTATTTCCAGTGTTAGAAATGTTCCTATGGTGCTTTAAAAAACGGCACTAAAGGAAATATTTTCATTGCTCCATTAAGAATTACACCTGATGTAGTGTGCCAATGGCCAAGAATACGAAGCGTCGATTTTTTTTTAAACTTCATTTTTTTTTTCGTTACGGCACTCCATTATTCATTTGTATATTATTTTCACAATGTTGCTAGAGAAGAACTCGCCACCGAGATGATATTCATAAACGTATAGCTCATACCTTTTTGATTTTCAACATAAAAACGACAACAAAAAACAAAAATATGTAACTTAAATTAATTTAGTATACAAATTCCAGTTCCCTGTGCTTGTGTTAAGAAGGAACTTATATAAATAACGTTTTAGAAAAGAGATTCTTTAGATGCAATGATGTAAGTTTTCCAAAATATTTGAGCGAAATGTCTTCAATAAGGCAAACGCGGCATCGTCTGCCGCATTTGTACAGGTCAACGTTTTTCCTACGTTTTTCCATTTGCTTGAGCTTTCCAAATGTTGATCCTTTTCTAATAACCCAAAATGAAAAAAAATTAAGAATAATAAATAAATACAACCCAATACACAGAGTTCTTGAATTATAAGTATGAATTACGTTAGCAATACTATGGTAGTGACTAAGATTTTTTTTAACTTTTTTTTCTATGAATTTACATGATCCTGTAAAAATAGTTGAAAATAATAAATATAATTTAGTTAGATGTACGCTTATAAAGGCAAATTTGAGAAATTTGGTTCTAATTGATGTCCATCGATCGGCTCCCTTAAAGGAGTAGAGCTGATTGAGTATCGCTATATTGGGCTTTAATCCTTTGAATATCAGTCAGTACTATGCGGCGGCACCATGCTCATTTGTAAAAGATCTAAAAAGTTATACACCTAATTCTGTTTTTACACGGTTTTGATTTAACACGGGTTGAAAATTAAAAATTTTATATATGGTTGCACGACTTTATTCCATTTAGTACGATTGTGCATATTGTCTGTTTTTACACAAATTTGTTAAGAACCAATCTACCGTGTAAAAACAGAATTAGGCGTATATGTACATACATTATCTTGCATGTATTTTGTATCTATGTGCATATTTACATATTTCCATACGATAGTTCAAACTATCGGGGTTTTAAAAAGCAACAGATTGGTAGGAGGTGTAGGTTAGGAAGCTCATTTCCGCACGCAAAAATTAATAAACAGCTTTCTAGATATGCCGAAATGATATTTTAGTACGGATCATACATACATATGTATCCTAAAATTTATTAGTTTATGCTAAGCTTATTACTACGAATGGAATGTACAGCTGTGTGTATATATATACACATATATACACAATTATTGGGTGCATGTATGCAGCCACATTACACATGCATATGTACGTGCAGTCACATTACACATATGTGTGTATGCAGTCACATATGAACTTGCAGATAATTATCGAAAATCGATAGGCGTAGTTTAGTGGGATCGAGGTAAGATTGTTTTTTTTTAATTCAATAATTTCTGCGACCTATCATAATGGTCACCCAAGAGCACAAGCGGTCTACGTAATTATATTTGTTGTGTGCTATCGCCACCTCCGATTGAAATCGATTGAGTTATCGTGTGGCTGTGGTCGCAGCGTAGTGAATCTCCATGCATGATGAAAATACTGTGTAGTGTATAATCCCAAAAGAAAATAAATAAATCCTACATTCAACAAGTGAAACAACGTCTTTTCAGCATTTGGGAACTGTAGTAATTGTAAAAGAATTTAATTATAAAAAAGAGCAACAAGGTAAAAAAGAGGACCTCAAAATAAAATCCATATGTATGTTTCCGTGAACATATGTGTATGTATATGTGTGTCTGCAATTGACGTAGATTTGAGGCAACGGAAACTAGAAAACAGCGATCAGCATGAGCTGCTTTAGTGCAATGAATACTCCCCTACTTGGGGAAATGGAACAGACCATATCGATGTTGGAGCGAGGCACAATAGTTACGAAATTATATGGAAAGCAAAGACGTCCCGATCGACGTCATCTCATGCTCATTCGGGAGGCTCGTCAGCTGTTATGGTCAACAGTGGCTGCAGAGACCCGGACCGACTATGAAGGAACCATCGAGTTGCGTGAAATTCGAGAGATACGGGTGGGGAAGAACTCCAAAGAGTTTCGCCTACATGCCGATGACTGCCAACGCTTTGATGGGAGCAAATGTTTCGTCATTTTGTATGGCAACAATTTTAAATTGAAAAGCTTCTCAGTCGTTGCTCTATCTGAGGCTGAGGCCGACAATTGGGTGCGAGGGTTACGCTATATGGTGAAAGACACCATTAATGCGCCGTATCCGTTGCAAATAGATCGCTGGCTACGACGGGAATACTACTCGATCGAGAACATTCACGCACACTCCTCAAAATCCGAACAGTGCACTCCAGTCACAATCAAGGACTTCAAAATGTTCTTGGCTGGGGTGAGCTGTAAAATGACGACGAGTAAATTTATGGAGAACTTCTCGGATGATGTGAGGCGGAAGCACGATCTGAAATTCGATGATTTTTCGCGGCTGTATCAGAAGCTTTTGCTACCAGCCAATTTTATAAGCATTCTTTGTGGAGTTACTGAGTTCTCATATTCAGAAGATCAGAAAACTGTGCGACCTCACGAATTCAGGAAGTTCTTACAGGTTGAGCAGCGTGATCCCAATATAGGGGAGCTCAATTCGATTTCCGGTTTTATTCGGGATTTTGTGCAAGACGTTGAACGGGATGTTCAGGAACCATACCTCACAATACCCGAATTCGTAGATTATCTCTTCTCCAAGCAGAATGATTTGTGGGATAAAAAATTCGACGCAGTGTTCATGGATATGAACCAGCCGTTGTCTTCCTATTGGATTGCATCATCCCACAATACATATTTGACTGGTGATCAGTTTTCTAGCGAGTCTTCCTGCGAAGCGTACGCGCGAGCCCTTCGCATGGGGTGTCGCTGTATTGAGCTAGACTGTTGGAATGGTCCTGACAATTTGCCCTATATATTTCATGGCCATACAATGACTTCGAAAATTAAGTTCATGGATGTTATAAAGACAATCAAGGACCATGCATTTGCGACGTCTGAATATCCGGTAATTTTATCGATCGAACAAAACTGTTCATTGGAGCAACAAAGAAATATGGCCCAAGCCCTTATTGAGGTAAGTAAAAGGAAATTTCCACTTTGTCGAACACTTTTAAACCTAACAGATTTTATCAGAGCTTTACTTTATTATACATCTATCTCCATGAGTGTATGTATTTTTAAAAATAATTTTTTTAAATATAGTTAACAGCTATTAAAGCATGCATTTTTGAGAATACAAAATGTTTGATATATGTATGTGTATTTATTATACATACGTGTACAATGTAATACTTATGCTACATGCATATATTTGATTTATTGTGTTTGTAGGTTTTTGGAGATTTACTTCTCACTCAACCTTGTGATCGCAATGAAACACATTTACCATCGCCTTATCAACTGCGTCGTAAAATTATTCTGAAGCATAAAAAATTACCACAATTCGATGAAAACCTTAGTACAATCAATTTACCCACATCTAACGTTAGTAATGGCACAATGACTTTTAATCACCGATCTTCTATAACCGGAACTGTTGATGATAACGACAGTGTACGCAGAGTGTTGAAAGAGGGTCTTCTATATTTTAAAGACCCCGTCGATAAGTCCTGGAATCTTTATCAATTTGTGTTGACACAACAAGAGTTAATATATTCGTCTGAGATCAATGAGAATCGGAATGGGAACTCAGAGGATGATGATTTTGGCCTTTCGACGTGCTCCTTGAATAGCACAATTCAGCAAAAGCAAAAGGATACTTCTGCAAATGATGAGCTGCATTTTGGAGAGAATTGGTTCCACGGCAAATTAGAAGGTGTGTTGGTAAACTAACTGTTAAAGATATATGTATAGATATTTGAACTAACATATAATCATTCTATATCTATATTGGACAGGTGGCCGACAAGAAGCTGATCAATTGCTGCAAAAGTATAAACATTTGGGTGATGGCACTTTCTTAGTGAGAGAGTCAGCAACATTTGTGGGTGACTATAGCTTATCTTTTTGGCGTCGAAATCGGCCAAACCACTGTCGTATTAAACTAAAGCATGACAACGGATCGATTAAATACTATCTAGTCGAGAACTTCGTATTCGATTCATTATACTCGCTGATTGTGTACTATAGGAAGAATATGTTACGCAGTTCCGAGTTCTCCATCATTTTAAAAGAGCCAGTGCCTCAACCCAAGAAGCACGAAAGCCAAGAATGGTTCCATCCCAATACCACAAAAGAACAAGCAGAACAAAGTCTTTATAAATTGGAAATCGGTTCGTTTTTGGTGCGCCCTTCAGTTCAAAGTCTAAATGCTTTTGTCATATCATTCACCATTAATCGTAAAATAAAGCATTGCCGAATTATTCAAGAAGGCCGCCTATATGCGATTGATACGATGCAATTTGAATCCCTTGTGTCTTTAATTCATTATTATATGCGTAATCCGCTTTATCGCAACGTAAAACTAGTCCATCCCGTTTCGCAGGAGTTGTTGAGGCAAACGCTTCTCGAAAACTCACAATTCGATCATGGTAGCGCGGACGGCACAGCCGCCTCTAACTATATGGGCTCCAATTTGGAAGAATATGTTACCTGCAAGGCACTGTACAGCTACAAGGCCGACAAACCCGACGAGCTATCGTTCCCCAAACATGCAATAATTACCAATGTTCAACGGAATAACTCGATGTGGTGGAAAGGCGATTACGGTGGCATGATTCAACACCATCTCCCAGCGAATTATGTCAAGGTACAAATTAAGATAAGGCAAATTATACGTTATTTTCCTCATTAAAATATATTTATTAACATTTGTACATTTGTGCCAAGTTGACTGATTTATAATCTAAATTTTTACCCCAAGGTTATTGACTCGGCTACTGAGGATTATAATTCGCTTAATGATGACGGCAACGATAGTCGCACCGATTCAATAGAGATATATGGAGCTGTGGCATCTTTCTTTGAATCCAATGAGCCTGGAATTTTGATTAAGCTTCAAATTCAGACACCAACAATGCAAAATCCATTTATAATCGGTTTCGACAATCAAGAGACGGCCTATGAGTGGATTAAGGCCATACAGGATGCTGCCCTAATAGCCAGTCAATTGGCTACAGAGAGACGCAAAAAGGAGCGCACCGCTCGTGTTGCAAAGGAAATGTCCGATTTAATCATATATTTTCGCAGTGTGCCGTTTCGCGAGCACTCCTGGATATTTCAGGAGATGTCCAGCTTTCCGGAAACTAAAGCGGAGAAACAATTCTTTCAACAAAACATGCAGCTATTCCTATCATACCATCGCAATCAAATAAGTCGAGTGTACCCGAAGGGACAGCGTCTGGACTCATCCAATTTTAATCCAGTACCATTCTGGAACATCGGATCTCAGATGATAGCACTCAACTATCAGACTGGTGACAAGGCCATGCAATTGAATCAGTCGAAATTCCGCAATAATGGACAATGTGGTTATATATTAAAGCCGGCCTTCATGATGCTGGATAGCTTTAATCCCAATAACCCATTATCGGATGGACTTAATGAAATTAAAGTCTCGATACGCATTATTGCCGCCCGACATCTATTTCGTGGTGGAAAATCGAACAATCCACAGATTGTGGTGGAAATTTGCGGCGCCTCGTTCGATAGTGGTATCAAATATCGCACTAAAGTAAACGAGAATGGTTTCCATCCCATATGGAACGAATCCTGTGAGTTCATCGTGCGCAATCCCCAGCTGGCTTTGCTAAGATTTGAGGTCCAGGACGAGGATATGTTTGCCGAAACGCATTTCATAGCGCAGGCTTGCTATCCTTTAAATTGCGTACGCCAAGGCTATCGCAGTGTTATCCTGCGCAACAAATTTAGCGAAGAGCTTGAGCTCTCTTCCCTGCTTATCCATTTAAATACTGTAAATGTTTCATAATTAAGGCAAAGATTTGATTCTAAACAAGCTTACGTACAAAATGAATATATCAATGAAATGAAAAGGATTGCGCATTTCCATGACAAATGTCATGGCTGCATATAAGCATTCCTAGAATCGATGTACTAAACAAATTTTTAAATGTGCTTCCATAACATTGTATGTATGTGTATCTATTTATGTATGACCATTTATTTATTATTCTTTAAAGTGCCTACATATGTATGTACTATGGACTTCTTTACTGAGATTTATGACTTGCATTTTTATACTTCACTACCTGCATATGTATACATATATATTTATATATATAAGTATGCACCCAAGTACAATATATTGTGTGTATTTATTTAACTATTTTCTTTATAAGCCTAATTAAACGTTCCAATTTATTTATCAATCAATGTCTGATATGTAATTTTTCAATAATTATATGCCAAATAAATCCAGTTTGTTATATGTCTACATACCCTTTCTACTACAAGACTATGGTAGAGTTGTTCGCTTTCGATATACATACAAATGCGTATGTATCTGTGCGTTTGTTTACAATTTCACAGAAACAGGTGAAGCAAATATGTATCTGTACTGTTTCGTGTCAACTTATCAATCATGTACATACATATGTAATGCTAAGTGCAGACTGCTTCCGCGCATTTAAAATATATAGCAAGATCATATTACTTCTATTGGTAATTGTAGAGTAGGGTCAATAATTTGTGGAGGGGCTTTTAACTTCAAATTTCCAGGAAAATCAATATGGTTAGGTTAATGGGCAAATGAAATGTTTAAAACATACTTAATAAATTAGTCAGTGAAACATAAGTTTTATTATTTATTTGTCGATCGGTGTTTGTATATGTGGATATATGTATGTTACTTGAACTAGAATTCGCGTCTATGATATTTGTCAGGATCAAAGTATGAAGTGACAACAACGCGATCACTGAATTTACGTCCAGTCAATGCTTGCTGAGCCTTTTGGCAATCGAGAACCGAGTTGAATTCGACAAATACTTTGCCGCAGCCTGGAACTTCGACTCCTTCAATTGGACGTGGTATTTCAACACTGCGCACAACACCGTACTTTGTGCATTCCTCTTTAATATCCTCAAGTATATCTTCATATTCCTCCTCATCGCGCAGTTCATCGGGAGTCACCATGTTAAGCAAGCATAGCACTTCAGTCGGCGGACCCGAGCTAACAACATTCGATAACCCTGGTACTTGCAGCATTACGGACTGAGTAGTATTAGAAGCATTTTGTGCATTCTTGGCACCCACACTGGCACGCTGAACAATGAGTTTCTTGTCTCCCAACTGCATACCATTCAAGCCAGCAATTGACTGAAAAAAAATGAGGGATAGAGTTTCAATTGTTGAATTCTTGTGCAGAAAGACAGAGACAGAAGATAACATAGCGTAAGATACATTCATTCCCTTTATAAATTTAACATGATATATTTTGTATTTACCTGATCAGTAATGCTTAGATCAACATATTCGCAAAAGGCATAGCCCTTACTTAAGCCATTAGCAGCGTCTTTGACCAAATTAAAGGCCCGCAATTGTCCAAATGAAAGTAACAATTCTTTAACCTTTGATTGAAAACAAATAAAAGAATTTGATTAAATCAAATGGGAAGAGGGTAGTTGCGTTTCTTTCGAAGATCCTAACTTACCTGATCGTCGTTCAAATAGTTTGGTAAGCCACCAATAAATATTTTGTGGGGCGAATCTGGCACCACTGTCGATATAACTCCAGTAGAAACTAAAAAAGATTGAAATTTATTTGTAATATTTTCTACTAGATACAGAATTGGAAGGCAATTATTAAGTACTTACGAACAGCAGGCTTTATTGCCGGTGTATCTGTAATACCAGGCATGGGCTGGTAATCATGTGGACGCCTAATTTTTAAGCTTTGACCCTTAAAACTAATACCATCGAATGCCATGGCCTGAGTTGTCTCATCTATTGAACGAAACTCGAGAAAGGCAAAGTTTTTGTCCAAATTTATTTGGCATGCCAATACTGGACTTCCGGCAGCTTGTGCTAGGCCCACCAAGTGCATTTGTTGATTGAAAAACTCCATCATCTCATCCTCAGTTACTCCAAACGGAATGTTGCCAACGTACAAACGACGAGCCTGACGTGTGATTGTTGACCCAACAACGGGCACAGCAGTTTGTGGGGTATCGGGCACGACACTTGCCGGGATCTGTCCCGATGCTTGCATAGCTTTGTACTGCATTGGTGTTATATGCTCGAATCCAGGCGGAGGTACATCCCAATAAAGGGACGGCTTGCGACGCGAATTGCGATGGTGGCGGCGGTCCCTTGAGCGATGACGATCGCGGGAACGCGAGCGATGGCGGCGTCTGTCACGGTCACGTTCACGATCTGCCGCAAAGAAAAATGCATTAATTGGGATCCCTTGCAAAAAATTCTAGTCTTAAGTCCCATCTTTTAGTACACAGCACATTAATAAATATACATATGTGGATAAAGACAACTATTTTCGTACACATGTAAATACACATATGTTATGAATCTATTAAATAATTATAATAAATTAACCGGGCCATCTGAGAAACGTCATTTTTCAATTATGTGAAAACTGTCAAAGTTGTGTGTGTATGCATTTATGTATGTACATGCATATGTACATATGTGCATAGGTGAAGAAAAATTATCTACTCAATGCTACTCCTTATTATTATTTTTAGTAGGTGTTAAAACAAAATGCCACAGCTACGAAACTGTATTTTTATTATTGTACGCATATACATACATACACACATACATGTACATATCTGCATACAAGCAATGTGCGTCTTTTGCCGGGCTGAAATATTTTCAAGATAAAAATGGCACCGAATGTGACCGAAACGAAAACTTCTTTCACGCACGCACATATTGAATTTATAAAATATACAGTTTTTTAAAATTTTATTATATTAAGTCATATTTCACATCATTTATTTGTAAACGCATACATACACAAACATTTTTATGTATGTTACCATTTGCATCTAAGTGCAAAAATAAAATAAAAAAATATATACACTTTAAGTGTGGTTCTTACCATCGTAGCCCATGTTTGACTCTTTTTTAATAGAATAAAATGCTAATGCCCCAAAACACAATAAAATTTTTGTAGTCGAAGCCTTAAAAAACTTCACGACACAACCTCAATTTCTAAAAACACCGATTGCGAAAATCAAGAGAACGATGTGTACATAATAAAATATTTGTATCGATTCACAATTGTATTATTAAAGGAACACTGTGGGAAGAAATACAGAAGTGCTTCGAAAACTGTAATCGACAATGCCTAATAATGATCCCGATAGTTTTATATAACAAATTTATATGGGGAAAATAAAATACGTCTTTCAAAATCAAGTTCTTTTCTCTGCACTTTTTGTTTGGTAAACGTAAATATTTTGTAAAAAAAAATCAGCATTCATAAATGCATTAGCTTCGATAGCTTTGGCTCACGTCGCAATATATTGTTCCTTTTTAGCCATTCCTTTCGAGATATGGAGGATGTGGATTTATACTTGTCGTGTAAATCAAAATATTATTGTTTTCATGGTTGTTGGTGGCCCGGGCTTAAAATTGTGTTAGAAACATGAGCATTAAGATATTTATGCCCACTGAGTATTTTTATATTAAAAGGCCCATCAATTTGTACGGCCAAGTTCAAATTAGCGACGACAATGTCGTTGTGTATTACATAGTAGATGATGAGGATTTCAGTTCTGTTCATAAGACAACCTGTAAAATGCGATTTTTGGGATCAATTGTGTGTAGTGATTCTAATGATAGCCATTACTACCATGACATGAACATATGTTTTGTTTACAATGCACTGTCGCCCACTATTTCACTTACATACTTAGGTATTACACCTGAAAGCCTCAGCCAAGTAAAGCTTTTACTCTATGATAAAAGTAAAGTGCGAAATTTGGTTTCCAAAGGCGAGGGTTCTTCGGAAAACTGTTTAAATAATGACTGCGATTTCCTCATGTTAACTCGATTGATAAAGACGGATTCTCCTCCTAAATCGGCGTCGCATATAAGCCAACCTTTTTCTACAATTGCTAATATCCCAACGAAACTGTTTAATTTAATTGTTGAAAACCGTCTTTTTAAAAATATAATGACACATACTGTGCTTTATAAAAATTCACAGGAGTGGCAAATTGCCTATACAGATGGGTAAGTCCAAGGAGCTTTGAAAGCAATAAATAAACGTTGAAAGTATATGTATTTCGATTAGTTCTAGGTTTACTAATATTGTGGTAGATCGAGTAATGGGAATAGCATTGATGCTGATATTATTTATGCTTATTTCTCATCCCGGCGATTTCCTTATTCAAATATCCCACGTAAGTAAATACATGCATACATATATTTGTTTTAAATTTGTAAAGTATTTGTTCAATTCAAGGGCATTATTGATCAGTTATACAGTCTACTGAAAGTGCTAGAAGGAAGTCCGATCGGCTTAAAACTTAACATACACTTAAATAATTTTTTTCTTGATTGTTTCAAATATCATATCGAATTATGGTCCACATTTTTGGGTAAATAATAAAAGTACATATTTCAATTAAATCTATGCTATTTATTGTTCTTCTCTTTTCACTTCATATAGATTTAATTGAACCAATAGTACGCCAACTCTTTCATGCAATCGGAGTGCTGGGATGCTTGGGGTTTTCATATCAAATAGCATTACTGGCTGATTTGATATCCATTGTTGGTTTACACGCTCATTGTTTTTATGTTTATACGAAAGTGTAAGTATATTTATTTTATCCATAACCTATATTTTAAATTGCAAAAGTGATTTGTTTTCGCAGACTGTATAATGTGGAAGTGAAGGGACTCCGAGTTTTGTGGCAAGTTGTGCGTGGTAAACGCACTAACATTTTAAAGGGTAATAATAACTTACTTATATTATAAAATTGTATCTCTCATGCCTCTTCTTGTTCCAAATTCGATCAACTTATGGGGAAACGAATTTCGAAAAACGATTGAGCATCGATGGGCTTAAAAAGTGTTTTCTTGTAACTCTTGAACCAACATTGTTCCGCAATTTAATTTTTGTTCGAGACTTGGAAAGTTTATTAAATTTCGACTTCACAAAATTTGGTAGAGTTTGGGAAAAGGGAAGAGGCCTGTATTCTGCTCTACTTATACAAATTAATGAATGCTGTACACTTTTCAGGAAGAATTGAATCCCACAACTACATGAACCGTCAGTTATACCTGGCAACAATTTTTTTCTCGGGTATTCTTTTTTTGTTTCCGACAACTTTTATCTACTATTCAGTGTTTGCAGCAGTAAGTACTTCCCAAAAAACGTTCCTCAAAAAAATAAACAATTTGAAATCATTGAACTACAGCTGAAGTCTCTTACTTTTATAACAATTACTATACTGGAGTTATTTCGATTGCAATTATTACAACTTCCAATTGACAATTATCTAAAGCGGATCAATAACAGCTTCTTTGAAATTGGTAAGCAAAATAAATGATACGTGCGTCTGAATTACTAAATACTATCTAGAATTTCTTTAGAGTGCATTAAAGTGCGGGACCTTCCAGATCAACAAAGTCGAACTTTTAAGCATGAAAACTATAACATCCACGTTTTTGTATTTACAATTGGTTTCTAGATTTAAGGTTATTGTTACCCGTTGGCTACCATGTTCAATAATAAAAAGACTGCTCGCATGGTTCGTAAACCTTAAACTATCTTCTTTATTTAAAAAACTGGCATACAGCATACAGAATGTATAGATTAGCTATGGAATCTCGGACATTATTCATCTATTGCTCTCTATATCTAGTGTAGTGTAATATAGTTTTTATCACTGTCTTTTGCTTAAGGACATTTGCACGTTGAGGAGTGGATATACCAGGAGTAAAAAAAATATATGTATGTACATATATAAAAACAATTAGAAATGAATTTTGGCCCAGTTGCACCAAATGGTCACTATCGTGAATTATACATGAAAAACGTATGGAACTGAAATACAAAAGTCCAGGTTCTATCAAAATTTTTGCAATACCATCGGATGCCTATTAGGGAAATTTTCTGTTACTGGTGCCTTACAAAATCAATATACACATTTTGGATACCAAATATTGATTACAAATTGTCAATATTTCTGCGTATATAAAAATTTTTTTATCATAGTAACTACTTCATCACCAACACTTTAATGACAGCGGCGAACAGCTGATTCAGCTGTAGCAGCGTCGGTAAATGGTAACAACAGTATTTGTTAGGCAGTATGATCTGATATTTCTGATTTTTCTCTATGGTTAATGCAATTTTATATATAATTTCAATATAATTTCTTTAAATTTGGATATTGTTTGGCAAGTAGTTAATTTATTAAAAGTATTCATTTCATCGTCTTTGTATGTCTTTCGATACTGTGTTCCATTCCAAGAAGTTCCATTAGTTCTCTTGACAGCTTGATTCATCTCTGTTCAAATCATTTGTGCTTCGGCTTTGGTTTCGACAGTGCGTTATCGGTCTCTCGTTGTGTTGTATAATTAAGTTTCGTCGGTTTTTTTTTTCTAAAGCATAAAAAATAGTTTTTGCAATGGAAAATCCGATTAAAGTAGAAAATTCAACACCGTTGCCTCAACGGCAGCAAAGAGGCAATGCTCCGCAAAATAAAATTTTGGGCAAGACTCCCCAAAAACAAAATGAGTCCAGTGATGGCGGCCCGGCAGAGAAAAAGCCACGCTTTAATGCTGCCAATAATCAACAAAATGGTGGTGGTGGCCCTGCAACTGGCGGTGGCGGTCCGACTAACCAAAATAAGAACTTTGGCAACAAGGGCGGATTTGGTGGGAATCGTAATCGTAATCGTGGAGGAAACCAGAATAGGTCGAATTTTCCCAATCAACCCAATGTAAGTAAATATATAAGAACGCCTGCGTTTAATGGAAAGAACTATACGTCGCACATATACATATGTGCACGGCATACATTTTTTCATGGTAAAAATTGTCGACGGATACAAACCAAATGCGAATGTCATTTGTATGTGTGTATACACACATATGTATATGAGTTTGTATCTGATGTACATATCCATTTATATATTTTGAAGAGACCGGTGTGTAAAACAAAACAGTGCCAACCCAAAGGCAAAGTATTTTTTCGTGTATTAGTGGGAGGTACAATTGTACATTAAACCAAATTAACTGCAAATTAGAGAAACGTAAGAGAAGTGCTTTGTAAGCATCGCCATTTGCAAAATGAATATACATTTTTTCTTTAGGAGATCATGCTTGAGAAAACAATTTTCCGCTCTATTTTGATTTTTTATGTACATGTATCTATGCATGTATGTATGTATGTACATGCGTGGAACTGTAGGCAATCGGATTTTTTAAGCGCAACAAATTTGCAGTACATAGAAAATGTTAATATTGAAAATGAGGGTAGGCAAATAAATGTACATAAATATTTATATAAAAACATATGTACACGGATTTATGGAAGACATGCATATGTACTCGTACATACATACATATATTTATGCATAAAAGTAAGACGATGACTTGGGAAACTTTTTTCATGAAATTCTCGCAATTGATTCGATTCGTTTTAAACGGTTTAATTTGAAACAACAGAAGTATATTATACGTTGCTAAGGGTAGACGAATTTGGTTTCAATGCAAAGTGCTTGTTAGTACATACATACATGTACATACATGTATGTATCGGTGAATGTGCATATTTATGTGTGTAACAATGTATGTATGTTTTTTTAGATACATTTTATGTTCCTGTTATCAGTTGTCAGGTTCCTCTAATGTAAAGAAGCATTTATTTATTATTGTGTTGCTTCCTTAATAACATCCCCACCCTTAATGCATATAAGTATCTAAATTAGGTACCATTCATATTTGCTGTACATACATGCATACAAGATGTATACTCGCATGTGCACAGCTCGTTACGTTGGGTACATCGAGAAGAGTACATTTCATGACTTTTTCCTTCTTCGATAGATTATTATCGATTAATTGTTTTTATGAAGCGAATTTCTTGAGCTTAATGCCCAGTGGAGTTAAAATATTGCATGTTACGACTATCATTATTAAATTGTTACTATTTCAGTGTATTATGATTATTGAGCACGCAGATGTGAACTGATATCTCTATGGTTTTATTTAAGGCAGTATTATACGTGATGATGTTAAGCAAATGCAAAAAAATATGTATTCTGGAATATGATTGGGTTTAATTTACTAATGGGCACTTTCCTATATGATTCTTACGATATATACTCACTAAATAATATATCTTTTTATACTTTTTAGCTTGAGTTTGCGAACATATATAAATTTCGGCGCATCATAGATACTCATTTAATTGAAAAGGTTGCTTAAGCTGCGAATGTTGCAGTTGAAATCTATACCATGTAATTGATGGGGTAATGATGGATCCAACAATTTTCGAACAATATGTACTATCTTTCATATCGAACCTGATTTATTAATTTACCAGCTTAAATAACTACAGAGGTACAATCTTCTACTTTATCGATCCATGCGACGTGGGGCTACATAAACATATAAACATACATATACATATCTTTCATACACGTTTACTGGGTGATTCTTACGAACACGTTTTGGTATTCATGTCAATTGTGTCATGAACAATTAGGTTGTGTATGACTTTTCTGAAATCAATTTCAGATCTGTTGACTGAATCGGTAGCTCGAATATATGATATATATGATATATATAATATGTTTACTTAAGTATTTCGATTTTTGGCGATAGGTGAATTAATATTTGCCCAATGAATGTTATGTACCGGTTTCCAAACGGGTTTTTAATACATATATGCTATATGTGTACCCAGGATAGTATTATTTATGTCATGCCAGAGAATGTTTCTCTTATACATATTTAAGGACCAATGGTCCCAGTCTAAATTGATAATGAAATTTTGGTAGTCAAAATAATACCGGCTCCGTTTGTGAACTTATGGTATAACAGAATATAGTGGCTTACACTTTATTGTATTTTAACATATTTTTTTCAAAAATCAACATTCTGGACTCCACTCAAATATACTACAAAAGTTATACTTGTATTATATCTTTAATGATTTATTTATTTTACACAACATATACATATATATATGCTGATATGCACATCCGTATGTGTTAATTTCTTAAGTTATGGGGAAATCTCTCCAAATTAATTAAGTTGACACTATTCTTTAAAGGAGGGGCGCTGTATTTTTACAACAACAACAAATATGCGTAGTATACATATGACACTCATTTCTTTTTTTTATATGCTCATGCGAACGTATATATATGTATATATACAATCATATATATGTATAATACAAATATATAGCAAAAGGCTACAAATGATGTACCGAATCAGGATGGAGGAAAACCCGCTGTCAATGCTAATGCTAATGCTGGTGGCAATCAGAATCAGCCAAATCAAAATGCATCTCAACAGCAGCAGCAAAACCAACAGCAGCCACAGCAGCAGCAGCAAAACCAGCAACAGTTGCAGCAACAGCAAAACCAGCAGCAATTGCAGCAGCAACAGCAAAATCAACAACAGCAGCAGCAGCAAGGATTCAGAGGTCGCGGTAATGGCGGCGGTGGCGGTGGTGGTGGCGGCGGCGGCAACCATCACGGCGGCGGCGGTGGTGGTGGAGGTGGCCATAGAGATCGCAGTCGTGGAAATCGTGGCAGTATTGGACAAAACAATTCTGGTGGCGGAGGGGGTAACAATGCGAATCGTAGCGATGACTTCTTTATAGCCCAGCGCTTGCGCAACATATCTGGACCAACTCACGAACTGGCTCCAGTCGAGACCACACAGGAGACTAAATTTTCTGGCAGAAATCGTCTCTATGTTGGTAATCTCACCAATGACATTTCCGATGAGGAATTGCGTGAACTTTTCAAGCCATATGGCGAAATTGGTGAAATTTTTTCAAATCTTGAGAAGAATTTTACATTCCTTAAAGTTGACTATCACGTGAATGCCGAAAAAGCCAAGCGTGCCTTGGACGGCACCATGCGCAAAGGTCGTCAGTTGCGTGTGCGCTTCGCACCTAACGCCACCATCTTGCGTGTCAGCAACTTGACACCATTTGTGTCCAATGAATTGCTTTACAAATCATTTGAAATCTTTGGCCCCATTGAGCGTGCCAACATCACTGTCGATGATCGTGGTAAGCACACTGGCGAGGGCATTATTGAGTTTGCTAAAAAGTCATCGGCCAGTGCTTGTCTCCGTTTGTGCAATGAGAAGTGCTTCTTTTTGACCGCCTCGTTGCGTCCATGTTTGGTAGAACCGCTTGAAATAAATGATGATAACGATGGCCTACCCGAGAAGGCAATCAACAAGAAGCTTCAAGAATTCAACCAGGAGCGCAGCATTGGACCTCGCTTTGCTGATATAGGCTCTTTTGAACATGAATATGGGTCCAGGTGGAAGCAATTGCATGATCTTTATAAAACTAAACAAGATGCTCTAAAGCGTGAACTAAAAATGGAAGAAGAAAAACTAGAAGCTCAAATGGAGTATGCTCGTTATGAACACGAAACTGAGCTCTTGCGTCAAGGTCAGTATATATGTAAAAGGATAAATCCCCAACTTCGGACGTGCCGAAGTTTCACACACTTCCAAGTCCAAAATGGGTAAATGTTCTTGTTCCACCAACTTTTTTTTCCTTCATTTTATTTATTTCATTTGTTCTCAATGTGTTTCTCGTTTTAAGCAAACAATTTTTCGCTTGGTTAACAAGCATTTCTCCAATGTTGTGGGCTACACATAATTGTTTCCTTAACACTAATTAGAACGATATAGCAACAACAAATACCACGTTTTTCGTAATTGCAATCATACTTGCAGTATATACACATATATGTCATCTGATATGTACTAGTAACTATTATTATTATATATTTTTTATATTTTTGGTTGTTTTTGTGTGTCCAATAAATGTTGCATTGCCGATATTTGGTTTATTTACTTTTAGCTATAATTATGCTTTCTTTGAACTATTCAAAGCTCATGAGCTGAACGATTTCTTGTTAAATAGTTTGTTGATTTCTCAAACTCGATCGATATTGAATGCACAAAAACGAAGGAAAACGTTTATGGCATCATATTAAGCTTCGTCTTTCAGTTCGAAGGCTTATTATTTTTATTTTATCCAGAATCTCTTTCGAATGACTCTAAACTCACATTGTAACTTCAGAAGCCACGCACTATCCATGTGTCCTCTGACGATTAGATCTGATTCTTAATTTCTCTTGCAACACCATATTGAAGGCTGAGTCATAACGTATAAGGAAGGTTTTATATAAATAATAATAAATTGGTTCTGCTCACTTGCCAGCTGCTTTGTTCTGCCGATTATCAATAGGCGCAGTAATTTTGTACAGAGTTGCTTGTCAACAATATTTTACACATAATTGTGTAGATGTATACTTTTAAACCATGCTATAATTATCACATGCAGAAGGATGTTTGGTTAAGTGGTATAACGATATGAACGTATCTGTAATGTCTTTAGAGACTATATCTATAAAAATATGCACAGTTGTCGTCTGGTACTCTCCACACGCTAAACTTTTCATTTGAAGAATATCAAAGTCCAGCTAACAAGAGTAAATAGAGTATGCTCAGAACATCGTCATTTCATCGCAATTAAGCAGCAACTTTATCTCTGGTATCTATGGACTTTGCTATTTTAAACAAATGAATAGGCGCCTAGCTGTACTCTGTGGCCCATTAAGATCGTATTTGGGATGATACATCTATGTACGAGTATATAGATCTGGATCATATGAAATTGTGTGGGGTGGGAAATTTTAGATCAACATTATGTTGAATAATAATAGCTGTGTTTTTCGTTGGATCGTTCCTGCGAAAATAAACGATTTACAACGAACATTCAAGGTGTGCTTTTGGGATAAACTATAAAGCTTTTCCTTATAATGGAATACTATACTATATATATAAATATATATACAATCATGGACATATATTAACTAACATCTCTCGGCCTATGTTTAATGATGTCTCACCTATCTCTGGAATATGGAATGCTCCGATTCATCGTCAAATCAAGCTCGGGACGAACCCAATATACGCTTTTAAGAACTAAACAGATCATGCGTAGTTTGTGTAGCGGTCTAAAAATGTTTTTTTACGTACTTTAAGGGGGGCATATGTGAATATATGGAATATATTGAATAATGGTGGGTGTGGGGGTTGGGCAAATAAAAAATGGCTGCCCCCGATTTTAATTCTTTTAATTCATCTGTAAAATCGAATTGTGGGTTTGGATTCTTAACTGTACAAACACTGCTGACGCTGATGTAAATCGGGCACGAGGCAAAGGGCAGTTGGCAGCACCATTTTACATTTTACAATCGCATCAACGTATTCTTAAATTGTTTTTACCGAAGATTTTGATTCACTGCGGATTTTGATGCGATGCTGTTTTTCTAATTTTTGACTTACGAGCGCATTTGTTGCGTACCATTTTTATTGTTTCGTATCGAATAGAAGTCGTTGGGTGGCAATCCAATCTATTGCCTTCTATTGTAGTAGGACTGGGATCGCTCGGTCCTAATTCTTCGACAGTTCTTGGACTCCTTAGTAACCATGAATTAAGTCAACATCTTCACCAAAATTGAATTGTATTGCAAATGTTTTCTCGCAACATTTTCGTTGTACGAATTTCATGTTGTGTTTGTATTTTCTTGCAACATATCTGTTGGCCACAGTCAGTTTGTAATCATTGGATTACTGGACCCATTGAGTTCCGCCTGCTAATTGCGGCTGCACATAGTATTCTTCCGATAATTAATGAAGAAGATGCTTAGCTCCAACTGACGTTAGGTCGTTGCTTTATCGCTGACACCATCATTCCCACAACTAGTACGATTTAACTAAGACCATTCTATTTAAATTGTAGAGCTAAGAAAGCGCGAATCCGATAATGAGCGCAAGAAAATGGAATGGGAAATGCGTGAAAAGCAGGCCGAAGAAATGCGCAAGCGCGAAGAGGAAACCATGCGTCGTCAGCAGAACGAGATGCAGGGTCGCATGGCTCGCCATGAGGAGGACATGCTTCGTCGTCAACAGGAGAACAATCTGTTCAAGAAGGCCCAGCAGCTGAACTCGATGCTCGACCAGCAGGAGTGCTTTGGCGGTGGAAATCCCAACTTTGAAAACTTCATAAATAACAGCAACTCACCTTTCGAGGTGTTCAGAGGTAAGCAATCCCATCAACGCCTTATCTACAGTTCCCAAGAATCCATCTATCACTTAACAATCACCACCTACCTGGGATTCTAGTAGATGCAGTGATTTTCCAATGCCTTCCTATCTCACCTTATTTTTAATGTATTGACATGTCTATTATTTTGTTGTTATAGGAAACAACTCCAATGCTGGAAATAATGGGCCAGGGCCTAATCAAAAAGTATGTCCAGAAGAGGTATTAATCCGAGGCGTCATGATTAACAAACCATCCCTTATATCTTAACTTTATAATCGAACTAACGTCCTGGTGTAATTCTGGTTCTCACAATTATCAATACTCAACAATTCAATGATCACTTCACTACTCTAAACACTAAACCTACTTGTATAAACGCCGGTGTGTCACAGAAACTTACAGACAGTTTTACGTTTGTAAGTTTTCAGACAAGTTCCAAAAGTCTTAAGTCTCTCAGAACTTATCAGTTTTATCCCAAATGCTGACGAAGGCTTATTTAAAACGTCATTTTTATCTATCGGAGGTGAAATGAGTGACATTTTTGATATTCTAAATATGAATTTATGTCGTCTCCCCCAAATGCACTCGGAAGTCAATTCTGTGACACACCACATTAACTATAGTTTGTATTTCTAACTGAATATTATATACTAATTAATGGTTTTTTTTTTACTTGTACAGGATGCTTTCGCTTTTGAATTTGGAGGCAACCAACAGGGCGGCGGCGGAGGCAACAACAACCAACGTGGAAATAACGGCGGTGGGAATAATATTCCATGGGAAAGACGACGAGGAGGTCGTTTCTAAATTCTGTACCGAATGGATCTAAGAAACATTCTTCTCTGATTCGTTTTAAATAATATACTGACCTTAGTTCACTTACCAAGAGTAAACTGAATTAACAACACATTACGTAGAGAAACTTCGGAATGCTGTAGCTAAGCACTTTAACATAAACAAATTTTTTGTTCGTGTCCTTTTAAAATATGAATGAAAGCCCAAAAAAAATATCAGATACAATCACAATGCAAATATCAGATTCAACTGAAATGTAATCCGACGAAGGAAAAGAGAACGCAGAACACAGCAACAACAACAGCAAAAAGGGCAACAACCAATACATAACATTTTAAGATTTTAGATATACTGCTGATATGTAACTGAACAATTATCTATTTACCCAAGAATTTTTCCCTTAACATGTCATGTGAAAATTCTAGATTAAACAATCTGACAACTAAAAATATTAGTCTCTTTATTTCATATATGTATATATATCGTGTTGGGGTGGCAGGGAACTGGTTGGTGGGTTTTTCTTCGCAGCCAAATTGTACGATTGTTCTTTTCTTAATTTTACATTCAAGTGGTGTAATTAGATACTATTTACAAAATGATAAAAGGCGTTTCTTTAGGTTAACCTTTATGTGAATGCCTGTGGTTATGTCGTAATAAAAATGAGCCCGATCTAAGGCTGCAGATTCAAAAAGCCTGCCATATAAGTACCTCCCCGTCGAATTGTTCAATTTAATTGTCGTTTTGTAGAAAATGGTCTGCTAGGTAATACTTTTGAACCGATTTTTACATATGTACATATATTCTGCCTCCATTATTACCATCAACAAGCGATCGTTTTCGAATTATTATTTTTTATCAGTTTTTCTTATACTCTTCTTTATTGTGTATTTTTCTTGTCTTCACTCTACTCTTTCAACCCTAGAGGGACTGATACTCAATTTTTTGGCCAAATCTTTTACAGACATTGCATTGTTCTTGTTGATTAGGGTCAACCCCTTTCTCTCAATATTTAAACAGCGTGGGCAGTTTTTGTCTACTTTTTGGCAAAGAGTTAACAGTTGAATGCGTCTATTCAAATTTGCATTTAATAGTATATGTCACCAATTGTCTAAATGGAATATCTAAAAGCTAAGTACAAAGGAAATATTATAGTTGTGCAAAGTTAAAAATAAAGCAAGCAATAGAAAACATTTCCGTCCAATCCCCTAAAGTATATAGGATATATCTTGATCAGCATTAGCACCCGGAGTCGATTTAGCCATGTCCGTATAACCACCTAGATTCCAGAGACTATAATAAAAAGATCCCAAATTTGGCCACATATGTATGTCATTTTTTTTCCTAATCCTTTCCCACTCGGTAACTTTTAATAACCTATTGTGGCTACAAGGCCCTTCGGCCATGCCTTTCAAAACTAATGCTTTTAACTAATTGGCTTTTAAACTGTGTTAAACAAGTTATACTAGTATGCGTTTTACATAAACAGGAAATAGGGGAAAACAGCCGGTAATTTATACCGAAATTTTGTGGAAAATGTCGTCTCTTTTGAGAAAGAGAATGCTTTTATTTGGGTTATGAGGACGGGGATTGGAGAGTAAGTTTGGAGGATTTTCGTTTTTGCATTTTTAGTTTACTTTGGATGGGAGCTGGGTATGTATTTAATGTTGCTTCTTATTCATTTGGGTTTGCCCTTGTTCCTGATGTGTTTGAGTAATATTGGTGTGTGAGCTTGGCAGGGCCATATACAAACTTCTTGTATTTGTTTAAGTTTATTGAAATGTTCTTGTGAAGTATGAGTAATTGAAGAAGTCGAAAAGATGAGTGGTGTTGGCGGTGAGTGGTGTTGGCTTTGAAATTAAATTTGTTATGATTTCTTATTAGCAAGACCTTCAGCAAAACTTAATTAGATATTAGTTTGTCTGTCTGCGTGTGCATGTGCCTTACCCCAAAGCTGATGCTCCACGTCATTGAAGATGTCTCAGAGTCCAAGACCCGTTTATATTTGTACCGGGCAGATAAGCTGGTTTTTGATTGGTCCCATCGCAGCAAACTCAGAGAGGCATATGAGTTATTGTGTATGCTTCCTCTCTCCCTCTCCGTTTTTAGCTCTCGTGCACTCTGCACTCATATCCACTCATAGGTTTGTGGCCATGGAGATGAGAAATCGCACGTGTGCATAGACCTTGGTCAAGGCTGGCGTTATGGGAGAGAAGAGTTGCGCTGCACCTAAATGACGAAGAAACTAAAAATCGATTAAAGCTAGACTGCTGCCGTGTTCATGAGTGGGAATATCGAAGCTGAAAAATTGCCGGCAGCCAAGAAGCAAACATACATACATAGTTTTGCATTTACTATATGTTCATGTATGTACATATGTATTATATATAATGAAAATTGATCTACGGGTTATGTCGACTCCTATAAAAAACAAACAAGCATATAAATATATACATACATGTGCGTATGTCAATACAGTGCGAATCGCTAAGGGGAGAAAAACAAATTGAGTGAAAGAGACTTTGATTATTCTTATTAATTTTGTAATTTGCATTTTTGAATTCAGTTCATCAGATGCAAGTCGTAAAAACGTTAAAACGTAGTTTGTAGTCGCTTTCGAAGTTTTCCTTCGATTTTTTTTTTTAAGTCGGAAATATGCCTACAACTTAATAGTTGCTTTCTTTTTTAAAAAAAAGTGCTTATCAAATGCTTTACCTTCATTATTTAATATTATTCTTCTACAGAAAATATTTTTTTTGTAGCTTGCAATATAACAATTTAACCCTACCTATTTATTAAATATTTTATTTCTGTTTTTACTAGCGATGCCACTTCCTAAATGAAGAGTATTCTTATACTGCTATTTTTAATTCCTGTTATAGAAATGATATAAAAAAATGGTCTGTAATTGTCAGTCCTGTTCGTTTGTTTTTATTTCATAATTAGGCAACTAGTATGCAAACATTTTTGTCTTATACAAGTATGTAGACAATATAATGTACAAATATAATTAAAAGCTTAGTAAACATATGTATGTACGTATGTGCCTACGTAACTCAGCATGAATAAAGTTATTTTATGGTTATTATATCAGTTTGTTCCCGTGAAGCTTGTTCATGGTCTAATCAATTTTGAAGTGTGCGTTTGTCTGTGTGTAAATTGTAATTTAATGTAAGTATGTTATGTCAAAATAAAATAAAAAATTAACTGCACGCATGTTGCACATTTAAAACCTGTTTTTAAAGCCAGGGACAAATTTGGCATGTTGCACTGTGCCAGTGCGCTATTTTATGTTTCCACTGTAGAGCGGCGTTGCTGCTTCCTTGCTAGCAAAAGCTTCCGTATATCAAATGTACCAATAAGGAAACCCCAGATTTTTCCTCTACATACACACATAGGTATGTATGAATGCACATACATACATACATGTGTATGTACTTACGTCACATATCATGTATCTGTGTGCAACTGTATGTATGTATGTACATACATATAAATGTTCATAGAATGGATTGAAATGGATATGCATAATAAAAGAGTGAAAATCGTTTTCTACAGAATAATGAATTTGCATGTACAGGCATACATACATATGTACATATAAACATCTACATATATATGTATGTAAGTATTTTTACTGTTTTCGCATATGTACGTGCAGTTGTGTGGGTGTGGAAAAAGTTTATTACAAACACAACCTATCCTAACTACTGAATATCAATGGATATGCATATGTATGCAATTTTATATAAATTAAACTATTTACTATTTTATGTTGCCAAAAAAGAAAAAAATTTAAACAAATTGCAATTTGCAAATCTTGTTTGTCCATACACACATATGTGTGTACATACATACATACATATACACAAAAATAAAACAAAAAGAAAAACCTTGCATTGTGGACGCTGGCTACCACGACACTACATTACCTCTTTCTTCTCTCTCTCTTATCTCTTCGCAACTCTGTTGAATGTCAGCTTGATGAGCTTGCTGTGTGTATGCATATATACGTTGTGTGTGTGTAAGCCTGGCTGTGTATGTATGTATGTGATTGTGTGTGCGTATAAGTTGGCTGCATATAAAACATGTCTTAAAAAGGTATGCATGTATGTAACATGTACACACCATATACAAACATGCATATGTATATACATACGTAATACTAATTAGCTTTGTTACAGCACCGTTGCGTATTATGTTTTGCATTTCGTTTTGTTTTGAAAGCTTAAAAGCTGTGCTTTCATGAGTATTATATACATACATACATATATATACAAACATTTATATATATGTATGTACATACAAATGTATGTTTGTAGATGCGGTTAGCACAAATCCAGTGAGAAAGAAACAACCAACGAACGGTATAAGCTATAGCTACTATATGTATTAACTTCAAAATAAAGTTCAGTTTAAGCTGGAGCGCAGTCGAGGTTGCGTCGTTTGTTCGGTCGGTCGTCGGTCCGTTCGGTCAGTTGTTCCTATGCTCAATGTAACGCGCATGGTAAGCACGCGTTCTCGTTTCAGTTTCAATGTTTCAGTTGGTTGGCGTTGGTAACTAGCCAGCAGCCAAGCCAAGTGTTTAAAAAAAAACACGGCTCGGAATTTTATACAAAATTTAAATATATGTATTTACTTTCGTACGTATTATGTATGTATGTTTGTCCATTTCTACATACATACGTACATGCATACACGTTATATTACGAATTCACGTATAAATCTCAGTATGCACTCACACACCTACACACACGCCTTCACTTTTGCGTGCGTGCTCTTCTCTCTGTGTAGATGTTTGTATGTATGTGCGTGTGGTGCGAATTTTAGATTGTGTTGTCTATGTACAAATCTGTGAAAAAATAAGTGATTTGGTTTTAATGAGAAGCCCACTACTCTTGTATGTACATACTATGTATAAATAAACACAGGCTGTAACGTAATCAGAGGGCAATGTGTCTGTGCCTGGATGTGAAAATATTAATCACTAAATAAATATTTATTTTTTTTTTTTTTTTTTTTTTTTTTTTTTTGGTTTTAAGTTACCACGATACCCTTGGGTATTGTGGGATTATTTGGCCGCCCACTTATTGGTAAAGTGGAAAATGCCACGCGGGTTATTTCGTAGTGTTTGCTTGTCTTTAAAGTTTTACGTTGATTTCTTTTATAAAGTTGACCAGTGAATTGTACTCAGCTGTGGCCGCTTGCTTGAAAAAAGTGTGCACATTGTTGTATTTTGCTAGTGATGTGTAACGTTGACGAGCTGTGTTGTGCTTTGTGCATTCAAAAATAACATGTGTTGCGCTGTCAGGGACGTTACAGCTGTTGCATATGTTATCATTTAAAACGTGCATTTTCGATAGAGTGACTTTGTCGAATGAGTTTTCACATATAAGTCTGTTCATTAGTTTGATATTATTTGGATTTAATTTGCAATTTTCGTTCTGAAACCAAGGCTTGTTCACGGTTGCCGGGAAGAGTGCGCAGTATTTTCTGTCCTTTTCTGCAGCAAAGCTGGAGTACTCCCTCTCCCAGTCCTGATGAATCCTCCTGTATATAGTACACACCGCGTCCTTCAGGCTCCATTTCACCGTCATGAACGTACCTTCTGTTGGTGCTTTCTTTGCTGCCGAATCCACTATGCTGTTTTGTTCTAGCCCTACGTGACCCGGTATGTAGTGCACTTCTACCTCCATTATCCTGGAATTATTAATTTTATTCTTTATATTGTGAGCTATGTAATTGTTCTGCGATGGCTTAGTCAGTATTTGAGCACTGCCTCTACTATCTGTTAAGAATGCTACCCGTGGTATGCCCAGTGAAATAGCGAAATCTAGTGCCTTATCGATAGCTAAAAGTTCGGCGGAGAGTGACGACAGGATTTTGTCCGTGAAAAAACTTTCAATGTGCCCTGACTCCTCATGTAAGAAGGCTGAGCTGGAGTGATTTACGGTGACCGATCCATCTGTGAAAAAAAGCTTAAAACCTCCGCGCCTAAGGGAGTGAACCTTTTCATTAAAAATAAGACGAGTGCTTATTGTGTCTATTGATTTCTTGTTTCTCGCAGCGCCCTTGAAGAAATCCAGGTCTCCTTTAATTTTGGCGCACTTGTCCTGATTTAAAGGGATTTCTTCTATGCGATTGAAAATGTCTGCAAATTCATTGTACACTTTCGAGTAGCTGGTGTTGATTTCGCGACCATACATGAGTGTGTCACCTGCTGGCAGGTTAAAAGCAAAGACTTTCGCCAATTCCTTGGCTGTGAGAAATTTGTATCTGTATTTGGGAGGAAGCTCAGCCGCCATGTGGTATATTACCGGGACCGGCGTGCATTTTAAAAGCCCCAGAGCTTTCCTAAGGTACAGGTTTGTACTTCTTGTGACTTTTTCTAGAGCTGCCTTAGTCAGATTGCTGAAGGACGAGCATGCATATTCCAGTTTGCTCCTAAAAAAAGCCTTGTGTAGCAGAACCCCCTGTTTAGGGCTGACCCCAAATTGGCAGCCGCTTAACAGCCTAATAAAGGCACATGTTCTGTTGGCCTCTGAGATGGCTTGATTGACATGACTGCACGCAGAATTGTTAGCCGAGATGATTCGGCCAAGGTACTTGATTTGCTCCACTTCATTTATGAAAGTGCCTTGATATAGAATATTAAGTTGCTTTTTGTGCGAGCTAAAATGGATGGCCTTTGACTTGGATGGGTTAAAAGTCAGATTAATTTCGCTGCATTCTCTTCCGAATTCTTGTATCTTGTTGCTCAGTATTTCTACGGCATCATCTAGCTTCTTGTGAAAGCACACCAGGAAAAAGTCATCAGCGTATTGAAAAAGTTGACAGTTTTGGTTGTTGACCTTATGGAGCCCTGCCGTGTATATGTTAAATAAAGTTGGGCTCAGGCAACTGCCTTGGCAGACTCCTCTATTTATCTCCACCTTGCTAGAGCCCTTTATAAGGAATCTGCTTCGAAGAAAACAAATTATCCATTGAACTTGGTGCATATCGAACTCCATGCAATTCAGCTTGTATTCCAAGATATCGATATCTACACAATCAAACGCCTTTTGCAGGTCCAGACATGCCGCTGCCACCTGGAAGCCTTCGGCTTTTAGGCATTGAATCTTGTTTACCAGGTCGTTGATGCATAGGGTGGTTGATCGGTTTTTCCTAAAAGCGTACGATCTGTCCGGCAGTAAGCTTCGGCCGGCGATGTGAACTTCAAATTTAATTTTAATTATTCCTTCAATTGATTTAAAAAGTGAACTCAGAAGGCAGATCGGCCTGTGATTTTGTATAAGTGCGGTATCTGCGTTCCTTTTTGGAACCGGAACCAGACGTATATGTCTCCAGCATTCCGGTATGATCCTTTTGAGCCATATGCCGTTCAGTATTTTAAATATATGGACTTTCTTGGCGTTAGGTAAAATCTGCAGCATCCGGTATGATATGCCATCCAGACCGCATGCCGATGCTGGGCTTCTTGTATTCAAAAAAGAAATGAAGTCCTCAAAATCTAAGGAACTGTTTGGCGTGATATTTTGGGTTGTTTGAGACAGTCTCTGTGGTGGATTGCTTGATGTGCCTGGTGTGTCTTTTACTATTTGTAAAAACTCCTCGTCTTCCTCTTTGGACCATGTATTTGCTGTCTTTTTTATTTGTTTGTAAAACTTTAAATGCTTGGCACCACTCCACAATGACTGCGTTGACGTGATATCGCTCAAGAAATTGGTAAAATTTATTCTACGGCAGTTCTTAATGTGGCTTTGCAGTTTTGTTTCCGCCTCCATTAATTTTTCCGCATCTGATAGTTTTTTGGAAAAGTAAAATTTCCTTCTGCTCGCATTTCTAAGGCGGAACAGCCTGTTTGCGTCTTCATCCCACCACTTCTTCGGCACGTATTTGTTGTCGCTGGGTATTGTAACGGTGTTCGCTTTGATAATTGAGCGAACATTGCCATTGAGTGTGTCCAGATCTGAGAACTCACTGTTAGAGAATACCCTTGCGATTCTATTGTGCAGTACTTTTTTGTGATTAGTTGTTGTGGTTAATGGGTCCAGCTGGATCATGACCGGCAGGTGATTACTTTTGGATATTTTGCAGCTTAAAGTCTGCCATCTTACTTCCTGGCTTCTGAAGTTGCAGAAGGTCAGATCCAAGACTGACCCGTGACCTGGACCACGAGAAAAAGTTGGAGAGCCATTGTTTAAGCATATAAAACCGGAGTCCGCGGCGGCCCGTTCAATGCTGTGTCCCTTACTGTCACTAGTAGGACTACCCCATGTGGTAGATTTAGCATTGAAGTCTCCGCTAATTAGGGATGCCTTGTTCAGAGAGGCCGCGAACGCGAAAATGTCCTTAACTCCATTTTTTATGTTGGAGATTGGTGTCGAAGGAGCTGCATATATGCCAAATAGGTTTATGTTCTTTTGTAGGTTGAGTGTTTGTATTCCTATACACTCCAGGCAGTTTTGTATATTAATAATTTTGAATTTTATGTTTTTCCTGACATAGATTCCTACTCCACCATATCCATCCTCTCTTGGTTTTCCGTAGAAATTGAAGTCCGGAATGCTGCATTCAGAGTTATCTCTCACCCAAATTTCTGCAAGAATTGCCACGTCAATGTTATTATTTATAAGGAACATATTTAAAAGCTGTTTGTTGTTGTTGAAAGTCAAACTTTGAATGTTATACTGTAGGATCTTCATATTAATTATTATTTGCCAGAGCCGACGCGTTTCTGATTGAATTGGCGTCTAGCTCTGCGTTCGTGGCGTTTATGAAGTCCCTTATTTCTTCCCAGAATATTCTTGGGGGGCCAGCTCCATTATTGTTATTCTGATCCGTTAAGGAGCCCAGAATCTTTTTCCCCAGCCAAACAAACTTTTCCTGCAGCAAGGATTCGTTTGAGACCAATGAGTCTATGACCGAATTGCGATTTTCATTTCTAACCGGATTTTTATTCTGCTTTGGCTGTTTTGAGGCGTTCCCCCCTCCATTCTTGGCCACTTCGGCGAAAGGCGATATGGCATGCACCTCTCTTGCCACATCTGAATTATTGTGCACGCGGGTGCCCGACTTGTCGACTTGCTTCTTTAAATGTGGGAACTCCCTCAAATTTGCCAATTCTGGAACCCCTCTCTCGAATAGAGATGGAAATTTTTTCCTAGTCTCCTGCTTAGAGAGATTTTCTACAGCCATACATTTTTGTATTGCATACGCCTTTTGCCTTGCTGGGCACTGTGGAGCTGTAGCCATGTGCTCCCCTTTACAATTTGCGCATGCAATGGCTGAACAAATAACTCCCTTCTCGTGCTCCATGCCGCATTTGAAGCACCGCGCGGCTCCCTTGCAATGCTTGGCCATATGGCCGAAGCGCTGGCAACGGAAGCATTGCCGAAACTCAATATAAGGGTGCACCTCCACCTTTGTGTAAAGAAATTTAATTTCTTTGGGAAGCTGGTGTCCCTTAAACCAAACTTTGACTCTCATAGTGGGGACCAGATTCTTTGAATTCGAGTCTCTTTTAAAGATTCTTTCCACCTGCGATATTGGAATATCCGCTGACAAGAGCTCCATCAGTAGCTCGTTAGACATATGCGTAGGGATATTAAACAAAATGCCTGCCTTGGCTATGAAATGCCTAAATATTTTAGGCACAAAACCACGGTCTGCAAGCACTTGCAATGACGCCAGCTCATTCGCACTCTCGGCCGAATGGCAAATAATTTTGCACCTGCCATACCCTATTTTCATTATCTCTTCGATACCTTCAATCTTCTTGGAGCATAGCAGTTCCGTGAGTTCAAATTGATTTATGGCTTTTCTCAACCCGACTTCACAAGCCTTGTCAACATAAACCACATAAGGGCCTTTATGAGCCTCTTCATAATGAAAGTTATTCCAATAATTGTTTTTACTCACGCTTTTTTTTCCCACTTCTTCTTCTTTTTCCTTTAAACCATTTGTCTCCGAATTAACTGACTTACTTGAGTCTTCCTCTTTATCTTTCTTCTTGACTTCCTCCGAAATGCTGTGATTTACCGTTTTGAGCTTTGCCGCGCTTTTTGTTGGCGCGTCATTTTTTCCCGCTTTTGCTCCAGACATCCGACCTGTATCTGTACCCTCCTTCTTTTTAAAAATGTTAGGAGTAATGCGACGGGATATAGGCCCCCTCGTCTCCGTGCTGCCGAGTGAACGTCCAGCTCTACTCCTGCTTGCCATAGTAGCTCGCCTTAATCCACTGCCAGCCGGTACCTACACACTGTTGTGGATGTGAATGGGATTACACTTGATTTATATTTCAAACTATTTATCAAGTATTTATAAATCAGCTATCAAAATTAGGAGTAAATTAATTTTATTTATTTATTTTCTTAGAGTGAGTTGCAAAGTTTTCAGTTATTTTTTTTTTTTTTCTCCCCCCTTTTAGCAATTTCTTGCTATTAGTTCACTTGTACTTTAAGCACTCGAGTAGATGTTCTCCGAACGGCGTTCAAATTGCAACTGAAATAAATATTTAAATATGTGTGTACATACACACATACAAACGATATTAAATAAATAAAATTTAGAGTGTGAAATATAGACGTGCGTTTGTCTGTTTAAACGAATGGCACACTAAAACAGAAACCGGAATATCAATACGTGATTTGTTTATATATACATACACACATACTTACGGCCATATACCATTTCTGTATGTCATGTATGTATGTTTGCTTGTAATGTACGCAGCATTTAACAAACCAAATTATCAATATGAAATACCAATATTTTCTTTCTACATTAAAATACGAACTATCAGCACGCGTTTCTGTTGCACGTATGAGCGAACAAACATACTTAAATATATGTACATAATATATGAATATACCCACACTCATTACGTATGCATTCACGGCTGAATGATAGGCATGGCTTAAAAGTACATAAGTACTCAGTATGTATGGGTATGTGTGTATATGTCGGTTGAAAGGGATACAAAAGCACGCTTCACCCTTTTCAAACACATACATACATATGTACACATGTATTAACTGGACTCGAACGTGTACACACAAACATACATATATTACCGTTCACTTGCAAAATCCCAATAACAGCAACAACTCACATACATTCGAATTCCATATCACGCAAACTCACACAATAGTCCTAAAATAATAATAAAAAATAAACAAAGCCCACTTCTCTTGTTGTCTGGCTTAGGCAATTTCTAAATAATGCTGCAATTCTGTCATTAAATGGTAATACATACAGATGTATGTATGTACGTACATCCCCGAAACTGTGACTATGAGTTGAGTTTTTTGTTCAAGTGCTCTTATGGGATCCACCATGATCACATACATTGTACTTGTATGTATGTATGTATGTACTTATAAACACACGTCCATTTGTATGAATATTCATTCGTATCTGTGTATGTATGTATGTGTGTATATGGATACGTGTGTTTGAATAACCTTTAAAATAACAAAGAAATAAAATCAACTTTATTTGCCAGTTAACAACGATAATATTCCCAACACATTTTGCTTAAAATCGATAAAGTTGCAATTAACGCCTTTTGCCATTTGGCGAAGTTGTCGCCAGCGGCCTTGCCTTATCACATCCACATTTTGTAAAATGCTCAGAATATGTTTCCTATCTTCATTAAAAATCTGAAAGCTAATATGCATTTACATACATACACAAAATATAGTATATGTATGCTTGTTTGTTAATATTCAGTTGAATATTCATAAATGCTTGTTGTTGTTTTTTTTCTGATTACGTAATATGAAAAACAACCAATGTTGATTTTATTATAATTATTATTATTTTTTGTGCTTGGCACTCTGACCTTTTATTCAGCTTTGGCCCCAACAACAGAAATTCATCATCTCTCTTAACAGAGAAACATACATATACATACTATATGTGCCTATAGGGAACTTGTTTAACATTTAGACGGGGAACTTCAATTCAGTATATTGCAGTTGAAAATTCGAAATGCTAATGATTGATAATTCCAACAATATGTTAAGCTGATAGCGATTTGATAAACCAAATCTTGAAAATGGCAACATGGACAATTCTTAGCCGAGTTTTTACCCAAATCAATTTTGTAATAGATATTGGTTTTAAGTCTTAGACCAAACTAATAAGAACAAAGTATTTAATCTAAGACCGGAGTTACTCCTATCTTTAGACACAAAGGCGATTAAGCATGCTAGGTCAATTAATCCAACAACCACCTCTCTCTTATAGATAATACCAAATCTCTTAACTAAGTGCATACGGATAGAAGCAGAAGCGACGTAACAAAAAAGCTCACTACGCGAACTAAACAAAGAAAATACCTTAATAAAATAGCTGAAGTTAAGTTAAATATGCTTTATACTACCAGCATTAACAAGAAAACAGTCGCATTACCATATAACAACAAAGAACAAAGCACTGATAACACCAGCAACTGTAACGCGCGACCTAAAACATTTACATCAACATCACCATCAACGTCTGGAACATCATCTACGATAGAATCGAGACGACCAGACGACCCATGTGAGCCCCCATATCGAAAACATTTAAAACCGACGTGGACGTGTCCGTCGGCGACGTGCGACAGTAGAGCTCCACATGCAAAACTCAATAGCACATATTTATGTAAATTTAATCGAATGGCAACAGGCTGTATATATTTTTTATTAGTTTTAGTAATACTAAGCCGAAACACAAGTGCTTTTCAAAATATCGAAAGCGAAACTCAACATTCCGCTGGAATACTCAGAAACAACAGTAAACAAATTCAAAACAATGCCGATGAACAACTCAAACACAACAGTAGTAAATCTAAAAATAACAATACTTATTATTTGAGTAAACATCAACAAGTCGAGATCAATTCTGGTGCTGGAGTTGAAGATAAAAATATCAGCATCACCAATAACAACAGCAACAGTAACAGTAACAGCAAAAGCAACAAAAAAGCGAATACTCAGCACACTCATAGTTATACGCTGCCCCTAACCGATGATCATCTGAATGATATCTTTGGCGCATACAGTATTCCAGAAGAACCAATTTATACAAATGAGTTCGCTGTGCATATTCCAGCTGGCGCGCATGTTGCAAACGCCATTGCGGGCAAATATGGCTTCACCAATAGGGGCCAGGTAAGATATGCATAAAAATAATAATTTATATGTTTTTAAGAATGTGTAGATTTGCCATTCTTTTTTGAAAACTAGCTCACTGGTTAAGTTAGCAAATGCCTCAAAAAATACGCATTTTCATTGAAAACGTTAAGGTCTTACTCCCGCGAATTTGGCTTCATTGATTAATTATATTTTCCATTATTTGACTTTTCTCATTTTTCCTATAGAACAGCTGACGATCAGTTGATTTGCAAAGCACTTTGTCAAAACACAGATAGTATTATACTTGTTTTCAGTATTTTCGATCCCAAACATCTGATCTTATTTATGCAAAATTGTCACATGAAGCAAGTTAGCAAATGCCTCAAAAAAATACTTGTACACATTTTCATTGAAAACGTTACTCCCGCGAATTTGGAATCATTGATTAATTATATTTTCCATTATTTGACTTCACATTTTTATAGAATAGCTGACGATCAGCTGATTTGCAAAGAACTTTGTTGTCATAATGCAGAAAACCCCCTAATATCATTAAGATAGTATTATACTTGTTTTCAGTATTTTCGATCCCAAACATCTGATCTTATTTATGCAAAATTCTCACCGGAACAGTTCTTTTGAAAAATTTACAAAATTTGGAAATATTATTAGTTTATTATTATTTCATTTTCAAAGGGTTTACTTTTATGGAAAGACTACAACATTACATACATACATACATACATATCTTTCTTGCAAATGCATTTACAATTCTACTATTGAAGCGTTTGAATTTGAAGAACTTCTAGTTATTTGGAATCAGTTTTGAAATATCTACTCGTACATCATCAATCACAGCTTTAATGTAAAAACATTGATAATTATCAAAGTTGTCGGCTCCTAATGACGCTTTCCACAAATTATAGGTGTTCATTAGTTGGGTTGACTCCCCCTTCCTCCATTGCTTGACTCTCATGTGCTAATTGTTTTATTTTTGTAGTGTCGCAGAAATCACAGTCGTGCACGATAGATCTGAATTTAAAAGTGCCCTCTAATTATTATATATGTACATACACGTATATGTGTTTATTATAAAACTAATCAACTAATTACGTGTAATTATATGTATTTATTTTTCTGAATGACTCCATACTCTATTCAACAGATTGGTGCCCTCGATGACTATTACTTGTTTCAGCATCGTCACGTGTCAAAACGTTCGCTGCGCACAAGCAGCAAGCATCAGAGTGCCTTACAATCTGAGTCCGAGGTAAGCAGAAAGCAAAGAAACTGCACGACGATGAGTGATTTGGGTGAAGGCCCTTTTGGGGTGGCTAATGCGAGATATCTGCTCATGACTTTCAGGTGAAATGGCTGCAGCAGCAACACGAGAAAATTCGCCGTAAACGTGATGGGCCATATTCCGAGATACCCACCTACAGTCCGTACAATATATTGCGACAGCCAAATGAATTCGCTATAGATCCCAATACGCATCTTCCATTTTCCTCAGAAGCTGCGTTGCCGTCATCGGTTGCCACCCATCCACCGCGCCTAGAGTATCGGGAGGTCGGGACGCATCGCATCTTCACAGATCCGTTGTTTAAGGAACAGTGGTATTTGGTGAGTAAAGTATGTAATCGTGTTGACTTCAATGTTGTAGTTATAGGAATTAAGTATAATTAATTTCTTACTAACAACAACAAACACCCCAACACTGATTCGAAATCTTATAACCATAACCAATTAATTGTAGTTTAGTTAAGAGTTACCAGATTTGTTACCATTTGGTTAGTTATTATTCTAGATAAGATTAGTAATAATGAGTTGTAATTGTAATTTGTATGTATGCCTGTGTTCAATTTCATTCGAAGAATGGCGGAGCCAAGGATGGCCTAGACATGAACGTGGGTCCGGCCTGGCAAAAGGGATATACTGGTAAAGGCGTTGTGGTGTCCATATTAGATGACGGCATTCAAACAAACCATCCCGATCTTGCTCAAAACTATGTGAGAACGGAGTTTATTGAACTTTATTTCGATAATGTTGATCATAAATATTAAATAATTTTGTATAGGATCCCGATGCCTCTTTTGATATTAATGGCAACGACTCAGATCCCACCCCGCAAGATAATGGTGATAATAAGCATGGAACCAGATGTGCCGGAGAAGTTGCTGCCGTTGCCTTTAATAACTATTGCGGAGTGGGTGTGGCATATAATGCAAGCATTGGTGGTCAGTTGCAAATTTGATATTTACCCAAATAATATGTGTTATATATTTAATGTATGTATTTATATACATATGTATGTATAGGTGTTCGTATGTTAGATGGTAAAGTGAACGACGTTGTTGAAGCGCAGGCATTGAGCTTGAATCCAGCTCATATCGACATCTATAGTGCATCTTGGGGTCCAGAAGATGATGGCTCCACCGTCGACGGTCCTGGTCCATTAGCTCGTCGTGCCTTCATCTATGGGGTGACCAGCGGCCGACAAGGCAAAGGCTCGATATTTGTCTGGGCATCCGGAAATGGTGGACGCTACACTGACTCCTGCAATTGCGATGGCTACACCAACTCCATTTTCACTCTCTCGATATCGAGTGCTACGCAGGCTGGGTAAGATCTCCAGTGCAGTACCTAGCAACTCCCACTAACCTCTAATTATCAGCTGAACCATATATATACGTACATATGTATATTTGATCAAGTTTTCTTCTCATTTTACAGCTTCAAGCCGTGGTATCTGGAAGAATGCTCCTCAACATTGGCGACTACATATAGCTCTGGGACGCCGGGTCACGATAAGAGTGTTGCCACAGTCGATATGGATGGTCGGCTCAGACCCGATCATATTTGCACTGTGGAGCACACTGGTACCTCAGCATCGGCACCATTGGCCGCCGGCATATGTGCGCTGGCATTGGAGGCGAATCCGGAATTAACGTGGCGTGATATGCAATATCTTGTGGTTTATACTTCGCGTCCAGGACCTCTGGAGAAGGAGAGTGGTTGGACATTGAATGGCGTGAAGCGAAAATATAGTCACAAGTTCGGATACGGCCTAATGGATGCGGCTGCAATGGTTTCCCTTGCCGAACAATGGACATCGGTGCCTCCACAGCATATTTGCAAGTCGCGTGAGAATAATGAGGATCGCAAAATTGAGGGCAACTATGGATATACGCTGGCCACGCATATGGATGTCAATGGCTGTGCGGGCACTATAAATGAAGTGCGGTATCTGGAGCATGTCCAATGTCGCATTACCTTGCGATTTTTCCCGCGTGGAAACCTACGCATATTGCTGACCTCACCCATGGGCACAACAAGCACATTGCTCTTTGAGCGGCCCCGTGATATTGTGAAATCAAATTTCGATGATTGGCCGTTCTTGAGTGTGCATTTCTGGGGTGAAAAGGCTGAGGGCCGTTGGACACTGCAAGTGATAAATGGCGGTCGTCGTCGCGTCAATCAGCCCGGAATTTTATCGAAATGGCAGCTAATATTCTATGGCACATCCAGTCAGCCAATGCGTCTGAAGTCCGACCTTTTAAATGCACAACAGCGACATCCACTTAGCGCAAATCCATATATATTCTCATCGGGCGGTGCCAATATGGGACAAGCGACAAATGAAGGTGGCAACTTCAATTCTGACAATTTTGCTGGCTTTCTCAACTACCAGAATATTTTCACTAGCGCTGGCTCCAGTCCCGAACAGGCAACAGCTACTTTAGATGGAAACAACGTTACCGCGTCTCAATTTCAAAACGCTGTAACCACCTCGGGCTCTGGCGATAACAACATCGTTCTCTATTCCTGTGATGCTGAATGCGACTCTTTAGGTTGCTACGGACTTGGACCCACACAGTGTGTTGCCTGCAGCCATTATCGATTGGATAAGTAAGTTGATAGTTTTAGATAAACAATTAAAAATCCGTACAAAGAATGCAAAAAAAAACAATACGTAAACAAAAGTCAATAGAAGAGGAAAGAGTAATTATAATTAATAGCTAATTAGACTGGCGGAAAATTTAATACATGTCCGCTATGCTGCGTCCTAATTCAAAATGAATATCACAACCAAAATATAACTTGTAACCCATCTAAGCAACTCTAATTGTAATCCTTCCTATTTTGCAGCACATGCGTTAGTCGCTGTCCGCCCCGTTCATTTCCCAATCAAGTTGGAATTTGCTGGCCCTGTCACGACTCCTGCGAGACATGTGCCGGCGCTGGTCCAGACAGTTGCCTCACTTGTGCGCCGGCCCATTTGCATGTAATAGATCTTGCTGTTTGTCTGCAAGTCTGTCCGGACGGCTATTTTGAGAGTAAGTGCCTTTTAAACGCGACTAGAGACTTTATATACTTATCTATTGTTTTTAAAGATATCAAGAACAGAACGTGTGTTCCCTGCGAGCCCAATTGCGCTTCCTGCCAGGATCATCCCGAATATTGCACCAGTTGTGATCATCACCTCGTCATGCATGAAAACAAATGCTATTCTGCCTGTCCCCTCAACACTTACGAGACGGAGGATAATAAGTAAGCGAACTGTTGTTTCCAGAAAGTATAACATATTAATATTTTCCACAAAAACTTCCTCCCCAGATGCGCGCATTGTCATGCGTCATGCGGCACATGTAAGGGTCCCAGTGAAGTGGATTGCATCACTTGTCGGCCAAGTCGTTACGCATACGAAAGCAAGTGCTTAAACAATTGTCCAGATGGTTTCTATGCTGATAAAAAGCGTCTGGAGTGCTTGCCATGCCTCGATGGATGTAAATCATGCACTAGTAATGGCGTATGCACCGATTGCCGGGATAATTGGACCCTAAATAGGAAGAAGAAGTGTGTCTTAGTTGGCAGTGAACGCTGCAATGAATGTACGTACTCGCAGCTTATGTGTTAGCATCTATTTGATTTATCATACGAGTGAGTTAGAGGGGGAAAAAACTCCTTCGTTGTGTTTAGTATGAACCCACAAAGTAAATCTATTCGAAGCTATGAGAGTTTAAATCAAAATTCCCGCAAGTCCGATAAAGCGCCAGTTTGGTTCCAGTTTAGAAAAAATACTTTTATTGAAACAACTTTTTGTTTATTACAATAACGTTTAATTACAATTAATAGTTTTTTTTAATAATCTTTCAATATATTTTAAAGTATCATCAAAATCTGTGCACCTTATCAATTATATTGCTGACAAGAGAACGTATTATATTATACATACATGGTTATGTATTCGTAAGATACTCCTAAGATACTTAATACTCGTATATGTATGACAAGTTATCTTGTAGGAAAGATCTATTGTAAAATAGTTTATGTTATGACCAGCTCTTTGTCTTATTTTATAGCCGAGTACTTCAGCCAGAACGATGATCAGTGCAAGCTCTGTCATTCGTCGTGCGAAACTTGCAACGGACCGGTGGAAACAAATTGCCTGACCTGCCACCAGGGGCGCCTGCTTGAGCTTAATAGCTGTGTAAGCGGCTGCAAGGATGGCTTCTTTATGGAAGCTGGCGTTTGCTCGCCCTGCTTGCATACCTGCACTCAATGTGTATCGCGCACGAACTGTACAAACTGCGCAAAGGATCTAAAGTTGCAGAATGGCGAGTGCCGCACAACTTGCGCCGATGGGTAAATAATTATACTTTTATTACATTGTGCGTCGACTCATGTATGTATTATCGCTTTGGCAGTTACTATAGCGATCGTGGCATCTGTGCCAAGTGCTATTTGAGTTGTCACACCTGTAGTGGGCCGCGACGCAATCAGTGTGTCCAGTGTCCTGTTGGCTGGCAATTGGCCGCTGGCGAATGTCATCCCGAGTGTCCTGAAGGCTTCTACAAATCCGACTTTGGCTGCCAGAAGTGCCATCATTATTGCAAAACCTGCAGTGGTCAGTGAATGTTTAGACATAAGCCTTCATTTGTTTAATTGTCGATTTTTCTCTTGTTCTAGGTGCTGGCCCCTTGGCTTGTTCATCCTGCCCCCCACATTTCATGCTGGATGGCGGCTTATGCATGGAATGCCTCAACTCTCAGTACTATGATGCGAACACGCAGACCTGTAAAGGTTGTCATGAATCGTGCCGTTCTTGTTTCGGTCCTGGCAAATATTCTTGCAAAGCTTGCGCTTTTCCCCTTCACCTCGACCAGTTTAATAGTCAGTGTGTACCGTGCTGTCCGAATAATAATACTGCTGGAGAAAATGCAGCTTGCTGTCATTGCGACAAGGAAACCGGTAAAGACTATATTAATAATTTAGCTCCATTTGTTTATGAGATTTACACAAAATTACAGGTGAATGTAAGACTGTCTCGACTGCGGGCAAACGTCGTACCGTTCTTATCGATGATCATCATCGATCTGGAGGCTCAGAAAACTTCTTTAACAACGAGGCAACCGATGGACTTGGCAAAGGAAATGAGGCTGAAAATGATGAATTTGTCCTACGACTTGGCTCACCATTGACTGCGATAACGGCGATTGCAATAGCCATCTGTTTACTTATCATCACAATTTTCTCAATCATTTTTGCCGTGCTACAGGTAAGCCCATATATCATCTATTTAAATTAATTTTATGTACGTATTTAGCATGAGAAGAGCAAATAAGCCTATTAATTGAGACTACATTTATAGAACAGACAAGCATTTTGTTATGCAATTGTAATGTAATGTTATAGTCTAGGCTCGATTTCAATATAGTTACGGTTAGCTGTGCAAATAATTTTCTCAGAAAATTGTTGAATTTCATAAAAAATGTCAGGAAAACAATGTTACTTCAATTAAAACGAAGAATTCTATACTAAAATATAGTTGTCTGCTAAAACAAAGTCTTGAGATTTGCTTTTCAAAGCAAAAGATCACAACTTATTTGCCTGTCCGATTGTTGCTTTAGATATATTTAGTTTTCGATACTAAACAATGGGATGTTACTTCTTTAGAGCACAACTAATACGCACTTTTCTTTTTCCTCCCAATATTACAATATTTTTCCTATTTTTAGCGAAACAGTAACCATGTGTCTCGAAACTCGGTGCGCTACAGAAAAATAATAAGCAATTCGAGTGAACGTAAGAATGCCTCCTCAAAGTCGTCGAATAGTAATGAAGCAAGATTTATTTTCAACATCGGTGAAGACGACACAGACGAGAATACTGAGGAAGATTTTGACGTGAACATGGATATTAAGAGAATTGTTTATGAACCCAAAGGCGCAATACATGGCGGAAACGAATTTTACATAAAGAGTACAAATGATATTGATGCGATCGAGTTTCATTGCAAAGGAGGTATTGAAAATATCAAAAAATCAGAGTTCCAATCAAAAAGGTGCAATAGAAACCAAGAGGATAATGCGAATGCGAATACGAATATGTCTACGTCTACGTCTAATTCTATGCCTACATCTAATACCAACAATATTCGTAGCTGATTCATTGAAATTTTTAATGTACCAACTTTGATCCTGGATTTCTTACTCTGGACTAGTAAATTTTAAACCTTACTTGAGGAATATAGCGAATCGAAATATTTAACATCCGAAAATGATAAAATTTATATGTGATTGTGAATTGTTTTTATATATATATATATTTGTAAATTTAATGTTTGTATTAAATTTTTATGAAAATGTTATGTCAAGTTTAATTCCCCGGGCTCCTTTTCATTTTTTTTTTAATTAGCAGACCGCCCTTACAAAGATTTTAAGGAGCTGGAATCAGAGTTTTCAGCCACATGCGAAAAATTAATAATTCAACGTGCAAGTATGTATATTCAGTTGCAATCAATTTATATTCATGGTATCAAATCCGTTAACATCTAGGTGTGTATAGTTTTATCAAAAAATTACATACGACACATAAGATTCGACTCAAGTTATAGCTGCCTTCGAGAATTCCGAGTAGTATTAAATCTATCACGTTTTGTTTCGATCGGCATTAAGCCATTAGTAGACTGCGCTCAAAAATACAGCAGCACCGCTGCATTTCTAATTGCTATTAAGTATTATTTTGAACACAGCATTGTACAACGTAATGTAAGTACATACATTATAGACGTATAAAAGTGGTATATATGGATTGTGTGTAGTTTGCTAAAATACTTTCTAAATGGAAACCCTGCATAGATGTGTGTGTGTGTGTGTGTGTGCATTCCCTTTTCTCGTTTAGGAAATAGTGCAATCGCAGCACATGAGTGAATAATACAAGCACTTGACGACTTTATCGTCCCCATCGTCGCTATCAGCCTTCGATTTGGCGTCGTTGCAGTTTAACTGTTTACCATCCAATTGGTCGGCTTCTTTGTTTTGCAACGCTTTCTTAGTCTTTTTGCGTTTATTCTTGTGCTTCAACTCCTCACAAGTGCGTTCCTGCATCATCACGTCGATCCACTCAAAATCATCGTTAAGTATGTTTTTGTTAATGCTAGAAATGCTTTCAATCGAATTGATGTCCTCCTGTTTGATATGGAAATTAAATACGTAAGTTATTTAGTTTTGCCTGTCTGTGTTTGTTTACATTTCATGATATTGATATTCATATCATTGTTTATGCTATATATACTGTGTATACTGAAGGGTGAACGAGTGTTATGAAATTCTGTAGCATGTCACACCAAAAACGAAGCATTCTGCCTTATGTGGATTTCGACTGGTTGTTGCTGTTAAATATAAAACAACAACACAAATGTAGAATAAATAACTTGTTTTTGGTATGAGTACGGAGTTCAGAGAACTTAGTCATGCGCAGCTTTTGTAACGATATAAACTTGTGACGAAATATTGTTGCTTATAAGTGAAAATATTTTATATTAAAGACTAAAAACGCACTCGAACATCAATTCATGTAGAAACGTCCGTGTCGATTTGGAAAATGCAAATGCATTTGCTATTAATGATATGAATATTAATATCCAATAGTAGTGCATTGCCAACTTACATGGTTGTTGTTGTGATTCCTATATCGCCCTTTTTGTGGAGAAGCTTGAGGCGAGGTGGTTTGTGTGCCACTCTTTCGATTGCCATGTGGCGAAGAGTTAGTTTCTATGGACGCTGTGGTGCCAGCTGAGCTATTAAGTACTACGGGCGATGTTGAGAGGTCCGCAAATGATGGCACTTTTGGCAAATCATGGGGATGGAGATGATTGTGCTGCGAAGGAATGATCCAATTAGATCTGTTCTCTAACCACATTGCTAACTGGATCGCTTACTAAGTCCAAAATTTCGACGGTTGTAACAACCAGTGGCGATGTCAAGTTTTTCGAGAGCGCCTCGTTGGCGCTTATATTAACTGTCGTCATGCCTGAAGCCTGCTGATCTGTAAATGGACCGGCCAATTGTGTTGGTGTGGCAGAGATGGGCGTTACAGGCAACGTTGCACACTCTGAAACGGCGGGGGAATTGCCTGCTGTTAAAGCGTTGGCGTCGCTACTTTCCACCAATTTCTCCGAACTTATGGAGAGAGTACAAGAAATTGGTGCCAAAACGGTTAAAGACGAGGTTGACGCAACGCTGGCTTCTGGTGATTGTCTGAAATGTTGCATATACATAAAAAAGAGCGACGACTTTTTTAACAGTTATTTACGCTATTTACTGCTACTTACGCATCAATCAAACCGCTTTGCGATTTACTGCCGCCCAATGTCCAAACTTCGCTCTTTTTTTGATTTGGCGAATATGAAATATGCTTATTTGTTGTACTAAAACGGCCTTTTGGGTGACTTTTTCGCCCGCCGGGAATCCATAAAATGCGTAACCCAGATGATTTGTTCTTCTTTGACTGAGAGGAAGATGCCATCTGAAAGGAAATGTCACATCAATGGTCCTGTCATTTGGTTTTTCGTTAGAATTCGATGAGTGTTGTGCTCACTGACAAGCGAATGCCAGTATTTAAAAACGACTAAATAAAGACTAAGATTTCAAGCCCAAAAAAGCCAAGTAACCATACATACATATGTATGTACTTATGTGTATGAATGTGGTTTGGTGGTTAAGGCGCTGACAACACAAACATATGTACATACATACATATGTAGCGTAATTGCGGCGGCAATGTGAAATCCAAACATACAACAGTTTGTAGGCTTTTATCGAGCAATAAACCCGTTTCACTTTTGGGCTTTTGTCATTGGCGTGAATATTTTTATCGTGCAGCAGATCGCCAATATTTACATTCTCATACATATGTACATACATATGTATGTACATCTGTGTATGTCTACAAATGCATGTGTGCATACACGGTTGGTTGGTATGCTTGTAGACATTTAGAGCTCCAATTGGTAAAATTCAACCAATTCTTTAAATGCTATAACCGAACGTTTTGAAATAAAAAGCAATGATCTCACCTTTTTAAGGTTGGGGGCTAAGGCTGATCTTACCAAAAGCGACTTTGAGAGATATTTGCAAATACATGTGTATGTATGTGTGTTTTAAGTAGATACGCAATGATACAAATTGTAAACGAAATACAAATTGTAAGGATAAAGGATTCGATTTTGCTTTCACGTTGAGTGCATATGATTTTCACTGATTTGATGCAAAGCCTCAATAATTCAGTTGGTAGACAAACACACACTTTACATGAAGCTACTACGAATTGTGCGCATTTCAAATTTCACCGTGGATTAAATATACATGCATATGTATAAATCGACAGATATACGTATGTATGCGCGTATGTGTGAAACAAACCAAAACAGCTCGTCTTAAACTTGAGATTATTCGCTCTCAAAACACGGTCACACTATGCTAGAGCTGGTGAGGTATATCGATAGCTTTCGATAGCTCCCAGCAGCTTCAACTTCAATCCGCACATACAATGTACGCTATATGGCAAATAAACAAAAAACCTACAAAACAAAGACCGTAATGTGATTACAGTGACGAGTGTAGACGTGATTGCTTTATTATATGGCTATCAAAATGTAAAGTACTTCGAGTAACAAAGCAGTTGAACAAATTATCCCCGTTGTATTATATTTGTGTTTGTTCTGATAATAAATGCTCTTTAAAGAGTCTGCGTCACGGCCACGGCGATAACTTCGCCCGGCTTATCTCCAGTTACGTAAGACAGTGTTCATAGAAAGTATTTGCATTGATCAAAAAGTGCGTGAAGCGGTAAGTTTGGCAGCCGGATGGTTCTGTTTTTTCTTTCGGGGAATCCCGAATATCGCCTTGCAAAACACTTAATACACATACACACATAAAAACATAAATACGTACTTAAATACATATATATATACTATTGTTCTGTTACTTTAGAAAAAGAAATGCTCTCCCACTTGGTTTTGACATCAAAATGTGTACGAGGATTTCATCATTGCACCGGGTATTATGACAATGGTGTGAGGTTTGTAATTCAAAAGAAAAGCTTTTCCGAATTGGTGAGACGATATGTCTATATACATATGTATGTATGTAAATATATACAAAAATGTATGTATATATGTATAAACATACATGTGTGTATTTACATACAAAATCTGAATCAGATCACTAAATATCAATTATATTAACGATGGGATAAGAGTTACATATGTATATATGTATGTTTATGTAGATTGTCAGGCTAGAACATACCTTATTTGATACATACAGTATGTATAGCACATATGTATGTATGCATGTTATAGAAATATAGTAGGTAGGGCAAAGAGTGTTCATTGTTCGGCGCACACGGGAAATAGTTTTTGCGTGTTTTAAAATAATTTAACCAACCCGTCAGAATTCTGTGTAGTGAGCAACATACCCGATGCCCCCATATGCCTATATGAACATGCATATGTATGAACACACACGTTCGATTCTCCGTGAGAAATCTCCCCAAAATGTTTCTAATTATATATTGTAGAGAGCGAAGAAAATTGAACAGAAGCGAGCATGTAATATACGGCCGGCGACTTAGAGCCCAGTCTCCCCGTGTCCGTGCTGCACTCTGCTATCCGTTGTTCGCGTGTAGACGTAGGTAAAAATTCATTGGTTATTTTTATTTGTTTTATATGTAGTATTTATATTCATAGGTACGTGCATAACCCGCAATTGATTCTTGCTTCAAACAGACTCTATCTTTATTAATATTCAAATGTATTTTCAATATTATCTTCAACAAACAATGTGCAATGTGTCGAAATAGCGGGACAAACTTATATCTCTATTATTTCAGTAATAACTGTATAATACGTATGTAAATAATTTTGAACATATGTATGTGTGTCTGCACAAAATTGTACCAAAAACATACATATAGACAAAAAGTTTCGCACTTGTGCAGACCCGATGCGGTTCTAACAACCCTCGCCTCGATGCTAGCGAAATTTATTTTTGGAGCTCTGGCAAAACAGCGACATTTTTTTTTTTCGAATTTGGTTTTTTTTTTTTTTTTAATTTGAGGCTTCCCCACTTCTTAATAGGAACGATTCTAGTTGAAGAGCTCTAATTAAATTTTTAATGTTTACACTTGGACTGTCTAGGAGAGCGTGTAATACATATCTGTACCTTTCACAGAAATACGCACTTAACTCACACGTATACATATGTATGCATGTATGTATGTATTTATTCATCTAATATGCCAACATGGCTCTACCAAACGAAATTTCTCAAAATTGTGTACGCTTACAATTTTGTTGCTTTAAGGCGTTTCTTATGTAACAATCGTACAATTTATTCATCCTATATACAAGTATGAACATATGTGTATATTTGTAGAATATCATCCGTGAAGGCAGCACATAAGATCAGCTCTGAGTATGGATCCGGAAGCCTTTTTGGATGTGGCCAATCAGGTCATCAAACTGAAAATGTTCCCGTTCTTCGACATAGCGCACAGTTTACTTGCCGCGCTGGCCGTGCGCGAGGATTTGGGCGCAAATGCTCAGGCATTCTCCAGAAAGCATCCGCTCGCCTGCTGGCTGTCCACAATGTTGGTCATTTTTGCTGGCGGTATGGTCGCCAATGGCCTGCTTGGTGAGCCCATATTGGCGCCATTAAAGAACACCGGACAGCTGTTTGTGGGAAGCGCAGTTTGGTAAGTATATTATACATACATACATAACGACGGTTAGCTATCGAAGCTAGCGGATCGGATGTACATACATGTATGGGAACTTTTGAAATTGCAAAATAATAGAATCATTCTCAAATCTATTATGAATATAAATACATTTTGTATTAGTTTTCGAATCCCCGATTCTCTCTTTTTTGGATGGTAAATTTATTTTTCAATTACCGTCGTCAGTAGGGAAGTATAAGATCATCTACAAAAACTTAATGCTTTTTATATGCAGGTATATTGTCTTCTATACGCCTTTTGATATTGGCTACAAAATTGGAAAGTTTCTGCCTGTGAAAATTGTGGCCAGTGCCATGAAGGAAATCTATCGTGCAAAAAAGGTTTATGATGGAGTTGGTCACGCTGCTAAATTGTATCCCAATGCCTGGATAATTATGATCATAATTGGCACTCTTAAGGGCAATGGAGCGGGCTTTACGAAGTTGATAGAACGTCTCATTAGAGGCGCATGGACACCAACGGCCATGGAATTTATGCAGCCAACCTTGTAAGTAATACATACATATATCTGCAAAATAAAAATTAACAATGCATTCAATTTAATTTTTAGCTATACCAAGGCCTCTCTGCTAGCTTCCATAATCTTCGTATTGGACAAAAAGACGGACTGGATCTCAGCACCACATGCATTGGTTTACTTTGGCATTGTTATATTTTTGGTTTACTTTAAGCTGTCATCGATTCTGCTTGGGATTCACGATCCCTTCTTGCCATTGGAGAACTTATGCTGTGCCATATTCTTCGGCGGCATTTGGGATAGCTTGGCTAAGATTCTTGGTCGCGGTCAGGTCAAAGATGGCGACAGCAAAGACGTTAAGAAAAACAATTAAAATACATATAATTAAACAAAATTTAGTTTGCGAATTCTGAGTGCTGCCAACCAAAGTTATAATTTTAAAATCGAAACAAAAACGTATATATTTAATGTCCCATAAGTCATATAATAATGCTATAAGTAATTGTAGGAGACTCGATAACGACAAATTTTAGTTGAATGAAGAAGACTTTTGAGGCAATGGGTAATCGTATTCAATGATACGCAGCTAGTGGGTGTGTCTGCTGATGATTGACTTTGATTGTACATTTAGTTGATTTACATTTTATAGTTTAAGTTTTCAAAACGAATCGACACAATTGCTGTGTATTGGGAATAGTAAAGGGCTCCGCTCTGAACTTGAATGTTCATTATTATTTACGACTTGAAATTGAATGAAACAAAATCACTGAAGTTTTAGTTTAAAATGAAAAATACAAAAAACGACAATTATTTAAGTTGCATGTTTTGAGTCTGCTATTTTGTTAAGTTCTCATAAATTGTTAAAGACAGACAAACTGGGTGCCAAAGTTAAAATTAAACTACATATTTATATGGACATTCCTGATTAACAATATGTAGGTATCTGGTGTGTTTATTTAAATACGCATTTTAAAATTGATTTGTTTAATATTCTATTCTAACTCTCATTTGTGCCAAACTGTATCGAGCTGTTACTCAAAAATGATATGTATTTATGCCCAATGTTTAACAGTTTATGTGTTCTTCGGTCTGCCGAAGTTAATAGTTTGTTTTATCCATGTATGCTTTTGTGAACACGCATACAAACATAAGCCATTTGAATTGTTTTTAAAAGATGGGATTGATTCGTGCGTAAGGGGTATCAATATTTATTGGTTGTAGAAAAAACAATGTAAAATAAATATATACGCACACTTTTTTTTCAATACATATTGTATTCATGACTTTGAAATTTGTAAAATTAAATGTGGGGAGAAAACGGATTACTAAAATATACTACGCAAATGTCTCAAATCTATACATTTATTTTGAAAAATCTGTGACCACTGCTGTGATTAGGGGCATAGCTTGCCGGACTGGCTAATAAATTTACCCCCATCGGGTCAGTGATTCTTCACCTTTAATTTGTAATTATATTTTATCTTTTATTATTTAAGTATTTAAATTTTAATTTGTTTTCTTCTATCTTTTATTGCTATATTTTTTCATCGTCACTTCTTTTTGGATAGGTATAACAACGTACCTGACTACTCTCTGCTGTGAATCGGGGCATAGCTGGCCGTTTGGCAAATAAAATTCCCCCACCGTTTCGGATTCGTTATTAGATATTTTTGTCATTTTTATAGGCTGTTTTATTTAGTTTACGTTCTCTATTGTATTGATTTTTTTTTGTTTGTGTACATCGACTGCATTGTTTGTCGATGAAAAAATTAAAAAAATAAATAAATGGAGCGACGATCTAGGCATTGGTGCGAGCGCGTTAGAGTCTACATCCATCTCTGTCTCACTATACATCAAGCACATAGGATCAAAATTTTATTGGGAATTTAAGTAAAATGTCTAGATTGTTAATTTAGCATTTATAGATTACTCATGACATTATATACATCTGTATATATATATTTTGCTATTTAAAAACTGTAAAAAGCCTAGCCTATCCCTAAATTGGTGCATTTACAGATCCTATACAGTGGTGTAATGGGCCTTGCAGTGTACTGAAAGAAATGAACGCAAACTTGAAATGTCAATCGAATTGGCTTAATGTATAGCTAGAACTTACCTATAAACTCAGAGACCGGGTCATTGTCCCCCTCACCACGCATTGTCCCCGTTATTTCTTCGTTCTCTACCATGGGTAGGAATAGCTGTACAAACTCTGGCGAATACGGATGCGTAATTGTCTCTAGAACCTCTGTAACAAAATAGCGAATCAATGAAATGTCAGTGTCCTCTATGGCACAACATTGCTTTATATATCTTAGCACGGGCACAACGCAGCCACGGGTTAACAAGTTAACCATGCGATCCAAAATCATTTTCTTCATCTCAAGTTGTACGAGAATTTCAAGCTCATCTTGTTTGGACTCGAACAGACGTATAAGCAGAAATAGTATTTGTTGTTGGAGTGTTGGATGAACAGCAGCGACTTCGTCGAGCACAGCTAAATGGGTGGGACAGCTATCAGTTGAGAGTTTAAAGTAAGACGGTTCCATAACGACATTCTCAATCCATCGGATGACGCCAACTCCAACAACAGGATATTTAATGCAGTTATAAAGTGATTGCAGCTCGGCAATCAGTTCAGTTGAGCCTTGGTGGACATTGCAAATGGTGTGTGCTCTCTCGATTGCTTGAATAGTGCTCTTCAGCTCCTCTTTGATCAGTGTACGCTCCGTAAGCGGGCGCTTTTTCGCTGGCTGGTCAATTACTGACGACGCATATGCCAACAGAAATACATATTTGGACTTATGTTCAGGATTTACTTTGACGCCAGGTCGGAAGAGAGCATCCACTAATAGCTCGAGAAACTGGGGATTCCTAATTAGATCTATAGGTGGTGGATCAGATGCCGAGTAATTCCGAAACAGTACCGTTATGTCGGCGGGATTCAGCGTATTGCGGGTCAGCATGGAAGTCAAAGCCTGACAGGCTGTGGGATAGACCGCAGACCCGTTCAGAGCCATCGTAATCGGCGTGACGTTTTGATTGCTACTTAAATTTGAATTGAAAATTAATTGTATGTACTTGGTGCTTAATGGATTAACATACTTTGTTAAGGCATATTTGATGATTTCCTGAGAGAGTCGTTTCATATTGAAGCCGCCTTTTAATTCTTGACTAAGTACCTGAATTAAGACTTGGGAGTAGACATATGTGTGTTGACCATGGCACACCATGCGAGCGCACTCCTGTATAGCACCATGGACATCATCGGGATTGTTTAGGAATTTGAAAATGGATGTTTTCAAAACGCGGGAGAACACTTCAATTTGTTGTGCTGCTGTTGAAATTGAAGTAATTTCGCTTTGAAATCCCGCATCCGATATCAGCTTGATTGTAAAGTTCAGCATCAGACAATCAGGGTATTCTTCGGCTAGGCGATAAATTAGGGAACGCCACGTATAGTGGTCAATCATTTCAGTTAGCCAGTCTGGTGTCTCGCCCTCCTCGGTGAAGATTGTGTCTGCCTTCTTTGGGTCAAACGACTTCAAAATCATTTCCTTCAAATGATTCTCTACCATTGCCTGAACCTCAGTCACCTTAACGCCAGCTAAAATCAGCCACTCGGCTAGAAGATTTGCCATCTGGGCGACTGCCTTATAGTTCTCAGATAGCATTGATATCACTTCTTCGGGCGACCCGCCAGATTGGAAATAGCGTTTTAGCTGCGTAAATATACCCGGCTCCATTATGTAGTCGGGAGTCAGAAATTTTACCAAACATTCCTGTATAGTCTTTTGTGGGTTATCCTCATGGAGCTCCTACAGCAACAATAAAAATAAACATTAATGAAAAAGTAGCGGGCAAAATAAAAATTGTATTGCCTCGGCATTGTTCTGCGGTTTGGCACGACCCTGCCAACCGGAGTCATCGTATTCCACCTCCATTGTGGTTATTAATTGCACATTCACTTATAAGATCACCGGGAAATGGTAAATTTACAATTTTTTGTTGCTATTTTCATTACCAAGCCAACCAGGGATGGTACTTATAAAAATAAGTGCGCGATGACCAAATCAGCAAAACGCATAGCATTATCGAATGTGCAGCGCCATTTTTAATCGGCTGCCGGTAACATCGGCAAACATGCCTATCGATAGGCAGCAAAGGCCACCGATTAAATTGAAATGGAATGTACATACATTCATAGATACATACATAAGTAAAATAAATAAGTTGAAACAATTATAATTTGATTTATTCTCTATGATTTTTAGCATTTCATGCTTTCACGTTGTACTCCTGGTAATTTATCCGATGTAATATCGCTAATTGCTTTCACCACGAAGTCTGTTAATAAGCACGAAATTGTGCAAATAACGGTGAACAACCATAACGGCAGGGAACTAAGGAATATATTGTATACCCAGTAAAGATTGTTGTTGCTGGCTATGTTATAAATGTATGTACTAAGCATGAAGGCAGCAATTGATGCCAAAATAAAGCCAAAGTTAATATATGTCATATGTTTCGCAATCAACAGTAGCTTTAGGTTACCGACTATTATAACCGTTTGTATCAGCATTGTGCCAAAGCAAGCAAAATCAGCCGTCTGGCCTTTGTCAAGAACCACATTGTTAATGCTCATCATAGAGTAAGCAAAATAGAAAATGATGAGTGTGTGCAGCGCTCCATTCATGATCCATTTCGTAAATATCCACCAGGATGTTTGTTTGTTATGGGTAAGTTTTTTGTAAAGCTGCGGATAGCTATAGAGATGATAGAGAATAACAATAGGGGTAAGGTGAAATAAAAAAAAAGAAAAAGCCATAACTACCTTAGAAGTATGTCTTCACTGTACGGTTTCTCAACAAACGCCAGGAATGTGAAACTGACCGACAGATAAACTATATCGAATAGCCACAAGAATATGTCATTATATACAGCCGTGGCCGAATATAAATCATATATCTGAAACAAAGCCATACAGCCAGTAATGACAATATTCTTATAGCAATAGAAGAGCACCAAAAACGCTAGACGTTCCGAATTGTAATGGCCATGGACTAGTAATAGACGCTGAAGCATGCAGAATTTAGCAATGGCATAGTCTGCACAACGAGCTGCCTGTTTTCCTTCGCGACCCATTATGCCGATACCCACATGGGCCTCCTGAATCATGGATACATCATTGGCTCCATCCCCAATGGCTGCTGTAATGTGGTCCTTTGTTTTCTTCATCAGCGTCACAATTTCACATTTTTGGAGTGGACTTAGGCGACAACATAGGACAGCTCCACATCTCAAGGCCACCTCACGGAATTCTTCGGGGACGTGCAATAAAAGTGCCGCCACAGTACTGCCATCGACTACCAACGCGTTTTTTTCATTTTGTGATGGAGAACTATTTCTTATTTCTGCTAGTCGTCGCAAAAGCTCAGTTTTTTCAATAACGTCTACCATAAAGTGTACGGTGGCATCAGGCGTTATGTGTTTGCAGGACAGTCCGATGTTGAATGACGTTTCTACCTTATCGCCGGTAAGCACCCAGATCTTTAAGCCCGCCTCCTGCAAAGCAGATAATGTTTCACTCACATTATCTTGTAAGGCATCCTCCAAAGCTGTAGCACCCAGGAGAGTTAGATCTGTTGTTAGTGGGTAAGGGACGTTATTTTATAGCAAAGAAAAATATAAAGAGCTCGTACCATTTTCCACGCTTGCATAGCACTTTGCGATCAGTTCATTTCTATTGTTTAGTTGACGGTTAGCCTCCTCGTATAATCTAAGGAATCTAGTACATTCATCGTCGGTAAGGGTGCGTCGGGCCACGGCAAGTGTACGAAGACCCTCTTTGGAAAAACGTGTGATCTCAGCATCCGCCTCTTCAATCAGTGGACTTTTTTTGCACAATGGAAATATTATATTTTCGGCACCTTTGGCATAAAGCCATATGACTCCATTTGAGTCACGAACAATAATACTCATGCATTTTCTCTCCGAACTGAATTCCAGTACATGGATTCGTTCGTATTTTTGTTCTGCGACATGCAGGGTGCCATTCGAATCTTCGACGATTCTTCGAATAAAGCCTATGTTGGTGTTGTCGCTGTCAAATATTAAGCCTAAATGGGCACATCCCTTGAGTAAGGCTTTTTCGTCAGGACTGGATGCTTGGTATCTACCCACAATCTCTTTATTTATTAAGCTGGCCTGCTCGGAGGCTAGATCTGGCAATGTTTCAATATCACTCTTCAGTACTTGGACTGTATGGCACATGCACAGAGCCTCAAAAAAATTAAGTAAGTCTTGCTGAAATAATATATTATTAATGTTAATTTATAATATATCGGGCAAAAATCTGGTACGTACATCAAACATTTCAAGGTGATATTTCTCTGTGGTATTTGGGCAATACAAATGATTGTTTTCTAAATCATAGGATTTACCTCTTACGTAGCATTTCAGAAAACGCATTTTATTTTTAGTCAATGTACCAGTTTTGTCCGAAAATAGTACATTAATCTGACCCAAGTCCTCATTCAAATTTGATGAGTTTACCACACACGGCTGATCGTGCTCCTCATCATATAGATGCAGATCGGACTGCATGAACAATGCGCCAAAAACGCGATACAGTTCAATATTCATATACATTGATATGGGAACCATATAGTTGAATAGAATGAGAAATGATAAGAAATCCCCAAATATCTGCATTATGGCATTATAGTTGATAGGCATGCCCAAGTATGGCATCGTGGGAAATATTTTTGACTCCTTCTGCCTGAAAAGTTAGAACAAAGATGAACAAAAATAGGTGAAATTATTTTTTACATACCTCTGTATTAAGTAGAGGATGGCTACAATTATAACCATGCCTATGACAAGTGCGATGATGAACTTATTGATGTAATTCTCGCTGGAGGCACACTTGTTGCCCGTATAGCGACTGTTTAGTTGGAGTTTTGTAGACATGCCCGTATAAATGGCACATCCAATAACAGGAGCTGATCCAGCATTTAATCGAACACCCCGCAACAGCATATTCTCAATTGTCAGTGGCGATACTGTTACAGAGTGGTTAGGAGTGTCCACCTCAATACGACCATTAAAAGTGTAAAGATCGGCGGTGGATCGTTCGCAGACGATATGGGCCAGCTGTCCATTTGGGTTCTCCAACTCATACACATAGTTCGGTGGCACAAAAACCGTTTTGAGATTCGTCTCGCCATCCAAATTGGCCGTGGTAATAGAACACTTGTTCTCTGGCCCCGAGGAATGCAAAAGAACCAAATCGCAGGGCACATCACCATTGGGGGAAACTAACACAAGATCACCCGGCATAATGAATTCAGAGTCAATGCAAATTTCTTGATTATTTCTGAAAACAGTTACTACACGTACCAAACAAAAATAAATCAATCACTTTGTTAACGTTCTGTGTGACTTCTTTTCAAACAATTTTGTATATTGTCACTCACCTTTGCTTGTGTTGACTATTTTATCACTCTTGGATCGAGAGTAATCCTCGAGACCCTCCTTCAGTGCAGTCACAATCATGACAAAAAGCAATGGCAATAATGATACCATTGGAGATATTGTATCATCTACAGATTGTAACTCAACATTGTAACAACGCACTCGAATATAATTACTTACTTACGTATTGGTGTACTTACTTACGAAAAATGACACGATCGTTACCAAGAGAAAGTAAAAGTAAACCGCTCGTCGAAACTGTTCGTAAAAGTTGATTGGAAGGAAACTGAACCAAGTATATTTTGTGGTTTTAATTCGGTTAAGAGGCAAGGCTTTGCTTGGACTGCCATTGCCAATTGGTATTCGCAACGGCTCCGAAGTCTTACTGGCTGCCATTTGTTAATGAATTGATTAGGAATCGCCAGTTTAAGACTTAGCCATATTAGCTAAGCACACGAGTGTTATATGGCTGATTGGAATAGAGACTGGCAGCATTTCTGAGCCGATCACAAATTAGTTAATATAATTGTGTTAGCCAACGATAAGTAAAGTCCATTTTTTAAACTTGTTATTTTTTTGGGGATCAAATGAGTGCACCACCTCTTAGAAAAACCTTGGCAAATACCCTTTTATTATTAAAAAGTTTTAATCTTTATTGTCAAGTACAATTGATATATACACGTAATCTTAAGTGTTTTTGCGATTATATATAGATTAGCCAACTAAATGTAGAATTTTAATTAACACACGCATACGAGGGAATCCAAAGTATGCCGATCATTATTATTTATAAGAAACATTTTCATTTATATCCATTTCCTGTATTTACACCCTAACCGGGTGTTAGAAGATGAGACAAATCCATACATCGAAAACTTTTGCACTAAAATAGTTAGAGGAACCGAAATAGACTTACCCTTACTCTTATTCAAACTTGATTTTGACTAGATTTTAATATCCTTCAAAACACATAGCGTCTATGGGAACGATCGATGCACAGATCATCTCTTATCTGCTCACTTATTTTGAAGTTTTATGGAAACCTGTGCACTATATATTGATACGATTGGTGTAACAAATCACTTTTAGTTGCAGCTATTTTTGTCAACACAAATTTGATATTGAAAGTGTTTTTAATGTTAAATGTTTTAAATGAACTTTGTTTCAGGTTGACGCCGGGCTTGCAATTATCCAAGTACAGGGTATACCCAAGTCGGGCGCTCGCAACTCTATCGCTTTAGAGGTGGGGCACAAAAGTAATGTCCGTTTTGCTTCGAAGTACTTATAGACTTTAGATAACAGTGCACGCTGTATTGTACATACAACTAGTTTGTAATAACATAAGTAGATATGATATATATTATTCAGCAAACTCTGTCAACGTGTGAGCCAACTAATAGTATTTAGCAATTGGCTGAGTTCTATATCCATAAACGCAATTGACGCCAACTACGAAGGTCCCATGGTACGTATGAACGTGTGTATGATTCAGAGTGCGCAGATAAGATACTGTTATCGACTTTATCTCTTTCTTTCAGTCAGGTTGGTTAAGAGAGCGCGAACTCGACTTTCGGTTGTGCTCGACTCTATAACGCCCTGCATCGTACGCTCTATATATTCGAATCGGTTCACTTTGCTAGTTCAATTTGGAAATGGTTTAAGCTACGGAAAGTATTGGTATTGCACATTTTATCTCCAATGTTGAGCATTCTGGGTAATGCCAGGATACAGGATACAGGGTATTGGCATTTCCTCATAAGCTGATCTAAAAGATGATGGTGATAAACACCCTATACAGAGGTGTGTGCGAATCAGAGCGAGAGTCGGGGAGAGTCAAAACAAATCCCTTTAAGAGTGCCGGTCAGCGCTCTCTTTGGTTTAAAGCGCGAGTGGTCGATTCTTCCCAACATTACAAAATATATGCGGGTTTTTTCATTATTTGCAAGCATTAAATTATATCTATACATATATATGTATGTATATATACACCCATACGTACTACCTATGACATACATATATCATTCCGAGTACAATCGCTATCAACAATTATTCGACAGTTTGCCGATAGATCAGTTTGCGTGTGGAAGGGTTCTCTTTCTATTTTCAAGTACGAGTCTCGAAATAAAAATGTTAAGTTGCATATAGAATAATGGAAAACGAAAAGGAATGAATATGTTGTGTTTTTGTTTGCAGACCAAGGATATCGAAAATAGGAGAGGCCTCTTCTGGTTGTTGTTGTTGTTGTTTTAAGGCCGACCCCATATTTATTTATGTTACAAAATGGTAAGTTTTCGAATCAATTAAGTTTGAATAAGACGTACTTTTAGTTTGGTTAGTGTTTAAAGTTAATTTTTTTGTAAATAAATATAAATTCTGTGCAAACTATAAAGATCGACTTAAAAATGCTGTCAACAAAAATCTACAGTCTAATTCAGTCAAGAGATAATAAGTTAAATGCAAATAATATAATATACTGCGGCCAATCTACAAAGCATATAACTATTTTTGGATATTCAGATAAGAGAGCTTGTCAATAACACCTTGCCCTTAGTCATAAAGTGTGCTCATCAGAAAGATTTGATAGTTGAATAAAAATATGTATAATTCGGAACAGTTTTCATTTACATTTTCATTGGAATTCAACGTAGAAATGAGATCTGAATAATGGTCACCTGTGGATTGTAATTTGTACGATCCTTGATAATAAATCTGTGATAAAACTTACCAGTCAGAAAAAAAAAGGGTCACAGGATATGTGGATTTGCAGAATTGTTCATTATTTTGACGAATTTAACGAATCATCAACGAGATATTAGCCAATTGCCAATGAGTGCTGGAATGGAAAAATAATGAGATATATTATTAGTTGAAGTCCATGCGCCGCCTTAACTAAACTGTTTGTTTTCCGCCAGTATTCATTCGTTGTTGTAATTGTTTTGGTTGGCATTAGTCAGCCGCCATAGTTAAAGCTCAGTCGGTGTATAATCTTATCAGACTTAGCAGTGTGCTGATATCGCCGAGTCTCCTGTAAAAATCAAGAGAATGCCGAGTCAAAAGAGAAATAGTACAAAATACGCACTTAGCGCCGTCGGTTCACAAATCCATAATATTGTATTCAAAAAGTTGTTGGATACATTCAAAGTAGTGTCAATTATCTTATATCGAAATGGGATTTAGTGTCTGAGAATATTGGTTTCTTCAAATATTGATAACAAATGTGACATAGGCCTCTCTCTCTCTCTCTCTCTCTTTCAATCTGCTCTGCTCGCACAGTGCCTACCTCTAGATATAGCAAGTGCATGTGGCCTCAGCAATATATTGTGTTACTCCAGTGAGTTTGCCCAAAAACATCAGATAAGCAGCATGTAACCCATAAAAATACTATTGTTTCTCTGAAGTAGAAGCTTGGAAAATAGTGTTTAATGCGCGGATACTGGCAATGATTTGCAAGGGCCGCAAACTTTTTTGTTCTCCCTAAATCGTAGTTTTATACGCTCCCTTATTTCACTTCGACTCTCTTCGTGGTATTGAATGTTTTTTGACTCATGCGGCAATACCGAACCCATACAAACAAACGCATGGAGATTGGTTATTTTTTTATTTTGGTATTAAAGCGACCAAATGTTCTTTATGTATCAGTTCTCTAACGACATTTTTGATAAGCTATTGACCAATTCGGGTAAACGAAAACTTTAGGAGATACAGAAATAGCCCAGTAGTGTGTACTTGTGTCGAGACAGGGGCGCATTAATTTTTGAGCACACATCTTCGAGTTCATAAAAATTAATCAAATCAATTGATTAATCTGCATTGGAGATCGCGAAAATGGATAACTTACTCGCCAAAATGCTGGGGAAACGGGTAAGTCCTTATTGGAAAACAACCGATTGTTTCTCTCCAATAATATCAATATGTAGGTATGTAGGTATGTAATACACTCACAATAAGGTAGACCCATCTATTTATAAAGAGTGCCAGGCTTTTGTAATCTTATGACCAGGTGCTTCTTATAGGAATAATATGGGTTACCATAACTTTATGCTTATCTTTCCCAGAAGTTCTGCCGTAACTACAAATACTCATTTGATTTGTGTGTATTATTTTTCTAGAGCTCGGAAGAGAGCAAAACTAACTATGTACATATGTATATGCGGCATGCTACCGATTGTAGTCTCTTCCTATGAAAACTCTATGTCAGAGATGACTAATTTTGTCCTTATATAGTATTTGGCATAGTTATAATGGCAAAGCTTTAGTAGGACCTTTTTTGGTTATATTAGTTTTTTTGTTTATGTTATACAAATGCAAAAATAAATGAATAAGGGGAAATCCCATTTCTGCTTAATGCTAAATGCCTTCTCCAAGCGTCGCTCACATTGTGTTCATTAAAATACATATACATACATAAATATGTATGTAACATTATTCGACTCCATACTCTATATATATATAGAAATATAAAATACAAACAAACAAATCTTTCCTCTTTATAATATTAGTATAGATATTGAACTTAAAAAGTTACACCTTCAATTAAATACATTTATGTGTACTCTTTTGAGTTACTAACCCGTAATCGTGAATTCCATCTCAGTCGATTGGGGAAACAAAATTGATCTTCGAAAGACTTTTAAAGACTATCTCTTTGTTGTAATATTTGTTGGTTTTCCAACACTGCAAATGTTGTTTGCATATTTCAGATGCAATTCTTTCCGAGCCACCAACGGACTCCCAACTTTGCATTCAATTTGCATACCATTGTAATGCTCTTTATGTTTCTGCGTGAATCTACGCGAATCTCTGAATCTACATATCTTGTTAGTGCAGTGACTAGAAATTGGAAACTTCAAAGCTTGTGTTAAAAAATGCTTAAACTTTGTTTAGAGAACATTTTTAGAGACATTTTTAGAATTGTACCATATCTTAATATGTTTGAGCGCAAGTGTAGTCCAGGGGTGTCTAATGATTTCATTCTATTAAGAATTGGACAGAAATGTAAACCATTCCTACAGGTTTTCGAGGTCATAAGACTGTGTTAATACGGTCCAAAATTATAGGAAAAATGTCTTAGTAAACTAAGTTGTAAATCACACTTAGTTACTGATTTTTTGTAAGTCTTAAATTATAATTCGGTTCCACTTCTTGCCAGGCCTAATGGTTATAGATAATGTGAATCTTTCATACAAAATATAGTAGCGTTTTAAGGTTTGTTTAGTGTTTGAAAGTTTAATTTAAATGTCACTTATATCCATAAACCATAAGAGAATACACAACATTTATATGAACTGATCAGTACTCTAAAAAAAAAAAGATTATTAGATATTGAAATTACCGTGAGGCACTATAAAAAAACTCATTAATACCTCATTTTCTTCCGATATCTTGATAAACAACAAAGTTTTTGGTACTAAGATTGGTTCTGTATCGATCTTTTTATGGCAGCTTATGCTAAGAATATTATGAGGCATTATAGAAAACAAATATGTAAATATTATTATTGTACAAAAAAATTACCATACCACTCCGTGCAGCTATGGTTCAGAAGTTCTCGGTGTTCAATCGGACGGACAGACGAACGCGTCTATATTGATATTGAGTGTGGACCTATAACATAGGCTCTGCAAAGTATAGTATATACTACAATGTGAAACCCAATGATGAAGGATGAAATCAAAATTGAAATTAATAAAAGAAGGAAAATTGATTAAAATTCAAGTGCATATAAAAATGGAAAGAGTTCACAATTAATTTAAAAGTCACAACATGAATATAATAATTAAGTTAATGGAAGCCAATAAGATATACCAAGCTAGATGGTCTCTGACCCAACATAATCACTAGCCAGCCATGCTAAATACACATATACATCTAATTCTGTTTTTACACGGTATTTTTTTACACGATTTTGAAGTAACACGGTTTGAAATTTAAAAATTTCATATATGTATATATCTTTAGAGATAATCTACCATGTAAAAACAAAATAAGGTGTATAGACCTATATAGACCACTGACATCAGTTAATGTGAATATTAAAGGAATGAAACGATTTCGAAATTGGGCTTAATGTTTAGAAAAGGAACTTCAGTCAATGAGTTAAAAAGTGGCAAAAATACACGTAAATAGTTGAAATTCAAATACACGTATATGGGTGTACTGTTATCAGTCGGGTCAAGCTATAAGTCTTAATAAGTGCGATATATGTATGTATGTATGTATGTATGTATATGAATGCCTCACCATGGAATTGTTCTCCATCTGCGAAAAGTTACGTACATCTGTACGAAGTGACAAATTAATCACGCACTTTGAACTTGAAGAGCAATTGTAGAAAGAGACACTGGCGCATCCAGGCATCGGGGCTCGGTACAATCGAAATAGCGCGTCAATATGTGCTATATATATGTACGAACATACACATATCGGCTATTATTGGTTCGCCGGCGGTGTGAAGACGCTGCGAGTAGTTAGACTCAGTACGAGAACGGGCTTTAGGTTGTGCACATCACGCGAATACGAAATGGGGGCTAACGTATATTTTAGAAGTGGACGCCATAAATTAGAAATTTAAATCTAGAAACGATGCGATATTATTCCAAATCAGCGCGTGCAATAATCATCAATATACTTGTATGAAAAATTTCAATTAATAAATGTAGATGCAAGTGAGAAATGTGCGTTTGATAGTTTGTTTTGTTTCTTTCCAATTGCGAATTAAAGATCATAGATATGTACTATATATGTACATATGTATGTATGTAAATCGGAAAAGCCATTAGTTACATACATACATACACGTACGTGAGACGGCTGTTGGAGCGGCTTACACGTATGATATGTAAAGTGGAGGCATTATCTTAAAATCATGTAAATTCGAAAAACAAACACCACGCACCGACACACATACTGCCTATGTACATACATATGTATGTACGAGTATGTATGCACTATATGTTTGTTTGTATGTATTTAAGCCAATAGTACATGCCATGCCTCACATTATTTTTCGATTGAAGTGCTAAAATTGGCCACTTAACATCGTTTTAAGGTTATAAGTTTTAATGTGTCGAGAATATGGCACAAAAGATCATACAAGCTGTACATAATACAAGTCCTATACCCGTAGATATACAAGTACACAGACAAACAGACAACGCGATATCGACCAATAAACCAAAACAGCTGATGGACAGCTACGACGCGACGGTCCCCCCCCACTTGTGACGTTTTTACAAGATCGTCCCGTAGTTCAAACAAATGAAATGCCATTTAACCAACAATCAGTCTATAAATGGAACTATAAGTGGTGCTAAATCGCTAATCGAAAGCTCAAAATGAAGAAAGCCAACAACAATAAATGTTAGTTAAACAAAAAACAAAACAACAACAACAACAAAATAAGATGCACATAATCCGCGCAGAAACGTTTGTGTGTTACCTGGTAATTAGAATAAGCCAGGTACCCGGTTGATAGAGACGAGACAATGAATTTTTTCGGTCATGACTACGCAGGCGGAAATCGACGCAAAAATCATTTTGGTTACTACGAGTATCATGCACCTGTTTGGACGCATCACGAGAGAGAACTGTTGTGGAAGTGGCGCCAGGTTTGTGCTTTCCTTCTAAGACTGGATCCCAGTCCAAAGAACCATTCCTCCCCCACACACAATCGACATACTTGTACTTGTATATAGTATACTATATACATATGTATGTATGTATGTACTGTGTTTTGTTTTTCCCTTCAAATTGTATTTCTTGTGCAGCATCGCTTAAACATTATGTATGACTGTTTATTAACCCAATTAACCTTTACCCAAACAGCTTCGTTGTCTGAAGAGATTCATTCATGCTTTACTCTTTTCTTTTCCTTATTTTAATATATATTTTATTTGCTGTAGACGCGTCACAAAGAGGGCATTGAAAGCAGACCATTGATAGAGTAGGGCTTAGTTATACTCGTATGTACAGACACGTGTCGTTCATTTACATTTTTATCTATTTATTAAGAAGACAGTGCAAGGCCATTCACATCATACAGTTTCCTGATTGAGATAAAAAGATTGAGTTCGAAAATACACATCATATATGTATATACAAGTAGTATGTATGCAACTGTTTGCATTCTTAGCTATATGTATCTATCTACTCGTACACATACTTGTGTAGAAATTACTTTCAAGTGGGGATTAACATTTTCAAAATGTCTGAGTGCCATCAATTTCATTTCAAGTTGGAAAGATTCACTTGACTTGATAATCCAATCCTAGAAATCAGCTGGCGTTTCAAGATTTCAGAACTTTTCTACATCTTTTATTTATTTATTTTTATTTTTTATGTGGAGGAAAGTTGAGTATTTACTTTTCTTTTTAAGTAAACAAGTGTCCCAATACTACACTATCTGTACAAACATTTCATTTTCTTTTTTATACAAATTCTCATTTTTCCTAATCTAGTAGAGAAGCAATAATTATTTTTCATATGAAAAGTTCCTCAGTGAGGAGTTTCCAATAGTTTTTTCTGGTTTTTTTTTTGCTTTTATATTTTGCATTAAAATTCCTCAAGAACATTGAAATAATTATTCCAAAAAAAAAAAAACTTAATTTGGAGAAAGGTAAGGATACTTTTCTTGATGACATCTCCATTTCTCTCTCTCTATTTCTATGAATAATTGTAGTCTTATTTTGCTTGAATTCAAATTCAATTATACTAAAATACTATATGCATGTCATGATAATGATATTTTTGTAAATCGAGAAGAGATAAAATATATTATTGTTATACCCGTTGCTGTAAATAAAAACATTTTATATTCCACAAATTCTCGCTTGTAACCCTGAGGTCGTCTTTCTATGAAAACAGAAATCACAATAATCGTCTTTTTGAAACTCATTCTCATCCTAGGGTTCCCGAGTTAGCACTGCGAACGATTGGCTACAAATAAAGATCGGTGGGGAAGATGTGCCAAAGAAGAAGAGACCGAAACAACTGAACCGGATTAAATCAACGAAATATACTCTGCTAACATTTTTACCACAAAATCTGTTGGAACAATTTCGTCGGATAGCAAATTTTTATTTTCTCGTTATGACAATAATTTCACTTTTAATCGGTAAGTTGCTCATAACGGTACATAGTAAGTATACTATATACTTGTATATGGTATGTAATTATTTACATTGCAGATAGTCCTGTTTCACCTATGACCTCCTTGTTACCGCTAGTATTTGTAATTGCTGTGACCGCAGCCAAGCAAGGCTATGAAGATATTTTGCGCTATAGAACTGATAATGTTGTGAACCGATCGCCGGGTATGTTGATCCCAGATCGATCGATCCCTTACGATGATTGTTAATAGAGTATTATTTGTCAATCGTTTTTAGTTACAATAATACGGAATGGCGAAGAGGCTATAATCCAATCACAAAACGTATCACCAGGGGATCTTGTAGTGGTTGAGCGAGATTGTGATGTGCCCTGCGATCTGGTGCTGTTACGCTCAACAGATCCGCACGGCAAGTGTTTTATAACAACCGCCAATTTGGATGGAGAGTCAAATTTGAAGATCCTCATGGTTCCCAGAGATCTGCCAAATGTGGAGTTAAAAGACATGAATAAACTGGGTGTGATCGAGTGTGAGAGTCCCAGAACAGATCTGTATAGCTTTAATGGCAAAATCGAGCTTGAGGATGGCGAGGGACATGTGCTTCCCCTGTCTGCCGAGAATGTTCTGTTGCGTGGATCGCGAGTGAAGAACACCGAGTGCGTCATCGGCTGTGCTGTCTATACGGGAATGATGACCAAACTTCAACTGAACAGTCGTCTGACCCGCAACAAGTCCGCCTCTAGCGAGACATACATCAACCGATTTCTTATCTTTATATTGGTAGTCCTTATAGTAATAGTAACGATACTATACTTCCTAAAACGGTGAGTTCAAGTCGTCCTTTCTCATACTTTAACTCTCAGATAGTAATATTGTCCTTGCATGTTTATTTATTTAGCTACAATGAATTGTACATTATACCAAATCTCGCATATCTGGGACCAGCAAGTGATGGCTATAGCATTAAACAATTTCTACAAGACTACTTATCCTTCCTGATCTTATTCAACTATTTAATACCGATATCCCTCTACGTTACGATCGAGTTACATCGTGTCATTGGCGGTTTTTTCATGGAATGGGATATGGAGCTCTACGAAAATGAAACCGAACAGCAATGCGTCGTTAACACATCTAACTTGAACGAGGAGCTTGGCCAAATCAACATACTATTTTCCGATAAAACCGGCACTCTGACAAAGAACGAAATGAATTTCCAACAATGCTCCATTGGTGGTCGCAGATACCTATTCAAGAAGACACGCCTCGAGGATCAGGAAACAAAGGCACTAATAGATATCAACAAGTTCAATGTAAGTGCAATTTATTTTCAACTTAGTGTTGATAATACAGTAGTTATTTGAAATCTTATCCACAGACGGACCAGAAAGTCTTCTTTCAAGCTCTCTCTATTTGCCATACTGTGCAAGTTTCAACTACCACTTTGGACATCCAGGAGGAGGCGAACAAAAACGGTGCATCCAGTCCTGCCAACAAGGCAGGCGTAGTCGGCGGACCCTCTGAAATGTATTCCATTTCGGACATAACTGAGGAGAGCCACAATTCTAGTCAACAAAGCGAGCTTAACGTAGGCAACACTGTCGAGACCTCCCTGTCGGTGCATCCGAATGGCATCACCACAGCTACCTCTTCCGATGTCAATCCATTGCTCATATCCGATGGCAACTATAAGGTGGAGCGTCGGAAACGCCCCCAAGTTGTAAAGCGGAGCCCAAACTTTGCCCGCCCTGCGAACAGGGTGCACATAGCCTCGACAAGTGACTCGATCGGAAGTAGTGAGGCAATCCCATCACCTATCAACTCGACTTTTCCCAATTCGCTACAAAATATAACACAAATTCGTCCTGTTTCGCTGCAATTCAATCGCTCTACCTCTGAGAAAGATCTGCCCCAGTATGAGAATATAAACAATAATGCCAACTATGGGCATAGACGTGCCCATTCCTATGGGGCACCCAATTCTTACCTTACTCAACCAGCCGTACCCATGACGCCACCAAACAACGGTCTATTTCGCTCGCCGAGCACCGCATCTCGCGAGTCCTATGCCGCTCCCACCTTCACCCGACAGCCAACGATTCTCATTCGTGCGGAATCGCAACGACGAAAAAATGAAATTCAGGACGCCTTGTGGTTAGTATGGGGACCTTAAGAGTTTCAAGGGCAATACATTCACTTTGGATGTTACTTACATTTTGTTGGCCTCCCACAGCTCGCTCAACTATCAGGCCTCCAGTCCCGATGAGAAAGCGCTCGTCGAGGCGTGTGCCAATCTGGGACTGGTCTACACCGGCGACGATGATGAGGTGCTCAAAGTTCGCATTGTACCCCCGCATCTGGACTACAAGCGACCATTTACCGTTGGAAAAGTAAATGAAATGCATTTCCATCGCCTGCACGTGCTCGAGTTCACATCGGATCGCAAACGCATGAGTGTGATAGTTCGCGATAAGGATGGCAAGAAATGGATCTATACCAAGGGTGCTGAGAGCTATGTCTTCCCATTGTGTGCAAATAGCTCGGGAGGCATGGTCACACAGACGGATAATGACATTAGTGAGTTTGCACGTCTGGGCTTGCGAACTCTCGCCATAGCCAGACGTGAAATTGGCGAAGCGGAATATAGCGAATTCACCAATGAACTGGCGCAAGCGAACAGTTCGCTGGAGAATCGCAAGCAGTTGAGTGAGGAATGCTATGCCAAGATAGAGAGTAGTGAGTGTTACCCAAAGATTGCTTCGGTTTGATTCCCTGACAACTATTTTAAACGATATTTATTATTTATTCACTGCAGATCTGGACCTGCTGGGTGCCACAGCGGTGGAGGATGCATTGCAGGACGACGTGGCTGATACGCTAGTATCGTTACAGGCTGCAGGCATCAAAATCTGGGTGCTCACCGGAGACAAAGTTGAGACAGCTCTGAATATAGCCATATCCTGTGGCCACATACCGCCAAATGCCGTCAAGTATTTTATTGTGGATTGCAAGAGTCAGGACGATTTGCTGTTGCACCTAAATGCGCTGGATCGCGAAATCATCTTCGGAATGGGACGTCTGTGTGCGCTGCTAATTGATGGCAAGAGTCTCAGCATAGCGCTTAACGAAGTGCCAAAAGAGTTCCGGGATGTGGCTGTCAAATGTACGGCAGTCCTGTGCTGTCGCTTGAGTCCCTTACAGAAGAGTGAGGTTGTGGCGCTGATCAAATCGTCAGATGAGAATTATAATACTGCCTCGATTGGCGATGGTGCCAATGATGTGTCCATGATTCAGGAGGCGCATGTGGGTATCGGAATAATGGGACGTGAGGGTAGACAGGCAGCGCGTTGTGCCGATTTCGCTTTCGCCAAGTTCTGTATGCTGAAGCGATTGCTTCTGGTGCACGGACACTATCACACCACCCGATTGTCGCTGCTGGTGCTCTACTTCTTCTACAAGAATATACTGTTCATGGGCATTATGTTCCTGTTTCAGTTCCATACGCTCTTCTCATCACAATCCGTCTATGACTCACTCTTTCTCACCCTGTACAATGTTATTTACACATCGCTGCCCGTTCTATTCATATCCCTTACTGAGAAGCCATACGCCGAGGATAAACTGATGCAGTAAGTCCTGAAGGTGTTTCAAAATCTACCACATACCTTTATTTTGTACTTCTCTTCGCAGAAACCCCATTCTGTATCGAAAGAACACAAACAACAAACAGTTACAATGGCCGTATTTCCTAATGTGGACCATTTTCGCCATATATCACTCGGTAGTGATATTCTACTTCACATTCTGTGTGTTCTCGTTCAACAATGTCATCCTCAATGGAGGCCAAACAGCAGCCTTCTCGTGTTTCGGTACCCTTCTGATTTGGATCGTTGTCATTGTTGCCAATTTGAAATTGTGGCTGGAGTCCATGTACCTCTCTTATTGGTATATTGTCACCCTGGTGGGTTCCATACTCGCGTTCATGGTCACGACTGTAATATACAATGTTATTAATTTGTAAGTACGAGCACATCCATTTGGTAAACTCTTAACTTAACTGCCATTGCCGCTGCCGCTGCCACTGCATGCTTCTTCTTTCAGAGATTACGATACCGATATATACTGGGCCTATAATAACCTCTTGGCATCCTTGCCGGTCTGGTTGTTCGTTTTGATGACTACTGTGGCATGTCTATTACCAGACTTTACAATTAGGATGCTAACGAGGGCACTGCAAATCAAACACTTTACAATTTTCCCCGGAAAAAGGCGCAAGTTTCAATTGCGCAAGAAATTTGAGTCTACCTACTTATAATAATAGGCCTTAGTTTTTTTTACCGTTTATTTATTTATTTGTCAGAAATGTGTATATATAATTTGTTTTTTTTTTTTTTAAGAATCAATTGGTTGTTGCAAACTAAGCTAAAACCCAATAAAGGGTACTTTTTCCTTGGAGCAATTGACACTGGAAACTAAAGAATGAAATGCCAATTCTTATTCTAAAATAAAGAAAACTCCATAGATTTGCTTTTTAATCGTTTTGTTTTAAAGAATTTCTAAGATCGATCCATTGCTTATTTAGAACCTTCTATCTTAGCGGTTGTTTTTTATTATAAGTATCTCGCTGGTTCTGCCTTTACCTTTAAGTTGCAATTCCAGTGCGTGTTTAGTAATGTTTTTCTTTAAGTGTACATGGCTAGCGACACTTACCAGCGACCCTGAAACTTCAACTTACACGTAAATCAAAACGGAAAGAGATACTTGTATGTGTACAAAAGTTATTGTCTTATCATACAATGAACGCTGAAAAGTACGTATGGGATCCCAAGGACTTATGAAAGCGTAAAACTAAAATGCAAACTTCCATATTAACGATGATGTGAAAAATAAATATAGTATGCGATTTTAGTTTTTTTTCCGCCCGGTTTTCATCTTTAAAACTTGGCATTGTTAACTCTGCTTCAATACTAGATAGTATGTATTTATATAAAAAAAAGAAAAAACAGAAGAACGTTAATGTCGTCCAATGCAACTTTTGAATACCCTGCATCCAACCATTTCCCCGCTACAGGCCTTGACAGAAATAATCTACTTACAACATTGTTTATCACTTTCGATGAAACTTTTGATTGTGATGAGCTAAGAGCTTACTAAGCCTGATATCTGATCTTAAAAATGCTCAAGTGATAAATAATTAAAAAAATAAAATAAAACTAAAAAATAAATAAAACAGTGTTCCTTTTAGAGTGATTTTTGGCAGATAATGAGGGTCAATATGGTTTGTAATAATCTCTCTTTTCTGGGCCCCTAATTGTTATTGTTTAAAAGACAAACGTGTATATATCTATTCGTCTCGATATGCTGATCATGATCTATCTATAATGTGGGCGCTGCCACTACCTTTTCTGCTTGAAACATTCTAGTGTACCCTTTCATCCGTCCGATAAAGGGTAAAAAAATGTGAGAGTCTTACGTGTTTTGATGAAAATAATAATACGAAGATTTGTATTAAAAGAAATTATACGCATATCACAATCTTTCATAATAATAATCATAACGGAACTGGATCGAATTTGGTGCAAATAAAGTCTCAAAAGGTACTTTTTTATACCCAACAAACAAAATAATTAGCAGCACAAAATCGTGGGTTTCCTGTTTCAAAATAAATTTCTTTACTTTTGTTAATTGTGTGCTAATTGTAGGGCCGTTTGTTTTTAAGCTTACAATTAATTTTTAACTCTTGTTTTTAACTGCGTCCTCTTGAATTATAAGTATATATTTATGTATCTAACAAAAATTGTACTTTTTAATTAGTCGTAGACAACAATTTAAATAAAAACAACATATTTTCAAAGTATAATTCATTTTATTAATTATACAAAAAATATCAGGCAAATATTAAATATATATTGCTTTTTTCTCTTACGGGATCTAGTTGTACAGGCCTCGCGACAAATTAAAACTAATCGGGGGCGTATTGGGCAAAAGTGTAGCGATTGGAAATCAACTAAATGAACATTTTTAAGGTCTTACGCAAACCCATCCCGATTTATAGTCCCAAAGCCGAACACAAAGCATAGCACTCACTGAAAAAGTTATGACACATAGAGTATACATATACATAAGTAGTATCACTTGGATGTACGAAACACTATTCGTATACTCGTATCAGCCTCGCACTCACAAATTTCGAGCGTTATCTCCATTTCGTTTCCATTGTCATGATACTCGTTACTGTAGCAATACCAAAACTTTTGATTGTAGAGTTATTCCATTGATAATGATATCTTGCTCAAGCTCACATACATACATACTCACTCCTACATACATACATATGTACATTTGTATGCTTATTAGGCTGTGCCTTATTCACAATAACTGATCAGATACAAATACTTTCGATTATAGCGGCTGTCCTGAACCAGGACAAGCACTAGGTTCAATTCAGGGGTCAAGCAAATCATCCAACAGTCCTCGGATAAGGGACAAAACACCCCAGCCTAAAGCTTTCGGGCAGCCCATTATCAAATTCTCAATCGTGATTGTTTTCAGGTACGCCCTAATGCACAATACAGATGCGTAATAATATCCATGTATGTATTGAGTGCTTTCATGCACTGACATACAAACATGTGCGTACATACCTATATGTACGAGTAGCATGTGCACATGTATGTATGTATGTCTGTATGAGTCTGTCGCAGGGAATTCTTAATCATTTTTTTTTTAGCTGAAATTAGTCTGTTTGGAGGCGGTTAACGAAACGGCGAAAATTTTGCGTTTCAGTTCGTAGTAGTTATTAAAAAATTTAATTAATTTTTTATTAACGATATCTGCGTAAATGTGTTGTGAAAATAGATTTGATCTTTTCAATTAATATAGTGATTATAATTCGATTGGCATAAAACATGTCATTTAACAAGGCAGAATCTAAAGAAGATATATCCGAGCGAACATGTAATCAGCCCAAGTCGACGACCATTATCAAGTACGAGAAGTCTTCGTGTCTATTCTGCAATGAATGGTTCGACGCTCAAACATTTACGGTATTCATATAAAAAAAACTGAGATATGTATATGTATCTTGAAAGTTCAACGGTTTTCAAAGAGACATACTCGTATATAGATTAACTAATTGGGCATATACGAGTAGATATGCACATACATACATATATAGTGGGATCATTGAAGCTTACGTGTTTATCGCCTTCCCATATGCAGGAACACCTCATACATTGCGGTCAAGTGCTCGAGGAGTGCCCCAACACCTGTAATGTGTTCATTCCCAGAATTCGAATGCGAGCGCACCTCAAAGAGTGCCCGAGAAGTAAGCAGCATGTTAATCATCGTCTGAGTGCCAATATCGAACGTTTGGAGCACAGTGTTGATCATCGCGTGCAGGTCCTTGAGCAGGACATTGGCATGATACGATCCGTACTGAATGAGGAGATACGGCAACGCTTGCATCTAATAACCGATGTTGGCAACATTCGCAAACAAAATCAAGTGGTCGAGGACTGGACCCGGGGCACTGATGACAATGTTAATGGTCTGAAACGGCAATTGGAGGAGGAAACCGCACAAAGAATTTTTACCGACGAACAATGTCAGAACGATTTCCAATATTGCTGCAATCTTACCCAGGTATATAGATACATATAAGTATGTTATGTATGCACAAATTAACTTTCAATTCAGTCCCTCAAGGATCAGGTTCAAATGCAATTGGACGATACGCAAAAGCATATTAATCAGCTCTCGCTAGATGTGAGCTACCATCAGAATCAGTTGAACGACAATATTATGAAGTTGGAGGAAATTGTGTTCGAAAACGAACGTTCGAATAGGTATGTAGGTGCTTGGATTATATTATTTTTTTCCCATAAATGCTATCTCAACTGTTTTTTCAGAGAAAAGTTTTTACAAATAGATGATTTTCTGAAACAAATTAACGAAGATTTGAAAGCAAAATTGGTGAGCAGTGATGACATTACCAAACAAGCTACTTTAGACTACGAAGTGAAGAGCGTAAAAAATATTGTTTGCGAAACTGAGGAGCGTTGCGACAAATTGGAAAACATTATCCTAGATATTGACAGGAAGCTTCATGAAACAATGCAAACGGTTGGGGAGCTCGAAAACCATCTGGCGATGCACCAACGCATAACAAGCGTACAAAATATTCGAGGTAGGCATACAAAAACTTCAAGTTTTGCGATTGTTTGCAATTCTTAGAAGCTGGCTTCTTCAGAAATCACTTTCCTAATTTATAGTATATAGTATTTGATACCAAGGTATCAAAATAATCAATGTCTGGAACACCCAAATTAAAATTTTGGAGTCATTGAACTAATTGAAGATTTGATTTTCAAATCGGCATGAAGAGATTTTTTTTTAAATCAAAAAACCGCCTTTTAGAAAATTTTCTCTTTGGCGCACGCTCCTTCCTCACTTACCTTTTTCCGAAAGGATTTCGATCTGAAGAAAGGGGAACGCTCGGAAAATTACTTGTAGGACCAAGCTCAGGCGTTTAATTATTAACTCTAGTGTACAAATAATTGCAGCTTTAATTTTATGTTTGAATTCCAGGTCATTTTATTTGGCGCATTAAGGATTATTCGAAGCAATTAGATGAAGCCAAACAATATGACACAATATTGCACAGCCCCATGTTTTCGAATAAGGCATTTGGGTATGCTCTACGCGTAAGTCCAGAACTTTCCAAATATTACAGCTTTAGATAACATCTTTTGTTTTTTGTTTTGCTCCAAGCTGGACATATATCTGAACGGCAAGGGCACCTGGAAGGGGCGCAATTTAATTGCTTGTCTGAATGTTTTACCCGGAGAATACGATCCATTGTTGCCGTGGCCATGTCGCTTACAAGCTGAGGTCATTATTCGCGACCAGGCAGGTGCGGAGGCCCAGGATTATGTAAAGACAGTACAAGTGCGAAAGAAGAGTGATGATTTCATTCAAAGCAATCAATACTTTCACATTCCTCACAAGGTTATAACAAGTCGCAATTACTTGCGAAACGACTCGTTGTTTGTAGAGGTGCGAGTCTTAAAATAAGAACACATAATTGTTTAAAGTTGAGAAATATGTAATATATTTGTATTTTCAATTTTAAATTACATTACGTATGTATACTTTTGAATTGTTCCATAGTTTTGGCAGCCGACTTTAAAACTATATCGCCCGATATTGCCAATTTATTTTCCAATAACGGGTGACTTAAGTTAGATGCGTGTTTTTAGAGCTTGTAAACGCCTTGGTTTTTAAAAGTAATGAACGAATTGACAATTTCAAATAGATGTAAAAAGTATTTTTTGTAAGTGTAAGTGTTTTGTATAAATATAAAAAATGCAATACATATTATTTAAAACCATTTTTTTATGTTTGCCATAGATTCTTCAATAGTTGGTAGGCACAAGATAGTTTTTCTGCACTGAGCTTCGTTTGTCTTTCATACAACTCCAAACAGTTTGTATTTACTTATTAAATAAAATACCATGTATTACTTGGTATATTGAAACATTAAGTTGAACCAGAAATTTGTAGGTCAGACTGCTTTGCAGTTTAATGCACATCCGTATGTTTACTAAATATTAGAATAATGAGATAAACAATATTCGAATAGTGTGGTTTGTTTTTAAGGTGGTATTATATAGGATACGCTTAAGACGAACGTTCTTCGCCAACCAGAGCGTAAAGAGCGTGTTTATAATGACCAGAAGTGTCGCCCTAAAATACAAAAATGGTGCATTAAAATATAAATTCGTATATAATTTCAATAGCAAATAGCATTTTCTCACCTTAATCCAGCTCTTCAATGATTTGCCATACAACCGTTCAAACGCCACTTTAATATCCGCCATGTCGATCTGTGGATTTATAATACATAGAGTTGTTTGAAATTATTGTGCAAATATATTTGAGCTTTTTAAGACTTGATTACATTATATTCATATTCTTCTATTTTTGTGTAAAGTGTAAAGAGATCATAATGTATATCCATGGATTCAGTATCACCAAGACGGTGATAATACTGAAGAATGATTAGAAAATGTTTATAAAAAACCCTGAGTGGAACAAATGGAAGGGCCGCGATTTATTTTCTGAAGCTTATTAATATGAATATACATGATATACATACATATGTATACTTATATATCAATTAGCAAATGCTTACCTCACAGCGTGTTACGATAACACGAATAAGTTGGCCGTCATTTGTTCCAATGCCAGCCATGCTTTTGTGCAAGCGCGACGCAAAATATTCAGCTTTATTTGTGACACACTTATAGATGGCTATCAGACCCTCCATAATATCTCCCGAAAACTCCTTCTTGATGGCCTTCTCCAAGGAGTGTTCAGTCATCCTTTCATACTCTTGGAATATCTATAATGAATAGAATTGAAATTAAACCAGATGGTTCACTCATTTTGGTGGAAATACTAACCAGTTTCAGCTGCTGATAGTTCCTTTGACACAGTATCATATTGAACATGCTCTCATCAGTTCCAACGCGCAGCTCGCCTGCTTTCAACAGCTCTCTGGCATCGATTTGAGCTTGATTGGGATCTATCTGACCGCTTTCATCTCGAGCGGCAGTGCAAAGCGAAACCAACAAACGTTTGAAGTTGCCTGAGGTCTCCGATTTTAATTCTGATTCCAAGTGTGCGCCATACACTAAACATTACAACTGGGTTAGTAATACAATATATAATATGGACGACAAACGGGTCTTACATCGCAAATATTGATGTTTGATTGTATGAATTTCCTGATTCGATAGTGTGCATAGAATTTCAATGAGAACCTCCTCTTTTGTGCCCAAGCCAGCCATAGCATCATTCAGTTCAGCACAATAGAAATCAACGATGGGACGTAGGAGTCCCACGAGGAGCTTCTCGAAATTGCCGCTTGTTTCCGACTTGATGTCCTCAATTAGATCTTTTCCAAAGTGAGTTTTGTATTGACGTTGTATTTCCTAAAAAATGTTGATTAATTAGCATTTGGGACGATGAACAGTTTTGATTAATAGCATTACCTGACGCTGACTATTAGTTCGACGGCATATAATGTTAATTAGTGCGTTTTCATCTGTGCCGAAACCCTTCATGGCTTTACGTAAGTCGTGGGCATCTTTGACAGGATCAAATCCTTGAGCAGGAAACACGGTGGGAGTTCCCTGGAAAAAGAAAAAACAGAAATATCTTCTTTTAGAGCATATATAATGGATAGGGATCATTTTAAAGCTTTTCCAAAATAACTGTAGCTTTTAAATTACTATTATTACTTTCTTAAATTTTTCCCAAGAATGTTCCAAAAAGTTACAGCCATTTTAAGACGTTGTTTGTACTAAAAAGGCGAAAATGCAGACGTTAAACCAAAAACAATGCAAAATTCGATACAATAGTAGCGAGTATACAAATGAGAGTCTGTTGTTTGGAAAAACATGAAAATAATTTCCAAGACAAACCTCTTTGGGTGCTTGCAGATACTGATTGGATGACCGATGCACGTCATGCCCCTGGCGATGAGACAGTTCTTCGAAACAATGTGCCATATTGCCGGCGGGTGATTCATATCCACCCGATGTCATGACTGGTGTATATCCATGGTTAGCCGAATAGGGGGCGTGCGATGCCGGGTGCCCGTAATGGGGGTTATGGTATTGTGGGGCTGCATGACCTGCATTAAAGCCCACACCCTGCTGTTGATGATGTTGGGCAGGATATGGAGGACCAGCACTTGGTCCCATATGAGGATGGTGGGAGGCGTTAGTAGGATACGGGGGCGAAATGGATTGAGAGGCGGGATAAGGTGGACCACCATAGGAACCACTGCTGCCAAAAGGCATGGCACCATGTTGATTTGGCAATTGCTGATAGTTCATTGTTGGTGTTGATTGTGATGATAATGATGGGGGCTGTGAATGATGATTATAATGATGTTGAGGGACGTTTTGCTGCATCGGTGCAACCCAACCAGCTCCAAAAGGCACACTTTGCTGCTCGTTAGTAGGAGGTTGTGGAGGATATGGCATTCCGGAGCTCTATAAAAATAAAATTGTATTCTAATACATATTTACATAAACACAATGGCAAAAGGGGTCTATAATATTGATTGGAAACCCCCTTCTTACCAATGTTGTAGTAAAAAAAAAAAAAAAAAAGGTTAACATATTTATAGACAACTTCTTTTTCGTTTATATGTACATGGATATTTATTTATTCATGTAGATATACTATGTGTGCATGTAGGTATTTACTTAAAGGTATTTGAGACAGTTGATTTCATTTAACTTACGTATGGATACATTTTGTTGATATTTTTATTTGTAAGCCGCAAAGCGATTCGATGTTTCTTGTATGAGATTCTATACTGTAATGAAGAAAAAAATGGTATATTTATTCATGTCAATCTATATATATGTATGTATGTAGCTGCTGGAAAAACAGTATGATATGAACCGTAGCATTATTGTTGTTGATGATGATTCATAATTCCTTTGAATAGCCGCGTTTGTTTTGATGATTTGTCTAGCGATGTGCGTAAAAAGGGATGTGGGGTTAGACGATGAAGTCATCGCAGAATATGTTTGTTGAATGGAAATTAATACATATATGTACATATGCATATGTATGACTCTAAATATGTGCGTAGAAATATGGCCTAAATAATAGCAGTTAAGATAAACAAGGCCATAAAATGTTTTCTTTTTGATGAGTGCTCTGTATATTTCAGAATAGGAGCGTGCCAGTTAAGTACATAATTTAATATTTCTGGTCTCTTTATCCACCGCCGCTTTGTCAATAATGAGTATATGTGTATGTATGTGTATATATGTTCACATGTCATAGATTCTTATACAAATTTGTATTTCCCCATAGAACCACTTGTTTATACTTAGAAGCATCTATGAATGCAGATACATACATACATACTTATGTACGTACATATGTATGTGCATCTTGTAGATACACCAGCATATACAGATATACATACATACATACAGATGTATGTACACAATCACTTAAAGCATGAATCATGCAGACGCTGTTACATTTGGTGATTCTCAGTAGATGAGGCAGCAATTGTATTTTTAAGACTGCTGCTTTGTTACTCATTATCAGCAATTTCGAAATGAGAAATTTGAAGTATTTATCATATGAAAATCAAGAAGTCTTGGCGTCTATGCATTTCATGTACACGAACGAAGAAAGTAAATGAAAGTTTTAATGGACTTCAGTTACAGACTATGTATGTATGTATATAAGTACATACATATGTATGCCTGTTTATATTTGCGTATAAGCGTAAGATCGTACGACGCGAGCGTGTGTGTGTGTGAACGTTTGCGCAACTTCAAAGGTGTGTATTGAACTGTAGGCCTACGACTTGGCTTCTATTTTACTTGTCAAGCTAGTAAAACTAATACCACAACACGGACTTATTGCTTAATTAATTAAAACACACCGTAAACTGTCCGCTCGATGTAGAACTCCGACAAACACACAGCCTGTAATGTCGAAACGATGTTATCAACTGAATTTAATGGCCAACAGGTTGTCATCGAACAGGTTGGCACGAATCTATCGCACTGTGTGGCTCAATTCGATACATTTGGTCAACTGATTGTTATCGAATTTCTTTGCGCAATCGACGGCAGTTCGCTCTCCGATAAATAGTGCATACAGCGTTTAACTTGAACTTTTTAGTGTAGGGACGAGGGATTTGATTGCAATTTTTAATTGCTTTCAACCTGTGGAATGTTTCCAAAATTAGTCAATATTAGCATAATTAAATCCTTTTTCGAATAAGCGCTTAGTGGCTTCTGCCTATTCATTTACTAAAATGTATCTTAAAATAATAATAAAAAGTATGCTGTGTGCAGTTTTCGCGTTTTTGTTGACATTTTATTTACGCAGGGCTCGAGAAAAATATGGTAAGTGAAAATAATTGTTTCATATTTTTTTTATGTTTGCTAAGTTTTCTTTTAACAACAGCTCAAACCGTTTTGCAGCAGCATAGACCTCCGAACCCCGAGGAGCCTCTACCACCATCATACTCCCCATTGCTTGCATTTCCACAAGCTGCAATTTGTTCTGACAACAATGCATGTAGTATTATAGCCAGGTGTGTATTCAATATTTGTGTAGATACACATGCATGTATGTACTGACAGCATCTCTATTTATATTGCAGGAAGATTTTAGAGCGAGGGGGCAGTGTGGTGGATTCCGCCCTTTCATCTTTGCTATGCAATGGTCTTCTAGGGATGCAAAGCATGGGATTGGGCGGTGGTATGCTAATGAACATTTATATACATAACGAGCGACGCTCCTACAGCATTCTTAGCCGCGAAATTTCCCCCATGTCGCTACATGCAGCCAACTTTACTGTATTTCGAAATGAAGATCATCTAAAGCAGTCCAGTTGGTCCATCGCTGTGCCCACTGAGCTGATGGGATATGCCTTGGCGCATGAACGATTCGGTAAATTACCGTGGCGAGAAATTGTTGAGCCCACTATAGAAATATGTCGAAAAGGATATCGCCTCTACAAGCATCAGTACGATGCTCTTTTGATAAATGAGGAAATGGTCAGAAGCGATACACTTTTGAGCCAATTGTTTGTGAAACCATCAACTGGAGAATTTTGGAATATTGGTACTCATCTATACCCGCCTGAACAATTATGCGATACTTACGCCCATATAGCAAAGGAAGGACCACGTAGTTTTTATAAAGGTTCCTTGGGGAAAATGGTGCATGACGACTTACTTGAAATGAAGAGCGTTATTACCGAAAACGATTTGAATGCTGCCCATGCCAGATTAAGAGAATCCATTGTCGTTCCATTGGATGAGTATGACTTGCACTTGACACCGTTGCCAGGCAGTGGATATGTCCTCGGTTTTATTATGAACATTTTGCTGCAATACCGCAAAGAATTTCAACAAAAACGTCATCTAGGACCCCTGGAAATTCATAGGATTGTTGAAGCTATGAAATTTGGATTTGTAAAGCGTTGGCAGTTGGACGAATCGGTCGACGAAGGGGTAAGAAATGTTTTATTTATTTATATACGATTATTTAAAGAGAGCTCGGCCATGCAAGCTTTGGGCATCGTGGTGACTAGCGAAGGGACCAAGTACAGGCTCCTCGGCCGTGGTCCGTGCGGGGGCCTGTAGTCATTTTTTGTTTTGGAGCCCACAACGGATATAAATCGATATGGATATCAGTCTAAGCCTCAGGACTGGAAGTACCCGCGGACACGTCGGTTATCATTGCTTGTCGCGGAAATAGACTGCAGTATTTGGCAGCAAGCTCTTTACGCAAGACTTATTCAAAGTACAAATCCGCGTAGTTGTTCAAAATTTTATTGACCGATAAATGCAACACTTGTTTTGGTAAAGCTACAAAGTGAAGAGCAGACCGAGGATGTGAATTAGCTCAATAAAAGAAGCTTGCCTTGTCCATGTGAAGATTTCTCCAAGTGGTTATAGTCACATTATTTAATTTAAATTTAAAGACTATTATTTTTAAAAATGGATTAATACAGTTATTTATCTTTTTATATATGTAAGCTTCTGGATAATATGACCAGTTCAGCATATGCAGAAGAAATTGCTAAACTAATCGACGACTCTAGAACTTTCGACGAACCGATGAATTATGGCGCTACTTCAGAGGTCCATTCTCGACCAGAGTATGGAACATCTCATATCTCCGTACTCTCCAAAGACGACGCTGTCTCAGTTACGAGTTCCATAAATTTCTAGTAAGTAGAATGCGTATATAATTGATAATGGATGTATATTTATTTATTCACCTTTTCAGCTTTGGCAGTGGACGTATGGGGAAACGTACGGGCGTTTTATTCAATAACGCGATGACCGACTTTTCCATCGAACGGCTGAAGAATCATTTTAACTTACCATTTGTACCCAATAAAAATATGATAACCGCAGGTGCCACACCAATGTCATCCATGACTCCAGTAATTGTGACTGAACGTTCCACGGGCAAAGTGCGTTTAGTAGTTGGCGCAGCCGGTGGCACAAAAATCATAAGTTCACTCGTACCGGTACTGATACGCACACTTTGGCAGCAAGTGAATATAAAAGGTGCCATCGATGCATACAGGGTTCATCATCAGATGCTGCCAAATGTCCTGGAGTACGAATATGGTCTGTTACAGAGCCACTTGGTGGAGTTAGAATCGAAGGGCCATCAATGCCAACGCTATTTAAATCGCGGTTCAGTTATTTGTGGGATCGAACAAACAAATGAAACGATTTTTGTAAATTCAGATTTTCGTAAAATGGGTGGAGTTACAGGGTATTAGATATTACCCCAGTGCAGCAACCCATCCCGATAGTATTTAAGCAACTAGATCTCAATGCCCAACCAGTAATGCTTTATGTTGTCGAGCTACAAATAGTTTGAATTCCATAAGAATTATCTCTAACACGCATACTTGACTGCTGGCCTCAAAAATTTAATTGTGGCAACAAGTCTGGCAACTACAAAGATTTTATTAATGTAACTAAATGTTCTGTGATAATTAAATTCATAAATATTTATACGATGCCAGTATGCACGTAGATTGTGGCCGCTTCTCAATGCTCAACTGAATTTTGGACTTCCACGGCATCTTTGTTCGTTTGGATGTAGAATGGCATGATTCCATTCCAATTTAAATGTTGTGTCGATCATTCCTTATATATTACATAAATGTATGCTTGCACAATATTGCGTGTGTATGTTGAAGCACGCAATTCAATTGACCGCTCAATCAATCGATCAATCAATTATGTGCTTACCGAGAACTTAAACGTGCAGCTCATATGTTTGCATGTGTGCTAAGCTATATATGTAGATATTTAAATTACAAAGTCGGTAATCCCCAAGCAAAAACACGCGCATTAGAGTAGAAACAAACGACGTGACTTTGAGTCACTTTAAGAAACATTTAAAACAAAATTATGTTTCTTGAGTACATAAAACTGAATGTGAGCCTCAGAAACTGGTCAGCACATTAAGTTGGTAATTTAAAAAAAAGGCTTGTTAAAATATTTTGTTCTAAATATTAGGCTATGTATTTTTTATATCAAAATAATTTACTTAAATAATTTATTAACAAATGTAACTAGTTTTTAAATTAGGCAAACAGATTTTCTCTCTTTTCCTTAGGTGTTGTTTCTTAGACAGATGTGTGAAAATGTGTTCTATTTAGACGGCAATAAATAAAGATTGTAACATATAAAAAAGTAGCAAACATTCCCAGAACGTTTAGTGTCATTGAGCATATTAACACATTTGGCCATTTATCGGGGCCCATGCCACAACCATCATGCGGTTGTTTATTGCCGTTGCTGTAAAGGTAAACAATTAGAGTTGAGTAAGCATTAAGGATGGAAAAGGATAGGGGCGTAGCTTGAAATATTCATTGGCGAGAGGACTAAAGGAGTGAGCAGAATGCTTTACCATTCGTCTCCATCTCTGCGACTACAAATGTGTCACATTTTAATAAAGCTCGTATGCTAGTATGTATTTTATGCTATGATGACTAATTTGTGTTAGAAATTTAGCAGACTATGAACTTAGTACTATCACCAGTACTTTTTATATCTTGGCTACGCCCTTATTTACGAAAGTAGTTCACTTACAGATTATTCTGAGCTCCGTTTTGATATTGCATGGCTGGGTCGTCCTCGAGTGACGCATCCAGCCCTTGTTGGTCCTCTTCCTGTGTGCATGGGCAGTGGCTAAAGCCCAGAAAGGGATTCGTTGAATTGCACCCGCCCGTGGACTCAACCGCTCTCAGTTGAGCGAATTCAATGGCCCCACAAACTAACAGAAGGCAGCAGAAGATCAACGCCAATGCAGAACAGATGTGTGACTCAACGACCAACATTTTGTAGCAATTCTTTTGAGGCCGATAGTCATTTTTTTGATGGCGTCGCAACAGGAATAGCCCAGCAATGCTGGCAAGTAGCAGCTGTATAAAGAAAGAAAAACAATAAAACGAACCACAATGTCTAATTAAAATCACGATTATATGCCATATTCGGAAAGCCGAATATTGTTGGCTACAAAAATCAAGAAGCCGCCCACACCACACACTCTATCTAGCCACTATTTTAGGCAAATGGACGAGGCAGCCAGCAGACCGACAACAATTTTTTGGACATGGGCTCGAAACAAAAATAAAAAAGTGCTAATCTTGTTTTGGAAATACCATGCTAACGTTCATATAGTTGTATATTTTAAGAATTGCTTGAACTTACCGCAAAGCCGCTCATGTATGGATTAGCAAGTATGGAAGCGTTTGGAGCTCGAAGAAATATACTAAGTGAGAGAACTATGAGCAGCAAGCCGATTATAAATTGCACTATTAGGAGATAGCGTGATATTTTTACGTTCCGTGTGTAAGCTGCATATGCATCTTGAACAGCTTAATTAACAAAACAAATGGAGATGATAATTATTAAAATATTATTCTATAAATTTTTCATTGGATTTTGTTGTTGTTGTTGTTATTCTTAGAGCTATTGACTTACTGTCCGAGCTTTTATTATTGACAACAATCATGCGACTATGTCTCAGACTATTTCTAGTTGGTGTATGTCGTCCAGCGATTTTCATACCTTTCATGTTCTGCGGAACCGTTGTGCTCATATAGACAGCCTGCTAGAAAATGGTATTTAGAGAAACTGCATTAAAATACGGTTAAAATAGGTAATACTACTTAAAATTAAATTTACTTCACATATAATATTTAAACTGCATATTACAATTAGAAAAACCAACAGATTTCCGCTATCATTGATTATTTTAACCTCGTAGCCCAGTGCGGACAGAAAAGGTTTAGTTACGGAGCATTCCGAATTCGACTTTAATTAAACTAATGCCATTTCAGATTGATAAGCTATTCGTTCGCCCAATTTATGCTATCACTTCCTTTTTGAATTCGATCAAAATTGTCAAATGATTGAATTATTATTCTCTTTTAAAAAGTGAAAGAGCTTCACACTCCTGAAGTCTGCTTTATCCATTATAGTCCGATAACACTATTATATTTAATACAATTTTGATGGCATTACCAACTTTATAGCTTCCTTGTGCTTAAGGAAGACTTTGATTCTAAAATTGCAAAGCCATGCAGTTCCTCCATTATACTTGTAGTATTACGGAATTCGACTAAAACACTTTTAGGAGAGGTCTATTTTATTATCTACTTATGTCTTAAAGTACACCGAGTTGGATTTTATTACATAACCATATCTTTCTTGTCTTTCCAAAAACAGTTTTTTATATTTCGAAATGTAATTAGTAAGCCCCTATTTACATTACTTGCCTGGGATGGTTGTGGTGCATGCAAATCGTTCAACGGCACTTGTTCATATGTGGCATAGCGTAGAGATTTGTGTTGGGGAGAAGTCGGTGTTGCAGTTGCTGTTGCAATCTTCATCGGTTGCATATCATTTTCAGCTGCTAAAACACTTCCCGTGTCATTATCTTGCAAAGTCTGTTTCCCCTTCTGTGGTACATTCTGGTATTTTGGCTCGGGCTTGGTTTTGTGTACCTCCACAGTATCTATTGGGCTCACGTTTAAGTGGTGAGCCGTTGATGCTTCATAGTTGTTAATGCCGAAAAATTTCGATTTTGCGTCATTCATAGCTGCCTTAACGGCTGCTATGCTATGACTGGTCCCATTCAGATCCGAAGGACTCTGCACCATTGCTGTCATTGCATCGTCCTTGGCAAATTTTTGATCTGCGCTATTGTTATTGAACTGCGATTTTGATTCTTGCTCTCCCAATGCTTCCTGTTCTGGTTGTTGTTGGTGTTGTTTGAACTTTGGTGTGCTAGTGTGTAATGCACTCGAAGCAGTCAGGAGATTGTCGTAAGTGCTGACAGGACGATCGATTGGCGATTGCATTTCAATTATAAATTTCTTTATCGTTATCTATCTACTAAGTCCGAGAAAATGTTTCGTTTCTGCTAACGTTTAATTTGTTTTGTTATCGTTCTGAGACGATATGATTATAATTGATTTTCAAGCGCTTGCTCCGATGTAAACGCATTTTGAAGCCTTTCCTGCAAAGATTTTGTAGGTAACATTAAGAATTGGAGGCTAAGATTGGTGTTAGTTGTAAATTGCATTGAAAACGAAGAAAATATACGTTCAAATATTGCACAATTGCTCAGTTCCGAAAAGCTATTGAGTTATTTTGCTTGATAAGTTGTTCCACTACTACATATAATTGAAACTAAATATCTTCAATCAATTTTCGATATGAGAATAAAATTTCAGTTTGCTGCAATTCAATCGTATCCGATAAGGAGAGAATGATTTTTTATACAAGCAAATCCATTTTATAAGGAATATTATGGAATATAATACTTTTATTAGGCGTCTGAACTGTAAGAACTCTTCGGATTCTTTAACCCAATAATAAGTATATAGCTGTTAATGAAATATTTCAAAATCTTGTTGACGATCAATTTGCAGCTTAAAATAATAAATTCATAAAGCTCGGTTTCTGAATATTGTGGCACTTCCAGGTATTTCAAAAATCTATAAGTATGATTCTATGAATCATTTCTGGTGACGATTGTTCAGCAAAGGTTATTTGAAACAAATCAGAATAAACAAATGATTTAAAGTGCGACATATACCAATGAAAAATATATATTTATAGCTTCGATTATACAGTACATAACATACAATATGTATGCATGTTTAATCAGATGCTTTGATCGGATTTCTATTTGTTGTGGTTGTCAGAATAAATAATTGCGCGCTGACTGCAAAAAGTTCACATTTTCTAAAACACAATATTTATGACCTAATCATCAATCATTGTTGAGTTACTCTCGCGTGTCTGAGTCACGTGTAAATTCGGAAACTTCTCCTACATGGGTAGAGGAAGAGTCTTCTGCTCTAAAGAGTAGACGAACTTTTTGTCAGACTGTTAACTAATAGACCCAGATGGGCCAGCCATTAGGTATGCTGAGCACTGACAATTTCAGACTAGATTAGCTGTTACCGTTAGCGTTTACGTTGCCACCGATCACCAATTGATCACCCAACTTATTTTTTCGCTGACCCTATTCAGCACACGCGCTCCAACGCACACTTTTCAAATTTGAATTGAGTTTGTGAACTTGTCGTTGATGGTGATCGTGATGGTGATGGTGTTGCTTGCCTCACATGCTGGGAACTACTTTATAATGTGTAATCTGTTTACGCGCGAACGCGCAATATTTAAAAATATATGTACATATGTATGTATGCAGATACATACTGCTTACATATTTGCATACATACATACAAGTATATGCAGCATGTATTATATAGATACATTTGTATGAGAGTCACAGATTCACAAGAAGCGGAGAGACAAAAAAATAACAAAAAAAAAAAAAAAAAAAAAATGAATGTTGTGCATACATATGTTGTTGATATCTGCTGTAGTATTGTGTAAAGTTGAATGAGTTGTATTTTTATTGATAGAGATATGCTGTGGCTATGGCCTGCTAAGCATGTTTCCGCTCACTTGTGCAAGATCTTTAAGATTTATGTTAAAAAATAAAATAAAAAAAAAACAGCAGCAACAACTACTAGAATGTAATGCATCTCATCGCTAATTTATTTATTTTTTTCCTTTGCTTTTTGATCTATTTATAAGGCTCTGTACCGAAAACTTTACAACTTTAAAGAGCATACCAATGACAACAAACAAAAGTTGTACGCTGTCTGTATTTCTAGACCGAAACAGAGAAAAAAACAACAAGAAGTGAAACAACAATAACAAAAAACACGACAAAAAATCCGCTCACTGACACTGTACGCACCAAGAGGTGAAAACAAACTAAAAATAATTCTCACCAGCACGTTGATCGAGCGCTTGAAAAAAAAGCAAGCCATAGCCAGCCAGCCATTCGTACCTACACACATAGGTCGGTAAAAACTGCTCGCTTACCTGCGCTTGGACAGCACACACACACACGTACACACACTGATAAATACCTGTACACACACATGCACACACAGATAGAGACAGACATGCATAGTTACATGTTGGTTGAACCGATGAGTAGTAGGTGCGGATAGTTTCAGTCGCTCAGAGAATGACGGGTTTTTGGTTGACTTGACTCGACTCGACTCGACTTGACTACCACTAGTTGCATGGCGGCTCTAAACAGACTCTCACATTTTACGTGGCAAGCCGCATTCCCTCCCTCCCCCCAAAAGACCTCAGAACGAGGCTTTGGATGGCCAGAGCCCAGAGTCAAAGTGCAAGCGCAAGCGTAAGTTTTCTTCAGCGATCCATAAACAATTTTAATAAACAAAAAAAAAAAATTGTAGAATTTGCAAATCAGCTACTGAAACGATCATAAAATCGAAAGTATTTAACTACCTATGTGATTAAGCTACAGCTACAGATTTTGTCTTTATAGTATATAGACAATCTGTATACCTACATATCTGTCTATCCGTATGAGCTTCGAAATCTTTTGAGCTAGAGACAAATTAGACTAGTCTTTTGATGAACCGAAATCTACTAACCTGAATGTAATATTTTACATTACTTTTAAAAGAATAGTTTCCAATACGATATTGTAATTACTTGTAAATGCTTCATTAGCTCGATGCAAGAATTAGACGTAGCTTGAAGTCTTATTTATTTTGTATTATTATTTAACAAAGCTTCCTGAATATGTATGTTTCTAGCTGAATGAATCACTCTTTAACTGTCATTTCGAATAGCATCCCACTTTCTATCAGACTGGCTAAGCGAAACAATAAACTAAGCACCCGGCTTTGCAACTGATCAACATTAGTAGCTCTTAATGCTACACCCTATGAATAACAATAATGAATAGTACGGGCGGTTAAACAATATTTGTTAACTCAAGCATTACGAGCCGAGATCATACTGGTATGCGAGGGACGGACTAACAACTACAAATAACAACTAACGACCAACGACTTCTTCATTTGAAATCCAACCACGACAACTGATGCAACAGATCATTGATTATTATACGGTATTACTAAACATCGTCTTGTGTATCGCATATGACTTATTACCCATTCGTGTGTACTTGGATTTTTTTGCAATCAAACCCATTAACTTTTGTAAAATGCTAAACACCTATCATGAAAGTCGCAAACTTCCTACGAATACTACATACTACACATATAGTATGTATGGCATGGGAAAGAGCCGTCGTCACCGTCACCATCGTCTTTGTAAATTCTTGCCAATTAGGAACTTGAAATGTGTTAAGTACGGTTACCGTTTCTTCAGAATTCGCAGTCTATTTTTACAATGTGAGCGACTTAAATTTCAGTGCCATGCCAATAAATAGAATTAAAAACACACACAAGTCGCATTTTACTGTACTCCAGTTTTTTTTTTATTTTTTATTATGCGAGTATTTATTTTTTGGTACGGTGTTTATTTTCTGGGCTTATACGTAGTATTCCTTCGTAAAATCGGGCATTCGGGTTGTGAACTAGCTAGCAAAACAGAAGCATGGCGATTTGCGTCAACAATGCAAAACCGCTACGACTGGAGGGAGGTTTGAAAAGTTTTGAATTAAATCCAAAAATGATTTCGAATAGCTGTAGCAGTTAAAACTGTAATCCTTTACCTAACTTTTCAAATACTTTATGTTTGCTTGAGCGCAAAACAATAAAAAAGAAGACTACAAGATTGAAACGATATTTTCTGTGTTTGGTTTAAATAAGACTAAGCTCCTACTTTAAGCAAACTCTCCACTTAAATACTGTGTAACCAAAGAAACCTTCTCTAATGTATTCTATGCAAATAATGAAAAAAACTGAACCGCTGTTGGAACTGTGGGCGTAGTACGGGCGTAAAACTGTTTAAAAATCAAGTTATTCCTGTAGTAATTGTAGTAATTTTAAAGGGAAATAGTGAAATGGTTAGTTATTGAGAATGTATGATCCAAGTCTGGTTAGTGCGCGTTCATCCATTTCCAAAACTCAGGAGTTCTGGACATAGAGACGAATGGATATGTGGAGTTCTATTTGACTCGTCATGATTAAGAATATATTAACATAACAATTTACTTTTACTCTTTAAAGCTGCCACTATCCTTGAAGCAAATATTATATACTCCGAATTTAACAATATTTGTCGGCAAAGTCTTTTTCGTTCTAACCAAGAAATAAAATAAATTGGGTTCTATTTGTATTTCCAAAATATTTAAAAATAGTTTCTTAACTCTAATTCTTAGAAAGAAAAGAAATATGACTGATTGCATTTGTATGCTTTCAAATAATGGCGAAATTCGTGAAGATTAAATATATAATAACTTAATGGATGCACAAGCTCGTAAGCAAGGATCTAGGACAAGGAAATATGGTTAAACTTGTTTTTGTGGGAGATGAATATTTAATTAAATATTTGAAAAGGTTGTTAAGGACGGGGGGTGAATACCACAATTATATATAGTGCTGATTTTTTTAATACTTAATATAAATTAATTTAATAAATTAACAATTTTTGCTGTCGACAGAGATAAATATTAAGTGTTTTGTATTCAATTATAATAAAGATATGAAATAATAAGTATTCTGTTATAATTTCAACTTAAAAAATAAGAAAGACTAAAAAATAACTATACAGTAATGGCTATTAATTATTATTTGCCATTTGGCCAGATAAAAACTAAACAAGAAATATATAGCAAAGGAGAAAACTTAAAGGACTTGATCTCATATATTAGATAACAATAAAGATATAAAATAGTAAGTATTCTGTTATAATTTCAACTTAAAAAATAAGAAAAACTAAAAAATAACTATACAGTAATTATTAAATCTCTATTAATTATTATTTGCCATTTGGCCAGCTAAAAACTAAACAAGAAATATATAGTAAAGGAGAAAACTTAAAGGACTTGATCTCATATATTACATAACAATCAAGATATAAAATAAGAAGTATTATGTTATAATTTCAACTTAAAAAATAAGAAAGACTAAAAAATAACTATACAGTAATTATTAAATCTCTATTAATTATTATTTGCCATTTGGCCAGCTAAAAACTAAACAAGAAATATATAGTAAAGGAGAAAACTTAAAGGACTTGATCTCATATATTACATAACAATCAAGATATAAAATAAGAAGTATTATGTTATAATTTCAACTTAAAAAATAAGAAAGCCTAAAATGTCTATTAATTATTATTTGCCATTTGGATAGATAGATAGTAAAGCAGAAAGCTTAAAGGACTTGATCTCATAACTTTTTTTCCTTTCAATGGATAACTTATTCATATATCGAACGGTTAACCTATGTTTATAAAACTATGTATATTTGAAGCCCGTTTGAGAGACCCTCGCATAAGTTGTGTAAAGCTGTGCGATTGCGCAGCTTATATTTCGCGTCGGCAACAATGCCACAATGACAAACAGCGGCAGCGGCAGTGGCAGCTGAGCGACCAAACAACCAACAACCAACAACATAACCAACCGAACGGCCAACCAGCCAGCCAGCCAGCCAGCCAGCCAGCCAGTCAGCAAACCAACCAACCAACCAGCCAACCTTATGGTGACGGCTACGGCGGCAGTTGTCGTTGTTGTCGTTCACGTTCACGTTGACGTCGTCGTGGTCGTCGTCGTTGGCGTCGACGTCGACGTCGTTGCCGCTGCACACGCGCAGTGCGAACTTCTGTTGCTAAAGCGCCAGTTGGAAACCAGTTATAAGTCAACTTTCATTCCAAGCAGACGTGTCTCAGGCGCACGGATCGCGGCGTTTTTTTGAAATTTTGCTGTTGTGCTGCTGTTTGGCAAGCGCGCGGACTTCGCTTAATAATATACCAACATATACATACATAAGTAGTACATACATGTACGTATGTATAAAAAAATATATACAAATGTATATATTTACGTTTTATACACATGCAAATGCATACAAGTATAAACGTGTAATAAGTTCACGTTCATAGCTTGTTGTTCGCTTTAAGTGACTTTAAGGTGCAATCCAGGCCGAATTGTTTTCTTTTCTGCATTTTTTTGTCGTTCTTGTTTTTGTTGTTGTTGTTGTTGTTGTTGGCGTGAATGTGTGAGTGTATTACCAAGAAATTCAATTCTAGTCTGAAATGTTGCAAAATAACCTGTAGTGGTGCATAATAATAAAAACAAAAGAGAATGTTCCCCATGTATGTATGTACTATACATACTTATAACAATAACTATAGTGTTTGCTACTTTTGTTAACAAATTTGTGCGCTCTATGCTTCATGTATGGAAAAATATCGGATAATTTTTTTTTTGTATTTTTCTTGAGTTTTTTTTTAAGTTTCTTTGGTCGGTGAACGTGAATGCTGTGTGTCTAAATATAATTTGTTATAAACGCATGAAGCTTTCTCATATGGTTTCAATTAGCACCTCCAATATCGGATTAATGATAATATAAAATAAGAAAAACGAAAAAATAATAATAATAATAACGAAGCCAATATTTAGATTTTGCTGAGGAGGTCAGACAAGCGGCGTTATTGTACTCTTTGCCATTGGCAACATTCGATTTCGTTGGCTCGCCACAACAACAACAACAACAACAACAACAATAACAGCAACAAAATACGAAAATAAAAATAAAGCTATTAGTTATTCAGTGAAAGACATCCATATCCACAATTGCCATTGGGGAACTGCCGCGGCAAAACACTGGAATCGAAAATGAAAGTAGCTTTGAGCTTATGAATGAATTAGTAGAGAAGCCAATGGCCAAGTGGGAATGACGGGGGTTACAAATGCTGAAAGTTCTTCTCACTTCTCTCTGTCTTTATCTCTCTTTGTCTCTCTCTCTCTGTCTCCCTTTCTGTTTTGATGTCTCTCGCCTTTGTCTGAGCCAAGAGATTGACCCAATTAATGACCCACACAAATTGTCGTTTTTGTTATTTTGCTCTGCCGTTGACAAACTTTCCTTTTGGCCATTAGCTAGAAAATAGCCAACAATTACTTGCCACTGAATTGAACAATTTCAAAAAACTTATGCTGTTACTCCTTGAAGCAGTATTTTCACTGCCTTCGAACAATTTTCGGAAAATGGCAAACAAAAAATTGAAATATTGTCGCCTCAAGAGTGCTCTTTTCTTTTAGTCTCTTAAGCTGTCACTATCTTGGAAGCAAATAAGGGATACCCAGAGAAATGAAATAGAACGGGTTCTATTCGTATTTCCTAAATTTATAAAAAAAAATTCCTTAAGTCTTACAAAACCTACACATGTATTGCAAGAATCAAATAGGACCGGTTCTTTATAACGGCGGAATTTTAAATACCTTGCCTTGAAGTGCCTCTATAAGAATATTCTTTTAAAAATGTCATCAAATAAGACTATATTTATTTAGAATATTTTAGCACAAATATCGGTTACATTAATGTTGAATGAAAACGCAGCTAAATTTAATGTTCAAATCAGAAATTAATCAACAATAATATGATAGCAACATTTTCATTAATTTCAAGTAACATATTGCAGCGTATATTTAAATTATATGGTTAAGCTTATAACATAAATATTAGTATACAATATCTTTGGCAAAGGCAGAGCTTAAGGTCTGCGTTTTAATCGTTTTTTGAACCACCAATACCATCAATATTGTGAAATTTATAGGCACCCTAAGCTAAGTTGAGGTAAGAGCTGGAGTTGAGGAAAGCTTTGCGGGCATATTTTTTCATTATTTTTCATTATTGCTTTTATTTGATTATATTTTATTTTAATTTTTTGTGTGTTGCTCTTTCTCGTTGTTTCTGCTTTCAGTATTATTCAAAGTCATTGCACCACGATTGCAAATTGTATTACAATATTTTAATGTGCAGTAATATAATTATGCAGTGGAAATTCAATGTGAATGCATAGTGAAAATCTAATGAACGCAAGACGCCGACACTCACGTTTTACATGCAATACATTAATGTGTACACACAAACATACGAGATACCTTAATGTAGATACATATACTATATGTATATAGTATATAAATAAATAAATTGTGCTGTTGGTTGGTTATGTTACATCTGTAAAGGCGCGCGCGAGCGAAGCAACAATAACAAAAGGCAAACAATGTTTTGCTTAAAGTTATTGTTAAAAGCATCTGGGCTGGTATACTATATTTCGGAAAAGGCCAACACCATGTCTTCTTTCCCAAGCCAGATGCCCTTCATAGTGCTGCCACTGATGATGCTGTTTGCGGCCGGAAATTGCCAAAGTAAGTTCACAATTTTTGTTATTTCTCCTTCATTTCTCTCTCTCTCATTTTTTTTTTTTTTTTTGATATTGTTAAAATGATTGTTTATGTTGCCTATGTATGTGTTTGTGTGTGTATGCAAAACATTGGCCCCGCTTAATCTTTTATGAAAGTTCATTGCTACATACATACATAGTCGTATGGGAAATTTTTATAGATCATAGAGTTAATGCTCTTGCAAGCTCTTGAATGAAATTGTCGGCAGTGAGACAGCACCTTACCCTCATATACATATAGTAATAGTATTCATTAAATATGCTTTTAAAATTTGTTTAGAGTATAAACACATTTGCAACTCATTATTATTCAATTTTGTCAAGTTTATAGAATCAGCACAGACCCATTATAGTTTAGGAATCAGTGAATAGTTTTGAATATTGCTAAGTGAGTTTTAAATTGTTTCTGCCGGAACTAAATTCAATTGTTATTCGTTAAGAATTAAACAATTGCGAAATATTTGCAATTCATTATCTAATGCCAAGCGGGTCGGATTGTTGCTTGGCCTCCACTCCTTTTTGAGACGCATCGTAGAGTGCGTCAAAGTTGTGATACCCTTTTGCACACGGCAGGGTATACTATATATGCATAATAAACACTTGCAAAACCGGATCAATGAGATTGAAGTCTTTTAGCAAAATAGTCGGCGGGCTTACTCGTAAATAACATCATCGGCTGCACAGGCGGACTATAAGCCTGACGTCAGCTGCATTCGAAAACCGTTAACCGGCCACGCCAAGCCACGGATATTATACATATATTGTGCATACATACATATGTACCCATGTATATATACATATTTACATACATACATACAAACATGCTCCCAAGTATGAACAACTCAAGCTCTTTTGTTGCCTGTGTTGCTTTAGAGATTAACATAGGCCGGGTAATTAGCAGGTGTTAGTTATCATATAAAAGACATAGTTGACTCCTATTCCCATTCCCATCCGAAAGCTTAGCAGCGAACCAAGTACGTTTAGACGCCATTTTAATAATTAACTAGAAAAATGCGAGTCTATGTAGATTTATAAAAAGTTGCCACAACGAGAACAACCTTTTATGGTCACACAGGCACATAAGTACTGTTTGTCGAATTTCACAAAAAAAGCAATATCATTGCTATATTTAATATAGTTTCTTGAAGCGGTTTTTGTGTATAATTTTTCCCGCTTTACACAGTCAATTGTTGTTTAACTTTTATGTACCTCCATTTTGTTTAATAGAAAAGGCTAAGTGGCCAAACATTAAGATATCTTTACCTCACTTGTTATGAATTTATAACGTTTTTAGGAAAAATGAATAAATTGAATTGAAATTAATATATAGCAGTGTTCGTCTATATGACGAGTTTGTGTGTAAATTATTTTCCTGTGTGACCGTACCTGTGTGAACCTATCAGCTTCCAAATTTTTAATTAGTTTTGATTTTTAGTTTAGTTTTTTTTTAATGCAAACTATTGTATAGTAAATAGTGTTACTTCATATGACGAGTTTGTGTGCAAATTGTCTGACAGTGCCTGTGGGAACTGTATGAATAGCTTATAAATTTTCAATTAGTTTTGCATTTCCAAGCAGAGAACAGCAAGTTAACAGAAATGATTTTAGATTTAGGTTTCAATGAATTCTTTGGGTCCCCTTTGGAAAAATCTGCATACGCCCTTGTAGTTTTTTAATGCAGAATATTGTAGTAAATAGTGTTAGTCTATATGACGAGTTTGTGTGCAAATAGTTTTCCCGTCTGACCGTGCCTGTGTGAACCTAATAGCTTCTAAATATGCAATTAGTTTTGCATTTCCAAGCAGAGAACAGCAAGTTAACAGAAATGATTTTTGATTTAGGTTTCAATTATGTTCTTATGGTAATTTGTAAGAACAATTTTACGCACAACACAATAGTGGGAATGAGAACTTAAACGTTGTTGTGCATGGGAAAGGCTTAGCGTTAGATTGTTCTTCAAAGAAAAACCCAAAACCCAAACAAACCTTACAATACATGGGAGCTGCACAAATTTTGTATGCAAAGTGGCATGTCTTTGTTTTCTTTTTTTTTGGATTTTTTTTGGTTTTTTTCGTGTTTTTGTTGCTGTAAAACGAAAAGTGGGAGAGGTCGTGTGCTTCAAAACCAAGAAGCATGAAAATTGTTGCGCACACACAGTAAATTTTGCAAATTAGGCAAAACTGTGTGTGGACATGTCAGAGAGCATTATTTATGTGTGCATCAAAACACGACTCGGGATTGGACGGTAGCCGAAATGTTTAATTTAATTTAATTTTCTTCTGTCTGTTTCTCCATTCCTTTTGTTTGAATAGTTTGCGGTCCCCCAGCGGTTCCCCTCAATGCCAAAGTGCGAACTGTGACCGGCGAAGTTGGAATTACAGAAGCTATATACGAATGCGATGCTGGCTATGAGCTTTTCGGCTCCCCATCCGTAAAATGTGATGCGCACAAGGGCTGGGAACGGGAGCTGCCCTTCTGCGGTGTGAACGTCGCCTACCGGAAGCCCGTCAATCAGAGCTCCTATACACGGAGTGGTCCAGCTAGTTATGCCAACGATGGCAAGCCAGGAAATAAGGTAACTATAAATACTGTTTTACGCAGCTATAATATTTTCATAATACTTGTACATATTTTGAATGCGAAGTATTTGTCGATAACTGCAACACTCCCTGATCTTTGTCTTAAGAAAAGGTCACTTTTTCGTGAACGATTCTGAAAACTACATCAGAAGCACTCAGATAATTCAAGTGAAAATCTAAGAGGGACAAATTTTGATTAGCCCCAAAAGATGTTATTATTTATTTATTTATTTAGAAAATCAACAAATAGTGTTGTCGATACATATATGAAAGCTATGAGTTATATTGTCATATAATATTATAAAATAAAATAAAGATATTTAATAACACAACGTTATGATTTCAACTTAAAAGATAAGAAAGCCGAAGAAAAAACTATACAATTACGTCTACTAATGCCTCCGACCCGTTGGGGGAATTTTATTTGCCATTTGGCCAGCTATGCCCCGAATCACAACCATATGTGGTCAGAGACATTATAGACCTAACAGCCTAAAAAATAGTAATTACGGAAGGAAAAGTAATTTACTTAACATCTAATTAAGAATAAAGAGATAGGGTAGAAGGGAAATCTCCAACCCGATGGGGGAAAATTTGAAAGGCAGTCTAACAAGCAAAACTCCATATTCTAGGCACCATATTCTCTATATATAGTATATGACATTCTTCGCCATTATAATCTGCCGAATTATTTGTCAAACTAAGCCAAATTAAACCCCAGTCCGACTTGGGTAGAATAGTTGATGCAGATATGCATCTCTTTTCTAATATTTTTTCACATTTTTGCAAACAATTTTATGCCAATTTTTGTAAAAATTAACTAGACTAGATTTATGCAAATAGTGTTATAAGTTTCCTTTAATGTTTACATTTTGTGCAGAATCCCGATGGGCAGGAGTGCTCAGAAACACAAAAGGAGCCATCGCCTTGGTGGCGTGTGGATCTCTTGGCCCCGCAGGCCGTGCACGTGGTCCGCATCACCACTCGGGGCTGCTGTGGTCATCAGCCATTGCAAGATTTGGAAATACGTGTGGGCAATAGTAGTGTGGATCTGCAGCGAAATCCGCTTTGTGCCTGGTATCCAGGCACACTTGATGAGGGTATTGTGAAAACATTTACCTGTGCCCGCCCACTAATTGGTCAATATGTGGCCATACAACTAGTGGGTGTGGAGGGCAGTCTGAGTCTCTGCGAGGTGGAAACGTTTACCAACGACGAGTTCTCTGTGGATCGCTGTCTGAGCCCGAAACTCGGTGTGGACACAGTGGTGACAACATTCTCGAAAACGTGCTACGACTTTCATATTACCAAAGGGGAAAGCTTTGAAAAAGCGCAAAGCATTTGTCAGCAAACAGGTGAATTGAGGTCACAACGCAACGTTTCGAAAACAATGAAAACTAACACAGAATTCTTTTTACCTTAGGCGGTGACCTGGTACACGATTTTCGTGGGCCCACCAGCCAGTACATATTATCGGAACTGGAACGACGTAAGTCCGAGCTGAAGCCGCAGCTTGTTTGGATTGGCGCTCAAAAGGAGCCTGGCATCACATCCCGAACCTGGAAGTGGGTGAACGGTGAGAAAAACGAATTATTCTACCTAAATATTTCGACTAATTAGACTTTGTTTTCAGGTGAAGTCGTACAGAAGCCCGCCTGGGGCAAGGATCAGCCCAATAACTATAATGGCGAACAGAACTGTGTGGTATTGGATGGGGGTCGCAACTGGCTGTGGAACGATGTTGGCTGCAACTTGGACTATTTACATTTCATCTGTCAGCACAGTGCGTCGGAAATTGCGAATATATGTATTCCATGTGGATTGCTCTAATATTTTCAATGTTCCCTATTTATAGCTCCGCAATCCTGTGGCTCGCCCGATGCCAAGCAAAACACCACCGTGCTGGGAAAAAAGTTCAGTCTGGGCGAGCATATTCAATATAATTGCCCCAAAGGCCATTCACTGCTTGGCGATGCGGATCGCGTCTGCCGAACCGATGGTACATGGAGCGGTTCGGCACCAACTTGTAAATGTGAGTGACTAGGGAATTATTACATTTATGCTAATTGTGCTAATATTTGTTCGTTGGCAAAGCTGAGTGCCTGCTATTTATGATACCGTTTGATCCACTTAAAATGAGTGTAACGTTAAAACGGTGCAAGTACGACTCTTGTATACTCTGTACTGGTGGGCGCTTGGATTCCGATGAGACCTTAGGATGAGACGATATTTCAAACATCGTTTAGTTACGATAATGATATACAAGTATGGCGATAAATGAAGTCTACGTTTAATGTTTAGTATGGCTTCTGGATAGATGGATACAAGGGCGTACGCAGCTTTTTCCAAAAGGGGGTGCCAAAAAATTACAATTTTGACTAAATAATGCACGATGCTTTAAAACAATAATCTATGCATTCGATCAATAGACCTTCAACCTTCAACAAATGCAACTCAGTTACATTTTAAGGCGAAATAGTGCGCCATAATAATAATTGGGAATTTTTTTAGGGGGCAACGGCCCATTCCGCCTTCCTCCTAGATGGATATATCTATCTTTATTCGTCTAGTCATGCTGACCAAATATGTATTTAATTCAAATATTAGGTCTGGCATCCCTCCTCATTCTTGTTACATGTATTTGGATTTGTATTTAGTATACCCGTTCACTTGTATATTTCCAATTTACAGACTATATATTTGTTTTGTTGTTGGCTGTAAACCTCTTTAGCTCCCATAATCCTATATACAAGTAAAGAATTCCGTTCCTCCCACAGACGTGGACTGCGGCGACTTGCCTGAACTGAAGTTTGGCTCCATACATCTGTCCGAGGAGAGGACTAGCTTTGGTGTGGTGGCCACATATAGCTGCCACGAGAACTACACGCTCATCGGCAATGAGAATCGAACATGTCTGGTCGAGGGTTGGAGTGGCAAGCAGCCGGAATGTCTGGTGGACTGGTGTCCAGATCCGCAGCGCATTACCGGCGGAAATGTCAAGTTCAGCGATAAACGTGCTGGCTCTACGGCCGTGTACGTGTGTGATCCGGGCTATGTGTTGGTGGGCGAAGCGGTAAGTAGATAAAAAAAACATTGCCTGGATAGAGAATTTTAGCTGGAGCATGGACTTTCAGGTCATTTCTTGTGGTCTGGGTGGCGAGTGGTCGAGCAAAACGCCATCTTGCAGATTTGTGGATTGTGGTGCGCCTGCGCGACCCGATCGTGGCGTAGCCATATTGCTGAATGGCACCACCACCGTGGACTCGGTGGTTAAATATGAGTGTGATGAGGATCACTGGTTGGAGGGACCTTCGGAGCTGTATTGCACGAGGGATGGCAAATGGTCGGGAGAGGCGCCCGTTTGTGAGCTTGTCACCTGTGATACTCCCCAGGTGCCTGCTGGTGCGTTTGTCATCGGCTATGATTACAATGTACATTCAAAAATACAATATAACTGTGATCCGGGACATATAATGCACGGCAACCCCACCCTGGAATGTCTGGATAATGGGGAATGGAGCTCCGATGCGCCCGACTGCGAGTGTAAGCAGACAAGGGGATTCCCTTTTATTGAACTGAAACTTAAAAAAGAATTGCCTTTTCAGATATCGACTGTGGTCCCATACTGCCCATACCCTATGGCAGCCACAAGTACGTGACCAACACCACCTATGTGGGCTCGGAGGTCATCTTCAGTTGCACCCAGTCCCACAAACTGAGCGGCGTACTCAAGCGCCATTGTCTCGAAACGGGTATTTGGAGCGATGCCTCGCCAAAATGTGAAGGTAAGCCCCGATGCGGATCTTAAATGTATACGTACGTGGTAAATATATCCTGCACTTTATAGAAATTCGCTGTTCCGAACCAAAACTGGCGTCGCACAGCTTACTCTCTGTGACCGGCAATGATCGCATGTACGGACGCACACTTATACGCACGGCGGAGTCCCTTCAGAATACGGCACAAACATACAAGTAGGGCATAGCTAGTGCACCCATGATCCTCGATTACTGAGTGGTTTTTTTCTTTTAACTTCCAGAATTGGTGCCCTCGCCAAATATCGTTGCGAGCGTGGCTACAAAATGGTCGGCGAGGCCTTGGCCACCTGCACGGACAATGGACAATGGAGCGGCATCATTCCGGAATGTGTCTGTAAGTGGACTTTGGGTGGAAAGAGTTCTGCTGTTATTCATGTTCTGTTATTCATTTTATGGTGTTTTGGCAGATGTGGAATGTGGGGCGCCCGAGAACATAACCAATGGCAAGGTAACCCTGGCCACCAATGCCACGTATTACGGGGCCGCTGTTCTGTACGAATGTAATCCCAATTACAAATTGAATGGCGTCTCGCGGCGCTTGTGCACAGAGCACGGCAATTGGAGTCACGAGGCGCCGGCATGTGTGGAGGTTGTTTGCGATGTTCCCAATCTAAGCGAGAATCTGATTGTGGAGGCGGGGGCACGTGCTGTTGGGTCAGTGGCTACCTTCAAGTGCCTCAAGGGGCGCACTATGATTGGCAATGATACGCGAGTTTGTCAGAAAAATGGCAAATGGGCCGGAAAAAATCCGACATGTAAACGTAAGTAGAGCGATACAAGCACTCCAATAATCTTCAAAGATTTCCTACATTTTAAAAGAAAAGTTTTCTAGACTACAAGAGTATGTTCGGTTTGCGGGATGTCGAAAATGTCCGAGACCCCACAAAGTAGATATACATATATATTCTTGATCAGCATGACAAGACGAGTCGATCTATGCCTGTCTGTTGTTCGTCTGTCCGTCTGAACACCTGGATCTCAGAGACTCTAAGAGCTAGAGACACCAAATTTTGCACAAAGATGCCTTATGTGTGTACGCTTTGCAAGTTTGTTTTATTTTTTTGATTTTCCTCCACACTTCCCCACTATGGGGGTTTTCCCGATTTTCCATTCGTATAACCGCCTATATCTCGAAGACTATAAGAACTAGGGACATTAAATTTAAAGTCCATGATGATCTTTTGTGAATACGCAGAAAGTGTGTATTTTGGACGTTATAGCCATAAGTATAATTGCCAAGCGCTGCCCGCAGCTTTTGTTGATGTTGGTGCTTTAATTGACTGCAAACATGCTCACACAGACACGAATAGAAACGAATAGACATGAATAGATATGGTATACATATGGTATATACACTCACATAGACTCAATTGCTATGCAAATGTGCAAATATACACCCTTTACGAGAGGTTGAATACTAAGAGAGGTAAAATCCATGAACATTTTTTTTCAATTTTCTTAATTTTTTTCATTTATACAACACATATGTATGTATGTGCAGAGTATTTCTACTTGCTTTACTCACATTATATTCTTTACATAGGTATACACCAATTATCATTGATGTGCATCAAATAGCTTGAGACATAGCTCGGTACCATTTAGCTTTTGCAGCGTTTATAAAATCTTTCGATATTCCCATTTGAACACTTTTGAAATCAATAATCGGTCTTAAGCCATTTTTTGTTTGTCTGGTGGCTTCAATGTTGTACGAGCACGAGTCTAAGCATTTCAAATTACTATAATAATTGAATAATATCAATCAGATGGAGAATAATACTGCAGTCATCTCTACTGAGTAAGCTTCCTCGCAATTAGACGTTAGCTTTGCTGAGTTTTTGAAAACAAAACGAAATGCTTTCTAAAGTCAGAAGCTTCGACATCTCCCTCTTAAGTCTTCAAAGGTTTAAGGAATATACAAACAGACATATATTACTCTTCAGCTTACGGCTTCATGGGCGAGATTTAGTCTCATTAAACGATGTAATTGGTTTTCTTTTCAAGCTGTTGATTGTGGTCGCCCGCCCTCGATCGAGAACGGACGGGTCATAGTTGTGAATGAATCAACGCTGTACGGAGGCTCGGCGGAGTACCATTGCATTCCCAATTATAATCGTATTGGCCAATATTTGCGAAAGTGCACAGAGGATGCCACATGGAGTGGCGAACAGCCACGCTGTGAACTGGCCACAGTCGAGGGTCAAGAGAGCTCTGAGCTGGGAACTGGCGTGGCCATAGGAGCAACGATTATAATAGCGTTGCTTGTCGTATTTGGTCTAATTTTCCTATATCGGAATAAAGCTAGACCAGTGAAGAATACGGAGAATGTACAGGCTGCCGAAACAAAGGATGAACGCAACGCGGCGGTCATGTCTTATTCCACCTTGGAGGCGAACAATCGCATGCATATGGATAATAATCCATCAGCCACATTTAATACGTTTCATGGAGCCCCTCGGAGGGGTGCAGACAACAATGGGTCCAGTGAAACGGGCAGAGGAAACAATCGATCGGGTAAGCATTGAATTGGTGAATTGCTCTCAAATTCCATCATCTCTATCTAAAGTGTCTTTCTTAGAGAACATTTACGATCAAATACCAAATGAACAGCTCTATGATGCTCCCTACGAGATGCGCAGCAACGACGAAGTCTACGAGCCCGAGCCCATGGCCAGTAATGTCATTACGATTAATGGTATATCTGTGCGATAAAAAAACAATATATATATATACATACATATACATATACTTGTATGTATCATAGAAATACAGTGAGGAGTTGATATATGGACTGGATATAATTCAACGATTAACGTTAAATTTGTGTTTATAAAATGTACATATTACTTTAAGAAAGGACGTGAAAAAAAAAAAAACAAATTGCCTAGTTTCCTACAAATATATATCTATATATACATATAAAATTCAGTTACTTGGATAACTGCATTTTTGTACATACATGTATACATACTATGTACTCTATAATCGTGTTCGCAATTTTTGTGAATCATTTACTTTCGCATCATCTAACGTTACGATTATATACCTGTTCGCGTTCATGTACTGACTTATTTAATATCCCTTTAGACAAGCAGACAGAATTTGTTTATTCCCAAAATGCAGTGAATTGAACTTTTGGAGAAAGACAAACAGAAGAGAAAACATGGAAATAAAGTCAAACGGCCACAAAAACCTTCAGTAGAGCACGATTGTTGTTCCATGTTTAAAAATTATGTATTATTATTATTATAAATGTGTACCTATAACCAAAATGTACAATTTTGTTATGGATGTTGAAGTAATCGTTAAAATGTGAAGACCTTTGAGTTTTTGCACCAAAATAAATGTGGTTAACTAATTTATTACGATTGATAAAAACTGTATGTCTCTGCCTATTATTTTTGGATAAAGAATAAAGTCCTATAATGGACTTCTCCGCCTTCTCCTTGAGTATCCTGAACTTAAAGAGCAAACACCGTATTGTGACAAGACGAGTTGATCTACTTTTGTATCCATCTGTTCGATTGTTTGACTGTATGATCGCCAGGAACTTGGAAAGTATGAAAGCTTGAGATTTTGTCAGCCCGTCTCCCTTTCTAATAAGACTTAATAGGTCTGTGTTTATAGTAGAACAAGCTGAGTTCATGTTGACATAACTATAATGTTTGTTTGTCTGTATGAACGCAGGAGTCTTGGAAAGTAGAAAAGCTTGATTTATTAGGCATGTACGCTTCTCTTAAGCTGGGATAGGTAGAGTTCTTTCTTAGACAATACTTCAATTTAAACGCTAACATTTAAGGAAATATTATAAGTCCCTTAGGGGCACAAAAAAGGTTGAGCATATATGTAACTATAGCAATTTCATTTGCAGGGACTTGTTAACGACAATGTTTGATCAATATCTCGTTGTGAAATTTGTTTCGATTTTAAAATTTTCAATAATGTACAAATTATTTCAAAATTAGGCATTATTTTTGTAAATGCAGTGGTTAGGCCTTTTTATCAAAATTTGCAGCTAAATTCTAAAATTGGAAGCTACATGTGTAGGCGATGGCCAAGAAGGGTGGAGTACAGCAGTTGCAGGCAGACTTACAAAACGATGAGGACTTTGAGGCGTTCTTAGAACGTCCAGGCCTGCTAGGTAAGTGGGAAGTCAAATGGTTCAAACGGAGAAGCGAAATCCAAACAATCCGTAATTGCAGTTTTGGACATTTATTCCGAGTGGTGTGGTCCCTGTTTAGGCATGGTCGGTAGTTTGCGAAAAGTAAAGCTTGAAATTGGTGGCGATAATCTGCACTTGGCTATAGTAGGTATTTCATAGATAGTCTTTCCCAACTAACCATTGGACAACTTGTGTTTCAGTGTAAGGCAGATGATATTACAGCTCTGAAGCGGTTTTGCAAGAAAAGCGAGCCAACATGGATGTTTGTGCAAGTAAGTACAGACAGAGTGACAAGATACTTGGTCCAGATTCCACTAAATGACTTAAACAGGGTGGTAGATCGGTCAACTTAATGTTTGGCACAGATGTGCCAAAATTGATAGCTCTGATTACAAGGGAACTAGACAAAACTGTCCAAAAAGTGGTACGCACGGTTTCATATGAAATTTCGGAGCTGCAACCCGTAGAGGTCGAGCTACTCAGGGCGAAACAAGAAGAAATAGCGAGACAAGAGCAGCTTGAGCGCGATGCAGTGATCAAGAAGAAAGTGGATTATCTTATGCACGTAACGGACATAATAATGGATAATATGCCAGATATAGGCGTGACTGTTTTTGGTCCTCAAGTCAATCGCGATATGTTTAAGAAGCTGACAGAGCCAGCCGAACCGCTCCGATTGCAATGCAAAGATCGCAAGGTCATAACTGTCCTGGCGGAACAGTTCGAGACCGTAAACTTCGCCTGCAAGAATCCACTCTCCGACGAGGTTATAGAGCAACTAGATGGCAAGGAGTTGCTTATGTGCTTCTGGAAAGTGGACGAGTACCTTGGCTCCGTGCCAAATGTCTTAGCGACATATGCGCATGAGCTCACAAAAGATCGCACCGAGCCAGGTGAGGGCTCTGAGGAAGATGTATTGTTGCCGCCGATCCTGACACCGCTGAAAGTAAAAGTAGAAGTTGAAATACAAGGTAAGTAATGTTGCGGACTGTTGGGACTTTCCCAACATTTCTATATGCCTTCTTAATTTGGCTGTTGCAGAGGGTGAAACGTGGGAGGAAGAGATCAGTTCTGAGGAGGATGAAAACAGATTTAAGGCCAAGGTCAAGTCACAAATAAATTTGCAAGAGGACTTACAGCTCATTGATGAAGAGATGGAAGAGGTAAGCTATGAGGAAGAAGTAAGCGAAGAGGGTGAAGAGGGAAAGGAAGCCAGGGAGGTTGAAGAGCCAGCCGAACTGCCGGCGTTCCCCAGCATGCCGTTCGATATGGATATGGATTTGGTTGACGATATGGGTGAAGAGGAAGAAGAATTTGGAGACGAAAGGGAATCTGTGAAGAAGTCAACGCGCATAAAAACAGTGAAATTGCCACCAATCTGGGTGCCAAATAACCGACGTACCCATGCGGCATTAATCTACGTATTCTTCCGTGGACAGACGACCGGTTTCTTGCCGCCAGATCCCAAGCCAGATCCGCCACACATCATTATGGCCTTCGATGCACAGAAGAGACGGGATCTTTCGCATGTTCTGCTTAGGTATAAGGAGGATGTGCCATTATATGGTTACTTCAGCTCAGAAGATCCTGAAAGGGCGCAACTCCTAGCGAAGAGTACGGAAGAATATGAGGCGGGTGCCACAACATCGTAAGTTCATCAACAAATGCTGCTTCTTAACGCCCCTAACGTGCTTACCTCACCCCTATTCTATTCGATTCCAATAGCGACGATAAACTGATTCTGAAGGTCCATAAGGTGCGCTCCAACATGATGCTCTCCTTGGTGTCCTACGGTCCGACCTATGTTAGCCCAACTGTAAAGATCGGCATAGAGGAGGCACAAGTATTCTTTCCGGAGGATTACGACAAGACACCAGAAGAGTTGGCCGCCACTGAAAAGATTAAGAGGAAGTCGCGAAAGGTAATTATACTTCACTATTTTATCTACTATTGTGTCCAATGTTGCTTCCATTTTTTTATATTTCGCACAGAGTAAGAAGGCAGAACGGGCGTCTACGGATGTGGATGCATTGTCAGAAGCTGCTGTCGAAGCAGAAGAGCCTGTGCGCGAAGCCGAACCTGAAGTTGCAGCAGTCGAGCCCGAAGCACCGCCAGAGGCTGCTGCTGAGGCTGCCCCAACTCCTGCAGAGGGTGGAGACCAGCAAGCAGAGGAAGGCGCAGACCAAGCGTCCGGAGCAGAAGCTTCCGCTGCAGAATTTTCCGCATCCGAAGGAGCGGAGGGCATGGCAGAGGCGTCAGGAGAGGTACCAGCAGAAGGAGAAGGTGGCGCACCAGCTGAAGGTGAGGCACCAGCGGAGGGTGAGGCTCCAGCAGATGCACCGGGAGAAGCACCAGCGGACGCACCGCCGGCAGGGACTGAGGCGCCAGCACCAGCTACCGAAGAACCCCCACCTACTGAACCACCAGCAGCAGAGCAGCCCCCACCAGAAGCTCCACCAGCCGAACCAGCTGAGGTCCCAGCCGAGTCATAGGGACATTTTACATATGAAAAAGTTGTGGTATTCACTTATTAATTGGTTTAAAAACAAAAATTTTTATGTAGATTCAAATTAAAAAATATTAGTCATATCAATTAAGTCTCTAACTAAATTAGATGGTTAGTCAACTCTTATTTAAGGAGAAGATTTCTAATTGAGCTGAATAGTCATCTCAAACAAAAGCCACATATACTTGTATAAAACGATGGATTTTAAATCATCAAATGATAATTGCAGTCAAACAGTTGGACGTAAAATATTAATGTGGTTAATTTGTTCACTCCTTTCTTATTATACGTATATTTATTTCAAAGAGCAGAGCAAGCTTTACAAAATTCGAAAGCTCCCTTAGTAACGTTAAGTTATTGCATTTATAATTGATTAAACATATTAAATGCTAAGCTTAAATCATTATGTATTGCAACTAATGTGATTAATTCTTCTACTCATTTCCAAATAGTAAGATAAAAACTTCACACAAGTAGGATCCAAATCATCTTCATACTTGTAGAATTTAATCCTTCTACTGCTTATGTTTGTTCGAAAAGTAAAACAGTTGTGTCTTTGGGATCAAGTTCTTCCAGCCCCTATAGCTTTGATATTTTGTATGATAATACGCGTTTTAAAAAATACATTTTTAGTTTAAAAAATATGTAATTACAAACTTGTATAAATCTGTCCGTCTGTATGAACGCAAGAAACTCAGAAAGTATAAAAGCTAGAACAACCAAGATAGGTATTCATATCCCCCTGAACCTTAGGTAGGTCAAGTTAGTGTTTTTTCCTGATATATCCGTACTAGCATATACTTAACTTAAATGTTCTTGAACTTGTTTACTTCGTACCATTCTTGTTTGTATTGTTTAGCTTATAACTGCAACGAAAAGGTGTTATCTCTTCATCAACTTCATCAATAAAAATGCCAGTTAGTTGCTTCATTTGTCCCAAATATTTGTAATTCTCATTTCCCATCGTACACAATTGAACGAAAACCAAGGTTCCTGAGCCCAAGTTGTTGCAAAGTGTAACAAAAACACTTCCATCCATAGGGACTTAACATTTAAAATAATTGGTATTTATATACATATATGTATGTATAAATAAATTGTTAAAAGATCTGTTGCTCTTAGTATTTGATATTTTTTTAAAAATTGGGAGAGCTTCTAATTTGAAAAATTAGCAGAATGGTGTAATTTTTGTTGCTGGAAATGTGAGAGTTCAGAATAAACTTACAAGTAGTATGTGCAACTGCCAGCCATTTACGAATTAATGCGATTCTGAAATAATATCTAAATCATGATTTTATCGATAATGCTGCCCTGGTTTATACAAACACTCCAAAGAGAGAAGTATGCTGACCCACATACTCGAACATACATACATACAGACACAGGTTTGTTTATCAAGTTGAGCGGCAACTGTGTCTAGGTTTCTAGGTCGGAGTATTTTTCGTTGTAGGAATAAATTAAGTAAATACAAGTAGTAAGGAAATTACTTTGCCCGGACAGGCAACATAAATACATGAATAAGCAAACATACATAAATTTAAATCAATCTACGTATTAATGTACGTATAGCTGCATATGTACATATGTGTGTGTGTGTGTGCTAATTACCATATGGCGCATGATACCTATTTACATACAAGTACTCGTACATTATTCTACTTGTATGTATGCGCATGTACAGTTAGTGCAGAGAGTTTGCGAGAACGGTGCGAAGAAAACAAACAACAACAAGAAGAAGAAGAAGAGTGAAGAGTGAAGAATAATTATGAAAGTGCAGCTAACAACAATATTAATAATATGCATCGAGCACCTGACAAAGGCAATTGCCCAAGGCATGCCCGTCAGCCCGTGTCCAAAAATCTTTCAATATCGATTCGATGGCAGCGAGTGGTTTGGACTGATCGCCGTGCGAAATCCAGATATAGGGCAGGCTCTACAGATACGCGTAATATTGTCAATGCGCGGCAAGCCGACGACGGTGAGTCGCAGCCATAATATACATACTTGTACATATGTACATACATATGTATATATGTATGTTATGTATGTACATACTCGTATGTGCTGTGAGAGATAAACTCTTGAAAGCTGATGTGGTGGAGCTTGTTTTTGGGTACGTCGCAGTAAAGTTGTTTACCTACGTGTGGATCATATTTTTCTTGCAGCATTATCTCGGGGAAATCGAATTGCTAACTCGGGGACAGTTCGTGAGCAATACACCTGTGCTCTATAAAGTGCGTTTCCCAAAACATCACTTCCCACCAAAACTGGTGCAAATATCGGCAAATAATCAAGTCATTTGTTTTGGATCTGCTGGTAAGGTTTTACATAAAAATACACTATGTGTGTATTTGTACATAAGTATATATGCAAGAAATATGATCACAGTAGAGCTTCTATAGTTCAAGTCTACGACGATAAATAGAAAGGTTGATTTAATTATATGTTACCTCAACTTTCAATGCAGTCTCTCGAATGTGCATTTGTTTACAAATTGAACAAATCTCTCAAATTGAATTCAAAAATGTGTGTTCAAAATGCAAGAAATATGATGACAGTAGAGCTTCTATAGTTGAAACCTACGACGATAAATAGAAAGGTGATCCCTCTAAGCTGATTTTAATTATATGTTAACTCATTTAATGGTATTACAGTCTCTCGAATGTGAATTTGTTTACAAATTGAACAAATCTCTCAAATTGAATTCAAAAATGTGCAAATTACACCTAATTCTGTTTTTACACGGTAGATTGGGTCCAGGAACAACCGTGTAAAAAAAACATTGTTCATATGCAAAAATAGGTGATTGGTTCCTTATTTCTAAAGAAATACTTGTATATATATGCAATTTGTAATTTTCAAACCGTGTTTAATGAAAATCGTATAAAAATAATAATAATAAAATAAATAATAAAATAATAAAAAAAGACCGTGCAAAAACAGAATTAGGTGTATTGATTATTTTCTTTATCTCCAGAAAAAGTCGTGTAAAAAAAGACATTGATCATACATATGTTATTTTAAATCGTGCTAAATGGAATAATGTCGTGTAATAGTATATAGAATAACATTTTTAATTTTCAAACCGCATTAAATCAAAACCATTTAAAAAAAGACAGTGTAAAAACCGAATTAAGTGTACTTGTATTTTAAAAGTATAGCTGCATTTGCTTGAGCTCTTAAAGTTAACTGATTAAACTATTTTGCTTTGAATATTAATGCAGTTTATTGTACAAGACTGATATGGATTTTCGAATTTGAAGCGCAGAATTTTGTGAAGGGCGGAATTGTTCTCAAAATCACTGATGCCTGGAATCAAATCATTTCTGGTCGTAGTATATTAGGAATATTCTTGCGGTTATAGCAATCTTTAACTCTAATATATTACCTTTGATTTACTTTATTCTTGCGGTCTTAAATCGTTGCATTTATTTCAATAGATAATTAATCTATAAACATTTACAGATCACAGTATTTTTATGACCCAAATTCAATTGGAGCACATAAGGAAGCTAACCTTTATACCGGATAAGCAGACATCGGGCATAATGGGTCGGCCACCATTGATGATGGGGGAAATAGAAAAGCCAGCTGGGAAGGAGCTGCCTATGCCAGCAAGCCACGAGTTTGGATCGAAGCCACTTCCACACATACACTTTAAGAAGTACGTATGCAGGTTTTAATTCGATGTTATCCAGAATCTTACAGAATGCTTACAGAAAACCCTTTCACTCACCCAAGGAAATCTGTGGCACAATTGACCGTAGTGTTAACTTTCATTTGCCCTCACATGCAAGGTCCTTGAACGACAGGAAGAAGTCGAGCCTGAAGAGTGCCAGCTCCGTTGGTGGTCTGGCTGGCAACGATGATGATGAATTCAACGCCGCTGACGTCAGTCATTCGCCAACATTTGCCTCCCTCAGCGACTATGACAGCGATGACATAGATTTCGAAAAGGAGGAGAACCACAGCCAGAGCCAGAGTCAGAGTCAGAGCCCAGTGGAACAGACAGCAGCAGACACAACATTATTTATGGACAATGGGAATGCCTCGGCTGGCGTCGTCACTCTGCCGTCGATAACACGCGGCGCTTGGCCCTGGCTGGCGGCAATTTATGTAAATAATCTTACATCGCTGGACTACCAATGTGGCGGTACTCTGGTCTCGACACGAGTTGTCATAAGTTCCGCGCACTGCTTCCAAATGTTCAATAAACGCTACACAGCCAATGAGGTGCTCGTCTTTCTGGGGCGACACAATCTTAAGAACTGGAATGAGGAGGGCTCCCTGGCAGCCCCGGTCGATGGGATTTACATACACCCCGACTATAACAGCCAGTTGAGTACATATGATGCTGATATTGCCGTAATTCTACTCAAGGACGAAGTGCGGTGAGTGTTGAATAGATGGATGCGAAAGCGATATGTTTGCCAAATAAAACTGACTGTGTATATAGATTTAATACCTTTATAAGACCTGTGTGTCTATGGTCGGGTTCCAGCAAATCGGAGTATATTGTTGGCGAGCATGGCATAGTCATTGGCTGGAGCTTCAACAGAATGAACATCAGTGGGTCTTCACACAAGCACAGCACAGCTAGCAAATCTGGTGCTGGTGCTGGTGCTGGTGCGATCTCTGAGAACTCCAGCACTCCAAAGGTGGTGGAGGCACCCATCGTATCCAACGAGGAATGCTTCAAGGCCAATGCACATTTTCGCAGTCTCTCGTCGAATCGCACGTTCTGTGCGAGCATTTTGCTGGAATCCAAGCTCCATATACCAAGAGGCAAGGGAAGTTCAAGATCTTCTGCCTGCCAGAGATTCGAGAACAGTGGTCTCTATACCGGCATATCCGGCGCTGGTCTTATGATACACAAAAATCAACGCTGGATGCTGAGAGGCACCGTTTCGGCCGCCTTGCCACCTGTAAATGGCACGGACACCGCAAATAAGGCCCATCAATGCAATAGACATAAATATTTAATTTATACAGACGTTGCTAAGTTTATTGATTGGATAATGGCTTTTATAATCTAGGTAGTGCTATCGTGTAAAATATAACTTCTATACTTCTATGCTATAGTACAGTACATACATACATATACAACTATAATGCTCGAATATGAAATGCTCTAATTTGATTCAAGAAACTGAATTCTGTATTTCGTTTTTGTTAACTGTTTCGCTATAAACATACTTTATTTATATCTGCAATAAAAAGGCTGTGATAATCACTTGTCAGAGTGCGACAGAACTGAAATAGAAGGGGCACGAATTGTGAACATTATAATTGCAGCGCGACTGATATCGAGCGAATAACGTATTTAGATTCGAATACAAGTGCAGCAACTAAACGAGAGTATTTCCGATTGAGATGGGATGTTGCCACACAAAATATAAGTCAACGTGTCACATTCTTCACGCCTGGCTAGGCTAGATAACTCTGAAGTTAGCTTAGTTACTTCTCTTAAGCAATCATTTAAGAAACATTCTTTTATTAAGACGTATTTGTTTTGCATTTAAAAATTACAGCCTCTAATTCAACAAACCACCCAAAAATCAAGCAATTTCCTTCAACTTGGAGCAACTGAGTTAAAAGGATATTTCCTAAACTGAAAGAGTATCTAACAGAGTACACAAATGATTGTTTTTACACTCAACATTCCAAGATGGCTTTTCTGCTATTGTGTGCTATTTATGCGAGTACGTGATTTGTAAACGCGCTATGGCTTGGAATGGACAATAAGTTTACCAAGGAGCTCGTCTGTACATATATCACGAATATTTTAAGCGGGGGTTTATCTCATTGTTGAACAAATACTTAGAAACACAAATGCAATGTGGTAGTCGTAAATGGTGATTCAAAGCTACAATATTACTAAATCGCATACAACATCACTCTGCAAATAGTATTTTTGGGGAATATTTTCTATATTCTCCAAGGCAAATTGTGTTCAATAAATATACAAGTATAAGTCTTCCTTTTTGAAGCATTCTCAAAAACAAGATAGAACGGTACAGTCGGGTAAGTCCGACAGTGAAATTATGTGGATCCAGTCAAACTTCGGGCACTTCAGGCGCCCATTGCAGAAGCGAAAAGAAGAAGAAGAGCATACATATATTTTGTATTCAGAGTTATAGTTATGTAGCTTTTCTGTGGACAGTATTGACGAAATTCTGTAGCGGTGAGAGAAGGGGAAAATCAAAAAAAAAAAAAAAAATAAAACTAACTCGTGTTGCCTAGGGAGTGGGAGCATCTATATACTAAGTTTGGTTAATATCCGCTCAGTCGTTTCCGAAATCCAGACGGACGGACAAGTCAAGCTCAATTTCTATCGTCATGCTGCTTCAGAATATACATATATACCTAATGGGATCGAAGAAGCTTCCTTCTGCCTGTTACATACATTGCACAAACCTAATACACCCTACGTTTTTACCCTACCTTTTTACAAGTTTTAAAAAGGGCTAGTTGCCATTGCGATGATGTTGATTCAATGCAATAGCCATGGATTGCAATATGAAAAAGTTATATTGTACGTGTAATTCTATTATGGTATCATAAAATAATTTTGTTTTGTGTAACATTGAAAAATGCTTGGCCTAGGCTTTTCTTAATCAGCATAACAAGATGAGTTGTTACAGACATCGATCCGCAGGGCCTTCCTGTCTGTCTGAATGTTTGTCTGTATGAACGCAAATATTTGAAAGGAATGAGTAGCCAGGGTCTCCAAACTTGCTAAGCTAGCTGTGTTGCTGGGAATGTACAAAATGTTTAACAGTTAAAGGTAAGAGAAGCAAACATTTATTTGAAATTTTGAATTTTAGGTTTTAAGAATTGTATGTAAAAGTGGTGTTATTCAAAATTGATTTTATGAATTGGGTATGAACGTTTTCACCGCCTATTAGGTAGACATGCCCAATAGGTCTGCGCCCACACCGGCGTAATGGCTTTTAAATTGTTTTATGACACTGGTTGCCTCTTGACTTGACCAACTACCTGACATGGACCTAAGTAGGTGCCTTGTGGTTGGTGTGTGGTCGGCACACCATGCAGGTCCCGCCACTGGCTACCTGATCTGATACCGATTTGTGTTTATAAAGGACGGCCTCAATGCTGCGTAATGTGTCATAATTGTTTCAACTGTCGGAGTAACCGTAAGATAATGTTGCACGCTGTGTTCATTGTTGCAATTCTTGCGACAGTCCTTGCAAATGACGATGGCTGTAATGAAATGGTGTGTGGATCTGTCGTTTCCAAGTGCCTGTTGACGCAGAGCTGTCAATGCAAGCTGAACGATTGTCACTGCTGCAAGGATTGCCTGAATTGCCTTGGAGATCTGTACACGGAGTGCTGCGGCTGTCTGGACATGTGTCCGAAGCACAACGACGCGCTCACATCGCTCACGCCACGGTCCGAGATCGGTGATGTGGAAGGAGTGCCAGAGCTCTTTGACACGATTACAGCCGAGGATGATGATCAGTGGACGACCATACGGTTCCCCATGCGGGCGGGACTCAAGCGGCGCATGGAGGAGGGCAACGACTCGTATGCCATGGATGTGATCGGACACAAGCCGGCGGCTAGCGTTAACTGCACCGTCATTTACATAAACACCTGCATCAGATCCCACAAATGCAAGCAGCAGTGCGAGAGCATGGGGGCCAATAGTTATCGATGGTTCCATGACGGCTGCTGTGAGTGTGTCGGTGCCAATTGCCTTAATTATGGCATCAATGAGAGCCGCTGCAGCTCTTGTCCCGAGGAACAACAGTCACAGAGTCTCGATCCAGGCGTTTCAGACGCCGAGCAAGATTTGGAGCGCATGTTTGGCATCGAAGATGAAGGAGTTGATGATGACATGTGGGACTATGGAGAAGATGAAGAAGACTTGACATAGAAATGAAAACCTAATAACCAACTACTATGTACATATCATCATCTTTATTTGAATTCGAATAAAAACAAAAAATTGTCCACAATTGAAAGGCGATACAAAAGAAAAAATGGTCTCCATCCATTTTCAATAAGTTTAGTTTTTAAAATAAATCTTGTCAATATATTTATATTAAATATATATGTATATGTTTAGAACAATATTTTAAAAGTTGATATTTATAGGGTTTTTTTTTAGATCAGGCATGTCCGAGGGGATGAATCGACATAGACGTTCCTGTTCGTCCGAGAACTTTCTAACTCTATGAACTTGGTAAGTGGACTTGTTTCGCCCAACGATGTTTAGCCTCGGTACATGACATATTTTGGTTATAATGATAACTCAAGTATATTTCGTATTTATAAGTTTTGTACACCTAATTCTGTTTTTATATGGTAGATTGGTTCCAGAAAAAGTCGTGTAAAAAAAAACATTAATCATATTCAAAATAAAGTCGTGTAACCATAGAAAACATTTTTAATTTTCAAACCGCGTTAAAACAAAACCGTGTAAACAAAAGACCGTTTAAAAACAGAATTAGGCGTATACTTGTAGTGTCAACGAACGGTGCAAAAATAAATCTGAATACTAAAAACTTTTTTGCTTTTTACCATTGGCAACCAAATTTGAAATTTTTGAGGTTTGTGCAGTGTCGCACCATAATCTACAGTCTCGTTAAAATGCGCAACTGCAAATATATCACACATATAGCCATCATAGTAGAGATATCTTTACAAAATTTGTAATTAATGGAGTTCGAATAATTGATAAAAATAAGCTAATTTGAACTGCACGGCTCTAGCGGGGAAAAGGGAGGGTACAAGCATAGAGCTGATACGAACTTAAAGTTCCGCTCGTTACAGATAGCTTAATTGTTTGTAGAATCCTATTTAAAATCCAAACCTAAATCGATAAAAATCCTTACCTGTTTCTACCTCACCTAACCTTTTTCTACCTTAACTTAGTTTTGTGTATGGGTGGTTGTGCAAAAGTGGGCATATGCTTGATTTAATAAAGCACGTCATCGTCGCCTATCAGCATCGGTGTCATCATCTAGATTGGCTTCGATTCGAGCCCCACAGTCACATACTCAGTTCCAATCGAACGTTGAAGGCAGGCGGTCCTGCTCGGGGTTTGTTTCCATTTTGTATATCGCGCCCTTAAATGCAGATCGCTAATCTCGTACGTGCCCCTGTGCTACTATAATTAATAGTTTTATTTTTGTGTGATACCATATGTGCATGTTTATTTCAAATGCCGTGTAATTTGAATAAAAATGGAATATAAATCAATTAATAATGCTAGATATATCCCACAATTTTGTTCCCTACATCTACCGAATCACATGAGTTGATTGCAGTTCGTGTAATTTATATATCAACAGAATGCTGGGTGGAGTAGGCGGCCGTCGAAGAAGGAGCTCAATCCCGATGGCGCGCCCAACGAATACAAGTAACACATTTCTGGAAGAAAACATTGCTATAATTGGCGATGGTGGCAGCAGAAGATATCCTCAAAATGGCCTCCATGTGCCGTCCAATAAGCGACGGCGTGCCGTCCCAAGTGGTCCTAATGAACAATTTCCACTAACTCAGATTCGAATGAATTTAGGCGACATTATGTGAGTATATATTTATTGAATGTTTAAATACAAATGTATTCTATAGGATCTACATTTTATTTACTAAATTAGTGGGAGCTTTTAGAAGCTGAACCTACAAAATATGTATCAAATAATCCAACGACTGATATTTTCGAAGATTTCATAAGGTTATTTTAATTTAAAATCAGTTTCGTATGAAATCAGTTGCTTATAGCTTGTATACTTATATACTTGCATGTATATAAAAGCTGATGCCATGGGGATAACAAACCAAAGAGACTCGGATGGCTATAGACTTTGGAGAATTAATCATTAATCATTTGAGCAATTCATCTATTTTTTTTTCGTTGAAATGAAAAATATTCTGGAATCATTAGGCTATGTAGAATCAGTAAGTAAATTCCATTTAAAATTTTGAAACCAATTTCATTCATAATTCATTAGCTTTTTAATAATCAAAAAAACAACTTAATCGATTTCGATCATTTTGATGGAGTCGGGAAGTGCGTATATTTAGCAATTCTACAACTATGTGCTCAGTTAATAACTAAGTAAATAAATTTCAGTTGAGGATTGCTTCAGGACTGATTGTTAGTTTTTGTTGAAAACTGGAACAAGTAAGGCGGTTCGACAGCTTATGGATAAAATCTAGAATTGTGTGTTTGAAAGTTTTTTTTTTTTTTTTTGAATGATTGAAATCTGGTAGTAAGTATCAAAATCATAGAGCATGAATGTCTCATAGGAAACTTTGCTGACTATTTGGTTTATTGAAGCTTTTTTGCTTAGTCAATTGTGGGAAGTTGCTGAAAAGCTCAACATCGATAATAACGGTTGGACAAATGTCAAGTGTTGCCACTACGATATGTGCGAGTATTGCAGAATGTATCGGCATTTAATGACCCATTAGGGGTTGAAAAGCCTGCCAAGCCATAAAAGCTCTGGCCAAGGCAAATGCGTTAGACGAAGACAACGATTTGTCGTTCAGTTTGCACCACAAACTCAGCTGCTGACGCACGGCTTCTGTATATCTCTTTTTCGTACGGCCAGTTGGGCCAAGTGTCTGGACCAAAGAGCGGTATACTGTGTATTCGCCGCTACCATCCGCCCCCGTCACCCTGCCCGCCCCCTTCAAAGCGCTATTTAGAACGCCAGAGAAAGCCAGAGCCAGTGCGGCCACTTTTGTTGGTGGCTTTGCTGCCAGCTTGCCTGCTAGTTTAGAGCTTTCGTTTTCGATCCAAGGCGCAGGGCTGATTTGTTTTGCGTGTGTGTGCGTGTGTGTGGGCTTGCCTCAGTGTGTGAGCGCACGTGTGTGTGTGTGTGTGTGCGCGCTTGTGCCTCTGCCTCTGCCAGTGCCAGTGCCTGTGTAGTATGTAATGTGTAATGCAATGTCGCAGAGTTGAAAGTTTTGCGTTTGTTGAGTTTTTCGTCCAACTGGTGAGACAAAGTCGTTGGCTACGCGCATATAGCGGTTTTTGTTTTTTATTTTTTATTCACGTTAAATACAATGGAAAATCTATGCAAAGGCCATTAATGGCAGTGGAAAGTGTTATCCTAACCCATAATAGTTCTAATTTGCAAACTCAATCAAGCAAATTCCAGAAAAAATACAACATTTCGAATTTTTTGTGTTCTGGCATGTAAAATCGGGTCGAGTGGTGAAAATAAAGCAAGCAACCAGCCAACCAGCCAACCAACCAACCAACAAACATTCAAGCCAAAAAGGAAGCGACGAGTGACACCAAATGTGTGCCCGTGTGTGTGTGTGTGTGTGCGCGCGTATGTGTGTGTGTGTGGAGAAGTCAAGGAATATATTGGGAGTGAAACGAAAAAAAGAAGAGAAAACCCGAAAAATATAGAAAAAGTTTAAGTATTTGCCTGCACCTGTCAATCCGCTCCCCATTGAACCAACCACCCGTCCACCCACTTTATATGTTTGTCGCGACTCGTTCTTGTTGTTCTTGTTGTTGTTGCTGCTACTGCTGCTGTCCATTGCTGCCCGTGGTTGTAATTGTTGAGTTGTCGTTTACAGCTAACAAGCCCAATGAACGCACACACACACACACACACTTAACATTATGTATGTATGCGTGAGTGTGTGTGAATGTGTGTGCTGGGATTGGGTCAGCGGGTTGCTAGCACAATGGGTGGAATGTTGCGTCGGTGGTGAAGGCGTCAGCAGAAGCAGCAGCAGCAGTAGCAGTAGCAGCAGTTTCGACATCGCCAACTGGGTTTCGGTCTCGGTTGGTGCGAGAATATCGTGTTGTGACGTGTACACGCGTAGGAAGGTGAATGAATGTGGCGGCAGAGCAGCATACGAAATCCCCCATACGAGACGTTTTCTTCACCCTCAAATGCACACATACATACATTTATTCTTGTACATACATACAAACATACTATATATGTACACATACAAACGTATGTAATTTTACAATATCAAAAATTCTTACGTGTATTTAAAGGCGCACGCATGGACCTTTGTACGCATATCTATATATGTATGTACTCATATGTAACTCCTACTTACATTTATATGTATGTATGTATGTATGATTAAATGTATATATTTTTATAAATGAGAACAAAATCATACAATGAAAGGTTACCAAGCAGTTGGCCAGTGTGTGCATAAGTGCACAAATATTTACAAGCCCTAAACTACGTACATATGTACCCGTCCATGCCTTCCTTCTTTCAATACCCTCGGGAGTGAAAATTGAGTGCGTGTGTGTTGCCATGCGTGCCTATGTATGTGCTTGTGTGTGTGTGTGTGTCCATGTGTGTTTTTCTTTTTTTTCTTTTTTTTTTTTTGGTATGTGGCGCGTGCTTGTCGACTTTCCCTACATGTGTTCACATAACAAATTTACAACAAATTCAATATCATGACCAACCGAGAAGGAAAAACCAACCGACCAGTGTGTTAATAACAAAGTCGTAATAAATCGAAAAACAAAATGCAGCACACACTGTGTTCTGCAGTGTCCCGCATATAAATAGCAGTGAAACAATTATGCTAAAAATAAATATATATGTACATATACATACATATACACACACATACGTGTGCATTTCAGCGAGTGAACGTGTGAGTGAGTGGGTTGCGAAGAAATCGGTTAAAATGTTTACCAGTGCATGGCATTAAAAGCGCACGAGAAAAGCAAAAATGGCGAAAAGCAAAACAAAGCCCTAAGCAGAAAAGAAATTGTTATTTTTAAAGAGATGTGCTGGAAAAACACACACTAGCACACACACGCTCACATACACACTCATACACACATATAAAGCCAAATATGAAAAACAACTTGGCGATGACGTCATTAGGGCCAAGTAAAAGTTTTTGCATTTCATGCTCAAAATAATTGAAGAGTATCCATCTATGATTTGGAAAAAAGAAGCGTCAAACTAAGTGCCGATTCAAGAAATATAATTAAACATATAGCAAAGGGCAAAGAAAGATCAGAGCTTTGATCCGCAGCACAGTGCGACGTTAACCGGTAATCCTGAAAGCAAGAGCCCCTCAAAAGTATTTGCTGAACAAAAAGTGTTGCCTACTTTTCTGCGTCGGAATTAATTAGTAAACAGAATGCTGTTTTATCAGTCAAAGTTTGCTCGCTCTGCGACATTCCAATGAACAAGTACAAGAATTTTCTTTTATTTCTTTGTTGTATATTTTTGTGCGTCTCACCGTTTCATATTTCACCACGAAACGTGCGGCAAGCTTTTTTCGGCCTAACTCTAAGTCACACAGTTTGGGTTTCATCCCCTAATATTTCATTCATGGCGTGTTCCAGCAGCAGCAGCAGCAGCAGCAGCAAATGGAACGTTATACCGATAAACGAACTACTGCGGTCACATTAATACATATACGTATACATGGATACATATGTGTCTGTGTCTGTTTGTGTATGTGTATTTATGCTTGAAATGCAAAAATATAAACCATATTATTGCCTTCGACCATACATAATACATATTTCAAATATATTTATGCAAAATATGCACAATATGTTGCTGCTGTGTGTGTGGCAGAGGTGGGCGAGAGGGTGTCGGTCTCTTAAATAGGTCATGGCACAGTTTTGTGTGAGCCTTATTTACGACTGGCCAGCCCTAAGCCTCAAACAAAGCATTCAAATATTGCAACATATTCGCAAAACCAATGCTCAAAAATATTAACAAAAACCTTAAAAACATGCTTGACATGAGCAAATAGTTTTTCTTTTGTTATAAATCCCAAATGGAGAATGAAATCGACTTAAATCTAATCGAAAATGTCTTCGAAACATGTTGGCGCACAGTGTTTTGGCTAAGTAGTATGTATATACAAATATGCAATGTACACGTACGTACGTATGTATGTATGTAGGTGGCCCATATAAGTATGTATATGTGTGTAGTATGTATGTAGGGTATAAAGTGCAACTGCCAAAGCTTGGCGCATGTATGAGAGTCATAGGGTCAATATCCTGTCGCGTAGCCAGTAACCCTTGCTAATTTAAAGCTTTTTTGTTTGCAACAAAGCTGCAGTACTCATAAATAAAACAATAAATTTTAGCGAGCGACATAAACTAATTAAATATATTGATTCCCAACCGCGTGTGGGTTTGTGTGTGTGGGTGTGTGAGTATTTTCATTTTAATTGAAAACAACCACAACTGTGAAAGTGCGGCTATTTATAGAAACGAACGTGAAGGTGTCGCGGATACTCGTAATAATAACAACATCACATAAATGAAAATCAATTGAATGCATTTGTTTTTAACGCAGCATTTGAAACGGATACGGAGCTAAGAAACAGACTTTGTGTGAGATTGGGATTAATTCAAGGAAAACTCGAAACAAAATCACATAAAATGAATTCAAATTAAAATACAAATTAATGGAAAAACCAAAAACGAAACTAATACAGTCAAGTAATTAAAAATCTTGTAACAAGCAAATATCAGCCAGCGATACGTAAATAAAACAGATAAAAATAATAACACCAACAATAACTAGTAGAGAGACAAAGAGAGAGAGAGAGAGACAGAGAAAGAGAGAGACAGAGAGAGAGAGAGAGAGAGAGAGAGATCATCTTTAACCCTCCCCATCGCCATCGTCGTCGCCATCGTAGCAGCAAACCCAGCAAACCTCATCGTTCCAATCCAGAGTGCAGCTCGCATTTATCGGCTTCTTAACTCTCAAATAAATGTTTCACTGCCGCTTTCGTGCCATGCGGACGGCGTGTCACTCTCGACAAATGCGTATTGTGGTTCACCTTGTGTAATATAATTATGGCCGAGCGGTCGTTACAAAAGTATCAGAAATTGGATATAGTGACGGTATGTTCATTGATATGCAGACAGTTGGTGCTGTTCCCAATTCCGTTTTAAATCCTATCATTCGAAATGCAACGACTGGTGTTCCGAAAACGGAAATCTAACTAAAAAAAACGAATATGCCAGACAGATACAAATCCATTCATAAGTTTCAAATGTCTTCGCAACAGAAAATACTGAGGGGATAATGTTTTGAAATGTGGAACACAGGTGTTTTCTTGAACTTGTTTCAGAATACATACGTTTATTAAATCTACATATATTTTATAAGGTGCAAAACCTAATTTAATAATCGACTATTTTAAATAGTTTCCAAAACATTATATTTGCCAGAAAGTAGAAAAAAAAAACAGTTTCAAAACATTCTCGTTGTTTTTTTTTTTTTATAAATATGAAAAAAAAGAACATAATCAGATATAAGAATTAGGATGGAGAATTTTTAGCGGGCTGTATTCGGAATATCAGTTAAATGCTTTCCGTATATTTGTTAAATAATATGGAATATGGAACAGTCCAGATACAAAAAATGTACACTACTAAGTACATAAAAAATGTCCTTGTCTGTTTTAAGAAAGCCCTATAAAGTGGTTTTTCTCCTACAATAATGTTATTATATATTTGAATACAGAGCAGCTAATATACTACTATCGATCGAATTCAATGCGTCTATATTATATATCTATCATTTTTAGGTTGGAAGCGGCTCAGGAAGCAGTGCTAGCAGGGCATCAACAGGACTCCTTAGGCGGGGGGCACTTGGGTCGAAAGGGAGCCCATCGCTTAGCTGATAGAATGGGTGGCCCGAAAAAAGAGGAAAACCCACCTGGTGGTGGTCCCACGTCGTTGTTTATCCTAACCGAGGATAACCCAATTAGAAAGTACACACGATTCATCATAGAATGGCCGCCCTTTGAATACGCTGTGTTATTGACAATCATAGCCAACTGTGTTGTGTTGGCATTAGAGGAACACTTGCCAGAGGGCGACAAGACAGTATTGGCTCAAAAATTGGTAAGAAATTCCGTTTAATGGCCTTAGATAGATTGTGTACGTACTCGCATATATATCTACTCGTACGCTATATCGTGAGACATTTTCTTTAAATTTGTGTAACAGGAAAAAACGGAGGCCTATTTTTTATGCATTTTCTGTGTAGAAGCATCGCTCAAGATCCTCGCCTTAGGGCTTGTTCTGCATAAACACTCCTATCTCAGGAATATTTGGAACATCATGGATTTTTTCGTTGTAGTGACGGGGTAAATAGAAATATATGACGTTCTCAAATGTCATCCACACTCTGAGTTCAATAACGCGTTTTATGTTATATTCATTTATTTATGTTCACTTATGTTTTACAAACTAATCCAAACATTCATAACAACAACGAACCCCAAGGTTTTGTACCAGGGCAATAATATATCTCATATACATATTCGTACTGACACTTTAATAATTGAAGAAATATTTATGCTGATGAACGGCAAAGTGGAACACGCATAGATTTCAATGAGCGTTGAAATGAACAATTTTTATAATATCCATAAGTATTGTATAGTACCAATTAATAATATGTGTACATATATATATATATATATACATGCATGTATCGAATTGAAAATGGCCATCCGTGCCGAGCAGTGCCATGACGATATTTGCTGAGGCCAATATTGATGTTGACCTTCGTATGTTAAGATCCTTTCGTGTCTTACGGCCACTGAAGCTTGTATCCAGAATTCCAAGTAAGATTTCATATACAGCTAGAAGATATACTATATAGTACGAACATCTATATATATATATATAAAATATCATTAGGCCAGAAATACAGTACGAGTACATCGTTTGGTACGACTAGGCATACGAGTATACCTAAATACTATATATTTACATATCAAATAGATACTAGGAGCTAGCTCAATACGAGGAATTAAACATTCATTTTATGTTTTAAAAAATATTTGTAGATGTCACCGATTTTTTCAGTTATCTTAGACTTTAGTGCGACTCCAACTAGTAATGAGTCCTTTGCTCTTCCATGCGCAAGAAATTGTTACCTGAACAAGGATTTGTGTTCAAACAAAAATTACCAATTTCAAAATATTATAAAACTTAAATTTTATATAAAATGGATTTTTATTTGTACTTTAGATAGTCGAGAATACGCTGTGATTCGAACTGCGACTTCAGTTGTTGCTTTTCCAAAGCAACTTTTTTTTTTTTTTCGAATGACAGAGCTAAATCGCAAAACATAAATCGCGAAGGATCAAAGGTCACATTTGTCTTTTAGGTCCGTTTTCTCAAATGATTTAAAGAAAATTTGATACGAAGCTAAATACTTTGTAATTGTAGCAATGCCGCGTTGATATGTTTAAACTTTAAAGCGATAAGTACGAAGCTACCAAATGTAATTCCGATTTTCGACTAGGAACTATCTAAAAAAGTTATCGAATAGCAATAGTTTCGCATGCAAGCATACTCAAGTAATGGCATCTTCACAAAGGAATGCTTCATTCAGATCCTTCCAACACGAACCTGTCCAACAAAATGTGTTGTTCTAAATGGATCCTTCTCGGTAGAGATGCGTTTCCTGTGAAAGAGATTCCATTTATCAAGTACTCAGCATGCAGATGAACAGACTGACAAATAAACACGAAATACAATTGAATTTCAAACCGGCTAAAAGTAGTTGTAAACTTTACCAAGAACCTGAGTTGACGATTATTGAATAAAAATATTAGATTTAATTATGTACGTACATATTGTGTATTAATAATTTTTAGTTGAACAACAAAAACAATAACTAGAATGTGTAATTGGTAAAAAAAAGCAAGCCAAGGATTCGGTTAATAAATACATAGCTATTTCGTGTGATCCATGCTAGTATATAAGATTTCGTAAATTGCTAGATATTTAAAAAACTCAATAGCTATATGTTTATTTATCAACAAAAATATAATGTCTAAATAGATTTAGTTTTAGTAAAACGGATAGAATGAATACGATGTGAGCGAAGAGAATGGAAAAGCCGGACTCCACTGGCCACACATTCGTCGAATCAAGTAAATGGCAACTACAATCAGAGTACTTCATTTTGTGCTCGACAAAATGCGAGTTAAGCGGTTGTATTGCCATTAAAGAATAATTAGTTTACTTTGTTAAATTAGTTCAGACCCCACATTTTGTTCAGATGTTGTCATTCCTTATTGGAAAATTGTAGAGCACATCAACAATATTCGACATAGTTCTGTGAATGTTGACAGCAAGTGGAGTCCAGCCATAGCACTAATTAGTAAATACTTAAATATACATATATTCATTAACACAATCACATATGCTACCACTACGAGTATGTATGAACATTTATCAATACTAACACGTTTTAAAATTTAAGAGCTCTGGAAACGGACGCCGCTTTGGTTTTCTTAACACTCGAATACATACTATACATATTTATTTGATTTTCGTTAATACTAGTTAGGCTGTTATTACTGTTACTTCATACAAACAATTAACAATCAACTGGTAATTTAAATTTGCTCACAACCATTAAATGATTGAATGCAGAAGCCCTATTCAATTTTATAATATGGCCCATGGCTTGGGTACACATTATAAAGTTTCGAAGAGCAAATTAAATTAAACATCGTCTCTGCTTGGGGCTCCCTTTATGTGTGCGGAATATATGACTTAATCTAACACTTAATATGAATATAATAACAATAATCACATGCAATATACTATGTATGTCTAGGTACATGCATTTGTCGACAGTGTGTGTGTAGATACTTTAAATTCAATAATTTGGTTTCATTTCCAACATTTGTTACTTCCCTCGTGTTCATTTTTGTACCTGTACCGTGATGTTATTAGTATGTATTAATTTTTGAATGTATTGGACCTTTAGTTGAGCAGCTTATGTACCATAAGTATGTTATGATCAGAAAGACGATCCTTTTCGTTGGTTTTTTCCTTCTGTTCATTTCCATTTCTTTCTTTTCATTTTTGTATTTAATTTTTGATTAAGTTGAAGATCTGACGACTTTTAACAATAAACCAAAAATCGGCTAAATGAATTAAGTATATCGCTAATGAAAACCTCGTTTCGAACGCTTTATGACTGCAAACAGATTCATCACAATGTTCCCACAAAAAGGGCCCGAAGTAGACCTAAGAACACTTAGAGCCATTCGTGTGCTACGGCCCCTAAAATTAGTCTCTGGAATTCCTAGTGAGTAGTTCTTCTGTTATATTTTCACATTCTTATACAACATGTACCTCTACCTACCGATTTGTTTCTAGCTTTAATCTTCCTCGATGTTATTAAAATTAGCATACAATTTGTTGTTTTTTTTCCTTTTTTTTTGTCCGGAAAGTTTGATTTGTAGATAATATTATTTTAAAAAGTAGTACCGGGGGAAATGGATGCGGTGTATGCATCTATTTTCCTCACACCTTACGAGTATTATTATTAGTATGCAAATATGAAAACTTTACGTTGCTTTCTATGTGTGTGTGTGTGTGTGTATATATAGATTGGTATACGCATGGCTGTCATAACGCCGGACAAGTAAGACCCTTTATGGCAGCCAAGGCATGCTCAAGCTTTGTAAAAATTTACCGTCTACGAGTTTTCTAATGGATTCTAATTTCTCAAAAATATCCGCCAATGATCATCTGACATCTTCGATTGGAACTGCGCTGCGATTGTGATGATAATAATGATGATGATGATGATGCTGATAATGATGATAACAACGCAACCCTATAGGCTTACAAGTAGTTTTAAAATCTATAATCAAGGCGATGGCACCTTTACTGCAAATCGGTCTCTTGGTGTTGTTTGCGATCGTAATATTTGCAATCATTGGACTCGAGTTTTATTCGGGCGCACTGCATAAGACTTGTTATAGCTTAGAAGATCCAAGTATATAATGATATTTGAATTTGATTCTTAGCCCTTTTCGAGAAACTAAAGCTTTCATTATTTCCTCTCATCATCGCTTGCGTGTGTAGACAAACCAGTGAAGGAAGGTGAATCGGAGACGCCCTGCAATACGGATAATCTCACAGAAAAGGCAGGAGGCTCCTTTGTGTGTAACTACACGACGAGCATGTGCCTGGAAAAATGGGACGGACCAAATTCCGGCATAACAAGCTTCGATAATATTGGGTTTGCCATGTTGACTGTATTCCAATGCATTACCATGGAAGGCTGGACGGCAATACTGTATTGGGTAAATGATCGATTCTATGGTGTATACATAAATACTACTATATACATAGGTGTACGTGTAGATCTCCCCATTTTCCAGTTTCTAATGCCATCGTTTCGATTTCAAATTGATCGACTTCTGGTCGATGGAAAGAATCGATTCCGATTCTCGTTTCGGTTTCATAACGCATTGATATCGATTAATGTCGGTTGATATCGATTGTGTGTGGAACCTCGTTTCGTTCATTAAGAACAATAAGAATATATTTTATACCTCTTTACATTCCTTCTAGATTTAATGTAACGATAGAACACTAATTATAATCTTTTTTCCACAGACCAATGACGCATTAGGTTCAACATTCAATTGGATATATTTCGTGCCTCTTATAGTTATAGGCTCATTTTTTATGCTCAACTTAGTTCTTGGTGTTTTGAGCGGGTAAGTTGATTTCAAATTTATAGAACAGCACTTCTTTTTATTATAATTTTCATTCTTTTATGTTATATTTACATTTATGTACATTCAAATTCTAAAAATTGATTGTTTCAAATTTGGTTTATACATATGTACTCTAAAAAAATGCAGTTCTTCTTCAATTCGAACGAGCTACGCGTATATAGAGAAAAGGTCTATGGGATTGGTAACAAAAAAGAAAGAAAGAAAAAAAAAAACAGTTTTTGGCTCAAATTATTTATCGGAACTAGAAAACGAATTAAAGAAATGCAAACGAAAATTGGATAGGCCTATTCCATATACATATGCAACAATCTATATAGATCTAGATGTAAATAAATACTATCTAGATGTATATATAACGGAAACTGATCCCTATTTGCATGTAAATATCTATATATGTATGAAAATGTACATATATATGAGAACCAAGAACCATATACAATACTACATATGATTGGTATTTGTAAACTCATAAAAATTGCATAATATTGTATTTGAGCAACCGCCTGATGGATAGTACTTACGCGTGTACTATATCAGGCAGCTGCATTCCTTTAGCGTTACGTTATGTATAATTTGTTTCTTGAATTATTTATTTTTAAATGTCATATATTCTCGGAAATTCAGAGAGTTTTCAAATGAACGTAACCGCGTCGAGCGTCGCATGGAATTTCAGAAATGCCGCTTTCGTGCCATGTTTCAGACTGCAATGGTCTCCTACCTTGATTGGATCACACAAGCAGGTTTATAATAATATGAACATACAACAAATCCAACATAAACAAAATTGCCATAATCAATTGCAAACAATGAACAACAACAAATTATCTATAAATATATATATCTATATATACTACATATGTATTTATATATACACATTGGTAAACTTTCACACCCTTAGCCAAAAACAAAAAAAAAAATAAAAATCTCGGACAAGAGAGATATACTCGTACTCTTCCACCCTATTACCCCTGCTAGTACGCGTATATAATAAATATATACATAGCAACATTTTAATTAAAATAAAACTCAAATTGGTTGTCCGAGTGCAAGAACTAAAGTTGAATACTGTAAGCATACAAACAACAGCAACAACAACAACAATAACAAATAACAAAAAAACCCGTTAAATATATATTGCTACTCTAGTTACTTAAACATACTAAGTACATACATATTGCAAGCAACTTCCAAGCTACCAATCCAACAGAAATGTTTCGCATAAAACCTAAAACTCTAAAACCAAACCAAACCAAACCAATACCAATACCGCTAAAGAAAAATACATACCTACTCGTATATATATACTCTACTTACCTACTCTTACCAACCAGCATACTATGTACTTACTTATAAATGCAAGTTATAGTTTCACATCAAATACCTATAAGTACTATTTACTCGTTTGTATGTAACTGCGAAATGCCGTTTGGACTCCCCAGCCACCCAGCCACCCAGACCCTCAACCATACTATACTCATAGCACCCCAATACTCGTATGTACATATACATACTATATGTATAGTCGTATGTATGTATGTATGTATGTACATACTTATATGCATTGTGCCATACAATTTAGTCTTAGAGACAACGTTTGAAACCCCATTTTTCTCTAGCCCACCTCTACATAGATCTCTATACTACTCGTACTACTTCTACTCGTACTACCGTAAACTCCCAGCCAGTCGCGCAACTCTGTGTTTGTACCAACTACTACTTACTACTATATAATATATAATTGAGAAGTTATTATTGTTATGTTATGGCTAGTGAAGAACGCAAATGCACCCCACTATGATATCATGATATGATTCCTCGACTTACTAACCTAACCCAACCTCGATTTTCGTTCTTAAACAAGCTCATCAACTAGACCCCCGATAACGACCCATTAGCACCCATTAGTCGTTCTATATACGTAACATCATGGGCACAGTTCTAAGTATATCGAGTTATAGATCGCGCGATCAACATACGAGTATGTGTACATTGATTGTGAAGTTCTTTGTTCAAGCCTGGACTTTATATCTAGCTAGGAAGAATTCGCAGCCCATAATCGTATGGATAAACGAATGCTCCATATACTGAGCCAATAAACTGAACATATTTATATCGCATATATAGTACATACTTTCATTTAAGATTTTTTCGTGTGCGTGTGTTTGTTTTTTTTTTCCAATTTTTTTTTATTATTTATAAGTGCAATATAATTTTAGCATTCAACTTTTCATATCATTTCAGTTACAGCTATATATACAGATATAGTATAAAAACATATTTGTTTCGGCTGATATTGTGTTTTGTTATTTAATAAACCAAAAACAAAAAAAAAAAACGTGTACAATTATTCATTAAATCGATCCTCTTTTTGGTTTACCATACTCTATTGTAATTTTTATTTTTTGTAGTGAATTCGCAAAAGAACGAGAAAAAGTAGAAAATAGACAAGAGTTTCTTAAACTTAGAAGACAGCAGCAACTAGAAAGAGAGTTAAACGGCTATGTTGAATGGATTTGTAAAGCTGGTATAGTATTTACCCCATTCTTTTGTACATTATTTATACAAACATTTATTTCAAAAATAAACCAAGAACAAGAACAATGTAATCGATTTGTTTATACATAATATATCCACATACACAAATCGATCGTATTCAAAACACATACACACACACCACACACACACGCACATTTCTGTGTAATACGCGTATGTATACATATAGAAATGTTTCATTTAACAATACACTGACACCAATACTACCTACCAACGAGGGCAGGCTGTAAAGTAATTGGCCACCGATTCGGTACAGTTTTCAAATCTAAAGGAATGCTCATTTTGTCTTTCCTATTCTATAGAATTTTTATTCCTGATAATATAAGATAACAGATATAACTATATAATATGTACGTACAATTAGGAGCTGGACCCGTTTGTGGTTCGACACTGTATAAAGGAGAGTTCCTGACAGACGAATTTTCCCTAACGTATTACTTGAAAATCAGAAACTGCAGTTTTTTTTCTTGATCGAACAGCTTATTATTTATATTGGAATTAAATCGTATTTAAATAGCAACAGATGCTTACAACCACTTTAAAAAGCGGGGACAGAACTCTCTTAAGCGCTAGTATGGAACGTAATTCCCCCAATATAATAATATTGCTATACTTTATACACAACCAAAAAGTTTAAATAATTGTATTTGTATTAGGAGTTTAGTTAACGTAAATTCGATTTGTCGACGTCTTCATAAAACGCTTTCTTCATTTGTTTGCAACAAATTAATCAGTTAGTGGATAGTGAACAAATACATCCTGTGCCGATTACTTTTTAGCCCGCCTTCGTACATATTGCTAGATCATGTATTATCTTAAGCAAACTACAACGGAATCGAATCGAATATAACCTTCAGCTAGAAATGTAAATGTAAAAAACAATTTGTGTCTTAAGAAAAGATTCATTCCGATTGAATAGGAGGTTGACGGAATAAACTACCAGTCATGTAGGCTCTAGTTTAGGGACCCAACACACTTAAACTTCAGATTTCATTATAAATTTTAATGCTAAATTCATGTCATATAACTCAAGAACCTTGAAGCATTTCAATTAGCTCCCTAGAGCATGAAGTTAAACGAGAACAATTAAATACAATTGTAGTGTAAGTTAATCACCATAGAGAGGTATACCTATTATGAAAGTACACACACACACACACACACACATACACACACAATATATATTTATATATATACGTATACAAAACAAAACAATACACAACAACACACATCACATGCAATTTTGTACATAAAAACTTAAATACATACCCACATTAATGGTTTTGTGCGTAATACCACTGCCAGTAATGGGCGAGTTCTAACTAATATCGTACTATTTCAGAGGAAGTGATATTAGCCGAGGAGCGTACAACAGAAGAAGAGAAAATGCACATAATGGAAGGTGGGTTCAAATTATTACTTATGTATCTCTGTCTTACTTAACTCTGGGTTCTTTCTATAGCGCGTCGTCGTAATGCCGCTAAACGGAAAAAGCTGAAAAGCTTAGGAAAATCCAAATCGACCGACACAGAGGAGGAGGAAGCCGAAGAGGACTATGGGGATGACGGTAAGACTATATATGCTCTCTGAAACACCCATTTATGTACGAGCTTACTAATGGTTTTCAAGAGAGGCTTTCTTTAAATGAGAGGATAGGCGGAATTTGACTTTGGAGTTTTGGCAGCTTGAGACAACTGCTTATAGTCGAATGCGATATATAGCATTTGTTTTCTAAAGTATATGCAATAACAAAAATTGATCAAAAGTCCTGCCGAATCATTAAGTTTTGTAGTTCTCAAGCCCCATGGTACAGACCTGTTGCAAAAATTGGAAAGGAATTTTGTTGTCTTCCATTTCATTTTATGTGTAATTTATAGGGCAAAAGTCATCGCAACTTTGGTATTTTTCACAGCAATTAAAAAGTCGAAATCATCCCTGAAGCGTGCAGAATAAGTATGTGTGGTCTTTGGTATTTTTTATTCACAATTCAGTCTACAAAAAAAAGTCCTGTTAGAAAAAACTCTTCTGAATTTTTGAACATGCATATGTCCCAGTTCCAAGCCTACTTTAGTTAGCGCTGCTGTTAGATTTAACAAAGAAAATATTAGTAAATATAAATAAATAGTTAAAAAGCGGGAAAAAGCTATTTTTAGATTTCTTCAGTAGACAACTCTCGATCGTTGGGGAAAGCTCTGTGCGGATATTTTGCCAAGTCTTTACTAACCTTTGATGGGAAGAATAAGTCTTAAAAAGGGCTTTTTAATGCTTTATATACACATATACATAGTAGTATATGTTTAATGCTGCATAATTTTTAAGAAGCTGGTTGTTTATGTTCAACATTCTGTCTAGGAATGGTTTTTTTATATTTATAATCGCAATTAATTGAATTTTTGGTTTTTCATTTTACGATCCTCGACCTTATGATATTGAAAAATCTTACATTGAAAATATTGAAAATGTGTAAGTAAATTGAAATTTGATTAACTGTTTGTCTTGATAACAAGGATCTTACACAAATACTCGTATCATGCCGCAAAGGAACGATGCATATGCAAGATATATCATGCCCCTGTTGTTTTTGTAACCATCTTGAAAACACGAAGCCAAATCATTTCTCACAATATAATAACTTGCTCGTATTGAGAACTGTATGTATTGTAGTTACTTGTCATGAACATTTCGAGGGCATTCCTGCATTTCCGTCAGCCGCTTCTCCTCAGCCAATCAGTTGCCTTGTACGATTTTAGTTGTTATCTCAAGAACCAGAAATTCGCCTCAGCTGACGATGATGCAGAAATGCCCTTGCCACGAGTACATTTTGCTACATTTCTATGTAGTACTACTACAGGACAATCGTAATGGATATTTTTAGGATGTGTAATGCTATGGCGATTGCATTAGATCCGTATTGCATCGGTCCGCGAAGAATAGAGCCAGAGTAACGAATGTCCCAAGAGCACCAATATGGCAACTGCCACTTTTTCACCTCCTACTGCACTAGTTCATTTTTTATAGACTCTACTGCGACTTTCATCCCATAGGGAATCGAGCAGGTTTCATTTTTTTGCATCCAAAAGTAATGCACCATCTGGTAACTATTGAGAGTAGATAGCAACCTAACTATATACTCACTCCTAGATATCATATTACGTGACTGATACATACATTCATTTATGTATTAGTTTGTTATTGGACAAATTTCAATATTTGAATTGAGAATTCCCCTCTGTATTGGTTTCTATTGGATGCCATATACTCATAAATTCTATCAGATTAATGCAATTTTTTATGAGCAGGAAGGATGCCATTTTTCTTAGCAAATCACTCATCTCTATTTGGGTGAAATAAAAAATTAATTAATTGCAGATTATTAACATTATCGTTACTTTTTGAAAAGTTAAAAAAAAAAACGCCATTGTGCAAATTGAAAATAAAATAAATTATAGATTTTATATTACAAGTATACTCGGTGTTTCTAGCAGTGCTAATCGATTAAAAAATACTACTGAGACACTAAAATTGCATCTAAGCACATCACAATAATAGTTTCCTTATTTAAATCACCTTTGATTTCATTAATTTCAGGTCATAAAATATTTGTGGAATTCTTTCAATCGTATTAGATTTCTATGAACCGACTAATTTTTGATAACTTTTCTTATTTGTTGCTCACAGTTGTTATTATATTTTATTCTAATGGTGTCTAAGGCTTTCAGATTTAAAAATGCATAAATCTTATCGATGTATTTCCATTATTTTTTAAAATTGAGAATTTCTTGCGATTCGAAGTGAAATTGGAACTGTTTAGGGCTTTGTATTTTATGGAAATAGAAAAAATTAAACGTATTATCGCCTTTTGTATTGTCAATTAAATCAGTTTCTCAGATTTTGATCTTTACCTTTGCAGAGTCAAAAATACTAAAGATTTTCTTCTAAACAAAGCTCACATTTCACACATACATGCATTTGAAAGATCATGGTATTAAGCTCAACGCAAAAACATTAAAATATATATTATGTGGGGATATTGTGAGATTAAATCTGTGTTTTCAGGCTTATTCCAATCCATTTTATAGCGGAAACTTTTTGTATATAACTTTAAGGGAAATAGTTTGTATGCTCAAGTGTATCCAAGATACTAACTATATATATTCATCGTATATTTGTGGTACTTAGGTGTGTGGATAAAGTCTGCACAGTATGCAAAATGAAGCTTACACAATTATACAGATACGACAATAATAATGGGTAACAGTTGTTTAGGCATAGATTTTAGTGCTAGTTCACTTATATTCTCCAAATCAAAATCACTGGTCGTGTACTCGTAGCTGTGTGTAACTGTAATTGCTTTAAATATCTGTTGTTCCGACAACTAACGATCACTAGTATGTACCTTTATGCAAATTGCTTCAACATCTAGAGAACTCAAGTAAAACCTAACATAATCAAACCAACCTGCCAATCAACCAACACTTCTTATACATATCTAAATCACATTGTATTCAGTATCCACAATATATTCCGTGTCTGTCGGATAACAACTAGAAAAAAAAACAACCAATAATTAACTATTTATTATTGCAATTGACTCTATTTTTAATAATGGAAATTTTTGTCTTCATCCCCCTCCCCGCAGGCTATCTGAAAACCCGCTCGAAACCCCAAGGCAGTTGCACTGGATTCTGGCGTGCCGAAAAAAGATTTCGGTTTTGGATTCGTCACACGGTGAAAACGCAATGGTTCTATTGGTTTGTGATAGTACTTGTGTTTCTCAACACTGTTTGCGTCGCCGTCGAGCACTACGGCCAGCCAAAATTTCTGACAGAGTTCTTATGTAAGTGCTATAACGAATTTCGAGATTTGTTGATATTCCTATTGAATTGTTTTTTTTGAAAACCATTACAGACTATGCCGAATTCATATTCCTCGGCTTGTTCATGTCGGAAATGTTTATCAAGATGTATGCGTTGGGTCCTCGCATTTACTTCGAGTCGTCGTTCAATCGTTTCGATTGTGTCGTCATTAGTGGTTCGATATTCGAGGTGATTTGGTCCGAGGTGAAGGGCGGCTCTTTCGGTTTGTCTGTGCTGCGTGCCCTGCGTCTATTGCGTATTTTCAAAGTCACCAAGTACTGGTCATCGCTGCGCAATCTAGTCATTTCTCTATTGAACTCAATGAGATCAATTATATCACTGTTGTTCCTGCTCTTCTTGTTCATACTTATATTTGCCCTACTCGGCATGCAATTGTTTGGCGGGCAGTTTAATCTTCCAGGAGGCACGCCCGAAACAAACTTCAACACATTCCCCATAGCCCTATTGACCGTATTTCAAATTCTCACCGGCGAGGATTGGAACGAAGTCATGTATCAGGGCATTATATCGCAAGGCGGCGCAAAGAAAGGAATGATTTACTCTATGTAAGTTTTTTCATTTTATTTTCTATTCTACACAAAACAATTATAATTTTTGCAATATATGATAATTGGTTATATGTACTTGTATGTATTATGTGCAATACAAATATGAACGGGATATACTTGTATGTGTACAAATTGATATATTTTTCTGAACAATTCGTGTCTGCATTTAGTAAATACCATTACAGATTATCGTCCATTATTATGATTTCATAGTTTTATTCCCGATTGATCATTTGTAAAATTGTCGGATACATATTTTTGGAAATTATTGTAAACAGTCTTAATTTGTTTACGGGGCTATAATGCTTGTTGATAAAAAAAAAAAAAAATGTATTTATAACGCTATTAATATTCATTGAACGTCGAACCATTAATGTGTGCAATCCACCAAGAAATAGTTTTGATAGCTTGAAGAATTTGAATGACTTTAATCGCGTTTATCAAATTCTGCAAGCTAAGTCTATCGATCATCTATATACTATACACGTACGAGTCTATGCTTCAGTCGGCACAACACTTGAAAACTCTCCCATACCCATTCCGTAAGTGTAGAACTTGTGATACTTAAAATAATATTCCATATTCATGCTTATGTGTCCATATTCCTGTGTCTATTTCCAGCAGCATCTTGCAGCGCTACTCAAATTAACGACATCTCATTCTAGTGTGTCGCTTTAAGGAATCAAAATCAGCATTAGAATCAGTTTGTTCATATCGGGGCATAAGATAACCTTAGAATAACAGTAGAGTTTCCAGCCAAGGGGTGGTCATTAGACATTAGATTACGATGATTGATGTTGAATGTTCCATTCATTTTTAGGGTGAAATCAAATGAACGAACCTTTATATATAGCCATCATATATTGCAGCGTAAAAGTATAGTGTGAGTGTAAGCCTGCATCCAAATGAGAGGTAGGGTGTTTGTTTCGATATCTCTCGAGTACACCTAGACAGAGAAATGATTTCTCAGATGCTATATGTACATAGTTCTCACTCATTTTTTTTTTGATTATACAAGTATATTGGATGCAGGGTATCTCAATGTCGTTCGCTTCCAAACACAAGTGCTACAATTTATAAATCTTGAATGGTTTTTCTAATATTTCATCAACAGATACTTTATCGTTTTGGTACTCTTCGGTAATTATACGCTTCTTAATGTGTTCTTGGCTATCGCTGTCGATAATTTGGCGAATGCACAAGAACTAACAGCAGCCGAAGAGGAACAAGTCGAAGAAGATAAAGAGAAACAACTTCAAGAGCTAGAAAAGGAAATGGAAGCCTTGCAAGGTGATGGTGTCCATCTAGAGAATGGAGATGGCGCCGCTGCCGCAACAAAGGGGAAAAGTAAAAAGAAAGATGAGGAGAAAAAGGAGGAGGAGGAAGTTACGGAAGGGCCAAAGCCAATGTTGCCATATTCATCGATGTTTATACTTTCACCAACAAATCCGTAAATATTGCTTTATTCATACATTTTTAACACACTAGTTGTAAGAGACAGGGGACACAAACGAGTGTGACCAGATGGATGTTTAAGCTAATTAGTGGAACCAACTCTTCTACATATACTTGTAAGATGAATGACTGGCTGCCTAATGCTTTATGGATCAGCAGATAATCGTTTCGAGAATCATGCATAGATGCAGACTTTTGTAGTACCTTGTTTCCAGTTATTTGATTTACTTTTAGAATACAACTAACGATAATGTCTGTATGTATGTATAAAAAATGCCGCAACTAACACTTACCTCAATTAATGAATAATATCTAACCAAAGTTCTATAATCCATTATAGCAAATTTACTAATTATATTCAATTTGTTCTTTTGCTTTTTCCTTTTCGGTTCGTTAAAATGCATTTTATGTTCCACACAACAATGAAACAATTAATCAATCAATCAAACAATCAATCAATCAACCAACAACATATATTTGTATATGTATATATATATATATTTCTATATATACTATATATGTTTGCACTACAAATATTAACAACAATCCAAATTATTTACTCTGCCAATCATCATTCACCAACCACGTGAAACAACAACTTATCATCATCGTATTCATCAATCAATCAAACTCACATCGAACAACAACAACTACAATAACAACAACTACAACAACAACAACGACGACTACGACTATATAAAAAATGTTACCTACCGTTCAAAAATAAAATGCCAACACATCTTAAAATTATAAAAACCAAAAACTGCAAAATCAAACAACAATTAAATCCTAAACAACAACAATTGGAACTATCTACAAAATATTCAAATAACAACCACAATCGGAATACTAAAATCAAATGAAACGAATATGAAACGAATCGACTCAAATGAAATACATAACAACGATTAAAATCTGATGAAATACCGAATGCGAATCTGAATCCGAAACCGAATCCAAATCCGAAATCAAAACCGAAATCTGATATTCGTTACAACTATTTTGTAAAATGATCATACAAATTCGATGTATTCGATGTATACTATATATAGCATACGACGCGGTGCCCATTGGGTTGTAAATTTACCATATTTTGATTTCTTCATAATGGTCGTCATCTCAATGTCATCAATAGCATTAGCAGCGGAAGATCCCGTTCGTGAGAACTCGAGACGAAACGAAATCTTGAATTACTTTGATTATGCATTTACCGGCGTATTCACGATAGAAATGTTGCTGAAAATTGTAGACTTGGGTGTGATACTACACCCTGGCAGCTATTTAAGAGAATTCTGGAATATTATGGATGCTGTGGTCGTTATTTGCGCTGCTGTTAGTTTCGGTTTCGATATGAGCGGTAGCAGCGCTGGACAAAATTTGTCAACAATTAAATCGCTTCGCGTGTTGCGAGTCCTCCGACCATTGAAGACCATTAAGCGAGTTCCAAAATTGAAAGCCGTCTTCGATTGCGTCGTCAACTCATTGAAAAATGTTGTTAACATTCTAATCGTGTACATATTGTTTCAATTTATATTTTCTGTTATTGGTGTACAATTGTTCAATGGGAAATTTTTTTATTGTACGGACGAAAGTAAACATACTTCCGAAGAGTGCCAGTAAGTAAAATATTGTCCATTCAAGTTTACGAACTTAATATTCTATTATATTGTACTATTTCTGTTCAATTCAGTTCAATTCTCTTCATATATAATTTTCACATCATTTCTCATAATTTAGTTGGTTGTTATATGTACTATGTTACTCGTATTAGGTTTCATACTACAGTTTATCATTTTCGATAGTTTCAAACAAACAAATTGATTCCTTTACCTCTTAGTGGCGTTCCGCTCTCTGTCTCTATATAAATAAATAAATATATATATATATATATATATATATATATATATATATATATATATATATATATATATATATATATATATATATATATATATATATATAAAAGCTATATATATGTATCTCTCCCACTCTCTCTGTTGTATGTTTCTGTCTATACTCCAAACCTTAATTTCTTTAAAGTGTGTCAAACAAAAACCAAAACTTGTTTATATCAATAGCTACATTCTAAAACAATAACATATTCATACATAGCTTTTAGAGCTAGCAAGACCGAATCATTAAACATTATTTCAAGTACTCTATAGGAACATATAGTACTCGTACTTACTACTAACATACTTATGCACATCTACTCGTTATACATAGACTATAACTATAGAAGTTGACATTTTTATGTGTACTCGTATGTATTAATCATAGCTAGGGATATGTATTGATGGTACATACATACAAAATACATGCTACTTAGACGAACAAATAATAAAACAGTTCCTTAGCTAACATTATCTATTATTTGCCCTTAGTACACACATGTTTTCTACGTTGGTTCCGGTCCGTTTGGGCCCATTAATCGCATACATAATGTACATATGTACATAAAATGTTATACTATATGTATTTAAATATATGAATGTGTTTTTTCCGTGTTCAGCGTAAATATATGCCAAAAAAAAAAAGAATAAACCGTTTGCTTCGGTCGCCGAAGCTCAAATACTTTTGCTAATGTACTTTCCCTTAAATAACATATAACTATATGATATCCAAAAAAAAAACTTCTTTCTATTATGAATATCTAAAAACCAGATCAAGTTTTTTAGGCAAAAACTTTCTTTGAATTAGCACGTTGGTCCGATCGCTTCCCGACTGGCTTCATAACAATGCCTTTCCTCAAGAGTTTCAGATCTGGCGAGCTACTTGTAGTTCGTTTAGACCCAAAGCGTGTTTAAAAAGGGGAAACATTTGTATATAAAAGTACTAATGAACACATAGAGAGAGAGAGTGGCTGGGAACACTTTTTCACACTAAATACGAGTAGCGATGACTTGCTGCTTATTTTGTTGAAATAAGTGGGTCTGCTTTAGGGCTATTTTACAGTTAGAGAGTTTCTTTGGCAGCCCTCTGGTATAGATATAGAGATAAACGACAGGACTACACATAATTGTGAGGCGCATGCGCAACATTGTGCCAACATGCATATGCATCTATTTATGTACATATACATATATACATATATACTTATGCCTATTCGTATGTATAGTGGGTGTGTGTGGCACAATGTTGCAGCCTTTTGCAAATTTGTAACTGCATTTTACAATCCAATGACGTGATTTCCCATATAATTAACCATAATGCATACTATGCATACATACATATATGTACATCTTAAGTATATATATGTATGTGTATGTATTGTTATTGGTTTATTTACTTACTTGTTAAATATTATATGTATGTTCAGTTCCCTAATTTCGTTTTGTGTTCCTTAACAAAAAGAAAACAAAAAAGGTGCACTGATTCTACAGAATGTAAGAGTAGCATTTTAAAGTTTCTTGCCTTGTTTTACTTGCCTGATTGCTGGCCCAACAGCAACTCATGCGAGCAAACGGGCTAAAAAACAAAAGAAAAAAAAAACAAAAAAAGAAAGAAGAAAATCAATCAAATATATAAATCAATATTGTAAATCAATAACTAAAAAAAGAGAAAAAAAGACGAACCAACTAGTAAACAAACGCCCAAAAATCAACATCTATGTATAAAAACAGAAAACATCTATAGAATAGAACTGAAATGCGAAACTACAAATTACGCCTACAACCTTTCTAGTTTTCTTCCTCTTCTTTCTATGTTTTGTTATAGTTAATGCCTTTTTCACGTATAAAAAAATAAATATATATTATATATATATATACTTGTATACCTGTATATCTGTATCTGTTGCCTTCACCACCTCCCAGTTATTCAAAAACAAAAAACAAACAAAAAAAAAAAAAAAAACTACGGCATATTAGGCATCAATAATGACGTTCGCGTTTAGCATGTATGTGTTTGATTTTTAAAAATACTAAAATATATTTACAATTGGGTATTCTACAATACCAAAGAGTCCATATTACTACCAGAAGATTTCTTAATAAGCCTGTGCACACACATATAGAACCAAAAGCCAGCTAAGTAGTAGTACGTATGTATATAGAGAGGGCGCCGCAATATGAATCGAGTCTGCGGGACCAGTTCAGAGGTTTCTTTTGGTTTTTGGATGCATGATCTGAAGAATATCGGAGCCATCATCTGGACCATTTGCGATATGTACTTATCAGTTTTAAGAATAATAATACATAAAATATTTCTAAACCGCAGCGGCGGCGACCCATTTCGCATTTACTGAAATGCCAGTTCTTGAAAGATTTTACTGTGCTATATAAACGAGAGTACTATATAGTTAATGCCCAATGCACTTAGTTTTTTTTCGATCATTTCTTTTACTGCATATATGTACGCATTATGTATTTGAATATACATACTTGTACGATATATATTTACATAGAACTTCAATAGTTGCATACACGTGCATCTGTATATACATAAATGTGTCGAGCTGTAAGCATATTTAGTTTTTCTCTGTCACCCCAAAATACAAATACAAAAACTAAACAAAACAAAACAACAACAGAAACAAAAACAATTACAATAATAACAAGAACAACAAAAACTTGGTAGTTTTCTGAGCTTCTTTTTGTGATTTAGATGATGCGCTCTTTTCAATCAATCTTTATAAGTATTAGAAACTTCATAATGTACTATTTGTATTGTTACTACTTGTACTATTCTATGCATTGGACACACACCCACTCATTGTTTTCTAGAAAAGACCTGAGTATAGAAGCGATGGCAGCAAATATGTAATTAATAGAAAAACCAAACCAAAACAGAACAGAACTAAAAGTAAAAGTAAAAACGCAATGATAATAACTGTTGAAATTATGTGAAAAGGGCAGCGCACACCAAGCAAAATGATGCGAATCGTCGTACACTCAACGAAATAGGAAGTGAAAAACAAAAACAGATACTACAAAACCACACACAAGCGCTTTTCTATAGCAAGCACCAAGTATCGTTTTGTTTTGATTGTTCGCCTTCGTATGCAATACTGGGTCTGCTTAAGTGCAAATTGAACAAAAATTTAAAAATAAATCCAAACCAAAAAAAAAAAGAAATAGAGAAACAAGTACAAATTTACACGCTACACGCATCCCTCTATACTCGTACACAAGCACTTCACAGACTTATCCTATTCAACTTGTACACTACACTTGCCCAATTGATGTCAGTGTATTAGAGCACTGCATGTATGCACTCGATACTCAGCCAAGTATCGGGTATATTTTCAATTGAAATGGTGCGGGGCGCGTCTGCTTTGTTACACATCGCCGAACGAACAACCAGCCAGAACAATCTAATTTATTTCAAATGAGTAGCAGCCGCACTGAAAGCGTTCCATTCATATTCGCATTCGCATTCACACATTCATATTCATTCTAATCAATGTTTAAAACCTCACTGTGTTGTCGTTAATGCCGTTCTATGCTTTTCATCAAAAACTGGGGACTTGAAATCAATCATTTTTATTTAAGTATGTGCCTACGATTCGCTGTAGGTTTCATTAATGTATGTATGTATGTAGCTGCAGCAGATTGATCTGCTCGGAAGGCATTTTGTTGATTTTCGAACATTTCTTTTTTTTGTACGCCTTTCTGATTGTGCGGTGTTGATTTGTATTGAGTTCTGGGCTCGAAGAAAAAATCCAATAACAATACAAACCAATGCAGACAAAACTAATCAAAACATGATCAGACACTCAAACACTCACTCACTCACAAGCACACGCACACTCACTCACTCACTAAATCACAATGCCCTGACTTACACTAATTTGCTAATGACAGTACAGTACAGCTTAACTTTAACTTCAACTTCAACTTTAACACAAACTCCTACATGCTTTAATTCACTTCCGTATTGAACACTTATTTATCTGATACTGATATCTAACGCTACTTTTTGTTCATTAGATGTCTGCATACTCGTACTTTCATGCTCTAACAGTTTTCACTTCGCAAAAAAAAAACAACCGCTTGCTTGTAATATGCCAACAAAAAAAAAAGAAAAGAAAAAGAAAAATTAATATTACGGTATATTTATTTCGATTCATTTCATTCATACCATTTCGTAATTCATTATTAGTTGTTTGTAGTAAGTTCTTATCTTTAATTACTTTGATTTATGTTTATACACTGTTATACATGTTATATAAATTTTTATTACAAACCAAATTTTAATTGTTCCACATAAATGAATAACCAAACCCAAAATACTATAAACAATTAATGAATCAATCAACAATTTACAAACATCATAAATCACAAATCAATCAAAATAACAAAATAACAAACCAAACAACTGAACTTATGCAACGTGAAGGGGTTCGTACTTCAAGTACGAAGACGACGAAATACTGCCCAGACAGGAGATGCGTATCTGGAAGCCACGTAGTTTCCATTACGACAACGTGGCCGTCGCAATGCTGACGCTGTTCGCTGTCCAAACCGGCGAGGGATGGCCACAGTAAGCCCAATTGTTGTCTTGTATTTTTCATGTTTTCGTTTCAACTGTTTTGGTTTTCTAAAGTAATGCGTCTCGGAAATAATATTTCCGTGAACTCCGAAATACTTCAAATGGAAAATAATCAAATCTTATTCGTTTTTTTTGCTTTTTACATTTTACGTCGTTATTCATATCCATATCCAAAATAGGGTCTTACAACACTCAATGGCTGCCACTTATGAAGATAGGGGTCCAATCCAAAATTTCCGGATCGAAATGTCCATATTTTATATTGTATATTTTATTGTATTTCCATTCTTCTTCGTCAACATATTCGTCGCCTTGATTATTATAACATTTCAAGAGCAAGGCGAAGCTGAATTGCAAGATGGTGAAATTGATAAGAATCAGGTGAGCCATTCAAACCTAATTACTTTCTCCTTTAACATAATACATAAATATATACATATGTGTTTCGTGTAATAGTCCTTAACTACTACTACTACTACTACTATTGCTACTACTATTACACTATCTGCACGTAAATGTACATGTAAACTCGTATTATCCATACAACAAACAACTACAATTAACATATCAGTTCTGTAAGAAACAAGTACACAAAATGCGCTTTAAACAGCATTGCCCAACACTGTCAATACTCCATTGACTTGTACACGCTGTACAATGTACAGAAGTAGTTGTGTCCCACATATCGACCACAACCTACTCGTATACTCGTGGGAGTAGATCTAGTACGAGTATACCCCCCATAATAGATAACCCACGATCGTGTTTTCTACATTTCATGGGTAGCCACACTTTTAATTTTGATGTGCCCCAAACGCTAGCACCATTTACTAACAATTACTTAAAAGTGTATTTAGTGATTTTCTTGCCGTTAACTTCCATTAACAACCCATTTTGATTGATGTAGCCCCATCATATATAGTCGTACCTTAATCTACCATAGGCCAGTCAATGTTTTGAGCTTGAGAGCAAATCGGAAATACTTTTAGCAGAACTTTTTGATATAAATAGTGAACATTTACCGGAAAGTAGAGATATTTCGTAATGCGCACGATAGTCCTTAAATATTCATAGACAATTGAATATTTAAATGATAGTCGTAAAACCAACAACGTATTTACATAAATAAAGTTGTATCTAGACTAACGAGCCGATGTTACCAATCTGTTGCCTGTTGCTGTGCCAGCGTATTGTAAGTATGTTTTTCTAAAAAATACAAATAAAAGGAATCTCAAGCGTCATATCTCGAAATTAATAGCAGCAGTTAAGTGCGCACATTAAAAAAAAATACAAAACAAAAAAAAACAATGACTAATTAGAAATCTCTGGCACGTTAAAATGAAATTTGCATTTTATATCCTGTACCTGAATAGTAGAGTTTTTGCATAAATGATTTGCCCAATGGGTACAGGGTACCCAATTGTCGGACAGGTCCGACTTTATTCTATTCGATTGTTGTGTTCCTTATTTTTTTATAGATAGATATTTCTTCTTGTACAATTGTCTGTTAATGTGGTATTACTTGCGTCTCTCCAACTTGAAATCCTGTGATAAAATCCAGGCCTGTTCCCGATTTTATTCAAACCTGAATTCAAAGTCATAACTTTTGATATTTTTTCAAAATTTCTAATAAAAGGCGTCCATGTGTATAAGTGAATAGCATTTCGATTTTATTGAAGTTTATACTTCTAGGCATTAGAATTGCAGTTTCTTAGATGAAGGAAAACATTTTCGTACATTTTCATTTCCTTGAGAGGGGGAACTGTCTAAAGTCTAACTAATTTCGGGTTTGTTTTTCAAATACTCTATATAAATTTCAAAATGGGGACATGGCTGATTAGATCAAGTATATATTAATTAGATTTCTCAAAGAAGGAAACCGTACCTTTTTTTAAATCAAAATTTCTCTCTAATAGTATTTATTTTCACTTCACAAATAAAAGTTCTTCGATTAGTTGGTAGACAAAAAAAAAAAAAAAAAAACACCAACATTGAAAATATTTTACGAAACCTTTGTTTTTTAAGTATAATGACTAGCTCTCTTATCAAACGAACAATTGTAGTCAAGTAATTGGCTAGCTAGCTAGCTAATGAAGTCTCACACATCTCTCAAATAATTAGTACTTTGATTGACATCTACACTAGTTAGGCTTACATACCTATTTCCAAATTCAAAAATATATCAAACTAGCAAGAAGCTCACGACCAGACCAATTAATTATTAACGATTTGCCTCTTTCTCCACAGAAATCGTGCATCGACTTTACAATCGGAGCTCGGCCCCTTGAACGATATATGCCCAAGAACCGTAACACTTTCAAGTACAAAGTGTGGCGCATTGTTGTGTCTACGCCCTTTGAATACTTTATAATGATGCTGATCGTATTCAATACACTTTTACTGATGATGAAGGTAGGTTGATGTGCAACTCAGTAGCTCCTGCGAATGTCTAATTAGGTTGAATTTTCCGTTTATTTTGATTTTGACATTGACTTTGATTTTGTCAGAAGAACCAAACACACACACACACACACACACACACACAGTACATATGTATTTCAACACTTTCCAATGAAATGAAAACCCTTAAGTATATACATAATTCTATTTCTGTTTTTTTTTTCGGTTTCAAGCATACATACAAATAAAAAATGCGTTTAAAAAACCCTTTGATTTGAGAATTGTGCAATCTTACATTAAAAAATTTGTCCAGTCTTTAACTGTCTTAATACATGTTTTTTTTTTCATACTCTCCACAAATATGTAGCATCCTATGTACAAATTAATGTTGTGTATTGTATATATTCCATTATGCGTTTTGTGATTTTTCTGTTCAACTCTCAACGGCATGAGTTTTCAATAAAATTGGAACACTCACATTTTTTCCACCAGAAACTTATTTGAAACGAACTATATGTGTTGCATGATGTGTAAAGAAAAAAAAGGCTAACAGGATACGCCCAATTATATTTTACTATACTTCGACAACGCTATAGAGCATACTGATAAGTAATTTGTGCTGTCGACTTGATTCAAAAATGCACTTGTCGGGAAGGCACACAATTAAGTAGAGCCTTTTCCACATACGACTGTACAAGTATAGTACTATGCTCGTATGTAATCGGAAATTCTTTCCCTCTATCTTAATGTAATTGAAAAAGCTCTTCAGAATAGAATGAAGTGATTGAATGAATGTCCCCTAAAACTCAATATTAAATAAATACTACTCGTACACTTGGAGGCTCAATACCCACAACTTAACGTTCGTCCCATTTTTGGTTTGTCTGACAATTTCTACGCAGCTGTTTTTATATCTCAAAACTAATTATCAATAAACATCTTAACAGTATCATAATCAAAGTGAGATGTATGAGAAATCACTGAAATATATCAACATGGGATTCACAGGCATGTTCAGTGTTGAAACTGTGCTCAAGATAATTGGATTTGGTGTCAAGGTAAGTAGCGCAGTTAATATTTGTACATAAATACAAGAAAAAAATCAACTGACAAAAAAAGGAAGTTATTTAAAAGGTATATGCATAAGCGCATATTAATAGTCAATTGTTGTATGGCTGGCAGCCTAGTCTCTAGTAAATACACGCCAACGTTTATCTACAATCTAGGGCCTATGTATATACATACGAGTACATACATATGTATATATAATTACATATATATATACAATATATATTTATATATTGCGGGCTAATAAATGTTAAGCCGCCTGTTTGTCTCGAATATGCTGAAATTTACAATGTCTTCAAAATGATTTGCTGTAAATATAAATTCGTGCTCATAATGTGCTTACAAGTATATACCCAAAGACATACATACTCGTACATAGTCATTACCTATACATACTTGTAATACATACGCTCTAAACACTCCGAGGGTCTCAAAAGGTAAGCCACTTTATTCGTAATAATAATAATAATAATATTTGATTGCACTCACGCTTGTTCTTTTCAATCAATTCAGTGTTATTTGTAAAGAAGTAAGAGTCCGTTTTCACATTTTCCTATCTAAGCTTACAAACACTTTAGCATGAAGTCCAACACGATTCCGTTCTGAAAGATAATTACGCTATAATCTACTTTTGTTAATTAGCTGGGAGCTGGGAACTTACCAGTCTGGCCACGTTTCTAAATCCGAACTTGTTGTGCAATTTATTTTTCTTGCCAAGCAACAAGCCCCTTGCCGTTCTGAGCTTCAAGGAATTGCATTCAAATCTAGCGTTTATTTCACTCAATTTTTCAAAATATTCAAAATGTTTTATATGGCATATATATTACTACAACTATTGCATTTTAAATGAGTTACGATTCAGTGCCATATGAAAATTCTTCACCAGACATTTGTTGAACGAGTCAGTCAACAGCAGTCGCAGTGACTCAAATCATATTCATTCCCGCTGATATTTAAAACATCCGGAACTGCTCTATTTTAATCAATGCCTACAGAAATGTTGCCAATGCATAGAACTGTGTTGAACATAACAAATTTGTATTGTATTTTAATTAATTGATCATTCAATAATTTTATGCTGCACTTTTAAATGCTTACACCGCTGTCGTGAATTTTTAATACAACTTTTCACTCAATGTTAGCAATTGATCAACTTTGGACTCTTTCACGTACTAATTAATCAATCAAATTCTCATCACAACTTGCACCTTCTATATGGTGAGTCATGTGCACTCGTAATCTGTTTGATTTTCATTTAATTGCATGCGTTTGTAGAGCTCGCTCCTCATTTTCAGTTTCAGTCAATATTATTTTATATTTATTTTTTTTTTTCGAATATTTTTTTAATTCTATATCACTTGCCAACACCAAAACAAATCATACGAGAACCCACAAAAAAGAAATAGACACAATGTCCTTCTACCAAACTAACCGGAATCCACATTTATAGTTGCATAAGATTTTTGAAGAATTTTGTTTTCAATCTTCATATTATTATTATGAATTATTATTAAACATATTACTCAACTTGTTTGTTTTCCTTGATACAAATAAATGACTTGCATCTAGAAATACTTACATATGTAGTATGCAGACTGTCCAGACGCAATCGTTGAGTTAAGGAAAACAAACACACAAAATACATACATACATACATACTCTCGTCTATTGTTCCCACAGAACTGTTTTAGTTTTGAAAGTCATGAATCATCTAAAATAAACCTACGTTCGGTTCCCAAATGTTTTCGTGTTCTCATTTTGTAGTTTCATGATGCACCGCCCACCCACAGCGATATATTGACCTACATGAATCTGGTATTCACCTTGTTCTTCTTAATGGAGACAATACTTAAAGTTATAGCATTTGGATGCACGGTAGGTACCAATAATGATAACAACAATAACAACTACGACTACTACTACCACAAGTCTGAGTCTTTCATGTTATACGTATAGAACCAATTTGTTTGTAATCATATATAGTTGACCATATGCCACATACTCCCTGACATAGTCCTACCCCACTCCCCACATATAAGTAGCAAAGGAACTTGTATTCGCATACCACATATACTACATATATGATTTTTGTTCCGGCTCGAGCGCAAAATACAATACACCAAAATATTTCGAATGAGCATATAGAAATGATCCAACTATATAATACATAGCATTGTAAATTTCAGCTAAGAAATATTGAAGACCCAAAAAAAAGGGTTCTATCTTGTTACATAACAGCAAACGAATTGTAATTGTAATGCCTGCTATAATAACAATCGTGGACATTTGTAGCAGCAAGGGAGTAACTTTGGATTACACCATTAAGTAAATGCAGCAAAAAAAAAAAAAACCAAAGAAAAAAAAAGTAATTCTTAGAATGTAGACACAAATAGTTGTACGAGTATGTTTTGGGAATTAGCGTATTATGTTTCGTTGATATTGGTATTCAAATAATGTGAATTATTTATCGTGTATACATTTCAGAACTTCTTCAAAGACCCTTGGAATATTTTCGATCTCATCACGGTATTGGGTAGCATTGTAGATGCTCTCTGGATGGAATTCGGGGTAATTATCTGTTGTTTACATTAATCCAAAAACTCAAAAAGACTTCATATTATTTTGATTGTTGTGTTCGATTTCTGTAGGCCGTTTTGCAAGACAAGCAAACAAAATGATTTATTCATAAAACTAAAACAAATAACAATAACAAGTATCTAGCTGCCTTATTTTTGCCAAGATACAATACCAGTATTGATCAAGTATATATATGTATGCTATATACATAAATATACAACCAATATTTATATATATATGTATGTGATATGATATAATATAAAAATATATTATCAACGTTTTTTAATCATATGTCTCGTATGTATGTTTCCCATTTTATATACATACATACATATATAATATAATACTTATTATGTGCCTACAACATAATGATTTATACAATTACTTTTACACGGACAATTAGTTTTAAATCGAACAAAAACAAAACACAACAAAAGAAAACAAAAAAGGAACATCGATCTTATATAATACATTTTTTGAGGCGCACAGAAACTGCATACTCTTCGATAACAAAGAGCCAATGCAATACTAAATAGGTTCTGTAAACCATTGTCCAACACTAGCCACAGTAAAGATGCTGCTGTACAGTTAATATACATACATCCATATATGTATGCATACTATGTAGAAATTATAATTCAAGCCGTCGATATGGAGGAATCTGCTCTTCATAGGTATGCTCTGTGCCAGGTGTAGAACATTTGTGGGGTCTGTTTTTTCGATCGCTCCGCTTTCTGTGTACAGTTATCGAGCGATGGCAAAAACGGACCTTGGCGGCTTAATGCAATGCATTTGACTTTGCAACACTGCACCGACACTCACAAATATACTCACTTACTCGTATGTTGGGGCCACAACGTCCAGAGTCTTGAGTGGTAAACCATTTTGCTATCATTGTCCTCAGCCTCAGTTGATGCCCGCTTGACACGTGCCTGCACTGTTACAGCAACAAATATCAATATATAAGTAGGTAATATGCAAACCAGTTAAGCTTACTACTTACAACATTACTTACTCGTACTATATTTCGAAATGAAAGCATTAAATAATTAATTACATACATACATATGTTCGAATTGGATCGAGTTGTACTAAATACATAGTTTATGTGTTAAATAAGGTATACACTTTTGTTAAGATTTGGCACAATGCAAGATGTTAAGAAACCAAAAAAAAAAAAAAAAAAAAAAAAACCAACAACAACTTTATATATATACTTATATAAAAATAGCAAACGAATACAGCTACACTTAATGGTTTTTTGCTATATTCTGTTTACGTTCAGTTTCGCGCGATTGCAAAATATATGCCATTTATACCATTTATATATTTATATACATTCACAAACACACTCCCACACACACACACACGCACACCCACACACACACACACACACACACACAAACGCACACCCACACACGCGTAAACAAACACATATAATAATTGTTATATAACTCACGAAATAAAAAAATTAATAATCATATTTCTTTTTAATTTCCTTTTTCATATTTATTTGTGTACGAAAACGAATACCAAATACGAAATGTGGTCTCAAAATCGGGAAAAATCAATCCAAATCGAAAAAAATCGATGAATGCAAAAAATATATATAAACACTCACGCAATGAAACATACACACACCCACGCACACATGTATATGTGTAAATTATAATATATATACAAATATCAATATATATACATATATATTTTGTATACAAATGCCTTCGATCGCAACTATATCCCCAAAATTGGCCGTCGGGAACTGAACCATCACTACTTGAACATTGCCCAACACAAAAACCAAATACCAAAAACAAACAAACAAACCAACCAAACGCCATAACATTACATATATACATACATATATGTACAAACAATCTATCAATCTATCAATGTACCAAACGCAATGATTTTGCAATTCAATTGGCTCACCACAACTTGCATTCAAATACAATACAATACAATACAAAACAAAATATACAACATACAAAATACAATGACAATCCACTAAATAATGTAATTAATTTCAATTTTAAAATCCACCAACTTAATTACCGAATCGATCGACAACAACAAATGCAAATTTTAAATCAAATTACAAAACAAACATATTGTCATCCAAAACAAAACTAAACAAAACCATGCATGTGTATGTCTGGCATTTGTATGTGTTGTCCAATGCATACATGCACATACATATACATATATATACCTATATATATATCTATATATATATATCTCATCTACAACTACTACATCGACATGTACAACAAAAAATATCAACACCAACAGCACGATGTAAGTACGAAACACAATATACACAAAATTTGCATTTATCCAATTTTTATGTGTACCAATCAAGGATTTTAGATTTCGCTTTATCTGCTAATCACCTCCACCTAATAAGCTTATTAACCCCCAATTCCTATCAATTTCACATAATAGTTTCGTTTCAAATATCTCTACACGTAAATTTAAAGCATTGCCTACTTTTATGTCTTTCGTTGATTTCATTTGTTTTCCATTTTCATTTTTGTATAAAAGATATTTGCGAGAATTCAGTTGCATTATAGCACTTCTCACCTATAAAACAGTTGCGTGCTAATGAATACAAATAATATAAAAGCATAAATTTCAACAAATCCAAAAATCTGTAGTGAATGGATTAGATCTGTACAGAGAGCGAATGGGTGGTGACCTAATGCGGAAAGTGTTGATGTAAATATGCGATGCTTGTATAACAGGTTACTGGTAAAAAGAAGATCACATTTTTTATTATTAATATTCTTATATAATTCATTTTATGAAGATGAAGTTATTACTTATAGACCAACAGCCCGGGAGTTTAAGAGCAATCTAACTGGTACTTAACATAAATATTCTAGTTTGAATTTAACATTGTTGGTTAACAGTCGTCCAATTAAAAGCGCACAGCGATCATTTAGGCTGATAGAGAACTTAACAGCAGCCCAATTGAGATAATTAACAGCAATCTAGTCTGAAGTTAACATTGTTGGTTAACAGTCGTCCAATTAAAAGCGCACAGCGATCATTTAGGCTGATAGAGAACTTAACAGCAGCCCAATTGAGATAATTAACAGCAATCTAGTCTGAAGTTAACATTGTTGGTTAACAGTCCTCCATTTAAAAACGCACAGTTAACATTTCAGCTAATGGAGAACTTAACAGAAGTCCAATGTGGAAAATCAACAGCAATCTAGTCTGAAGTTAACATTGTTGGTTAACAGTCGTCCATTTAAAAACGCACAGCGATAATTTCGGCTGAAACAAAGAGATCTATTTATAATTTAAAGATTTCATATTTAACATTAGTATGTATAGTAAATATGTAACAGCAGTTCAATTAAGGACAACCATTTAAACTGAAAGAGAATCAGACAATCAGTGCCATGGAGGCTAATGAGCTCAATCGAATTGTGTGTCTAATGTTAAATTTTCCCTTCGTCTGAATTTTCAGCTAAAGGAACTCTAACAACTGCAGTATTATATAAAATTAAAAGGGCTGTAAATCTAAAAGTAAAAGTACAATTTGTGGTTATGCAAGCATATAGTCGCATATTCAACTTTAACACGATTCCACAATTTTTGCGCATGGCTTTATTTGCAACGCTCTAAAACTCTCTGTCTGTCTATCTTTCTCTCTATCGCTCTCTGTCTCTCATTCTCTCTCTCTGGTTGTATTTCATTCCAATTTGAAGAGCTTAATTTTTGAAAACAAAAAATTGTTGCAACACGCTGCTGTTTTAAGAAAGCAAAATCGAATATTTAAAATATCACTATTTGTAAAAATTGAGATCCTTCATAAAATGATTTGGCGCGAGCATTTGAAATTGTCATTTTCATAGTGCTCTCTCTCTCTCTCTCTCCGTTTTAATATACGCTCCCACATAGTTCCTATTCACTCTAGGTAATATCAATATCTCTAATTAATAATATCAACCTCGTCTATAATCAAATTCAATCCTAGAGGCGTAAGAAAGCAATTGTAAATGTACTCGTACGATTAGCTGTGCATAGTCATCAGCATTATTACTTGTCCGCATACATTAAATAAGCGATATAGTCTGTATATGTTAATATATGTATGTAACACTGCTCAGTAATGTATAATTTAGTAAGTAATTTTTAGTAAAGCCAATCAAATATTTGAATGGCATATTTCGGAGCCGATCGGCCTCACTTCCTAGACTGATACCTGAATTGCTGACGAAAGTACAGTCGTATAACGATGTGCTGGCACTATTTCTTATACTACATACATATATATATTTTATAAATCCATTGTCGTTCCTTTAGTGAGCAGCATTCTTTGGCATTGTCGCCCTTCTATCTCTCTATTTCTCTATGTCTCTATATATATATATATACCTCCACTGTCTCTAAGAATTCACAACAAATGGAAAAGTAAAGCGCGCGCTTTTCTGCTTTTTTATTGTTGTTGTTGTTGGTGATGCTCACAAAATTTCTTGACCTTATTTCGTAGTGTATAAAATTCGATTATGTTTCGCCGCTAGTGTATTTCAGTATTTTCGCAATAATAATAATAATAATAATGTATACAAAAAACAAAAATGTTGACTGGCACTTGAAAACCATGCATGCTTTGAATTGTACGTATTAAATATTCTGAATTGTTAACTTTATTGAAAATGAGCTTTTTTAATATACTATACTTGTACCGTACGCTTCTGTACAGCTGCTGCCTTAAACACATGTTCTATTCTAAGTTCTAATTTCGTAGGGAACCCTCTCGAATTACTTACTATCCAATACTCGTATACGTACTCGTACGTCAGGTACAACACAATTATTTCAACTGTGTGCTTCATAGGGAAATAAACTACAAACTTCTTGTCGGCAGAACCCCAATCGCTTAAGATCCATGCGTTTGGGTATAGAAGAGTTAGAAAAGAGCGGCCTACATATAGTAATACTAACCTACTACATACTCGTATTCGTGCATACTAAACAATATGTAGAACCAACAACTATAAACTTGCTTTGGTCCATTTAGATCGGCTGGCTTCATGAAAAACAATTCGTATTTGTGCTTGTCAAGTGTAGAATTGTGCTTATTGTCAGGCTTTAAAGTCCATCGCATTGTCACTCCTCAGCTCGTTTCTGTCATCACAAGCAGCGAGTGTTGAAAAATTAAAAAAATGAAATCAAATTCTCATTGCACACGTTTCTATATTCATCAAAAATTCCACAGTGATTTTTACATATAGTATGTACTTCAAGCCACTGTGCATTCAAACTTTTACTACTAATTTCCAACTTTGCTTTATTTGTTTCTTTGTTTTTCTAAATCGTAATCAACAAACTTTAACGCCGCCAACGCTGCAAAAATAATACTAATAATATCAATAATAAAATATCTGCATTTCGCTTGACATAATCGACACGTGATTGCAAAATGTGACTCAAATACACGGCCTGCACATAAACAACCAATGTAAAAATCTTAATAACATCTATAAAATGCGTACTAATTAAATAATGGCTAATTAAAATGCACTGCAAAAAATACAAAAAAAAAAAAAAAAAAAAACAAACAACAATCACAATCATTTCCTTGTCGTTGTCGTTCAAATTTCTTGATTCGTCTTACGTACATTCGTAATGATTTGATGTGATTCACATGCTTTCGAACAACACTAACGAACGATCCGATCCAATTGAATCCAATCGAACTGTTCTGTCAACTGCTGTTCAACTGAATTGCCGAACCGAAAAATGCATTCGAATATACAATCGTGTGATGTCCAAATCGTTTCCAACACGGTATATAAAATATAAATATTAATGTGTGTACATTCATTTGTTTGAACGAATCCAAAATTTCTGATTATTCAACAGGATGTAAGTAAAATCAATTACAATTTTATTTTTTCATATAAAAATAAGAAAAAAAAACAACCAAAAAAGATTGTTACCGCATAGCATATTTAAACATTTTCTATTAGTATAATATAATAATTATATTCTGTATTGAGGAGCTCTCTTCTGATGATCTCCTCCAATATTCTTTTTAAGTAGAACTTAATGCCTTGTTTTTTCAGACATAAGTACAACAATTATGTATAATTAGATGCTTTATTACAAATGTTCTAGAACGAACTGCCTTTATTTTCGTAGTGCATAGAAATTACAAAAAAAAAGCAAAAAGAATTAATTCACTTCAATTTTAAATGAGGCAAACAGAGGAGGCAGTATTGCCCCACTTGTATGTAAGCCATAGTTCGATTAATAGCAAATATATCTGCGCTAGAATGTAGTCACGAGTATCCCCTGGAACGGCCAGGTTCCTGGACTATCATCGCACTACCGGCCATATTATATTATACTTATAATCTGCTCCATTCGATGTCAGTATCCCTAAATAATATAAGATTGTGCGAACAATGTAATGCCTCCCATTGAATCAAAGCATCATCATATACTTATCATGCCAATGTATATTTCAATGGTTATACATCAATTGGGAATTCGACCCAATTTTTAAACAACTTCATGACAGTTTTCATGTCGTGAAACATTTAAATTAATCTCAAAAATTATCGTTGCTACTAATTAATGAAAGCCGATTCTACCTATGGAATATACAAATTGTTAATAGAGTTTATACTCTACAAGCCTGGAGAAAAGCAGAAATAAAATTTACTAAGCCACTTTTTTAAACCTACATTTTCTTCCGTTAACCTATTCTATTATTGTTTTTGTATTGAAAAATTGATTTAAAAAACCCTGTAAGGCTTACAGAACTAACTTAATATTCGCCATCTCTCTTCTTTAGAGAATAAATTTATTTTCAAGCCAGTTCCTACACTTTTTCACATTGCTAAATATTATATTTAAGGGCGAATTCCTATTTCTTTAAGTGCATATTCATGTTCCAAATGAATCCTACGACAACACAAATGATGGTTTCTACTGATTTTTTTTTTTTTTTTTTGGCAGCTATTCATTACGCCCAGCTGCCAAGCTCTACCTACATATGCTTATTTTGTAAATACCTAGTTATAGAGTGCATCAAGCAGAGGCCGCGGCGAGGCGGTATACGTCTAAGAGTCAGTGATTGCCACGCCAACATTGGTGCAGGTGCATGCATGTGCCTGCAACAGGAATGAGTGCATGTGAATGCATTCGTTTTCGTTTGCACATGCATTCATGTGTGCTTAATGTGCTTTAATGCAACAGCTGATGAGTAAAATATTTTGGTCAAAGCCCCAAAATCGGTCACAGAACTGATACCTGATACGCCACCCATAGACAACAACCATAACAGCCACAACAAGTACTTGAGCGAAATCCTCGTGGCACATACTTATGACTGTCGTGAATACATACTTACACCTGTAGTATGTACGAATCACACATACATATGTACATAAACGTGTACGTGTACAACAAATACAAGAAAGCACACAGAAACATGTACATACTCTTTACAAACAAACTGTGATATATTCGTATATTTTATTCAATTTTCACAAAAACTTATGCTTTCATTTCAAAATTTCGGTTAACACTCATTTAGTTTCTAGTCGGAAATTGCTTCAAAACAAATTTTTAGATTTCCAATCTTTTTAATACGTATGTAATATGAGGCCAACATTTAATTCATTTTCGTACTGTATGTAAATAGTATCTGAAAGATGCATACGCACATATATTATTTTTTTTTATGTATTGGTGTGGTAGTATAGCAAAACAAAACAAAAACAAAAAAAAAAAAATAATTTATATATACATATATACTCGTATATATAAACAAAACACACTGAGCGTATATGATATGGAATATTATATTTTATAATTGCAACAATCTTAATACCCATTTTTAGTAATTAAATCAATTGCATTTTTTGTACTTGAATAAGGTCGATTGTTTCACACACCACTTTTTATTTAGCATTTTGTTTTCATATATCAATATATATTTATATGTATTCATATGAGTAAATTTTATGCTAAACATTGAATCGGAAAAGTAATTATATCATTTTTTATAGAAACAAAAAGTATTTAAATGAATTGATCTTTACTAACCAATTCCAACTAATACTACTACTACCAATATGTACTTTTATTATTATTAGTATGTACTGCTGCCAATATACTATACTTATACAAATACTGTTACAGCTGCACTATTAATACTGCCCACTATTACTACTTACTACTACTAGTACTACTTACTATTACTAAATTTATTAAATCTACTGCTACTGCCGATACTGATTCTGACTATTACTATTACTACTGAAATTGATTCTACTATTTCTACTACTACAGCTATTATCTACTACTACGACTACTACTACTACAGCTATTATCTACTACTACTACTACTACTACTACTACTACTACTACTACTACTACTACTACTACTACTACTACTACTAACACTACCAAAACGACTACTACTTCTTTTGCTACTACTACTACTTATCCTCTGTAGTACTTCTACTACTACTACTACTATTACTAATACCAACACTGCTTAAACTGCTCCTACTACTAACCTAGTATTACTGCTTCTCACTTACTACTACTACTGCTACTATTTCGACTACTTTAACTACCACTAATATGACTACTTATTTTACTACTACTACTAATACTACTATTACTACGAACCTACTTTGTGCAACAAACAATATACCAGAGATTATGTTCGAATTTCACAAAAATTCGAATTTATCTGCATCCGTATGTTAAAACCGGACACCACCACTCTAATACCATTCTCCTTATTTTCTGTTTCTCTTTTTCTTCCTTTGGCCAATAATATTTTACAGTCGAACTCAATCAACGTCGGCTTCCTGCGCTTGTTTCGTGCTGCGCGTCTTATAAAATTACTCCGTCAAGGATACACTATACGCATACTTCTGTGGACATTTGTACAATCATTTAAAGCACTTCCATATGTCTGTTTGCTTATAGCTATGCTATTTTTTATATACGCCATAATTGGCATGCAGGTAAGTTGTAGCTGAAGAACCGCTCCTTAGTATGCCTAGTATAGCAAATTACCTTGATATAGTTAGTATTCCAAAGCTAGTCAGTTTGAGTTCCTGAAGCTCTTTCATTTTGAGGCCTACATTTCAATCCCTTCGAGTAACTTAATTTAATGGAGTCGTCGGACCATTTTTATTCCTCCTGAATACCAGAAAATATATATAAAAAAAACAACTTGTGTCATTATATAATAGTACTAATAGGAACTGATGCTATTCATAATCTTTAACCCCTCTTTTACAAGTACCATAATTATATGGGGGTATTCTGTAAGGCTTCGATTAAGGTAAATAAGGTTAAACCCCCCTAAATTATTGTAATAAGCAGTTTTTTCTTATTTTTTAACGAACTAATTGTGTCTAAATCTTAACTACGTTACTTTATAGTGCTTAGTTAGTAGAACACTAAATAGTTTTCATTTTAGCATAATCGTCATATTATCTCTCATAGATGATAGAGCTCTGCATGAGTGCAGTCGAAATTTGAGTTTCTTGAATGAAACGTAAAGAGTATCCTACATTTTCCTACAAATTATTTCCAAGTGCTTTCAAATATTTTCTCTTCATTAATTTACATCGAACTGGCTAATAAGTTTGATTGGGCTCGGGGATAAGGGTACTCATGCAGGGCTCTTTTGTTAGTATATTTGTAAATCATAAATTTAATAGACAACCAGAAAGAAAATTGAAATCTAGTGTTAAAAGCATTATTTAACATTAATAATTAGACTTAAAGAAAAATTAGTACATTTTTAATGAACGGTCAACTTATATGAAACGAAACTGATAAGATTATGAAAAATGCCTAACAACCAATTGTAATACATATCTTGCAACAAAAAGGTTTTCGGCAACATAAAGTATGATCCGGATACTCAACTGAATCGCCACAATAACTTTCAATCGTTCTCTGGAGGAATCATGCTGCTTTTTCGGTAAACCAAGAAAATACTTGTAGTTATATCCTTAGTGATTGTAAAAGATGGCACTAACAGACATCCATAACTACATACATACCTAATCGTACATCAACTGTTGAAGAGTGTTTTGCAATTTTCATAAATTGTGGACCTATACCATATAGGGGTCCATCATCTTGCAGGCGGGTTGAGAAGTCAGTAACAAATGTAAAATATTGCATTTTTTATTGGCTAATGATGCCGTATCTGTCTTAAGTTAGTTGAAATAATTTTGAATACATTATATAGAATACTTATACATATATAATCGTACATACTCGTACAATATAGTTCGTTCTCACACTAGAATTAACATTTGAATATTTGCATACAGTTTCTGAAAGTGCGCTTATATGCTTCAAGTATTTGTGCGATGTACAAGTTATAGAGTTTTGGTGTTGCTTTTGAGAATTGTAAGTTCTTCATATATATTTATAAAACTATTTAACTTATGTATGTATGTAAGTAGTTGCGAGTTGTTCTGTATACGTATTAACTGAAGCAAGTACGTATTTGTAAAATTTTGCTGATAATTATAGTTGGGTTCGATTGGGTTACCTTTGAATTCATGAATGTAGTTAGTTGATATTGATGCCGATTCTGGATTCGTGCAACACTGCATGATCGGGAATGTGCGCAAGTGTGACCCCAATGAACAATTTCCTGTTATCGGTTATCGGTCGGTTGAGGTGTTCTCTGTTGCGTATTATTACTATGTACTCGTATATGTATGGAGAATGCAATAAATACATTATGTACTCGTATGCACCATCTCATGAACATTGCAAATACTTACGTGTTTAAAAGAAAAACAAAAATATATATAAAACACACACAAATGTATTATACAAAACATAAGTACTGACATACTCGTACATGGAAAATATCTAAAGAGATCATACAATTTGATGAATATAATTTTGAAACACGTGGTATCTATTTGAAATCATTTAGCTTGCGCCCCCAATTCTGTATTAAAGTACTTATTTATTTCCCCTTCCCCCTATATAAGAGTGCTCACCAATTATAATGACACTAGTTGTTTTAGAACTTGTTTGTAAAAGCTTAATTACTATTAACATTCCACAATTTATTATAGATATGTTAAGTACTTATGGCGGATGTCTATTACGAAGCTATGATTAAGATCGTGTTGATTTATTTTCGCTTAAACTCATTTCTGAAGCTGTATTTAGATTTGTATAATGATTTTCACCAGGCAAACTAATATACTATATATATCGTATATATGCAACTATCTAATTTACTTACCTAATTTAACAAATAATGCAGTCCTACGATTTAAGCTCCTCATCGCATAACCTTTCGAACAACTCTTATGCAGATCAGATCAAAAAAGATTGCATTTCCACTCAAAATCTTTTTTTTCTTTTTTTTAATTCTGAAATGAATAACTAATAGGTATTTGATTTTAGGTATGTACAAAAGTGTTAGCAGTCCCACCGATTTGTCATATTTGAATAATCTAAGCTAGTTCTTAACATCAGTCGAATGACATTAATCCCTTGAATATTGGTGTAGGGGAAGAAGTAAAAACAAATATTATTAAAAAAAAATGTGTGAAGCTTATTTGTTAAATGACGTATTAATAACCAAATAATTTAACGATATTTGAAATGTGCATAGGTGTTTGGAAATATCAAACTAGGTACACAGGAAAATACCATAACTAGGCACAACAACTTCCAATCATTTGAACAAGGCGTCATGTTGCTATTCAGGTATGTAAATCCTTAACTTGTTTGCGTGAAACGCATTGAGTTAAGAAAACATTGCACTAACAAGTCTAATAATACTCAACAAATTAAGTTAGCAATTAAATATTTAAATCAATCAACTAGCATAGAATTACTAAATTAGCGTTCCATTCGAAACTATAGTTTATTACCTAGCCCAGATATGGGGGTGTGAAAAAGAATTTGCATCTATAATTCTTTTAATCAATCACACCCAATTGAGTCACGATGGACCCAATTCGTTCGGATAGAAGTTTATCAACCTAATACTAGTTCAGATTGATTTTTAATTACACCGCTGTCTCAATAATTAGCAAACTAACTGTGCCTTCAATTTATAGATCAATCATAGTTTGTAGTAAGCATTTCTTGCAGCGATACGAATCTAGAAACGAGTTAAATAATATTCAATTTTCGGCGTGCCGAACATCTTCCCATACCCTTGCAAACATTTTGAAAACAATTTTGCATCTCAATTGGAGAAATCGTCCGATCAATCGAAACCAGAAGTAGAGTCGGTTTTCTAAATCTGATCAGTCCCCTAGTCTCTTTATGCAGATGTTCAAAAATTGTTTGCAGAGGTACATATATAGATATACTTAGAATAGTTAGATCTATTTAATGGATTACTATTAGGCCTTAGGACTCGGCTATATGAGATCTATAGTATTGCAATAGGTCAACGGAACAATAAACTAACTATACATACATATTATATACACCTATTTTTTGTTGTAGGTTACTTAATTTGGTCTTAGCATAACCATAAATAGTCTTACTATCGTAAACAACTGTAGAGCGCACTATTCTCAAATCCACAAGCAATGGGATATTTGAAGAAGGAAGCAAAAGAAACTCTCTAATAATTACTCCAGACATTGTTATTGTTATTATTTTGAAAATTGAAATTATAGCATAATTAAGAATGAGAAATGCGGCGAACAAGTTTTAAAGGAGATGGACGCAGAAGAGCACATACCGCAGAGTTCCCATTGTATTTAACATATTTGTATTAACCAAATAAAATTGTTACACACTATTAATTGTTTAATTTTTTAGCATTTAGAAGAACCTACATACACACTCAATAGATTTTTCGTCTCCACAATCATGCGATAAAATTTCAAAATTGCGGCAGGTGTAGAGTTCTTCAACTAATTCGGCAATACATTCATTGCTTTATAAATTGATTTCCTGTGTATGTAGCCTTAGAGTTATCATTAGATCGGACAACTGAAAAATACAACTACATACTCGTACATATCCGTAGAGATGACGTTTGAGCAGCGCTTGAGTTAAAAAAGTTTGCACTTTTATTGTTCGAATTAACGGTTTCGATTGAACTAAGCAATTAATTGCCATTGTTTTCGTTTGTTCGTTTGTTTGTTTGGGTTTTCATTTAAATATAAGTAAGTATTCATTCATGCTAGTTGTTAAATGATCCAAGTAGGTCTATAGTACCATGCCCAAAGATGTATAAAACCTAATTAGATTTACTATTTCGACTTACTTGCAATTGTTTCTAATGAAATTTATACTTTTGCGTCAATGCCAATTATTCAATTTATTTGCGTGTATTGTTCCACTTGAATTGGTTGACAAGTTTCACTTTCGGTTTATTGTTTTCATATATAAGTATATATATATATATACATATTTATTTAGAAATTGATATTAGGCCGATTATACCTATATAGTCAACTAGTACATAGGAAGCTGGTAGAAATACCAGAGGCCAGATGCCAGTAAACTAGAAAGCTAACTAAAGAACATTTCAAACAGACTTGACAAAAGTACTATAGTATTGGAGTATGGCTTGGCTTAGGCAGTTATTGGACTAGTAGAATATGTCCGCGATATCCCTAATGTACTCGTATTGTGTATCTAACTAAAAGGGATATGTATGTACTACATTAAAACCTAGACTCGTTCTGCAGAAAATCAGTGTAAGACATAGTCGTATATACATATATATCTATCATATATATATCTATCTATCTATCTATAACGAATAGAGATTTGAGTTAGTTAGATAGTTAGATAAACAATTATATTCATGTGCCCATCTATATATAGATATTTATGCGTATGGAATACATATAGACCAGAACATATACGAGGTACATACAAGTATATAAATGAAAAATATTTTTTCTCTGAGCTTACTCGTATATGTATGTAATGTAGAATTCGAATATGTATGTATGTAGCCGATGCGTATCAGTCTTAGACAAAATGCAAAAATGAGTCCATATGTATTCCATTCAAAAATCGAACCAAGCTACCAACACACACACACATACACACACAGACAGACGTACATATAGCTATAATTGAATTACGTATTTTGGTTAGATATGTATTTGTAAATACATGAACATCAATCTAGTGCTATTACTCAATCGCACACACACACACTAAGAAACACACACACACACACACAAATATATATATATAGTGTATACAATATATCTATTTCACAATTATACTATTACTATTTATACTTTATTGAGTAACTGTACTGTCATTTCGGATTCATAGCTCCATAATCTAACATTTAGTGTAAATTGACAAACACACAGACAACCACACACAGACACACACACACACACACACACATACTCATCGAATTGCTTAGAACAACAACCAATTGATTTCTGTTATTGTTTCCATTGATGACCTTCCCATCCCCAAGATGTGCAACGGGCGAGGCGTGGCCGAACATTATGCAGGCGTGCCTCAAGGGGAAACCATGTGATGAAGATGCCCAGAAGGGCCACGAAACGTGCGGTTCAACGTTGGCTTACGCCTATTTCGTATCGTTTATATTCTTTTGTTCATTTCTCATGTTAAATCTGTTCGTGGCCGTCATCATGGATAATTTCGATTATTTGACGAGGGACTCCAGTATATTGGGTGCTCATCACTTAGACGAATTCGTGCGCATATGGGCGGAATATGATCCAAATGCGACGTAATTATCAGTTTAATATATAAAATCTATAAATTTCTATTTTTACGTTCACAAATTCCAAATTATACCAAAACCTATGTTTTCCAATTTAATTTGATTACGATATCATTTCGATTGTGTCCTTAACAAGGACAAGCCAAAGACACCAAAGACGTACGGCCCCTCAAACCGATTGAGGTGGCCCGACACATACAGTCTTTACGTATATAATACACACAATATACTTATATTAAACGATTATTATTCGTTCGTATTTGTCTCATATAAAAAGAGTTGATTCAATTATTCGTTCCTACACTCTCAACGATGGGAGCGAGATCTCTGTCTGTTTGATTGATATAATGTACTATACTTTACTTTAGTTTATTTACTTTCATTTTTAGAAACTATTTCTTTCGTTCCATACAAGTCACGAGGCTGCCCGCCAAAGAATAGACTCCAGATTGTGACTAACTTCTTCGAAATCTGTTTCAAAACGGCTGTGCTCTAAAAAATAATTAAATTGCAAGCAATCTATGATGTCCGCTGTATTTGATTTAATCGTCATCGAATTTTAAAAAAAAATTTAAATTCAATTAATTCTAAATCAATGGTTGGTTGCCATTGAAAAGTTGTGTAATATTTCTGTAACAATCGAATTGCTTTGTTCTGTTGTAACATTCCCAAATAACTGGGAAATATGGCATAAAAGAGCGTTGCAGAAACAACAAACGACTGTCATCTGGATAGCCCGAAAAATAATTCCAATGGTTACATAAAGCCTTTGCGCCTTGTGATTTGTACATTTGGAATTTCTTCGGCAATGCCGTTGGTAGCTTAGTGTTTTATTCGTTGTTCTTAAAAGTACTTACTACTTGCTGTTGTTTTTATTGTTATTATTATTGTTATTGTTGTTGTCGTTGTTGTTGATAATACTGAAAAAGAGTCTTTGGTTCTGATCCTGTAAAATGTTTGTTAAATTTTGCAATTGATATAATAGTGGTAGAATTCATTACACGGAAATGTATGATATGCTGAAAAACATGGATCCTCCGCTGGGGTTCGGTAACAAGTGTCCCAATCGTCTCGCCTACAAGAAACTAATTCGCATGAATATGCCATTGGACGATGAATTGAGAGTCCAATTCACCACAACGTTGTTCGCTTTAATTCGGGAGAATTTAAGCATTAAAATGAGAGCGCGTAAGTTGTTGTTGATGATGGAATGTGAATATGCATTATTAACGTATACGTTTACTTCCCTCCACCCCCACCACCCAAAACCATGCCCGATCCGTATAGCTGAAGAGATGGATCAGGCGGATATGGAGCTCAGGGAAACCATCACAAACATTTGGCCTCTGCAGGCGAAGAAGATGTTGAACTTGCTTGTACCGCCAATTGATCAGTTGAACAAGGGAAAGCTGTCTGTTGGTAAAATCTATGCAGGTTTTCTTATTTTGGAGTCCTGGCGGAATACCAGATTTGGCCAGATTGATTCTGGCATGCCGGTAAGTTTGCAAACGTCTTTTCTTTTCCATTTTTTGCGCCTAATTTCTAGTTGAATTTTAATTTCCAAGAGCCTTAAAATAAGCCTTTGATTTGATTTACGAAGATAGGGCAAATTGTTGTAGCATTTACAAACTACATACTATATACTTGTATGTAGTATACCCGTTGTCCTTGGACAATGGACTATGTAGATGCACCAGCATTGTCTGGAAATGTCAGAGTATAGCAGTTAACAAATAGCAAGTGCCAAACGCGTTACATTTGAATCAATTGGAAACATATGTAATATCTCCCAGAGATATGCATATCTAGAGATACTGATACCATGAATAGGCAACACATACTACTAAGTGATATTCAATTTTTTTGTTCGATCAAATCAAATACTATATATTTGCTCACATGTGCACCGTTGCCGCTTCAAATTGTGAAAACTTTCGTTTCAAAACTCTGTGCTGTCTATAAAACTTTGTGTGTGTGTGTGTGTTCTAAAAATTATATCTATCTATCAGTTGAATACTACGTACATATGCACACACCTATACTCGTACTCGTACTCGTACTGTATGTAAATAATGTACCTATCAAATAAATTTAATCAAGGATTTCAAAGCACACACCGATTTACTAAAATCAATTTGTTTTAGGCAAAGACTCAAAAAAAAAAAAAAACATATTTCAATATTCCGATATATATCGGCTTGGATTGGATCTTTCTAAAAGTGGCTTCTATTTAATTGCAAAACAAACAAAAAGAAAACATTTACAACAAAATTACAAAATTGTTCTCAAGTATAGATAGTTTTAAAACAATTTATATATGTATAGATTCCAATCCAATCCACCCCGAATAACTTAATACATAATAATATGTATGTAACCATGTCGACTTTATAAAATAAATGTGTACTGTTATGATTTCTCTTCTCACATATGTTTAACTATGAACTCTCATTTAATAAACAAACAATAAACAAATATACTACAAAAAAAAAAAAACAAAACAAAAAACAAAAATGATACAATTAACTTAAAATGCAGAATTGGAAGGAGGTATATAATTGATTTATATGCAACCTCATGTTTAACACATTTGTATATATGTTGGTCACATATGTATGTGGTACAGATATACTTCCATACATACATACAAATATATATATATATATTTTTTTATACATATATTGCATACCACCTACTATGTTTGTTTTTCGTGAACTAAATACACATATATAGAATACATACATATATATATATATATATACTCTGCACGTACACGGCGTATCAGAAAGGATCGCAGGGTTCATGGATCTTACGAATCTGGGATCGTCAGTGTATCGTTGTAGTATGTGGTTGGTCATGGGGGTACGCATCCATCTAGAGACTCGCAATAGGAGCGATCTCAGCGATCGACCCAGTTTCACAATCAGGCATCACAATTGAGGCAACAAGTTCTACTTCATAGACAAAAATTCCAAATCTTTAGTGATTCGAATGAGTCCGAAATGGTGTGTGCTCTGTGCCCAACCCTCTAAGATATGTATATGTATATATATAAATATGTGTATATGTGTTATGTTTTATATTTGTAACTAAGCAAACAATAAATATTTACAACTAGTAGACAAGTACGTACATACATATATATATATATCGGTAGTATTGAAGAGTTCATACTTGATTCTTTAACAACTGAATTTGGAGATTGTGCAATATTTTGAATGTTTATTATTAACTTAGGTCGAAGAAGTAGAATCGAAAAAACCGAATGTGTAATATTGTTAAGCAAAATATTAATATAACTACTTAGTTATAGTGCTATGATTAAAGACATACTCGTACATACATACTACTAACTACTTATACTCGTTCGTATATACATCAAATCTGGCACAGTATTAAAGTTCAATTGTCTGATGATGACATCAACCTGTATGTCAGTTGTTTAAGGAATCCCTTGTAGAATTTGTTTTTAATGCCAGGGGTCCATGCATTTTCGTGTTTCCACATCTAAACAAAAGAGATTCTCTCCATCGGCATTAAGAAATTGGCCCTTGTAAAATGCATGGCCCTCAATGTTGATAAAGAATCATATACATAGTATACACATTTATTTAAACCAATTCGTGTTATTGAAGAAGAAGATGATGATGATAAAAAAAAAAAACATAGTAACGTAACTAAACTAAACTCAACTCAACTCAACTCAATTCAAATCAAATACATTATTTTATTCTTGTTACTGCACTGACAAACGTTTTGTAACTGACACGGACCATATATTGCTACACTCAACTATTAATACTCGTATAACCGAAATTGAATATTGACTCACAATCACAACCACAACCACAACCAATCCATAATTGGAAATGGGCAAATGGTAGAGGAAGAAACCCGAAGATGACGATGACCCCACTAAGTATAGTCCGACGGCAGATGAGGAGCCGGTATATAATATATTTACATATAACTTTCGCTTGCTTTTGCTATGCCTTTTTTGAGCTCCTCTTTCACAATTTTGCCCTTTAAAGTCTGCAAGCATCTACCACAATCGGCTAGAGGCATGTGTACATACTCGCATAAGAAATGTGCATATGTAAGAAACCGCAAACCAAAACGATCAATTTTCAATAGACACCTTACATACTTACTCGTATATACAACCTAACTACTACTACTTACATATGTACTTACAATACTATATACTCGTATGTACTTGCAACGCCATGGTCCAGTTTTAGTTCACGGTTTTGCTTAACACAACCAAACCAAACCTAACTAAACCACACAACCACAAAACACGATTGGCCAGCTAAGATTGAAGAATTTAGTACCCGACTACCACCTGATCGAATGATTCAAAGGTGTCTCGGGTATTCACGCACCTAGTATGCGCATGCATACATCTACTACTATTTTAAATATATAATCTCTTTTTTTTCTTGTGTGTGTGTGTAATTAACCCACTGTAAATGATATATATATATATTCATATATATATATAGTACATACATAGCTGCTGCATAGGACAATAGAACGTGCTTGACTAATACTACACAGCTGAACAAAACATTCCACACAACCAAGTCCAAGTGCCAAACAAATAAATATACATAGTTCCCTCTCCGAGCATACAAATGTGTACAAAGGCTTCTAGTCCCCACCCAAAAGAAAACACTAGAGATGGGCGCCAAATTATGAATGAAAATAAATGTTGATTCCCATTGATCAAAACTGAGATAAAAACTCTAGAGGAATGCCAGGAGCTAACTCAAAGGAGTCTAATCCATGAAATACTTGTACAATTGAGTGCGAGCTGCGCAAAATTCTTCAACTGCCATGATTTAAATACACAATTCGTGTCACAAAGTCATATCAAAATATAGTAAGTAGGTATTGGAATTGAAGTGCGCTCATCTCTAGGAAACAAAGAAAATGCAATGCAAATATAATTCAAGAAACCTAATACCCCTTCGAGCTTTCTCAATACATTGTAAGTGTATGTATTTCCCGGCCAGTGTATTCAGAATATCATTACATTTCGAAAACACTTTTTTATGTGATCTGAAGTTATTAAGTGCCTTCAAAAATGTATGTATGTATATTTTACAAGATTCAATTCGGACGGGACTGAGCAGAATTTGCAAGTAGTTGTGTGTTCGCTGAAAATATATATAGTACATATAGTATAGCAGATTCAGGTTACCATTTATCTCTGCATGAGATGTTTGAAACTGTGGAAAGACTATGACAATGAAAGGTATGGGAACGCACATAAATTTAAATATTTTGTTTGCGACTAAGAACTAAATATATTGGCTGAAACGTTTTGACGAATCGAAAACAGAAAGAAATTCCAAATATACTCGTATGTATGTTTTGTTTGAAGTTTTTAATTGCCATTTTCTAAAATATTTCTAAAAATATAGCATTTATGCATACAATCTTTAGATAGTGCACTATAGTCTAATCGCAATTTTGCACCCCTATAACATACACATTTTGAATAATTGAGAATTTCATAAATATTTGCAATGAGAGATTTGTATGGCAAATAATTGTACACATATACGTACACAGAGACACAGAGACACACAAACCACACAATACTCTGCAAAACCTATGAATAGAAATATTATACTCGTATTATCGCCATAAACAATAGATAACAGATAAACGAAATAAAGAATATAAACTGAAAAGCGTGTAATGCAACGTAAAATGATTGTAAACTACACAGGCAAATGTCCTATATTTAAACTTATTATTTAGTTCTCAATATGCCGTTGAGTTCCCTATACCACTTAGTGCTGGAAGGCATGCCAAAGATTGTATTCTCATACATACATATCTATACGTATAGTACATGCATACATACATACTATATATATAAGTTAGGCATAAATTGCAAATACTTACTACTGACCTAAATAATAAATGGAATCGAAAGCATGCAATATAAAACAAGTGCAGATGCAATTTAAAACTACTTAGTAACGAATTTGATCTTTCAGTTGAACACCTTCAGTTTTTAGTAATACTATAGATATATGCCATATATACATAAATACATACATACATACAAACATACTCTTTCATTGCTCCCGCCGAATCAAAAGACAATAATCAATCAAATCAATCAAACAAAACAAAAAAAGCAAAAAAAGGAAAAAAAACCAAAAACAAGCAAGAAGAACAAAAAACAAAAGAAAACGACAAATTATCAATTCAAATCACTTACTACTGCGTCCACCTTTTCTACAATTTGGCACACACACTAATTCTCATATGTAATAGAGGTACTATGTACTTAGATTTTCTTCAAAACCTAGTGAGTTGTACAAATGTTTGCGCATGTTTTTTTTGACCATATCAACCAAACTCTCTTTTAAGCAATTTATAATTGATAATGCAAGAGCATATATACATACTATATACTCGTACTTACTTACTACTACTTACTACATATCTCGACACATTAAAACCGCATAGAGCTTTCACATCTCTAAATGCTATACTACTCTACATACATATGTATAACGGAACTATTTAAGCAGAGAACGCTATTTTGCCCTTATCTTATACAAGTATTAATACACACGTATATACATATATAGTATACTTATATATGCAGCTATATATACATACATATGATGCTGTATATACATTATACATACTATACTATATATATACATTTAACACCTATACTATATACAATATATACAGTATTATAATTCTTCTTTTGACTTTTGTGTTCTGTAAACTATTACATCTTCAATTACTCTATAATAATTCTTACATTCCATTTTTAATGCTTATGAAAATATCTCTATAAAAAAACCAAAAACCAAAAACATAAAAAACCAAACAAAACAAAAATACAAAATCCTAATGCGTTGCAATATGTTACCATAATTATCAAATACTCACCACTCACCAAACTTGAACTACAACTTCTATCAACAACAACAACAACAACAATAACAACGTTTGAAATCTGCATCACAACAACTAATACAAATACATTTGTGAAATATATACATATATATTTAACAAAAATAAATATATATATATCAAAACGAAAAATCAAAATCCACACCGAAATCCAATTCATTCAAAAAATATTTTGCAAATGATTGAAACAAAAACGAACCAACGGCAACGTTTAATTAAACCTGCACCAACCACTGCAAATTCAAATCAAATCAATCCAAATCGTATCTGCATAATGCCGAAATCGAATCGAACCGAACCGAACCCGAAATAGAAACAATCATTCTTTAATTGCCTGCTTGATATGGCCGCCCTTGACAAAGGAGGATCGCGACAGGGCTCCATAAGTTTCGAGCCGAATGGGGAAGGAGCTGCCAACTCACAAACACATTTGTTAGCGAGCATGCATCACGCAAACGGTGATGCCGAACACAACAGTTTGGCAACACTAGCACGTCGGAGTACGATCAGAAAGCGATCAGTTAGGTAATTTAAAAAGTTTCATTTTAAACATTTAAAGTGCAAAGTATTGCCAACGTCATTATTAATATAACACCTTCAATTAACGAACTCTAACATCAACATCAACACCATTATCATCATCATCATCATCATCGTTATCAGCATTACAACCAACATCATCATCATCATCATTCTCATTAATTCAACAGCATCGATACGCATCAATCAGAGTGTAGGGGCACATTAATCATTTGAGTAGTACTTTACACGCATTTGATAGAAGCGTAGACACTGCTCTCGATTTTGCTCTCAAATTTGCTAATTTGGAACCATACCTAGGTCCCTTCCGATACCTAACCGATTTTATCTTTGCAAAGTGACATACAAAGTCTGAAAAAAGTAAAATTCATTTACTACAGCGATGTTTACTATATATAGAATATTGTCGCAATTGAAACCAAAATGTGTTTCCAAAGATTGTTGCAAAACTTTGAAATCTTCATAACAATTTAATCACGTTCTTAGAGAACATCAATCCGATATAAAATTAGTCTATAATTTCAAAACTTTGATTTCATAAGACTGGAGAATATCCCGTTTTATAAGACCATTTCATTTGGTTAAAAAAAAAAACCTGGATCACACTACACTTTTGATAGGATTGGCTATCGATGTCAAATATAACGCTGGGGGACTCACTAAAATGTTTTCGAGTCATTTCAAAATCCAGAATAACATTTTCTGACGTATTGGTAGGCACAGTGCTGTCTTAAGTGAAAAGGATAACGAAACATAAACATACATATTAATGCATGCATACACGTTCATAAGCGTCGCACTCAAAAATGCTTTTTATATCTAAAAAGGGTATTCAATCCACTGTATGGAAGAGAATAATTGAAATCAATTAAAACGTTGTCAAACCCACCTCTAATACTTTGTGAAGCAATGCTAGTACTGCTGATTATCGCAGTGGTTGAATAACTTTTGAGGTTATAAGACTAGTTTTTGAATGACGAAACACTCATTTAATCGAATGTGTACATACTCGTATGTACCATTGCTCATACATATGAATGAATGCATTTATTTGTACATACGAATACAGACATACAACATACACATTCAATATATATATGGGTATGGGTCTTTGACGTTTTTCGACTTGAGTTTTCTCTCTCTCTCTCTCCTTCTTCTCTCTCTATATATAAATATATATACTATATATCACAACCACTAAGAAAATTTGTGCTTTGTACATTTGAGTAAATTGCTTTTTTCTAATTTTTAAATAATTTCAGAAACAAAAAGGTGAATAAGTTTGATAAACTCCAAGCGGTAAACCAAGCAAAAATTATCGAAATTTTACTAAAAAAACAAAAAAACCAAAAACAAAACAAAAACCAAAAACAAAACATCAATAATTGTATCTTATATATGAATATATGTGAATACTTTTTGTGTCCATAATCCGTTTCCGATATAAATGTTGTTCACAAAGCAATTAAGTCGAAGTAAAAACACTAGTACCTTTAAATACATACTCGTACTCACTCATACGTACTCGTATACTATATGTGTACTATACGCATATGTATGCAAGCGCACATCTACAAGCATACATACATGTGTGTTTGTTTGTGTGTGGTAGAGTGTGCGTCTGCATAGATATGCGTACAGCTATTTATATTTTAAGTCTTCAATTTACGTTTACTCAACTAGTACATACTTACATAATCGTACATATATGTTGCATAGTCATTTTGATAAGTTTAGATAATACTCGTACGCCAATCTTCGCTTAGTACTCTATGTTGTAATTGATTTGATCGTTGTTGATCATATGGCACATGTACGCGAGCGTGGGGTTCTTGGGCCACAGATTTCGCAGAGTGTCCCTCAAAGTACTTAGTACTGTACTAACTGTACTTACACTGTAAAGCACAGCGATGTCCCATTCATCGTGTTGTTGCATGAGAGAAATACCATGCATGCATGCATACATACATACATACATACAGGAATGCGTCCCCCCCTTCCCCGATTATCGGCAACACCAAAATTTCCAAATGACAATTTGCACTCCCCCTCCACCCCAGGCTTTTGATGGCATTGATTGTGTTAACTCGTATGTATAGTATGTGTGCCTGTCAGTGTTGCTTAACAAGAAAAAACAAAACGAAATGATTGAGGGCACAATTGTTGTTCGACCTTTTCCAACACTGAGCGCGTGAGCCAAACCAAGCTTTGAGACGCCCATGCGAACTCTGTTTTAAAACCAAACTAAAGCTGGCTATCATACAGACATATATGAAAATATTGATGTGCCCAAGTACTTGGCAAGCGTATAATGTGTCCATATAACAGTTGTATCTTTCTGAATTCCTGAACTTTACACCATATAATTCGCAAAGCTATTCGTTGAAGCGATTAGTGGTAATACGTATTTACATAGTGGACTACCAAAGCTGACATATTTTGTTGTATTTGTATTGTTGTTCACTTTGTGTAGGAAAATTGGGTTTGGTCGACAGCCGGGGTTCTTAGATCATAAGATTATTGAGTTTTAGGGTTTGTATAGTTGGCGCGCCTTCACCAGAAATTGAATTGATGGATAACAACATTAGCTTTATTCGACTCATGAGCAGCATCTTCTCTGCTTTTAAAAGCATTATGCAGTTTTTAATTAACTTATTCAGTCCCAATTAGACTGGAATGGACAAAGATATAGTGAATAGATAAGACATACTTTCAACAAATATAGGCATCTCCAAACCTAATCAATTGTATTAAATGTTTAGTTTTGCATTTCTTTTTTTTATATGAAGCCTTTCCCAGGCTTTAATCGATAACCAATTCTATTTCTCGATATATTGTCGGAGCAACAATAAGAGTGCTAGAAAGTGTTCATTGAGCTTAATCATGGGGATGCCTCAGTTCTTATAAGTACTTGGAGATGATTGGCAGAAGCAGAGTCGTACCGAGTTTTAGAAAATATTTAATGCTCTCTCCATACGTGGACTTCCAGAGATTCTGGTGAACGGCGCGTTCATTGATTTTTGTTTTTTTTCTGTTTTTTTTTTTTTTGTAATAAACTTCCATTATAATCAATATTAGATATTTTGAGTAGAAAATACATATGCACTTAGAAGTTATTTTTGGGACTTAAACTAGTGGAAGTTGGCGCTCCTGGGAGTCTTAGCAACACAATTATTTGTACATAAAAGACTTGAAGTCTTGTGTACGCCGGTTCGAAGCTCGGAAACAATATACTTACGAGTAAAAATTGTCTTGATAATTTAATTGATTAATTTCATATACTTGTACACTCGTAGTACTTTTTGCGGGCAAGTTGTTGGGGTCCATTTTAATTTTCTGAAACTATTGAAGATCTCGGTTTTAAGGTGTGGTAAGTAATGAAGCGTCATCATACGGTAATGGTGCAAGTAATTATAACCGTTGGCCGTCGAAATGGAAATGGAACCAAGCCACTCAGTTGCACTCAACCACACAAATACCTGTACATACCTATTAACCTATGTATATATGTTTATTGTAACTTTCTGTATTGGGTAGTTAAGTCACGTTACTGCATGCGCTTAAGCCTTAAATAATAATCGTAATGCTTCGCCCATATCTCGACGGCTTCGCTTCTCAATCTGCTTAAGCTTCACTTTAGATACAATGTAGAACTTTCGCAATCGTATTCGTATGTTTTGTAGTCGCTTTAGATATTTATCGCTTGAAACTGTAATGAGACTGTAAACCATACTGTGTAGTACTTAACGGAATGCTTTTGACTGTCTTAGCTAATCTCCCAACACAACGAGCTTACTTTGTTTGACTTTGGTTTGTTTTTGTTGTTGTGGTATAATTTAGCTTATAATTTTGATATTATTTTGTGGAAAACCATATTTACTTGGTTTCACGTAAATATAGGACAATAATTAACTACAACAATGTAGATGAAATTGGGTATTCAATAATTGGCCGATAAAAAAAGAATGAAAGAAAGAACGAAAAGAAATATATAGAATACAAAAAACCACACCACATGACAAGAAAAACAACAATAAAATGATAAATAGAATGGAAAAATAGTAAATGAACCAAAAGAAACCGATAACGAAAGCCTTAAATACTCGAGAGGTGTTCAAAATATATACATATTTACTCCTAAGTAGTGTATGAAATTGTTTAAATGTTACACGCCCTAATATACTACATAGGTTATCCTGCATTTGAGAACCTTTCAATACTTCAATATAGTGCAATTAAAACCGCATTTGAATATGTATTTTGTTGCAGTGAAGTAATATTTGTTTTTCATTTACAATATATATATATATATATATATAACCCTTTATAACACTCGTACGTACACAAAATAAGTATATATATATACATATATATATAACAGTGTTATATATATATTTCTTTTGTAGCTTTTCAATAAATATGTACTTATTACCTTCGCTCCCCTACATAAGGAGCATAGGAAACATTTGTAGCTTTTATTGTATACAAAAAAAAAAAAAACAAATTAAAAAATCAAGCAGAATATAGAAAAGATTACAAAAAAAACCACAAAAAAAAAAATGAATGAAACCATGAGAAATCGACCAGCAGCCCAAAAATTTAGATAATTAGCATATCAAAGCACGATGACGAAGCCTAAAAAAGTGATAATAAATATTGGCAGAGTGACACGAAGATGTTGTGTTCTTCATTCAGATAATTGGTTGATTTCAAGTGACATCATTCATTGTTTAGACGACCCGCTTAACTATTTCAGTTGTGTAATCTCTTAACTAGATGCTGGAACTACAGGATGCGTCGAGACATCCATCACAGGAATCGTTGACTGGTGCCGATGCTGGCCATTTACATCCTGGACATTCGTACATGAATGGCCATCGGCATTCGCCTAGTTTGAGGTTCGTATATCCATCTGATTCATATTGAATATCGAGCATATATACATATATACATATAACTTTAACTGTTATTGTATTCTTTTTTCTCTGTAGGCACAACGGTTCTCCTCTGGCCAGATCTCCAAGTCCACGACGGCGCGGCCATCAATACATACATCATGATATCGGATTCTCCGATACCGTATCTAATGTTGTAGAGATGGTTAAGGAGACCCGTCATCCTAGGCATGGCAACAGCCATCCGCGGTATCCAAGAGGTATTTAACAAATTCTTATACATAGTAGTCAGTCCACCCAAACAATGCTTTCACATGTATGTATTGAATGTAACAAAGCGGCAAGAGCTAATGCTCTCATAGATCAGTACTAATATATATATACAAGTATATACTATATCTGGTATATAGTACAAGGCAACAAAGGCAGCAATGGGCGTGCCGCTGCTTTTAAATAAAACTTAGTCGTTTGAGCCGATCTTGAAGCGTTTGTTGACAGCGAAGGGCTCTGTGCCGGTGATTTCGACTCATGCAGAGCTTCGGAATCTAGCTGACAAATAGATCGATGGATCCATTCAAAGTGTTTATAAATAATGCATTTTTTGGTTTCGTTAAATTATGATGCATACATTGCGATTCGGTTTCACCGAAGTTTAATACATTTTGTAGTGTCATAGTGATAAATATACATACATACATATAAATATAAATATATATATATATGTCTAGTAAAAACAATTTATTTACCATTTAATCGATTTTCGATTTTCTTTATTAAAACAAGAATAAACAAGAACAATAAAAACAACCAACAAACCAATTGCAATTAAAATACACAATTTATACAATATACTACGTAAACTGTTGTGCCCCGACATCCTTAATTATTACGAATTTTTTTATTATTGTTGTTATATGTACAATATAGGTTCATGGTCAGCATCGACAAGTCCGGCCCGTTCGCCTTCGCCTTCTCGTTATGGTGGTCATTTGTCTCGCAGTAAACGCACTCAACTGCCTTATCCCACATATGGGACAACAAGTCTATGTCAAAGATCACGATCGCCGAGTCCCGCTCGACTTCAGGAGATGCGTGAACGAGATAGACTTGGTTATGGGATTGATATGGGTACATCTTCATCTGCTGAAAAATGTCAATTACAAATGTTTTATACATGCTAGTACTTTCTTCTACACTAATTTCTTCAAACATTCCTACTTTAACAAACAAACAAACAAAACAAAACAAAAAAAAAAATAATACAAAACAAAACAAAACAACAAATATTATTAATACATCAGTACATCTCAGATCAGAACATTTGCTTACTCGTATTCGTATTCGTACTCGTACTCGTACATACTATAGTTGCCAACATGCTTAACATGTACATTGTATTGTCATTTTTTTGACGTTCAATCTCATCAGTTTTCAATATTCAATATTCAATATTCAAACAGGTCTCTATACTTACAACTTACTATCGTACTCGTACATTCACACCCACTGCTCTCACAATCAGTATTTATTGTGGGCATCTCACATTGAACAGTTAATCAAATATTTAGCAGCGCATTCATTTCACATCTACTATATAGTTCCTACTTATATACTATACACCATACTCGTACTCGTATATATTCATACATATAGTATGTATGTACTAATCGTATGTACCAACAATCATCATCATCATGCATACAAAATCGGGCAAAGTGATTTGTTAATAACTAGCACGGTCCAACTTAACGAACTACATATACAAGTATAGTATGGATATAGCAGGCGACTACTATACGAACCAATAGAGACTTTTGAAATACACCCAGGGAAATATACATATTGAACTTTTTATTTGATTCAATACGGTGTATCACAAAAACCGATTCACAAAAATGATTTTGTGATCATTTTGTCTAGCATTCAATGGCTTTCAAAGGACTCAACGACTTTTACTAAATCATTCAAATATATTAAATATTTCCTCAAAATTCTAACCGGTTAGCCATTGCAGTGATTTAATGATGATAATGATATTTAGTTTTTTGACAGCCCCTTAAAATTTGAAACACTCGTTATCGTGACACCCATTGCAAATGTCATTCAGCTTTTATTTTTGTGATACACCGAATCTATACATTGACATATATTTTTATTTGACACAATGTTATTTATTTCAATAACAAATCTCCTTGAGGACCCAGAAATAAATTGACTCACGCACGGCTCTAATATGAACTGTGTAAAGTACCGCTAACATTTGTAAGCCCTCTCCACTTACCTTCCACTGACCAAGGATCTATGTGCATAGCTTTTTATTAATTGGTTTATTATCATGTTATGGTACTCGTACTCATTTGGCTATGCAATTTATGTTCTACAAGTACTATATAGTATATACATACTTGTATATGTACATACATATATCAATTGCAGGGCCCACACGTTTGTTGATTCCAAAAATTCGATTCACCTATGAATTGTGGGCTTTATACTAGTATTTCAAAGCAGCGGGACTCTTTATTCGAATTGGCGTTCGACAAGTCTGAGCTGAGAGTCCAGAGCTCATCATTTAATTATTGTCATTTATCTGACTGGGTCAGAAATTCCGAGGCACGGGCTTGAGTACACATTTAAAAAATGCCGTGCATTTCAGTCTTGAGTATAGCAAGCAAGGAGTTGCAATTTTTATGTCTTTCGTATGTTGCACTGTTACTTTTCCTAGTTTTCATTCTTTCTGCCTCCATGCCATGTTGAATACATACCTCTAAAGCGCACAGTCATGCATGCTAAACCCAATGTGTATTGTATTTATTGTATCATAAGTCATTGCCATTTTTCCCAACACATATCTGGAGCACATATTGTTTATTATTGCATCATATATGTACTATATACAAATACTTCTTATCCATGTAGGATAAATAAATGTATGTAAATGCACGTGTATTAAGAAAAATGAATACACAGAATACACGTACACAGAAAAAACCGAATCGCTTAATACTCTACAGTAGAAATCGGCTAAGAATTATGTGGAGAATATGGAGGGCAAATAGCTAAGAAATCCTTTACAATATAGAAAACAATATTATTACAAATGATTCCATAACAATTCTAAGAATATCTGAAATCGTTTTTGGGCTAAAATACAATACTGGTGAAAACCCCATTTCCATGACGTTTCCACCACTGCTGTTACAATTCCTGCGTTCCAGATGCGTTCGCGATGTTTTCACTGCATACTTTTAGGGTTGACCTTCCAGTAGCTGCCTATGTCCATAATTGAAGGTAGACTTTCTCAAGAGATTTCTTTAGAGCTTGAAAATGCAAAGTAAATCGTTATGAATTTACATTGAAAGGAAAATATAACGATTGCAAATAAATTTAATTGTTTTCACCGAGCAGTCCAGCATTGTTTAACTAACTAGCTCTCTCTAGTTAGCTCTCCAATTCTAGCCGTGCGATTTCTACTGTAGCTGTTCAGAAATACTGACACCACGATCGATTCAATTTTGAGTATTCATTTTTTCTTTTCATGTGCCCACATACTCGTACTTACAAGTATGTTCATATAAAAATAGTTTTAGAAAACATATCCGGATTTCAAATTACTTCAATCTGGCTACATGATGAGCAATGACAGACTTTTGTGCCGAAGTAATTGGCAACAAAGTTCGATCATTGCTTTGAAAATATTTGTATGCGATCACTGCCAAAGCTATAGTCAATTGTTTATCCAATTTTTTGTGAATCATGCGATATTCTCTAGCTTACTTGTATAAATGCTGCACACTCGCGATCAGAACTAATCCGTTGCATTCTTTGTGTATGTTTGACTCAGGTGGCGCCCATATGCAGCATAGCTACCCAACGTTAGCCTCTCGTCGTGCTGGAATTGGACGACTACTTCCACCGACTCCGAGCAAACCGTCGACACTGCAGCTCAAGCCAACCAATATTAATTTTCCTAAGTTAAATGCGAGTCCAACACATGTACGTACCACCCATCAGCCTTTGTTCTGTGTACTGCTCGTCCTAGAGTATTTAGAGGTTTTACTAATAATATTTTTGATATTGCAGACACATCATTCGACACCCCACAGTGTTCACTCGCTGCCACACCACCGCGATTTATTGCGGGACCCTAGGGACATGTATTATAGCACTAGAGAGCGCGATAGGGATCGCGTGATTAGAGATCGATTGCATGAATACGATTTACGGTACGAATACCGGGATCGGGAGCGAGAGTTGTACGAAAGAGAGCGTGATCGCGAGAGAGAGGTGGAAAGAGAAAGGTAATACTATCTCATGTAGCCTATTTGAAAATGATTTATTATGATATATATTTTTTATTTTTTGCGCAGACTGGAATATATAGCACCACTGTCATTCGAGCAAGCGCTTGCCATGGGCCGAACAGGTCGTGTACTGCCATCTCCAGTTCTTAATGGTTTTAAGCCAAAGAGCGGACTTAATACTCGACACTCCGATTCGGATGAGGAGGATTGGTGCTAGCAAAGGCTTTGATTGCGATCGCGTAATCGAAAGGAACAGATTTGGGTATAGCATCAGGCCATATGCTCATCGTTATCAGCACCTAACTTAGATCACAATTTTGATACGATACGACACCAATACCAACCAAACCGCAATATAACTGCATTAGCAACAGCATCTGCATCAGCATCTGCATCTGCATTAGCGACAGCACTAGCATCTGATATCAAATTGGCTCGAGGAGGCTTACAGGAATCAACCCTTATTCGACAACCGCAATCGCAACCAGTATCGCGACAATTCGTCACATACCCATATAGTGGGGCTTCACAGACACAGATGGCAATATCATTGCCAGCAACCAGAACAACATCACCCCAATTAGAAATACCAAGAACAAAAGCAAAAGCAAAAACAAAAACAACAGCAACAGCAACACCAACAAAAGAACAAGCAATGATATTATGTGTACCAATTACAATAACGACACCGGTAGCTATTCATAGGATCTATTCAGATTATGGAATTAATTATAATACTGCTAACACAGATAATGATAGGCTAGCGTTATCGACAGATTCAAGGGCGCATGTGCAACGTTATCGCTATCGCAAACATAATCAATATAATCGAACACCAGATGAGGAGGATGAGGAAACACATTTACCAGTATGTCAAGTAGATAATGATAATGATGATGATAATTACGATAAGCAACAGCTGTATCACACGTTATAAGACAGCGAAAGATAGAGGGAGAGAGCGAAAGGGAAATGCCAGCTAAAGTTGAAACTGTAAAGATTCGACAGCGAGAGATAGAGAGAGATAGAGAGAGGGAGAGGGAGAGGGAGAAAGAGATAGCAAGTTATAGTGAGTTAGGATGGGAGGGAGAGAGATGTTAAGAAGGAAAGAGGGAAGAGCGCAGAATGATAACGGAAAACGTAAGCAGTACGAGAGACGTGAACATGAAATGAAAATATGATATGTATAGTATGTATTTCTATTGTATGAAACATGCCTAAGCTCTTTCGAACATAACTAGGTTTTAGGCATACATATGTAGGTTACTTAGCTCATAGCTCGATCAATATGTAATCCATTTGCAAGCGTTTTTGTCTTGTTTGTATTTAATGAAAAAAAAGAGAAAATATGATAGTAATTCAATTATGTACATTTACGAGTAAATGAATGAAGAACTATGTATAAATATATATATACATATATATATTTATATAAATAAAATTATAAATATATATGTGTATACATATATATGTATTTATTATATGTACATAGATATGCATACTAACAGTACTCATGTACGAGTATAATAGTATGTATTATGTAGATATCAAATTTTTGTATGTAATGTATTTACCTACGATTATGTACACATGTGAGCGCATTTTTGTCCCCTAAGGAAGTTATTCATCGTGTATATTCGAGCGGATATTCTATTTTTTTTAAGGTATTATTATTATTTAATTAATTAATTCAATGCCTAGGCTTAAATACTCGTACGTGTGTCTGCGACTGATTGAATGAATGCATTGAATGTTTGGGTGATTGTGCGTGTGTGTGTATTCGTGCGAATGATATGAATCAATATGAGTGCATTCACATTTACGTTCCATTTAAACCATTCTTGCAAATTAAAAAAAAAAGATTTACCGGCATTTAATTATGTATTGCTAACTGCATTTTGCGCAGCACGTTTAAAAAGAGCAAGTTGATAGATTTGTTTCATCTCAAGTAAATGAAAAAAAATATACCAAAATATAAAACAGAGAAAAGCCACCACGTTGCATGTGTACAAAATATACATACATACAAGTGCAATAGTGTAGATTTTGTGTACATTCCCCCCCTCCCCACACACATACTATATGTAATTAAGATAATATAGTAAATAAATATTTTTTTTTGCTTAGCAATTGCACGTGGTATTTAAAAGCAGAGTGATTCGCAATTCAAAAGCTCAGCAAGCAGCCGTGTCTGATTATTCGTATAGAAATACTTAGCTGAAAAATATTTACTTTCCAAGAAGCCAGGGCTCCCACTCGCATAGGGTTAGAGCCTGAGGTACACATGATGAGCCTTAAGACACTTCATTATTTTTAGCACCAAACCAAACCAAACCAAACAAAAGTTTCGGTCCAACACAATCTGCCATGGACATGGGCCCTTCAACGACTCACTATACGAGTATATACATACATAAATAAATACATACACCTAGGTACTGTAAAATTTGTTAAGGGAGAGCAATGAAGAGCAAGGAAAGGAACAGCGAAGCAAAGTAGAGCTGAGAAGAGCAGAGCAGAACAGAACAAAGGAAGGGAACGGAAGTATGTATATTATGTACTACTTCATTCATTTCCATTTACGAGTAAAAGCTACCAAGAAAACATACAAATGCATACAAATGATGATGACATTCTAAATCAAAACAAATTTAGTTTATGTATAGTTAGAGTCTGGTGAATATATAAGTATGAACTTGTTCAACGGTATATCGAAGAGCGCACAAATATTGTAATTTAAACAAACAAACAAACAAACAAACAAACAAAGAATCCATAACTTAAGTAATAAATAAATACAAATACAAATAAAACTAGTTATAGCCGCTAAGCAGTTACGCATCTTTACACAGCAATTGTAGCTCCTGCATACAAAACAAAAAAGCAACCAAAAAAACAAAAAAACAAATAACGAAAAGCAAAAACCAAAAAACAAGACACCAAACAATGCCATTTAAGGGCTTATACTTCAGATACTTATGTAATTAAATACTTTTACCGCATACAATATAAAATACTTTTACTAATACATACGAGTGCATACATAAATACGTACATGCAAACATGATTTATACATACATATACACACATATACAATAGTATCTAACTAGTGTCAAAATGCCTAACTAAGACGTTACTAAAGTTCGGCTCGCTGATCTTTATACACACAACTCCCAAGGTAAACTAAGCCCAAAACCAAAAGCAAAATAAAACCAAAAGCAAATACAAAACCAAAACCAAAACAAGGTGAAGATATGTATGTTAAAAATTTGTAACGATTTGGGAAGTAAATAGGATTATATAGGTTTGCAATATCTGTCTGTGAGATTCAATTCATTCAATGGAACATCTCTTAGCTACAGCTGGTACAGTCTGGAAGGTTTGATTTGTTCTTCCAAGTGCTATCCATATCTGTAAATGTACAGTAAGCATTGCTAGTGTGTGTGTGTGTTTTTTTTTTGTTCCTTGTTGTTACATACATACATTCGTTAAAGGATTTTTGCCATTAACTCACAGCCCTGGTACTGCCTAGCACACAACATACATAAATATACTCGTATTCATGCCTTTCACATATTCAAGCCATGCAAACAAACCGAAACATTCGAATCATTCGAAACATTCAAAGACTTCAGATGCTTGGTCTCAAATGCAACTGTTAAAGAAAACTTACCGTCCGTTTCCTTTGGCGTTTTATACTCAGCATTTGGCACATCTTTTCTTCCACGCATGCATCCGAAATGAAAAAAAAAAAAAAATGAAAATGTAAAATTTTAGACCATATATACTTGTATGTACAATAAAAATCTATTAGATATTTGATTGCCATTCTCTCGCCATATTCCTACTTATTCCAATAGAGATCTATGCGTATGATCTATCGCAATATGGATTGCTCGACAAGTGTTGATATACACATACGTACATACTACATACATATAGCTTGACCTGTTTCTTAACTTTACCACTACGATTCAATTGTAAATTTGTCTTATTTCATTACTGTCTGGTTCTAAGGTCACATGAGAAATAAACAGTAGTTCTTAATTTTATAAAAATAAAAAACAAACAAAGAAACAAACAAACAAAAAAACAACAACAAAACAAAACAAAACTGAAAAACAAACAGAACCTTAAGAATAGTAAAAGAATCTAAAAAGTATAGGATTGAAATATATAAGTATGTATTAAAATCCTAACTGAATACACTAAATAAATGATGAAGTTAATGATAGTTAAGGAGTGGTAGAGATAAATGATAACTGAGGTATATTTAATAACTAATGATTAATTAATTATAAAAACGACTTGTAATTTATACACAAGATATACATAAATATATAATAACATAAATACCTGCCTTCAACAAATTTGTTAATACAAAACTATTAATACTTTCTTATTTTACATAAAGTAAAGGAATTACATCATAATAAAAACTGAAATGAATGCCAGAAAATTAGAAACTTAATGAAATGGTTAAACGTGTTTTAAATACTACTCGACTAGTTTGTGGGAGTTCCTGCTTATTTGCTCTTCTGATCCGATAAGATATAGTGTTGGAATGGAAATGTTTGGAACTAAAGAGCTTGAGCTTGGAGAGCTACATAATACGATCCAAGTTTCTGGTTGGAACATTCTTTTGGTTCATTTCTTGTTAGTTGTTACTATACTGAACTTTGGCTTGTTTGTGTTCGCATGAACTGGTTCATTTATTAGAGGTTGCCTTCACTATTAGGCTAACGAACCGAATCGTATATGATCCCTTGCTAGTTTACAAAAATGAATTGAGAGATTTTCTATTTGCTTGCCCGCTAAACGGTCCAATTCTCTTCTGCGAAGTGAAATACGATGAATTTGACATCAAACTTCTTATATCTCTGAACTAGTTTATTTCTTAATTGTTATTACTGGAATCTAATTTACGGGCTTTTTCCGAATTAACTTTTCATTCCCATTAAAATCAAACACGTAATGTATTTGTTTAAGAAAGCCGAGATTAACATAAATGGTGGTGGTCTCAAGAAGTTCATTATGGTTTGGAGGTTTCTTCAGCTGGGACATTTGTTACTACTCCTGAGTGGAACTAGCTAAGAACAACAAACAAGTTCATTTTGGTTTCTTAAGCTAGGAGATTGATGGAACTCTTTCGGGTTACTTTTTTTTTTGTTTGGGCTTAAAGCATTTGATGCATTGTTGACACGCCTCATGGCCCCCGAGGTCAGGACAACCCCTGATTTTGTGGCAGCCACGCCGAATACACCCTCTCAGAGGAAATCAGCTGACCTCGGGACATGCGCAGATACGAGCTTTTCCCGCTCAAGCATCGATTTTCGGTCACGCACATACAGTAGCCAAATACAGTAGTTGTGGTGGGCAACCGCGAAGGGACTCCAGAGATAAGCTATCAGGATATATATAGGAGTACATATATTTACTTTAGTTCAGCTAGAACGTGTCAATAATTTCACAATTACGGAGAGAAAGTGGTCCCCATAATCGCATATGTTTTGAATTGGGCCTAGCTTCGTAGCCTCGCGTTCAATATAATTATGCCGACTTCTGTGGCAATGCTTCGCAAAAGCCAAATGTTTACATATGAGAGGCGTATTTGAAGAGACTGAGAACTGGACTTTTAAAATGTATTGAATCCATAATCTAAAGTTGTTCGACAAGATTCAGCCAGAGAATAGGAAGTGATTAAGAAAAACATATTTAATAGCAATAATGGAGATACCGCTTTCCAACCTATTGCTGTTATGCATAATATTTATTGTTATCGGGGGCGTTATAATGCTGCTGCTGCAATATTTAATTTACATTAAGTTTGCCAATCTGCCCGACGAGAGTGAGGAGCAAAAGGAGATAAATGCGAAATATACGCTGCCCCTGGTAAGTATTTCTTTCCAGGACCTTCTCTCTTGATCTTACTGTTGAGACACTTATCGTTATTTGTTTGTTTTCCTGCTTCTTCTTCAAAGAACATCAAACAAAAGGCACGTGACCTTAAAACCGCGCCAGCGGCGATAAAATCAAGTGGCAGATTGGCAGGCAACAGTTGCGAGAACCATCAAGAGAACTTACAGGGCACATCCGCTTTGATTTCCCTCAACTTTGTGATGCAGTTCTTGTTCCATGAGTTCAAGAACTCGAATCGTGTGCGCAAATGGTTTTATCGCAAGCTATCCACCGAATTGGATGAGCTGATATCGAAGACGACAACAGGAAAGCTGTTGGACAAGTTAACTGTAAGCTGTGAAAACTATATACGACACTATATAGAAGTTTGTATTGAATTGTGACTATTACAGATCAAGGAACTTGAGCTCGGTGATCAGTTTCCCGACATTAGATCTCTTTCTGTGCACAACGTAGAACTGGATGAGAGAGAGCAGCGTATAGAGAATTTAGACTTGTTGCTGGACATCAATTACGTTGGCAATTTTTCCACATCGATTGATGCCGATATGGTGCTGGGAAAAAAGGGTTCTATAACCCTCAAAGGTAGTACAAATTGAACATATTTTCCATAGCACACGGTACTTACATCTCTTGATTAGTCAAACAACTGTCGGGGATGGCTCGTTTGCAGTTCACCCGGAAGCCGTACACGCACTGGTCTCTTAGTTTCTTGGGTGATCCCGAATTGAATCTGGATATCGAGTCTAAGTACCAGGGACGACAAATGCAATCAAATATAACCAACTTGATATCGAATCAAATCCGCAAGGCTGTGCGTCGAAAACACACATTGCCTAACTATAAGCTGCGCTACAAGCCCTTCTTTCACTGGACCGCAGATGAAGATGCCAGCGATAGCGACATACAGCCCAATGGGTTGCTGACGGTGCGCGTGGCCGAGCTATCCCGACTAATGCCCTCCCCAGAAACGACTGATATCTATTGCACCATAACGCTGGCGCCGGTGCCCTTCATTGAGGCGCATCAGAAGGACAATCGCCATGTGCTCATCTCCATCGATGTGATCATACACAAGGCCAAGAATCAGCAGATTGGCATTGTCTTTAAGCAGAGCACAAGCCAGATAGTCAAGATTGAATCGGTGCTGGCCAATACGCCGGCCTGCAAGTCCAATCTGCAGGCTGGCGATGTTGTGCTCTCCATTGAGGGGAAGTCTGTAGCGACCATACAGCAAATAGCTAAGGCGGTGAAGAGCCTACAGAGCAATGTGTTCTGCCTGCGAATTGAACGCCTCATTCCGGGCATTATACGCAACGATGCCATACTGGAGGATCTGGAGAAGTATGACGACCTGTGTGATATGCCAATGTCTTATAGCGGCAGCACCACAACGAAGCCGGATCTCGACGACGCACCTGTCGAGCCCATCACCAAGCTGTTGATGGTGAAGCAGAGCTCGGCGGAACGTCGCACCTCCAGTGAGTCGAGTGTCGGCAACACGCCCACCAGTTCCCCCAAAAAGGCCAAGTTCATAGCCAAGGCGTTGAAGAAAACCATGAGCCGGGACAGCAGTGATAAGCACAAACATGACGGGAATGGCGGGAAAGCCTCACGTGCGGAGGACAAAGCGCCCACCATGACCCTTCCGGAGCGAGCCGAAGAAGTCTATTATTTCTATCAGCATTCGACAATTGATTGCCCATTCAGCGCGTTGATCCACATGGACGACTTGAGCAGCTATAAGCTAGACGCTAACAGCAGATATCTTAATATATGTGTCTATGGCAAGTGTGCGGGCGAGAGCATGCTGCTGGGCTATAACAATGTACAGATCGGTCAGATATTGGGCGAGTGTTGTGAGACTAGCTTGAATCAAAGCCTCAAGCAGATAGCGCTGAGTCCGCCGGCTGTCCAAGCCATGTAAGTAGCTCAACATTTCGCTTAAGCTTCTCCAGAAGTCGGTCTCATGATGTTCTTCTTTCAACAGTAAGCCGCATGTGCTTTCAAATCAGTCGGGTTTCAATCCGAATCTTTGTTTTGGTGACATTTTGGCCGGCTTCTCATGGTTTGGCAATCCAAATTTGTCCATTAGTGAGGCAAATTCAAAGCTGGCAGCCAAAGGACAACAAAAGTAAGTAAACATTTCATTATGCTGCGGATACAAGTATTGAGTTAAGAAAGCATATAAGATTTTATTTGCCTCTAAGAGTCTGCATACATATTATGTTTCCTGGGATACCACTTCCACTTATTTCCTTTTGTACTCCTGATCCTTCAAGTCACTAACTGGATACCAGCAGCCTATATACAATATATCAAGATTAAAACAGATAATGGTGCAATAATTTGCATTATTATTATAAGAAATCGCCGGTGATTCTGATATATAGTATATAGTCCTGAGCATATTTCATTCTGCTGTTTGGTTACAAATAATAGTTCGATCGATAGATATTCAAACCATAGATATTGAATTGTTTACCCACAGCAATCAGGCAGCTAAGGAGAAGGTACAGGACGATGGCATAAGCGTTTCATCAGCGACAGCGGAAACTTCCTCCTTGAAATCCGTCGGCAATTTCATGGACAGCACCGTACCTGTATCCTCGACATCAACTCCAGCGCCGCGGGCCCACAATTTTGTGCGAACACATTTCCAGAGAGCCACTCAATGCGATTTCTGTGGAAAGAAGATTTGGCTCAAGGACGCAATGCAGTGCGGCGACTGTGCCATGTGTTGCCACAAAAAGTGCATCGCCAAGTGCCAGAATGCCACTGTTTGTGGACCCGTCGACTGCTCGACCTCCTTGTCCTCGGTGTCCTCGGTGGCCTCGGTGTCCGACGTGGCAGCGAGTGTTGTACCCGCAGCCGCAAATCCAGAGTTCACAATAACCCAAGCGGACAATATGGAGCTGTTGGAGCCCAAGAATGCGGCCCCACCAGAGGATCCAGCCGCGCTCCCAGATGACTATAAGAGTCAGGCGGCTGCAGCGAATCTGGATGTGCATCGATCCAGTCTTACCGGCCTCCTCGCTCAGGGCATCAAACGCGTCAATTCAGCAAGCAATTTGGATATTCCGGGAATTGTCTCTTCATTTACCGGCAATACTAAAAGCCTGCCACCGAGTCCACAGCACACACCCACACGGTAAGCTATAATTTCGACCACAACTATTTATTTTTATTCATTATTTATAATTTAAACTATTAAATTTGTTTCACAACATTTTCTAGTGTGCACCAAATTCTTCAATACTTTTCCTAATATTTGAAAACAACGACGCTTTACTTTTATTATTTATTTATTATATCTTTACAAAATTAAAAAAGAGTTAATAACAGTTTTGCAATGAAATGAAAATGAAAGTGTGAAATAAAAGCTGTAATTGTAAATAAATAAAGCAGGATTAGGCATCTCATATTTATTATTACAATTTCAAAAATGCTTCCAACAGAAAAAAAACAGTCAGTAAAAACACTTTTTATTTATTTCTAAACTGAACGTTTCATGGAATTCTAGGAATTGTTGGAATAGTTGTCGATGCATTTCTAAATAGAGTCCAATCGAATTTGATGGAATTGTGCTTCTAAATAATTGTTTAGGATAGAATATAAAAGTTGTGTTATATAATTGAATATATTTTTGTGTTGTTTTTTCTTTTTTTTTTTAGAAAATCGTCTATAGAGGATCCCATGCAAAATCCGTTCGAGCTCGTCACGCAGCATTTAGAGGCACTTCCTTTGGAATGCACAACCCTCAGTTTTGAACAGGTCCTTACCATCGCCGAGCCAATTTTACGAAATCCGCGCAACGAGGACTTAATGAACCTGGCCAAGTCGTCGAGTAAACACCTCTATGCCAATGTGCCGCCCGATAGGCGTGTGGAGAAAATAAATGAATTGGTGAGCTCTCAACTATCTTTATAGCATCGTTATGGAATTGTTTATACATATAACATCGCTTCATAACATCTATATTATAGCTAATCAAATTAAGGATTGCACTGGATGCCGAAACCGAGGGCCAGGCAATGCTCAGTGATGCGGGTCTCTGTCTGGCAACCACACCCAGTAGACCCGAAGCCGAAGCCCCATGGAAATCAATGATATGTGTGGAGAATAAGTCCGAGGAGCGCGTCCATGCTCTCAGTATAATAATGTTATATTTATGTACGGGTCTACAGCACGCACAGGGTGTGGTGCTGCAGTAAATCTACTATAAGTACGTGTACAAGTATTGTGGCGGGCGTGGCAATACGATTAGTCTATTACATTGACTGCAAATGTGTTAGTGAACCTATGGAATTACAACTGTACTTTACATTTTAGCCCAATGGTTTCGTTCTAAGTAGTTGCATACATACAAGTATATAGTACATACACGTGTACATACTATACTACTTGTACATACTTGTAGTATAGTACTATGTACAATATCAGGACATATCGTACGTACGTACATATGTGCCACGCTTATCGAAACAGTGTTATGTGGGGATTTTAAACGATAGCATTGTTGTTCTTTTTTTCCTTGCTGAATATAATGTTTTACTTGAACTTTACTGTCTGTATTTTAAAATAAATCAACATCAAATAAAGAGTCGCCTTTTGAATGGAGGAACAGTTGCGAATTGTGTGAGAAGCTTCAGAAGTTGCGGCGACGAAAGCTTTTGGTCCGTTAGCGGGCCACGAGCTTTCGAAAGCTGTGCAGGGTGTGATAAACTAGTTGAGCTTTTTATGTCTCACATAGTAAGTGGCGGTCCCGCAAATGTCAAACAACAACAACACAAAAGCTCCTAACCTCAACTCATTCATTTTACAACGTAATTAAAGACTAACAATCAAATTGCAATTCTTGCGTCCTTGCCATTCCGCCGGAGCTGTCACACAAATCACTTTAAAATTGCCTTTGCGAACTCATTCATTTCAAGATCCCAATTAAAATTGACACAATTCTACAAACGTACATCGCTGGAAGGCCTACAGAGATACTCATGAATACATATACGCTTGGCTTACGTACATACATATGAGTTCCGGAACCAAATGGCAGATGCGTAAAAAAGACTGTTGTATCAATATTGTACAATTTTCCGAGCGAGACGAGTGAAAATTCTCGCTCTCAGACTGAGCCTCAGCCTCACGCTCTTGCGCCGCGCTGAACTTTTACACTTTTGCGTTGTCGGAATACTGGCGGTGCGAGCCAAGAGCGTGAGGCTGTTTATAACAGAGGGTATTGCTCTTAGCAAGACAACAAGACTATTTCGCATTATGGCAATGCAAGCCAGAAGTATCATGAATTGACCGCATGGGATGTAACACACACATCGTAGGTGTACCCCATAATTTGATCGATGAATTAAACAGCCGCTGATGATATCTTAGGTCTCATCCGATTGCGTTCGTCCTTCCCTGGGCCTTGACCTTCTAAGCTGTAACAGAAAAAGATTTAAAAATTGTTCAGAGAATTTAACAGTACAATTGAAGGTGAGAAAGCCGAGAGTTAACTTAGGTAATAATATGGTAGTTTTTTTTGTAAATATATATGCAATGCTTTCATTATACGAGTAATGTAATACTTATATATTTTAAGTTTTTCTTCTAAACATCTAAATTATAGATTATAGAACAATAAATGCTAAATAACTACTTCAGTTTATTAATATTTAATACACATTTTGAAGAACTATCCCTATCTGGTGGGATAGTTGTTGCCAAATGAATATATTTTTGCCAGTTGCAACCCCAATCGTTGTTTAAAACATTAATTTAATTTATATTTTTCAGGAGGAAAGTGTATTAATTAAGCGGTTTGCATTAAAAATTCAATTTGCGTGTTTTTGATTTTGCATTTTTTTTATTTTTGTTGCCATTTTATTTTTCATTTGCTTTGTTATGCGCAGTTTTCTTTCTTCTTCCGTGCTATAAAAACAGAAAGTAAAAAGACTTTTCAATATTTCAAAGCGCAAGAGATACACGTACGGTTCGGTTTAGCGGAAAATTTTGAATCGGTTGAATATCAATAGGTTTCGTAGCGATCGCAGTAGAAAGTTGTTTTTAAAAAGGTGCAACAAAAGAAAATTATAATCAAAAAGGAAAAGAGAATCAATTGAGAAACCAAAAATAGTTTTGAATTGTTGGTGCTTATCCCGTATTTTTTTTTTTTAAACAAAAACACCTTTTTTGTTGCTGCTGCATTTTTATTGAGACTAATAGATAAAGAAGTGCATGAAAGATGCGGCCCTTTGGCAACGATATCACAAACATTGCCAACAATGGCGGCAACGGAGCAGGCGATGAAAATTCAAATGGCAACGAACCCAATGCTGATAACACAAACACAAGCGGCAGTCCTGGCCCAGCAGTTGATGGTGCCACAGAGAGTCCAGACGAAGGTGTAGACGATCCACGCATCCCACCACATATTGCACGCATTGGCGGTATAGTCACATTCCCTCCGATAGCAGGTCGCGGGGTTATTCGTGTGGTACGTCGTTGCGAAGATGCCAAGGAGAACAGAATGCTGGGTAAGCACTGCCACCAGATTGACTGCCTGTTTGTTATTTGGCAAAATATTGTTTCTACATATGTACGTGTACGTGCTACTTGCATTGCTGGTCAAATATTTATGCCCACATGCACACACATGCATACATACATACATACATACATATGTATATGTGCATAGTGTACTTGTGTGTATGAGCAGTTTCGGTTTCGGTTTCGGTCTCAATTCCATAAGTGGAGTTGTGAAATAGCAAAGCATACTTTTTGGCAACTACTCGTATGTACAAGCAACTACCAAATTCAAAACAAACAATGCAACAAACCAACAAACAAGCAAATAGACTGACATGCGAAAAACATGCACTTTCATTGAATCATATGATTTCCCAAACCGTAAATCTATTTACACAGATGTACCACATACACAAGCACATAAATATATGTATACATACATACTATATCTGTATATACTCGTATGTATATGTATGCGTGTACCTACATACAAGTATGTATGTACCGACATGTGTACATGCTGCACACTGCAGACAAGAATGAGTCGTAAAAATTAAATTAATTTTTCTGGCGAATAACAAAACTGGCCAACAGCCAATTGCAGTTATTGCGCACTAAGTTTCAAAAAAAAAAAAAAAAAAAAAACACCCATAGATAGATAGATATATGCATGTAGATTTTTGTTTATCACAATAACAAACATTTACACATTCATACACACACACACACATGCATACACACACAACTTTGCATATACACGTGTAAGTATGTAGGATTTATTGTTGTTGCTGTTGTTCGCATGACATCGAAACGTGCCACCAATGTTGCGTATGAATATTACTCATACCACCCGTGGCGCACAGTTCTGAAACTTCAGGTGATTTTTTACGCAGTCAAACTGCCAGCATACACGATTTTACAAGAGAGCTTGGTAGAACTGCAGATTTAGATTGCAAATTCCTTGCATGACACGAATAAGGTGCGGCCAATGGTGCGGATGAATATTACTCATACCACCCATGGTCAAATGTATTTAGCTTCCTTTAGCTCAACTCACTCGTTCATTTTTATTGACTTTTTTCAACCAGAAAACACTTTTACATTGCTTTAACATTAATTACAAAAATTTTGTCGTTTTCTCGCAACAATGTTTTCTTCTTCACCATTTCAAACACTTGTCAACTTAATTGAACTTTTACAAGTTGTCATGCAGTTTAGAATGTGATTTCGTTCTCATTCATTACACTACACATATCTGTTGTTTTGCACTTGCAAACCAGCAGGGCAACGATAAAGGGACTATCTCAGAATAATGCGTAGATAATTAATTATACTAACAACATACGACGTAATTCTGTTAATGCCAAGAACACGAACTAAATGGCTTCGTGGATTTATAAAAATAAGGACAATGTTTCTCAAAATAATGCGTAGTTAATTTATTATATTTTTTATAATTAATGAAAATGGTGAAATAATCAAAGACGTCGAAATTTTGCGCACTTAAATAAAAAAAAAAAATCGAGCTACTTTTGCTTGTTAATTATATTCAGCATTTGTTGACTTACAAAAATTAGCAGAGAAGGCCAGAGAGTTTTCTTTTTGTTTCTATCTTTGCAGCATTGGCAAGACTCAGCAGTTGACAGTTATTCTAGGAAGTATTTTTAATATTTTGGTACATACTCATCTTTAATATCAATGTTGATGCATTGCCTTCGTATGACTTGATTTTTCAAATGATTGATTAGATTGCATTTTTAATTTAAAATGGGAAAAAGACAAAGTATTTGCCTGACATACATATTTTATAAAAAATTTTTAGCTGTTACTGAATAATAATTTTTTTTGTTCAGGCCAAATGCAAATCAATTTTTAGTAAAAAGTACATATGTGGTTACTTATGTACTTCCGTTTAGCATTTTGGATTTGTTTTAGTTGGTGGCGCAGAAATTTTTCCTTCCATGAACGTAGGAATATAGATTAGTTTGAATCTGAAGCGTACAACCATCAAAAACATCAAATGCGTCTTATCAATATTTGAAAGAGGGGGGAAAAACAAAACATTAAATTATTCCGCAGCTGTAATGTTTTCAAATCAAACATTATACACACGTGGCAGCCCTGGCGGCAACGTTGCCAATACATGTCGATCAGTGCTACACTGCTGAAAAGCAGAGAGTAACAGCTGTGGCGGAAGATAGAGCGGGAGAGAGAGAGAGAGAGATACTTAAAGAGAATCGCAGAGAGCGCAAATGCGTGTATGCGTTTGCCGCATGCTTATTTTCGGCCAAGCTGAATGGTAAATGCTTTTGCTCACTACACACATGCACACACACACTCACACACACAAGCACGCACACTTGCCTACATACATATGTATATGTGTAAATATTAGATTCAATACAATCATTAATTTATATTTAGTTTCTGGCCAACGCGTGCTCGGTTCTGGCGCAGTGTAGTCTGCAAGAAGTGGGATATGAATTTTTTGAGTGGTTCAATGGTTTTAGAAATTATTTCATTAACTCATCGGGCCTGATTCATGCAACGCTGATAAGAAATTAAAATCAACTCACGGGAATTGTTGAGGTATTTGGAAAATGGCTCATTTGGTTGTGAAAGTCATTGAACGCTGTGAAAATGCGACAGAGAGTTCAGATCTAGGTAATTGTTACTCTTCTAATGGTGCATGTGTCTGCGCTGAATGCGGACTCTCTACGATAATGACGATGAGGTTGCAGCAGAGTTTTTAAAAACCATGACTTGTGTCTGCTACTCTTTACAGATCTCTCCCAATGTGAACTGATGCAGATACCAGATGCAGTTTATCACTTAATGCGCAACACAGAGCTCAAGAGCTGCAATCTAAGTGGCAATGTTCTGAAGACGGTCTCCCCCAAATTTTCGTCGAAGTTCAGCGCCATAACAGGTAAAGTATATTAAATGGAAATATTTACTATATGTGGATATACTAGAGAAATGATTTTCCTCTTGCAGATCTCAATCTATCACATAATCAGTTGGCGAGGCTGCCGGACGAGTTTACGATGCTGAGTTTGCTGACAAGGCTGAATATTTCGCACAATAGCTTCATTGTTCTGCCTCAGGTGGTCTTTAAATTGCCCAAACTAGCCCAATTGGATGCTCAGCATAATGCCATATTGGGTGGGTATTTGAAAATGATCGAAAATCGATAACTGTCATAGCTGTCATTTCTTTATTCCTTTATTCCGATAACTGTCATTTCTTTATTCCTGTTTGCAGAGATCGACACGGACGAGGCTATTACCAGCGATTGCTTGGCATTAGTGGATCTGCGAAACAATCCTCTGAGTCGCATTTTCCGTCGCAGGTTGCAGGACTTCCAGACCAGCTTCCGCCTAGAGATTTCAAATGAAGACGAGGACGATTGGTGAAAATCTGCAGACTATTTCGTCAATGTACAATGCCAAAAACTTAAACGTACGCTTTTATTGAATACAAACAAAACTCTTGATTTTTATAATCATCTTAGTGTTAAGTTGTCAGTTTAGTTTTGTTACATTGTTTTTTTTTTTTTTGAATACGATTAATGTAATCATAACACATCATTAAACTAATATTCTTGTTAATGTGGAAGATAGTTGATTGCAATTGGATGGCCATGGCCATCAAAAGAGCAAACTCAAAATATTAAATGCCAGCATCTTCAATATCTTTGGTTATTTAGAAAGCTCTTCAACTAACTCTAGTCTACTTTTTTTTTAATCTCAATACTTAACACTAGTCTATGTATTTTTTTTCTGCTGTTAAGATGATGGTTAAGCTAAGAAATCCATCTTGTATATACAAAATGTAAACAAACCAACTATACTTATGTACATATCTTTGTATACTAATAAAAATGAAACACAACACGGAACAACAAATTTGTCAAATATGTAGAAATTACTTACTTACTTACTTTTAGCGAAAACAAAAACCAGCACCAACATCGGCTTGCACCCGGTCTATAATATAACACAGCATCGTGCTTATCTCCTATTTATCCGCCTCAAGGCCAACTGATTTAAACTGAAATGGGGCTGCATGGTTTTTGAAATATTGCATTTTATTCAAAATAAACGACGTCATAAATTACTTCTTTCTTTCCTACAAAAAATTTAACATCTCTCTGGTGAAAAAGATTTTCTTTATTTTTATGTTTCGGGCTTTAAATATTGCTTCACATTATTGAAAACATTCCCATTCAAATTTATCTTGATATTGATATTTGTCATACTTGCTGTTGGAAGAGCTTGCACTTAAAAAATAAAGGGAAGGTATAGTCGTACATATTTTAGATTCTATTGATCTTAACCAGTTTTTTTTTTTTCAAATTTTAAGTACGTGGATACCTGCCAATTACTTGTCTTCTATGGCCAACAATGAGTGCCAATTCGTTATGGTCGAGACTGATGGAGTCCAGCGAGGACTCATCGAGCACCTCGAACAAGCTGGTTGCCTTTAAATTAGTCTTCTAAGGGGCTGTTGAAAAAGCCTTACGCTGATCTAGTTGGCACCCTCTGTTGCCCGATTCGGTCAACTAATCCCATATAATGATCAAGAAGGGTCATCGGATGCTGAGCATCATCACTTAGGCTGTAAAATCATCAGATGCCGATGAATATCGCACTGGTTCCACGAAATGAAGCTTCTTCCATGGACTCCAGTTAGCAATGACTGGGTCTACGAATAAAATATAAATATAACTCTTTGCAATACAAGTGTATTTTTGTGTGTTTATTCTTAACTTAGCAAAGCAAATTCTTTGAATGAATGCAATGGCTATGGCTATCTTTGTATATTTCTAAATATTGCGCATGTCCCTTAGGACTAGGAAAAGCAATATGAAAACAGTTAAATGGAAGAAAAAATATCGGATACATTTTTAACGCCCAACTTTTTATTCCTGATGATGAATTAAGTATGTTTAGCTGAATACTACAACTAATTGGACACATTGTTTTGTTCGGAGTAGTTAGATACGTATGTATTTGCGTTGAAAGTATAATTTATAATTGGATTATAAATGTATTCCATATTTCAAAATAGTTGAATTAAATAATGAGCTAATGATCAACTTTTTTGAGATTTGCAGAATGTTTCGTATTTAAATTTTATATAAAGAATGGGGAATACTCGTTATAATCTAAAAACTTCTAAAGAAGAATATGCTTGTTGGTTTGTTGTCAGTTCTTTATTTATTGATCTGATTCTCATGCCAACTGAATATAAGTATAGGATAGCCAGCTTAGACTCATATGTTTTTCTAACGAATAGTGATTCGCATTTCTTGAAACTCATTTAAGGTCGAATACTTGTGTTGCCGCCCTAAGAGTCTACAACCGTGAAAATTGTTGTGAGAATTACAAAGCAACAAAAATGCATGTAAGCTGAAGCTTGTGAAGCGTGGGGCGCAAACTATGGCAAGAAAAGCCCACATAGAGTGTATTTTAGACGGTTCTGTAAGCGAGAGCTCATGCTTAAGCCGCTGATTTTGAGTTTACTTGTACGTGCCCGCCAGTCTCTCTACCTCTCCCACTCGCTCACGAGCGCTCTCTGTCTGCGAACGAAATAATAATAATAAAAAAGTAAAAACAGCAAATGGCTAAAACGACGACAGCAAAACAGTTAAAGCCAACACAAGCACACTCACACACACACAGTCACACACACGCAACAGGTTTGGCAACAAAAGCGGGAGATCGTGAGTGAGGTCGCTCACTGCTCACCGCTAAGTCCGTAAGTCAGGCATTGGCTCTTGTTGAGAGCGGGGGCGGGGGCGGTGGTGGGGGCGGGTTAGCCAGTGAGTGCCAGCAGCTAAGTATACGAATTTCGTTGCGCGCCGCTGACTCCAAAGCTGAGCACGGCGAGGCCAAAAACTCAGTCACTGAGCAGAGATCGGGAGCGGGCGAGAGCATAAAAAGCAAAGCGAACGCGCGGTACGGAGCGGGGCGGTGCGGCGTATGCTTGTGATGGATTTTTAAAAACTGCGCGCAGACTCAGTGCTCTGGGCAAAGAGTGTAGCGGTGTGCCGTCTACTTCAGTGGAGCGAACTAGTTCGCGTGAAATGTGAGGCCTACTCATCATACATTGGGGATTGAAAAGCGAGAATTCTCATAACATTATTAAGAAATTTGGAAAAGTACAAGTAGTACACAAATAAAAGAAAGTATTGCTTGCTTTGTAAATGCATTCTAACTAAGAAATATAAATGTATTTTATGAACTGATATAAAAAACAACTATTTAGTTTTTTTTATTTATTTTATTAGTAAATGCATTCTAACAAAGGAATATAGTACATTTATATTTTTTTATTAACTGATAAAAAACAACAACTATTGGTTAGTTTTTGTATATATACATAAATATATTATTTTTTGATTAGTATTGCATATTTAAGATATTGGCATAGCTTAACGAGCTAACAGGAATCTCGCAATGAGAGCTCTTTCCTGACTATGACTCGATCGAATCGAATTCGGCGCTAATATCATCGCATAAAACAAGACTTAAACAAGAAAGGAATGCTAGAGTCGAGCGGTCTTAACTCTTAAGTACCCTGTACTGCATAATAAATTCAAATTATACTCGAACGATTTTAGAACTTGTGAAGTGTACATACTTATGTATATAAACGTGTTTATACAGAGCTCAAGATCTTCATAGAATTACAAAATACTAGTTTTAATTAACTGAGGAATTATTCAAATTGTTAATGTCGAAAACTATGCATCTGATAATATAGCTTCGGTTTTGATAATCCTCACATATATAAATAGGTGTAGATTGTAAACTAATCTAAGCTATGATGAAATCTGAGCTAGTTCGAGTCGCTGCCACACAGCTCTAGCAACAGATACAGGGTCGAAGAAAGACAGAGATGGAGAATGAACGACAAAAGGCAGCGGGACGGGGGACTTGGGCAGTAGGCCCATTTGAGCCGTCAAGCTTGTGGAGCTGCGAGCCAAGCCAAGCAGCCAAGCGCCAAGTTGCAAGCCAGGTACAGGCAGCCGCTGCCAAATGGCGAATGGCTAAAAACAGTCGTGAACAGGTAATCCAATAGAGCGCGTTCGGGCACGGACAAGTGTTAGACGATTTGCACAGAATCGACAAACAACTGTCGCCAACAACAAAGTGTATGAAACAATATACATCTAGTATGTGTGTATATATCTATGTATATAAAGAAGTAAAACAATAGCAGAACGATCGGCAATAACAACAACAATAACAACGTTAACGACGAAGGCCCCCTAAGGCAGGCCCAAAATAAACGAGCATAGAAAAGAGTAACGTAACTTTATTGCGAAATGCCGTTTTTTATGGGTGGAAGTGCTAAAGAAAAATAAAAACAAGGCTTAATAACACACATTTGTAATGCATAATGCAAAAAACAACATCAACAACAACAACAACAAAAACGACCATAAACTGAGAAAAAAAAATGAAAAAAGTTTACTCTCTATTTGTTTTTGAAACGCAACTTAAATGTTAAACAATTAACTTACAAACACGCTTACTTCATTTTATACCCATTCCTACATATATGTACCTATGTATGTATGTATGTACATATATGTGTTTTTTTTTTTGCTGCTGCTGCTGTTGGTGGAGCTGGTGCTTGTGAAATCGAGATGTTGCATTCATTGGCTGACATAATAATGCTGAACAAAATTCGTATTTTTTGTTTTTATTTTTATTTTTTTTTGATATGTTGGCATCATATTTTGTGTGAATTTGTGCAAAAACAATGGAAAGTGCAGGAGTATAAGTGGAGATGACAAACACACTAATTAGTAATTAGTAGAATCGACAGATACATATACAGATACTACCTGTTACCAAACAATGTCTAAGTCATCTGATTCGAAGAACCGAGCATTACTCATACCTACCTACTCAACAATCAGAGATAAAGAAAGACACACACACACAGCAACATGATATATATATATATATATATATATCTATATAGTATGTTTGTATGTATGTAGTTGCATTCTTCTGTTCTGCGGCTCTTTTGTTATGATTGACTGCCCATTGAAGTGATCTCGATTCTGTTCTTTTTGTTCGTCTTAGCCGCAAAAATGTGAAACTTTTTCTTGCTCTAGTTGCAGTAATTGTTAAAAGCTAGCCCATCATCATCATCATCCATTATTTGTCCCTTGCCAATGTTTGTTATTCTATTGAAATATTGTCAGTTAAGCTTATTTACAATGCGACACCTTTGAAGTGAATGGGTTCCCAGAACACTATTCAACCTTTAACATGCGCGAGAAGGCATGTTGTGGCTTGAGAATTCTGGGAATGTTTTGTTTTTAACGATTCATCGACTCATTTGCTTTTCCCAATATTTTGGGGATTGAATGAATGAACTCTAACAATCGTTCTCAGCATTTATATTGTAGTTCTGCAGATACTCTTAGAAAGCAAGACCAAATAAAATATATTGTTTTTCCAAGTACAATATCATCTAAAAAGTTCCATTTGTTACTGAAAATGTCTGGAATTGATAATAAGTCAGGTTTGAAAACCTTTTTTTTATTCATTATTTATTAAAAAGATTCAACAATTTTTATTTTTTCAAAGCTCTATTAATATGTTTGTATTATTGAAGCAGATGTTTACAAAATTGCAACTACTGCTAAAAAGTATTCATTCAGTATTGGCTTGTGAATTCTGGGAATGTTTAGATTTTTTCTCAGCATTTATCTTGTGGTTCTACATTCACTCTTAGAGAGCAAGACCAAATACAATATATTTTATTTTTCCAAGTATATCATCATCTAAAAAGTTCCATTTGTTACTGAACATGTCTGGCATTGATAATAAGTCAGGTCTGAAAACCATGTTTTTTATTCTTTAATTACAACAGAATTGTTTTATCATTATAGTTATTAAAGCAGATGTTTACAAAATTGAAGCTACAGCTAAAAACTATTCAGTCATTTCAAAAACAAAAGATATTTCGAATAACTATAACTTCTATATATTTTTTAGAAACCTGGTTGTTGTATATCTGTAAAGTACACGCAAAGTCAAAATTTCTGTTATTAAATGCGCATATACTATGTATATAAGTTCATGATAAGCCATTAATGCCGAAAAGGCTGTCACTGACCTGAATTTGATTTTTCGATTTGCAGTATAAAGATAATTTGTGTTTTTGATATATTTATCGAGCAGTTGTTGGGCGGGTTCAGTAATTACTTGTATTCCATTTAGCCCATAATGGAGATTTATGCATAATTACAAATATATGTATATCTTAGAAAACCGTTCGGGCCTCTCAGATCTGGTTTATTATAGGGCTAAATAGTTTTCTTTTTGTGATCGCTACAGAGATCGCTTGTGGGCTGAAAAGCACTAGTACTTGTGCCTACAGAGTGCAAGCTGTGGGCCAACATGTAACCATTTTTCATGGCTGTCAGCCAAGTCCGAGTACATTTGTATGCACAGACACGGCTTTATAAGTACGGACTATGTACTTAATGCGTGGGCATCATTCAGTTGGAATGTTGCCGAAACGCCGCCACAGAAGCTGTTTGTTGTTGCTGTTGTTGGATGTGTTGTTGGTGTTGTTGCTGCTGCTGCTGCTGCCATTTATTGTCAGCTCAGCTCGAAGAGTCGACGTTTTGACTCAACTCGACTTGATTCGACGCGAGTCATAATCTCAGGCGCTGACGCACACGCCGATGAGGCAAACGGCGAGCATTGAGGAAGCTTAGTTGTAGTACTCGGGGCCCAGCTTGAGCGATACGCGTTACATACTTGACGCTACCAAACCGAACGCGGCGCCTTTTCGTCAAGTTTGCCAGCAACAGCAGCAACAACAACAAGCGCGTCCGCATCGCGTAATCATTAAAACCAAGCACGGCGCATTGGTCAGCCTGTTGTGGATAAAAGGGGGAGTGTTTGGGGGGCAGGGAATCTGGCTTAGACGCATGGAGTCAGCGACAAGTCAAATACCAGTTTTTCTCGCGCTCGCAAATGCCACAGGCAGGCAGGCAGACAGGCAGACAGACAGACAGACAACAACAACGACTGTATAGACACACACACACACACATATATAGATATATATATAATTTCCAGTGCTCTGCATGTGCATGTCTACCTTGTTGTATGAACACCATACACTGGCTCCGGGACTGGAGAGGCGAAGACTCAGATTGGGCGAAGACTGGGCGGCTGCTTCGTACCACCACCAGCACCTAAAAAATAGTTATACGGGCCCCTAATTTATTCGATTGCTGGCTGCTATCTGGATAATTGGTATTTTTTTTGTTGTTGTCAACTTGTATTTTGCGAACTCAATTTAATGCCTTTTTCTTGTTCTCTAATGCCACAAAAATGATCAGAAATACATAAGCCGAGCTATACAAGTATATATGTATATATGTATATGTAGATACACACGATTCTCTCAGCACGCCAACCATTTGCATGTGCGTGGGTGGCTTAAGAAATTCGAGACAGCAAGATTAATTTTTCATTTCTGCGTATTGCGAGTATTGCCTTAGATGCTGGAGAGAATTTTGCGAGTTCTTTGAACTACATGAAGGCTGTCTAGTTTGGTAAAATGTTTATTCCCTGTTCCTAAGACTCTGCGGTATCTACATAAGCTTCTTAACGGTGTTTTGTTGTTGTTGTCGTATACACGATTCGGTCGAGTGTGTGGAGACTCCGCTTACGTCAGCCTCCTGTAGCCTTGAGCCAAACAATATCAGAGTAACTGCTTCTTCAACTGCAGCTCTGGCTCTAGCTCCTGTAGTATCTGTTCCTATGTCCTGACTTTATCAACAGTTCTGTCTGAACTGAATTCGCCAATACTAAGTATTGTAGATTTATAAAGGCAATAGTCCAAGTCGAATTTGAAGGGCGAGCTAATGTAGGAAGAGGATGGAACTTTGTTAGTGGATTTAAATTCTTCCGTGCAGAATACTTAAGTAGCAGATTTATTTAGAGCTCTCTTTTTTCAAAAATTTGGAATTGTTTAAGGTTTGCTAATTCATTGGGATTTGGTATTTGATTGATTTTCTTAAATCAAAAACAAAAGACTTGGCATTTCCGCTCGGCGGAACTACAATTTCTCTTAGTTGCGATTTTATCTTGTCCCTAAAAGTGTAATATTAATAAAAACATTTTGAAAGTTATTGAAATACTAGAAAGCGGAAACTAGTAATGTTGTTTTTTATTGTCTTCTTTTAAAACGAAGTAATTGTACGTAAACAATCTCCTTAAGAATCTTATATATAATCTTATGTATTAAACAAAGTTTATATTTAAAGCCTCTCCTTGAGTATTAAAATATCTGAATGTTTATAATGACTTTTCTAGATTGCCAAACAATTTCCATTTGACTTATAATATTGAAATGTGAAGAAGAAATGTGATGTCATTGCATGCTTTTATAATAATAATTATAGAAACAATAATTACAATTACATCTAATTCATGATTAGGAGCTTGAATAGGACTTGAAAGTAATTTATTATCTTTTATCCCCTTACTAAGAGATAATTTTTGTAGAGTTTCCAGTTCCAATATCCTTACTTTCTAGCTTTTCACTCTTTTGATGGCTACGCCAGTTTTCGAGCAAACCCTCACAAAACTTCAAGCAATTAAGGCAACTATGGTAGATAAAACGAAAAAACAAAGTTGATGAGTGACATTATTTTCAACTCATTTTCATATCGCGTTTAGAATCGTCCAGATTGAAGCGAACATGTCGTAATTAGCTTCAGTCTGTCCATAGAATACGCAATGTGGATGGTGGAGCTCACGATTTGATTCGAACTGCGTATAAACACAACTAATAATAGACGTGTTGAAAGTTCGTCTGCTTACGTTCCTGCCACCTTTCTTTTCGAGCTACTTACCACCAATAATTTCACGAAAATACGAGCTGAGGAAAAAAGTTTTTGCATTAATGGCAAGACCTTTATTGCCTTACCTTGTCTCGTTCACGGTTCAAGTGGCTCTCCTACGTATGCATTGCTGGCAGTATCTCTCTGCATATTTGCGCGAATGTGTGTGTTGAAAACTTGTTTGGGCCACAAAAAAAAAAACGGAAAAAAAAGAAAAAATGGTAAACTGAAATCAAGTAGAATTTTAAGCCACAAACAAACCAAACCGATGTCTGAGGCTGCTTTGCTTTAGCTTGGCTCTGCTTTGCTTTGTTTTCGCATTGCAGTCTACGTTCAAGGCGAGTGACTGACAAATATGGCAAAATTATCGTAGGTGTAGTTGTTAGGCGTTACGTGCTTATAGTGCTATCGATCTGCATACACACAGACACACTCACACAAACAACAGCCGTGTTTGTGTTTGTGTGGGCCCATGCTCTTTTAAGAAATCTTTCCGATTGCGTATGACATATTGACTTTATGCAATACACCCATGTACGAGTACACATCTGTCTCTGACTTTTACAGTCTTTCAGTCGTTCAGTCGTTCAGCCTTTCAGGCACTCTGTCCATTCTGTCCATTCCGTCCACTGTCCACTGTTTGCGATTGCCAGTCATCGTTTTGGTCTTAATGGACCAGCAGCTGCGACAACTTTAATACACAACCACGTACTAGAAGCGAACAAGAAAAATATCTGACCATTTATTTTCACTTTGAACATAATCTGTTACGTTTCGTTTCGTTTTTTTTTTTCTGTTTTCTGTTCTTTACTTACAAGCCGCAAGAACATGAAGCAATTTTTGATTTGTTAGATGGATTGCACCTAATACATTCATTATTTTTGCCAAATTATTGAAAATGTTTCAATGATTTTAACAGGTATGTGAAACAAGCAGAAATGCTTTTGCGTAGTTTAGAAAAGTTCTGAGTTGACTTGATATTGAGACCGATGTGGGGAAACGAATGATTGAAGAAATGCATTTTATTAGTTTTGTTTTCATTTAGCATTTCAAATTGGTTTTTGCTTTGGCGTTATTTAAGCCAGTGAACAAACCAATTGATTTAATTCTTCTTCTTTTGAAAATACCTTTATGTTGCTAAAGTGATGGCATTTATTCCCTCTAGCTACACAACAATTTAACATTTAAAAAAAAAAACAATAAAATTCACAAATGCCTTTGCTAAAGCTTGCCAGAAACAACTTTTAAATATCCAAAAAATGCCTTCCACTATAGCACTACTTATATCAATTGGACAGACAAATAGCGAAATCAATAAATCTATTACAAATAGGCCATGAGAGACACTTTATTGAAGTGAAAAACTATAGTAAATCAACAACAATAACAAATAAGTCTCTGGAATTCGAGTTCATGAGCAATTTTTTGTGTCTTGGAAATTGTTATTGTTTTTTTAAATTTGAAGGCCCTAACATTTTAATGCAGAGAAACTGCTCTGGCTTTAAAATTTGGTTAAGAAATTAAGTTCGAGGCTTTAGAATGAAAAAATACAAGTTCATAGGGATTTGAAACTCTTCGCAGAGGTTTTCAAACTTATTTGAAGCTAGTAATGGGAAAATATAGTTTTTAATAAATAAACCTTTCTATACATGTTTTTTTTTTGCCTGTTTGCAAATTCTGAAGCCATTCGGATATTCTTTTTTAGGTTAATGCGTTAAAAACAGTTAACTTGTTTGGAAAAGCTTGGAATTCATATAATTTTCAAACTCAAAACCAATGCTTAATCACATCATTGATAAGAAGAAGAAAAAGATTAATACAAAAAATAATTGTTTTGATAATCCATCCGGGCTGTTAGACTTGGTATGTTAAAGCAAAATATTTTAGGTCTAACATTACAACTATTTAGTCACTACAAACAATGGAGGCTGAAAAAGTGTTTACCGCTCACATGTGCCGGAGAAGAATGCAATCATAAATCTTCGTAGGCTCCCGAATGGGAAGAAAATCCGCTGTAACTGTTAAGACAGAAAGACGCAGCAACAAAACAGAAATAGGTTGTTAAAAGGTGAAACTATTTTTGGGTATCTCGTTTATTTAGTTTTGTTGTTGTTTGTATATGTGTGTGTGTGTGTGTGTGTGTGTGTGTGTGTGTGTTTCTCGTCTTACGTATTCAAACAACAAAATGCAAAATACAAGTATGTAGGGCGAAGGTCGTTGACAGCTGAGCCGTGCCGAGCTGACGAGAGTGTGCGATAAGATTTAGTGGTTTCCGTTTCGAAATGGCCAAAAATAGAAGAGTTGCAAATGCAAAAGGCAAAAGGCAGCCGGCCAGATAGTACTTCAGAAATGGTTTACCAGTGTACCGATTCACTCGTACGAGTGTAGCTTACAATTTCTGAATGATCAGCACTTGAATCTTTGTCTCTCACTCTTGGCTGACTCGGCTTGTGGCTAATAAAACTCAAAAAAAAAATAAAATAAAAATAAAAAAAATAAAAATAAAAAAATTGTTGTTGTCTAGCCCAGATGCTGTTGGCTGTTTGCTGTCGATAATGTGGTTGTTGTTGTTGTTGTTCTCATTGTTTTTGTTGTTGTTGGCCACAGCTGCGGGCCACACGTCAAAGGCAAGCCGATAAATCGCAAAGTCGTAACCTCATTTTGCCGAACCTATTCAAACTTGGCTTGGGCAGGCATTAAAAAAGAAAAATGAACAGAAATTGAACGGATCGCGCAGCTGCAACAATCCAACGATCGTACCACAAGACAAGCAACAAGAGAATGCAACAGCCAGAGTAGCAGCTGCAACATTGCCTGAGTCACGACTAATTCAATATATCGAGCAATATAATACCTGCATTGCACTGCAGCATTTGATCTATTTAGAGCTATGGAATTATATACACGTGCATACGACTATGGGCAGCGCTTGAACTGAAAGTGTGTCTTGTTTTCCGTCTCCTTTGCAGCTTCCCCCCCCCATTCGGCTGGTCATTTAAATAAACGACATAATGCAGCGAATCCGCCATAATTGGCGCCACACACTGATCGGGCTATTGCTCGTTATCTGTGCCGATTTTGGAGCGACTCAATCGAATTATGTGCAACACGGAGATAGCGGAAATTATACGACAAATGGGCTGCCCGAGGAAGCGACGCTGGATGGCAAAGTAAGCTAAAAACAGTGCATTTCATAGATATAGATTCAAGGAAAACATTATTTCCATCATAATAAGCCATTAGCTCCCATTTGATCTTAGGCTAGATTGTGGGTAGAGCGTAGAGATGTCTCTATTAAGAACAGTTTCAACTTCCCCTTACAAGTATTGTCAACTTTGAAAATAGAATGAAATAAAAATAAAAACTCCGTATAATATAGTATTTATTTTTCTCAACTACTGTACACCCTGTTTTCTTAAAGTCGTGGGTACAGCATAGAGATATCTCTATTAATAACAGTTTCAACTCATCTTTAGTGTCAATTTTAAAAATTGAATGAAAAAAAATTCTGTGTACCACTTTTTTTTCAACTACCGTACATCCGGTTTTCTCAAATCTGTTTTATTTCCTAATATTTTTGCTAAATCCTCGTTTTCTTACTTTAGAGAACTTACTTTATTTTGCAAACTAAATGATTTTTAAGGCTACTTTGTGACCCAACTCTTACTAATTATTAAAATTACACTGTTTGTTAAGGACTTGCCCTTCAAAACGATTGCAACAATCTGTAAAGCACTTTAAGTATTTAAAGGCTTTTCAAAAATGTATAAAACAAAAAAATAAAAACATATTTCTTAATGGTATGCCTGCAAGTGATTTAAATTAATAAAAATGTAAAATTTAAACAGGACAGCACATTAAACAATTGTTCTTGAATTGAATCTTGAGTCTTGAAAGGCAAAGAGCTAAAAAGTTATGTTCTCCAACGAACATTCCTTAGAGTTGAGCTTACAATTTAATACTTATAGTAGGTATACATAGGTATATATACAAGTAGGTCGCAATGTCCACTATAACTTTATATTAAAAGCATAAAAAGCTGCATGCACGCAATTTTGTTTGCTTTATCTTTTCTGCCCTACAGCCCAAGCTCTCAACGGAGAGTGCAAAACAATAAGAAAACAAAGCTTGAGATTTTCCCGGGCCCAAGATATTATGTATTAATGAGTATGCATTCATGTGCAAAGCCAAAGTCACGGAAGTGCAGACACACTAGTAGCTTATATAATATGCTAATAAGTTATGATTTTGCGGCTGGCTCTTCCCACGCCCACAGCCAAGTAATTGGGGAGCATCTCGCCACCTGGTCGTGATTTAGTTGAAGTTCATAGTCGCCTCTTAGCTACTATAAGGAAAATAATAATGTTAATGGCCATTTTCTTTGCAGGTAACCAAGCTGGACGACATCAGCCCATTGATATTCCTAAATCGCACCAAAGCTGCGCTGAACTGTGCCGCTGGTTCAATGCAAGTGCGTATCCAGAATTGGAAAAGAAACCAGAAAACCGAAATCGAATAACCCCCGTCTGCTTCACAGGTTGATCTCAAATTCAATGATCCGTTCCATGGCATCGTTCAGGCCGATTACGATCGTAGCAGCGCCTGTCGTGTGAGCGGGAAGGGCGCTTTGAGCTATCGCTTGGAATTGCCCCTCAAGGGTTGTGGCACCATTCAGGTTGGTTACTCACTTGCCATATACAAGTATAGTACTATATCTTATTTGATTAATGTCTGATCACACATCTAAATACATTCCCTTTGCAGAATCCCACGCGTGTGTTCACCAACAACATCATCGTACGCTTCCATGCCAATTTGGAAATGGATGGCGATGAGATCATCACGATTGTGTGCCGTTATCCACCGCCGGTACCTTCGCTCCCCCCTGCACTGCCAGCCCCCATGTAAGTCATCCATTTAGTTAGTTAAGTGAGTGTTCAACTAATACGCATGATATTCATCTCGATGCAAAAAGGAAGTCAAAAAAAGAATACAACTTTGAGACCACAATTGTAAAAATATGATCCAGAAAAGAAGATCCAAACATTCGCCATTTTTCGTGAAGAAGAAAGTTGGAGTTTGTAGCCCTACAAAAGAGGAATACAAACTACATTCTTACCATCGAGAATTTCAATTAATTACTGATTTCCTACGAAGAAGTATTATTCTTCGAAAGACTGACCCCCTTCGGCGGCCCGATATTAATAACAGTTTCTCGATGTGGCAGTTCCAGAAAAGAATCGATTCTTTAAAGCAAATTTTGTCCTCTTTATATATTTCGTTCTTTCTTGCTCTCAACCTATATCTTTCTCGCTCTCACTCGTTTTGTAGCCTGAATCCGATTGCCACGGGGGCTGTGCTTCAGCCACCACTGAAGGGAATTCAAATTCTTATGATCATTTGCGCCATTATGTTCCTCACGCTCCTGTTGCTCGGTCTGGCCGTCTCCTACTACTGCCTGCGCAGTCGTCCCATTCCTGTGGTACGGCGCTTGCCCATGTCCATGGGCAGCGGCTCTGAAATCACTAAGCTGAGCGGCAGCAGTGTGGGCAACATAAGTGCCTTCGAGGGCGTAAAGATTCCACGTGCTCATGCAGCACTCCAGGCGGTCTACAGTTCATCGGGCAGCGAGGGAGCCCTCATACCATCCGACTATCCCAGCGAATCCCACTCCGAAATCGAAGAGATTGACACAAGGTAGGTTAAAAGTGCTCTTCTCTTACTCTTTCCTTATCGCCTTCTCGCTCTCACTTCGATCAGATCACTGCCATTTAGCTCGGCGGGAAGCTTTGAGAATCGCGCCTTTGTTCAGGAAACTTCCAGCATCTACAGCGATCATTATGCGCCCGCCCAGGAAATTCCAGCTGCCAATGCGGTTGTCACCGCCGTCACGCGTCACGCCATGCCCATCAAGGAGGCGGCACCATCGCCCAAGTTCGATGTGCAGGTACGCGTCAAGAAATCACCGCCACCCATACCCTCGCCTGTTACTTCGGATACGGAGAGTGTGGCCACGGTTCGGCCCGATCGCAATAACCTCTCCACCATCATGGAGGCCTATGAGGATCGGGAGAGTATCATGACCATGGACTCACTGCCAGCACAAGTCGAGACGATACAAACGCAATTCACGTACGTTCCCGAGCTACATCCGGCACCACAATTGGGCACCGTGGTGGCAGCACCACCCCCGCCGGAGCCCAAATTCTCTGTCTACACGCGTACTCATCACGAAGTGGTCGATGGCCGTCCTGAGACCTGGTCCGACTATACTGATGGTCCAGCGCCCAGTGAGATAACAGATTTGTCTTCAGAAGCACCAGATATTCACACCACTCGGGAGATCGACACCATGCACTACTATGAGGATGAATATGTGCCCGTGGAGCCGCCCATTGTGGCTAAGCCACCGCAGGTTACTTCGCATACTGTGGACGACATCTACTTGCGCACCATCACCGAGAAGAAGACCATCGAAGACATTGAGAGCCATAAGCGCCGCGTCACAGAATACAAGACTAAACCGAAATTGTTGCCACCTCCACCACCGCCCATTGTCGATCCCACGTTCGATGTGAAGGTTCGCAACTATCCGAGCGAGCGCGAGCAACAGCAGTGGGAGAACTTCTCAGATATTTCGAGCGCTTCGGGTCTGACACTCACACCCAAGATGGAGCGCACTGAATTGAATTTGCCGCCCACAGAGCCGCCGGCACAGATCCATGACAATAAGCAGAAGCTGACCAGCCCCGAGCTGGTGGGCAACATGAAGCCGATTGAAGTGCCGCCCGAGGATAAGGCCGTGCCCAACTGGGATGTCCTCATACGCATCTTGGAGGAGCCCGAACCACTTTCGGAGGTGGACGATGCCAGCTCGGTGCACAACATTAGCTACGATGACCGTGCCAAGTGGAAGGAAATCATAACGACCGAGTCATCTTTGCGTACAATGCTGACGGAGGCGGTAGTGCGTGAAGACTTTGAACGTATTCGCCAGGATACACGCTATGAGCGCATGTTCGAGCCCCAGACCTGGGACGTAATCATACGCATCTTGGCACCTCCCCAGGACGAGGATCCGGATGTTGAGATGCGTCAACCGAAACGCGGCAAGAAGACGCAACCATGGGATACACGTTCGCGTCGCAGCTCTCTGCCTACCCTCTATGAGTACGACAGCGATGGTGGATCCAGTGTTCGCACCATACGCAATGATCCGTCCTTGCCGTTGCATGTCGGTGGTCCCTTCAACATGCAACGATCGCGTCGATCCTCACGCACTTCATATCAAACCGGAGACAACGATTTCCGCTCAATGTCCGAGGTGACTGTTGATTTCGGACGACCCGATCATCTGGATAATGTCTCCGATGCCAGCTCCTATTATCGCATGCAGTACTACGATGATGAGGATCGTCGCTCCTTCCATCGATCGATCAGTCATCCATCGCTGGCACGCTCGGCCAGCGAATTCACCGAACATTGGACAGCACCAGACGAGATTTCATCGCCAGAGGGTACACCGGGCACGTCGCGTCGCTCGCGTCTGGTATGTAAAGAGTGCCTTCCCTAAATTAACCTTAAGCTAGTCTTTAGAAGGTAAACCCCAACATGTTAAAGGGCCACAGGTGCATACATATGATGATCTAATCCGAAACACCCGTCTGTATGTCCGTCTGCACGTATGAACGCAATACTCTCTCACATTTCAAAAGCAATAACCACTAGACTGGTATAAACGAGATAGCTTCGATTTTGAACAAATCCGTCATATACATAGGTTTTGCTGTTTTTGGTCTGGTATGTAAAGAGTGCCTTTCCTGAATGAACCTTAAAATAGGTAGGTAAGAAGGTAAGCCTCAAAAATTTAAAGGGCCACAGGTGCATGCATATGATGATCTAATCCGAAACACCCGTCCTTGCACATAACTGAGTCTTTGTTCGACAGACTGTATGTCTGTCTGCACGTATGAACGCAATGCTCTCTCACATTTCAAAAGCAATAACCACCAGACTGGTTACAAACGAGATAGCTTCGATTTTGAATAAATCCGTCATATACTTTGGTTTTAAGATTTGAGTTTTTTGGGTTATAGCTCCCGTGGTTATTCGAATTTGCAGTTGAAAGCTGTACAGTTTTCTCAGAAAACCCTTTCTCTGGACAAGAAAAATCAAAAAAAATCCCTATTTAAAATAGAAAACATTCTTCCCGACTTTCCAGACTACCTTCCAACCACTGCCGCCAGCTGCCCAGCCGGGAGACCGCATTCTAGCTCAAACTCAAAGCGAATACGTCGAGACACTTCGAAGTGTGTACCACAGCGAGCAGAAGGAGACATCGGCCCAACTGCCTCAGCGCAAATGGTAAACGGGGCAGTAATGTTCTTGGACCAATTTTTTAAGTCAAACTCTATTTTTTTTATATGTAATTTTTGACTAAACTAAAAAACAAAAAATACTAGCGCAACTTAGTTTTTTGCAAGGGTAATTAGTTCTTAACTGAATGATATTCATGCTCGTAGGTAGCTCTACTATATTGGAAAACTAAACTGTGTGATAATAATGGGGAATTTTTAATACCATCCGAAGGGATGTTTGTGACCCAAGCAGTGCAAAATGCTGTTCTTAAATGTTTTAATAGAAAATGATTATATTCGAAATTCAATATTAAATGGGCGACGATTTGTTTTTAGAAACAGTACAGTATGCATTTTTTTTGCATGCAATACTGGGTTTCGTAAAAATTCCCCCTTATTGTCCAGAAAGGGTGTAACATTTGCTTCTACAATCATAACACAAGTGCCAATAATATATAAAAAAAAATTAATAAATAATTGTATCATTTTTTTATGTCGCAACTTTTACACAAATAAAAAAAGCGTATAGTTTAAATATATAGAAATAATTTATTAAACTATGTATGAAGAAAGCAAACAAATAATAATTTTCATGTACTCTTCTTATCGAAAACAAAATCAGTCAAGTAGAAAAAAGTAGATGCTGATTGGGTTTCAATTACAGTTCATTGATATGTAGAATATATGCATATACTTATATATTCCTTATAGAATTCAAGATTTTCTAGCAACTTTTCGGAGATGGCTAAGACTTTAAGATTCATTTTGTTTATGCTTGCCTCAAATATTGCCTTTAAGAGTACCATTTTTGGTAGTTACTAATGTATATATGCAGATGTCATATGCCTAGGGAGATGTCGGAATATTATTCAGACAAGCATCCACTGAACAACACGCCAAAAAGTCTTCAGAGCAAAAAGCACGAACGCAATACTCTCAAAATGTAATTTGACTCGTCGAATCGAAGTGAGCAGTTCACGGGTTTCGATAAAACAAAGTATTACTACTAAATAGCTAGCAGTACTCGTACAAGCACAATTTCTATTACATACATACATATAAGTACGTGTATGCAATTGTATATATTAATAGGTGGCGGACTAATAGGTGTGACTAAAACATAGCCGACATATCTAATCGCAATCGACAGCCAATCGATCAATCGGCTGGGGCCAACATCACTTCTCTAGCTCTACTTCACTCTCCTTGAAAACCGATTAATTCGATGGCCAATTGGAAAATGCGTATTCGGTTCGATAATTATTTTTAAACATGCAGGCAAAAATTAAATGCATAGTTTTGTTTATGTTCAAGCACATCAAAATATAATTGAAAACAAATTATGAAACATAATATAAATATACTTAGTTTATTAGTAAGATGATCCTAACTCAACATATATACAGACGTGTGTGTTTTAAAACTGAAGAGAAAAATAAAGAATATATTTACTAACAAAAGCGTACACGATTTGTGATTTCCTGAAGTGCAGCGGGCTGCCCAAAAACTATAAGTAAATTAATTAAATAATTTACTTTCAAAATTGCAATTAGTTGGTTACACTGCTTACCTAAGGAGAGGGGAATACTGAATATCGGAATGTGTTACAGAAGGGCAGAGCTGCGTAAAATGTAATTAACAACAATAATGGAATGCTGGAGTCGAGTCGAGCCCAACTCATAAATACCCTTCAGCCACATCGCCAAAAAGGAGACAAATTAGAAAATAATGAAATTCAAATAATAAAGCAAAGAATCTGCACCATCTACAATTTCAATCGGGATTGTGTCTATGTGTTCCGTTCAGAGTGGAGCCCAAGCATGGACAGGGACTACAATTATGGCTATAAAACTTGCTTTTGGGTTGAAAAATCACAATGTGTTGACAAAGTTGACATGAGGACACATAACCACTAACCGGATATAATTGCAAAAATTCCAAGCATAATGCCAAGCGATGGGAAGAGGGGCGAGTGGGGTGGGGGGGGGGGGGGGGGGGGGGGGTGCATCGAAAACTTGTTCAAACTTCCCCTTCGGGGAATTTGAATACCAAGTTTTGTACTTTTCGAAATGTTTGCCTTCAGACAGATGAACAAACGAACATGCAGACAGATGTGGCTCCTCGACTAGCACACCCTTTTGAAAAAAGAAATACAATTCAGCCACTTACACTGCATACTCGTGTTGCCAATTAACAAAGTGTAATTATAATATTAACAAACTTCTGTATTTAGCGTGCAAGTTTCGTTCGTCCTTGAATTTGTTAAAGGCTGTGGTCCAACGCTCTCTAAAGATGTACTTGTAAATCGATGCTTGTTCTCTTTGGTTTTCTTGCAATAAAAGCAATTTGAAGGCGCAGCTAGAAAGAAATTAAGTGGAAGGCCGAGGCATTTCTGGCTCGAACTTGTTCGCTCTTCAAGTTTACATTCATTTTTGACTGTACAAACCTTCTCGAGTACATATGTATGTACATGTGTGCCAAATAAAACAAGTTTGCAATCAATTTTGTTAACGCAGCCGCTGCATAGCAACGTAGGGAATCAACTAAATTATTATGCTTACATATACATACATTTATATATATATATATATATATATATATATTTAAAAATTATTAATTAGTTAATTACTCCATTTGCATTACATTTTCAGACTATCAAGGTAAGTAAATTTCATTAATTTCATATCTTAAGAAGTTGATTACATCTGTGTGTTTGCATGCCCTTGTTTACATACTCGTATGAACAAGTACATATGTGCACATGTGCTTATATACATACGTGTATGTACATATGTACATAGCAGTGCCAGATGAAGCCCGCTTATGCGATTGCTAACGATACATACACTTGCATGACTATTCACCCATGTCGCCAGAAATTGTCATCTAGTGGCAATATGGCGCGCATAATGTAAATCAAAATGGCGTCGTAGCGCCGCCATTTCTGCCTACGACCATTTTATGGAAGTTTTTTTTTAGGATGAAGCACGTGTTTATAATCTACACAAAAAATTCTTATAACTAGTTACATAAACACATATGCTTAAATACTTATATATGTATGTATTTATATGTACTATATGTATGTACGTCTATTTATAAAGTATATATATTTATATATGTATATAGTATAGGTATAGGTATGCATGTGTTTAGGTGTGTGGTATATACATAGGTAAAAAAAAACTACAGAGAAGACACACTGCGGGCCTCGGGCTATGGCCGCAATGCACAATTTATTGTCCACGAGATGTAGACGCTGTTTGGCAGAGTTGTGCGATCTGGTTCAATATCGTAAGCTAGCTCATTCACAATAATAATTTGATCTAATTATAGAAAATATAGTAATTGTAAAGTCGAAAGTAAGTTTTCAACTAGCTGTGGAACTAGTTTAATCGTGTAACCCTAAATCTCCTTCTCCTTCTTATATATGTGTCGATGGTCCAATATTTTTAGCAATTTAATAATAATGCTGAACTAGTTAACTGTTAAGAGAAAAACGAGATCACCGAGCTAGCTTATTTGCAATCATATAGTATACTCGTATATGCTAGTTATTTGACTCAAATGGAGAAAATAATAATAAGTTCGAAGCCAACTAGTTCACAAGTTCTGCAACTAATTGATTAAAATGAACTACTTGTAATTCATTTAATTGGAGAAAAGCTTTATAATATGGAAGTACTGAAGAATTCCCAAGCCAGCCTAATTCTGCCGGTGTACTAATTTTGAACCTACTTAAGTACGTTTTAGAAACCTTAAACTCGTTTATACACACATCGACTATTTATTTATTTAAAAAATAAGCAATAACTAGCTTTTCAGTAGCAGAAATAAATCACAATTTGAACTGAAAAGATGAACGAACGTACGAAACTCAAAGATCCCTTGATTGCTTCTACGATTTCCAACCAAACCGACACAACTCTGCTATACGTGTATAGTACTGAACGTCCATGTCCTCTACTCTTTCTACTTATTGATCGTCTGGTCACGCATTCAGCTGGGCAAGCTATCAGAGCAGCTGCCGTCGTATTGTACCGCTGCCCCCGCCCCCGATGGTCGTGTTCAGGATACTCAACGAAGGCGCGGGTGATGAGGCAGAGGCTGAGGCCGAGGCGGAAGTGGTTACATAGGTTTGCAGCGTCGCTGGCTCATCTATATCTCCGTGTCCGGGTCCGTGTCCGTGTCCGGCTCCGGATCCCGGTCCTGGACCAGGCGAACGTGTTGAGCCCAATCCGGAGCCGGGGCCGGAACCGGTGGTGGTCCGACAGGAGGCGCTATAGGGTGGCGGTGGTGGCTGGCGATACTCGTAGCTGATGCTGGTGTTGGCCAACCGCTCGGTGGGTTGTGGGCGTGTCATCACCAGTGACTTGCTTATTCGCATTCGCTCCGCAATCGGCATAGTCGCCAGTCTATTGCACGCTCCGCGCTCCTCCTCGTTGTTGCTATTCATTGTTGTGTTGTGTTTGTTGTTGTTGTTCAGATTGGCGGCTCCCCCTCCCAGCTTGCCGGCCCCATATTTGCTCTGCAAGTATTCCTGCACATTTATGTTGTACTTGCTGCGCGACGAGCTCGTATTGTTGCTGCTATTGGTGTTGCTGTTGGTATTGTGCTGCAGCTCTTCACTGGGGGGCAATGGATGCTCCAGCTTGTGGTGGCTGCCTCTGGTGGTGCGATAAGCTGGCAGCAGGTCCGGCTGGTACTCAACGGCCACCTGGCGGCCCTCGCCACTATTGTCCGTGTAGGTGCCTCTGCTGAGGCTGCCAAAACTGTGGACTGTGCCACTCCTGCCGCCACCGCCACCACCGCCTCCGCCTCCGCCGCTGCTCGCACGACTCAGCTCCGCTTGCGTGGGCCTAGCATTGGACTTATCTGTAATTGGAAGTAAGCCGGAGATTAGTTGTCAGCTTGAATTACTTTTCAGTACATTGGCCAGCACGATTTAGATATTTTTGGAACTTGTCCTGATTACAAATGTCAGATGTCAGATCTGTGTCTGTGTCTTTGACTTTTTTCTTCTTCCACTCTGAATTAGGAATTTCCCATGAACTGCGAGAAGTCATTTCAGTGTAAAATATTCAATTAAAACAAGTCCCACTACGTATACTCTAATCAGAGCACATGCCTCTGCTCATTTCAGATATACTTGTAGTATTTATAGCATTTAATAATCACCAATCAATAATGCACGGACAGGCAAATGAGTGCAAATTTGTTGAATTTCAGAAGTAGGTTAAAGCCCTAATGTTGTAAGGATGAAATGTGTCTTCAAATATGTGTTCCTTACTGCTCCTTACTAGCTGCAGCAAATCGCTTGCACATTAATTCCTTCAATCACAAGCATGTTGGGAAACTACTTGTAATTTGATTTCAGTCACAAAGCAGTAGAGCAAAAAGGCAATGCACAGACTATTTGCCCGTCTGACCTAACAGTAGAACTGAAAATGAAATCTTATTAGTGTGTGGTTAGATTAAGTAAACTTAATTAAATAAGAAAAAGGGAGGTAGGAACAGGCTATATTTTTATTTGACATCTCTTGAGTAGAGTAGGAAATTTAGCTTTTTTGAAAAAAAAAAAAAAACCGCCCTGTCTGCCTTGAGTAGTTTTTTTTTGAGGGACTAAGAACTAAGCTTGTTAATAAAAACAGTCCAGCTAGCTGCTGATTTACTGTATATTTTATTTCCCCTCCTCCCCAACCAAAAGGTCGAGTCTACGCTCTGCGGGGACGAGGGGATGGAGTGCTATCTGACTAGCCAGAAAGTTTTTACTTATCTGTTCAATAATTTACAACTTGTCTATGACTTTTTACTACATTTCCGAAGAAGTAATGGATACTTTCTTGTTTGTTGAATTTCCCCCCGCAAACCATAAATGTGTCAAGGACCTGAAGTCTTAAGTGGCGCGAGGCTTGAAATTGAAAGTAAAACAAAAAGAAATTGTTACCTTCAGACTTTTGCTCCAAATATTGATTTTCTCCATGGTTGTGTGCACCACGCTCCTCGACGCCTCCACCTACAGCGATGCCGGAACCCGAACGCTTCCCTATCGCTTCCGCCGCTCCCCCCTGATTGTCCAAGTAGCCGACAATGACACTGTTGTTGCCGCACTTGATGACATCCACATATTTACTATTTACACACTCGCCGCCGACGCCGACACCCACTCCAACAACACTGCCAGAGCCGGCCATTCCTCCACCACCGCCGGTGTTGCTGGTTAAGTCAGCCGTCGCCTTGTGGTGTTTGTAATTGCTTAGCGATGTATTCTCGGCCGTGCTCACCGAGTCGAGAAGGACCTCCGTGCCACCAGCTATAACAACATTGATGGCCGTTCGTTCGTTCTCGTTGCCAGCCAGCTGTTGAGGCGAGAGATTCAAATGGCGCATGTGCTCGTGATGACTCGGATTGAGGTGCTTGAAGCGCTTATAGATGCAGCAGGTGATCATCGAGAGGAGCACCGACACACTTAACAGTCCCAGGGCCATTAGGCATATTACGATAAAGAGATTGCTGTGCATCAGCAGATCCCTTGGTCCGGTCTTTTGCACGAGAAGGCTCATTTGTACGGCATCCTTGCCGCCGGCGTTCTCGGCCAGGCACGTATAGATGCCCTCATCGCTCTTATCGGCCCCCAAGATCGTGAGGCGTGAGATAAATATGTCGCGACCGAACTCCTCCTCCTTGGCGGCCTCGTCGCGCAACAATTGAATGTGAACGCGCTGATTGTCGCCATGGCCGAGCAAAGCCGTCGATGAGGATGACGCCAGGGTGGATGCTGGCATCCCTGCTCCTGACCCCGTTCCCCCCGTTCCCCCCGTTGTGCTGGTCGTTGTTGATCGATAAAGCTGCTTGTTATAGTCCCAGGCGATAATTGTATTCGCCGAGGCGTGCACGCGGCAAACGAGCGTCACATTCTCCTTGGAAGTGTTGATGGATGCCCCGCGTGTTGGATATATAATCTTGGGCTTGCAGGCGAACGCCTCCGGCTGATCCTCAATCCAGAGCATGCTACGTAACTGCAAGGGATAGAAGCAGGCCGTCGGCGGCGTGTACAGATTCTGGCGCAGCACAAAATCCCTAAAGAGTTGCAACTCGCAAGTGCAGTTCCAGGGATTGCCATCGAGCGAGAGGGCCGTCAAACGCTTCAGACCCTCGAAACTCTCCTTCCTCAACAGACTCAATTGGTTGCTGTCCAGATAGATCTGCGAGAGCAGTGGCACGCCCACAAACGCCTGCGCATCGATGCGCATCAGGCGATTATGTTTCAGCTCGATCTTGTGTAGATATTTCAAATTATGAAATACACCCGGTCCCAGAGACTCCAGCAGATTGCCATTCAGTACCAGCGCCCGCACCTTGATCAGACGAGCGAAAACATTGGGCTGCAGGATTCTCAGTAAATTATTGGATAGGTCCAGCTCTATCAGTATTTCCAATTGTGTAAAGCTTCGCGGATTCACCTGCTCCAATGTGCTGTTTCTGATGAAGAGCTTGTGTAGATTCTGCAGTTTGGCGGTGAGGAAGGCATTCTGCTCCAAATAGGGTATACGATTGTGCGATAAATCGAGCACTTGCAGTTCAGAGCTTAGGTTCTCTGGTACGGCGCTTAAGCTCAGATTTTTACAATCTGCCGTCTTTTTCCCAGAATTCCATTTGCAGTGACAATTGCCGCAGTCCATTAGCCAGTCGGCTTTTGTAGTTGTTGGCAACAACAGTAGTAGCAACAACAACAACAACACTGAGCTGAGCAGGGGCAGGTAGTGAGTTGTTGCTGTTCTTCTAGTTGTTGTTGTTGTTGTTGTTTTAATTGTTGTTGCAGTTATTGCTGTTGTTCGGCGAGTGTTGGAGTGTGTAGGAGGAGGAGGAGGAGTGAAGGAACCTTTTAGAATGTTGTTAATTTTTTTGATGTTGCTGTTGCTGTTGCTGCTGCTGCTGCTGATGATGGAGATGTTGCTGTTGCTGTTGGTGTTGTTGCTCTGGCCGCTGTTGCTTGAGTTAAACATGTTCGTTCTTGCTATTATTGTAGTTGTTGCTGCTGTTCTTGCTGTTGCTGGCGCTGACATAACAACAACAATGACAAGTGGAAAAAGTAGAAACTATACAATTGTCGCACTGGACAGTTGCTGTGGCTGCTGCTGCTGTTGTTGCTGCTGCTGTTGGTGCTGCTGTTGCGTGGCATAAGTCAAGCAAAGAATTCCAACAATGCCCCAAGCTCAAACTGCAACTTCAACTTCAACCCCACGCCAGACGTTAAATGTGTCGTCTGCTGCTGCTTCTGCTGCTGCTGCTGCTGCCACTCGAATATATCCTGAGGGTACATGTGTCTTGACTTCAGTCGCCGTCGCTCGCTACGCACGTCTTACTGCGTCTTCAACGCCTAGAGGTCCTCACAGGCTCGTGTCAAGTGCCAGTCCCCCCTTCTTCCAACTTTTTCTGCGGCTACGGTTGTTGCGTTGTTGTTGCTGTTGCTGTTGCTGCTGCTGCTGCTGCTGCTGCTTGTCAGCGAGCTGCCATAACGACTTGGATATATATGTATATAGCTGTTGATCAAGCAGCCAGCAGCTTTTTGTTTTCCTCTTACTCAACCCCCAAGTCGTTGTTGTTGCTGTTGCTGTTGCTGTCGTGACTGCTATTGTTGTTGCTGCTCTTGTTGTTGTTGCTGGGCCGTTGTTATGTGCAGCCGGAAATGATTCGCATTTGTTTTGCCGGCGCACTGTCGGCGTCGCCGTTTAGAATAAGTTGAACAAGTTGAATAAGTTGGAAAATAAGGAAGTAAAGTAGAAATGTTGACTCTAACGCTGACGCTGATGCTGACGCTGTCACCCACAGAGCTAGAATCTCTCTTAGACCCAAGAGCTCAAACTTTGAGGTTTTCTGTATGTGGTCGTGGTCTCGGTCTGGTCTTGGTCTTGGTCTTGGTCGTGGTCTTGCTCTTGGTATTGGAATCTGGCTCGGTTTTGGCTCAACTTGGCACGCTCTACAAATTTTCGGTTGTTATATATTTGGCTGTTTTTCCTTTTTGCCAATTTCTTATTATTTTTTGTTGTTTTCTGACAGTTTCTCTTGCTCGCACATCCGTTCGTGCATCCGTTCTATAGGTTTTTTGCTTCTCGCTTTAATTGCTGTTTATTCAATTGCTGCTTGTTGCCTTTTGTCTGTTTGTGGCCAATATTGTCATTGCTCGGCTTTTCGTCTTCCCCCCATCCCCTGATAGTTTTCCTCTTTCTTTTTTATGTGCTGCGGCTTTTCCCTGGAACCAACAGATGGATGCACTTTTCTTTTCTTCACCTTTTTGTCTCTGCTCGCTGCCTCGCTGCCTCGCTCCCTCGCTTCCTCGCCAGAGTCCTTTCGCGCAGCTGTTGTTATGTTGTTACTCTGTGTTGTTGTAGTGGTTGGCTTTCTCGTCTGCCTTTCTTTGTTTCCGGCAGCGACGACTCTGATTTGGTTTCGTTTCTTTTGAAAATATTTGTATGCACGAAGCTAGGTAGGTTGCATGTTGGTGTACGAGTACCAGTACCAGTACCAGTACCAGTACGAGTATATATAGGTGTGCTATATATATATGGGTGTGCTAGCTTGGCTACTCAAACGCTCCTCTAGGCAGGCAACTGAAATGAAAATGCATAAAACAAAGGAAAAACCTTAAAGTGGAATGCTTATTAATTTGAAATAGTACACAGTCAAAGAGACAGAAAGGCCTAGAGGGGAGGTGGAGGGGTGGCCAGGAGGGCAGGAGAGCCGGAGGGGTGAGCGAAAATGCAGTGCTCTACTTTTCTTTCCAGTAGTTATTACACTAAGTACACTTATGGAAGGAAGCAGGCAAGGAAGGACGGAAGGAAGAAAGAAAGGAAGCAAAAAAGGATATACAAGATATATACATATATATAGTATATATGTATTTGGGCAAAGCATGAGCATGAGGTTCTGATTTAGGTGAGGTGGCACAGTGACAGTTTACTTTAATTATAACCTTTGTGGTTTGGCTATTGGCCATTTCAAATGATTTCTGTGGCATTTATTTTTCATCAATAGACCCGAAGCATTCGAGGCAATCAATTGATCAAAGCTCATTTGAATATTTGAAATGTTTATTTAAGGGTGTATTCATTCATTCATAAATCGCTTTAATTACTACAATGAGCGAACTTATACAGTCATTTGTTGAAATATTTATTTAGGACAATACACACTCATTGGTTTTACATGCCTAGAGTCAATGTACTTGTCAGCTGTTGATTGAGTTGGCCGTTAAATCTGTTAAATACGAATATGGTATGAAATATTCATTCGAAATTGGTTAATTCGCTTAATATTCAAACATTTCTTTGGGGTGCATTCATTGAATCATTAATTTTTAATAAATAGACTCACAGCATTTTCAAATCAATTTGTTAATGGATATTTGAAGTGTTTATGGTTCTTCAATTAATTATAAATTAATGCATTAAAAGCCGTTCTCAATTCATTAAGTGTTATTATTGAATTGTTTATAGAGTGCCGTACACATTAATTTATTTGTAGTGGCATTTTTGGAGGCAATTAAGTTAATTGTGAAATTAATGTCCTTAACATATTTCAGGTATTATGAAAACGCTTATTTAGTGATTAAACAAACTGGGAATTTATCATAATCAGTGAGTTACTTTGCTCACTACAAGTAATGTTAAAACATAATTGGATCGATTTTTAATCGTTCAAAAAGCTGCTTCAATAGTAGAATAAGTATGGACAGAACTGAATAAGTTGCTAAATTAACATTTGATAGCATTTGAGAAAAGAACGCCCACACTTATCGATAACGATAAGCACTGAAACGAATAATGCACGTGCGTCGATATTTATGCATCGACAAGTGGTGCTTGCACTCCACTCTTAAAAAGGTACGATTTGTGGTTTGTAGCAAGCTGTTATTGAATCATTAACGTCCTACATACACTTGCTTTGGCTTTATCAAACAACCAGCCGCTTGAGGGTGAGCCTATTCAAAGGAACGACTAAGCAGCTGGAAGACCCACTGAAGTAGGGGGCAGAATACAAAGTCCTATATTGTTAGAAATAGTATAAAGCAAAGGCCGCTGTAGAAAATTATAAATATAAGTGTATAGCATAGTAATTCAAGCAGTAACAGGTAATAATTAGCTAAGTAGTGACTAATAATTAACAGTGATAAATAATCGATAGTAACCGATAACAGAAAAGAATAAGTCAATTGGGATCGATCGGCTATAGCAACTTCCTTGCTTAGTGAAATAGAATAGAAATATAATGTAAAATATTGTCAATTGTAATAAACTTGATTCACTCAACACCTCATTAATTAAATAAAATATTTGCTTGTCAGAATCGACGTCAATGATACAATCAGTGTTGTATGTAGATAATATAAGGAATTTGTGAAATTTGATGATGTTTTTGTTAAATCGAATGATTTGTAGTGTACCAACCCCTTCTACTAAATCTAAAAGGTGAAGGATGTTCAGTGAAGAGGAGTATCCCGCTCCTTTTTGTATACAAAAATGTTTGCATTTAACGATCTCATATCTAATTTTTATACTTGGAATAGCAATATATCTTTGTCACAAATATAAATAAAATATATTGTCTTTAAAGTATTAAAGAGAAGAGATTTAAAAAGCGCGCTACAAAATAGAAAATTGTTCGATTTTTCGATTTTCTTCTAATTCTGAAGTCAACTATTTTAATGCTTTTGAAGCTGCTCTGCGTTCAGCAATAACAGTCTTATTAAAATGATGATGTGTGCTAATTTTTTACTGCAAATAGACAACAAAATGCAAATTCAAATGGATTTATTTATGCTGGAAAGTGCTCGAAGAAAAGTTAGTGCAGCTCCTACATTTAGTTGTTAATTTGCGATAATATGAAGCGACTGCTATTTTAATGGATTGTTAATTTTGTTTTCTTCTATTAAAGTAGTTTTTGTTTGTGCTCTTCCTTTCGGTATTATTGCGTGACTTTCTGCAATTTTATACCGTTTTGTTAATTTAACGGAGCTTTCCAACTCCTTTTCAATTTAACCCTCTACCTTTTATCGAAGAAAAACAACTGAAAGAGCAACAACAAAAAATATAACAAATGTGCTAATTAGCCATATCTACTGCACATATGTTGTGTGTGTGTGTGTGAATGTGTATCTTAACCCTTTTTTCCATTTCGTTATAGTGGCTGTTGCTTACTTTTGTGTTGTGGAAGTAAATAAACTTCATTATACTTATTTAATGGATTGTAATAAAAGTATATACGAGCAGTGTGTGCGACTGTGCATTTTCCCCAAATATTCATTTTACGAGACAATGTGCTGCACCTTTGGCAACGTTTATCCGCAGCACCTCTTGCCACTATTCCCGTGCCGGCCCCCTCGCCCCAACTGCCAGGCATTTGGATAAAAGCGCGATTCATTAAACGTGTTTACCGACTAATTCCCAAGTTTCCAAGGTGTTAAAGTTTCATTTAAATTCTAGTTGGTGCCGACGCTGACGCCAACGCCAACGCCCAGGTCCCCTTCATTTGGCGTCGGGAAGTGCAACCGCCCTCCAACCGCCCACCTCGCACCTCGCACCACGCACCTCCACTCCCCGTTGAACGCCCCTCGCTGCCAACCAATATGTATTTGTGCCTCTTCCATATTCTGAAAACGAGCGTGCAGAAGCAACATTCGTTGCAGTCGTTCCGACGGTGGCAACCTAGGCAACGTGGCAACGTGGGAGCATGACAGCATGGCAACGAAAAACCTCTTAAAAGCCGCACCACCCACTCGCAGAGTGAAAATTAAAAATGAAAAACTACGCCGGCTAATGTGCAGCATTTTTCTGCGCGTTAATATCTTTTTGAACCAGAACACAGCAGTGGGGGCGATAAAAAACAAATATATATAAAAAAGGCGAACGAAGAACCAAACTAGCAAACGGCAAGTTGCAACACACCATATACAAATACCCAGCGGTTCCCCGAACTAGGTACATAGCCACTTACTTTAGCAGTCCCAAGGGACCAGTGAGTTTTCTCCCTTCTGCTCAAAGCCACCCAATAGACTTTAAACTGGGTCTTTTGTAAATGGAGTTCCCTCCTCTTAAGGCAATTGATTGCCCCCCTCTGTTACCCTCTTCGCCTATATACGAGTACTTTCATACATTCATAACAGCTTAACAGTTTCTAACTCTGTACTAAACTAATACTTTAGTAGAACTTTATGTTTTCTTGCCAATTCTGTTTTCCAAAATTGTAAGCCTCTCTACAATAAATTTATAACCTACGTAACTATATATCCTTTTTGTTATTAAATATTAAAAAAGAACGTGTTGAAATGGTATGGCTTATATCTGTGTCTTTTTCAAATATTTTAACATTTGATGAGACTATGCTGAGCGGACAGTCGGTGTTGCTTAAATAAAATGTCTACCTTTTTTTTATACCCTGTACCCGTAGGGTAAAAAGGGTATATTAGGTTTGTGCAAAGTATGTAACATGCAGAAGGAAGCATCTCCG